ATGTACTGCTGCTGGTTTCGTCGCATGTGGTGCTGCTGCTGGAAGTTGAGCAGGAATTGCGACGCCTTCATATACTCGGGATCGTTTGGCGGGACGCCCGCTTCTTTCATTTGTTTGAGTTTCTATGCAGAGTTATCACGTCAGCTACACATATCAGATGGAATACAGGCAACGCGAGAGGCGCATTGCAACACGCGTAAGACTGTGCGTACCCGAAAGACCTCTTCGGCCTGTTGCTTAGTCGCCCCGGCAGGCATTGGCGCGCCCGGGTGCTGCACGGGGGGCGGGATCTGTACTGAAGCCATGGTTGCGTTTGGCGATGGCGTTGGACCAAAACGTTGAAACTATCGGCTCCCCAATATGTATCTTAATAGAAGTCCACTTATAAACAGTGCATAGCGAGGAGCGAGTGTCTGGAGGTCGTGCCCGGTGGAAGCGAGACGAGACTTTTTTTGTTTTCCTTGTTGATGTTGCGCCTCGGTGCGAGACGTGAAGTGATATCAAGAGTGACGAGAAAAGATAAAAAAAAAAAAAAGTTGGGTGTAAGAGCTTGGCGCGTCGAAGCTGCACAAGGCACTTAAGAATGGGAGGGAAAAAAAGTAATAATGCGCGGCAAGTTGGCGTCGTCGAGACAAAAAAGGTCACCAGAAGTGAGGCCGCGGGTTGGGCAAGGACAGAGTCGAGGTGAGTCGAGTCGAGGTGAGGTGCAGAAGCGAAACTCGAGCAGCTTCAGCCTTGCGACGCAGCCGTGGACGCGGACGTGGGGGATGTCGAGGCTCGCAAAAAGATGCAGGCCGAAGGGGGCTGCGAGCGAAGCAGAAAAAAAAAACCTGCGCAGGGCACGGTGCGGCGCGTCGGATCGGGTGCCGCAGGCGTTTTCGGCGTGCAAAATCGCGTGAAACACGAGGTTTGCGAGGATTGGAGATGGACGCCGATGGTTTGCGAGGGGACCTGGCGATTTTGGGGATGCGCGCGCTGGCCGGTTGATGATGGGGAGTGGTTGAAGACACAACTGACAAGATTCGGCGTGATGGCTGGTGCGGTTCTGGCCTGGCGCGTCTCAGTACATCTCAGCACGGCGCCTGCGCACGCCTCAGGCTGGCAAGCAAACGGAAGAGAATTTGCGTCGTATTGGGTCTAGGGCGGCTGGGAGGTCACGTGAGGCGATACTTTGCGCTTGTACTCTGTACCAGGAACCTCCCTCTCGGACAAGGACCCACAATTTCTTCTTGGGTCTCGACTCGAGAGCAGAAAAGCAGCAGCAGTAGCTCCAAGAGACTGCTATAAAGCCTCTACTATCTAATATCTAATACTAGTATCTAGCAGTATCTAGGATTTGTTGGAGGAGAACAGTCGGATGCTCCTCAGCCTTCTGGTAGCAACACCTACCAGAATACTTAATCAATATTCGTTCAGAAAGTTCATCATTACCGCGTGTTTTTTTCTTGATGTGATATTTGGTCGTGGCTGGGGTGGCTATATCTCGAATGCTATTCGGGTATTCCATCGATATTCGTCTTTGTGATACATAGAAACGGCATGAATACGAAGGCGCAGTCTCGGGGCTGAAGCGCTGATGTCGTCGCGACGATAAATTCGCCCAGAAGCGATACTTGGCGAGGCTCGTGCTGGCAGCTGTATCGTAGCCCGCTTCTTCTCAGCCCATCTCTTCCTCTTCGTTGTCGGGCGCAATTGTGATTCATCGCTTGGCGCGCTTCTTGTCTGGGCCTTCCTCTTCGTCGTCGCTGAGCTCGGCGTACTGCGTCTGCGGCTGTGTCTTACTCCAGGCCTTTGTGAACATGGGGTCGCTCTGGGCCTTGTCAGCATACTTCAACAATGCTTCACGCGGATCCTCGTGCAGCATCTTGGCCAGAGGAATGTTCTGCGCAATGTGCTTCTCGTCTGGCTGGCTTTTCTGAAAGGGCGTCGCCAGCGGGACCTCAGGTCGTCGAGGATCTTTCGATTTGCCCGTGCCCGTCACTCCGGCTTTGCGCCCACCGCCCATCGCGCCAGGGACAACGATGGAGTCGCCCGATATGCCGACGTTTTGGTCCATTGTAAACTCGGGGTTGTCGTCGATGTGACGCTTCTTGGGCGCTCGCGACATGACCTCTACAGCACCGCGGGTCGACATGGTCGGGTTGTACAAGACGTGTGTCTCGGCGTTCGCTGAGCCTGTAACAATCTGATTAATCTTAGGGTGCCAATCCACAGCAATCAAAGCTGAGCCCGGCGTGATCGGAGTGACGTGTTCTGGCTGAAGATTGCCCGGATTTAAGATGTGGAGATGGCCTGTGGCCGAACCGGTGATGATGCTGGTCGAGTTGGGAGCGTATCGAATGTTGCTAGTCGGATAGCTATCTGAAGTCGAAGTGTGCGATACCGTGACGAGGGGTTTGTTGAATTTTCGGGTGTCCCATAGCTTGATCAAATCGTCACCGCCTCTTGTAACTACCATGCGGCCATCGGAAGAAATGTCGATGCCGCTTGTCCAGGTCTGAGGCTTGTGCGCCTCTTTGATCTCACCCGCCGGTCTCGTGAATGGCCCATTGCCGCCGTACATTACCAGCGAGCCGTCGAGGGCGGCGCTGACCAGCACATTGCTTCCTTGAGCAGACACTTTCCATGCGACAGCAGTCATCTTGGTACGCCCAGCAGAGCCGGCAGCCTTTGACTTGAAGACAATGACATCCTTCTGTGAACGTTTATTGTTAACGTCCCAGATTCGCAGAGTGCTGTCAGTTCCTGCCGTGACACAAAGGTTTTTGTCCGTTGGATGCCAAGTGCCAGTTGTAATCTCGGAGATGTGTCCCTTTGTGTTGTGCATATCACGAAGGTACATGTCTCCCTTGACGAATTCCGTCAAGATATCGCCATCTCGCGACATAATCCTCGCCTGAGGGTGGGCGCACACGCATAGAAATGCTCCGCCCGACAGCGGGTTGAACTCAACCAGGTGTATGGGGTGGGCTTCTGCGCTGGCAGCAGTTCGCCTGGACACAAAAGGGTCAACGCTGCGAAATGCGCGAAGCGTCGTCGGCGTCATCGAGGCGAAGTCGTGGAGCTTGGCAGTACAGTCCAGGGACGCAGAGGCCAATCGGCCCCCAGCAGGGTCCAGAGAGACTGTAGTGACAGCGCGCTCGTGCGTCTTCAGAACAAGTTCATGCGAAACTGGGAACTCGTCTTCGTCGTCAGACTCGTCTGAATCGCCGCTATTATCGTCGGAGTCAGAGTCGCTTGAGCCGCCCTTCTCTTTTGACTTTTGTGCCTGTGTCTCATCGCCGTCCTTGCTGCCAGTTGCTGGCGGTTTATCCACTGTTCTCCGACTGCGGTCGATTTGGGCTGCAATATCAGCCTCCTTGGACTTTTTTCCGAAGGAGGCAGGCAGAAACGCTCTCATGGGATCATCTTCGGCGAGTTCAGGGCCCTCGATTTCGTACTCGTCGTCGCTGGCCATGGCGAAAAACAGGCAGAAACGGGTGGGACAGGGCAGACAAGCCGCCTAATATGGGGGGAGAGAGTAGAAAAGAGGAGAGAGAAACGGGAGAGTTTGCAGGTGGGAGGGGAGCCGGGAGCCAGGAATTTCACAGTGGCAGGGGAATGACGGAAGCGCCACATCCACGATGCAAGTGCAAAATGCAGCGACCAGGTTTGGTGGGAACTTGGCGCCTAACCCGCTGCTTGTTTGCCTGTCGGGTTCCAATAACCTAAATCGGCACAAAGCCCAGCCAGTCAAATTAACGTTTTCTTTCTCTCTTCTCCAGGAAGGTGGCCTTTCTTCTCTTTCTTCTTCCAGTGATCCCTGCTGCTGCAACCTGTTCAGTTTGCACCCCATACGTAGATCAGACAACTCAGCACAATTTGAGGGGGAGCCTAAAACCGGCATCCATGCCATGTCACGATTCAGTAGACGATGGTCCGCGTGGCACACTATCACGAACCAGTTCGATGCTCGGAGCCACCGTAATTAAAGTCGCTGAGGAGAGCCATGGCTGGGATTCGCCAAAAAGCAAATTTCGAGAAGCAAAACCTACGTCCCCTGCAAAGTATAAATAAACTGTCAAGTTGCTATGAAGCGTCCACAACTCCAAATGCAATATGCGGAACATAGCATCAAGTTGGTAACGCAGAATAGTTGCGGTGAGCTCTTTGCTTGCTACAGTACAGATCCATGTCTTGGGCTGAGACAGGCCTCTTAGTATGTCGCGCCGTTGCATCTCCAGAATTACCCGCAGGCGATGATACCCATGCATCTCCCTATTCCCTATTCCCCCCTACGCAAGGTCACGAGCCCATAGCTGTTCAATAAGAAGGCTTTGAATGCATTCCACAGAGAACTACGCTATTAACAGACACCAATCATCCATCAAGGATGGCAGGAAATAGCTCACGTACCCCAATTGCCTGGGGCTGGTTCAAGGATCATTCGTGTGCTTTGCTGGCTGCCAGATGCAGATTTAATGAAGGTATTTTAGCTTTTAAAGTCAAAGGCTAATCTACTGGTATATCTGGCATGCAGAGTAAGGCTTATCGACAGGTTGCAACGAACCCAAGCGGCGTATCATAAGCGCCTTAGTTGCTTATTTTGGTTATATGTAGGTTTCGTTCAAAACACTCGCGGATCTACTACTAGTATTTACCTGTCCAGAGGCTCGACAGAGATACCCTACAAGCGGTATAAAATCGAGCTGACTCAGTAGATACTGGTGCTTTTCGTGGCCAAGGGCAAGTGGAAAACATGATAAGGCATTAAGATTGATTCTATTATAACATAGATGATTGTCAAATACATGCAGCGATAATGTATACAAACACCTTAATAAAGCTGCTTGGAATTACAAAGCTTTAGGCGTGTTTTGTGCTCTTCAACTAAAAAGTTAGGCGCTGCGTCATTGGCCCCACACCGACAGAGAAGTCACCGAAAGCAGCCTCACCGGCGCGTCTACGCGATCGCCTTGGAACATGCCACCATTTATTTGCTCCCTCGCCAGATCTACGCAATGCCACCAGAGCGCATAATTGACGAAGACGAAGAATACGAGTCTTCTCAAGATTCCGACTTTGCGCCCGATGCCGACGATGCGCCCGACGTTGCGTCCAGCTCTTCAGATTCAGAAGATGGCGACGATAACAGGGTTGCGAGAAAACGCCAACGGCCGGTGAAAGATGCGGGCGCCGATGGAGCAGAGGAACCAAATAACTCGGGTGATGAGGCGATAATTGAAAAAGGCAGGAAAAAGCAAAAAAGAGCCAAAGCCAAGGGCGAAGCTGTGGATGATGAAGGTGGTGAAGGTGGCTTGATCAAGACGAGAAGTCAACGCGCTGCTGAGTATGCTTTAAGCCCTCCCACTATGAAGGCGGAAAAGCTACGCTGGACATGGCTAATCAAATTATAGAAAGGAAGAACGCAAGTTTGCCGCAAGTAGAGGGCCTGTGACGGTCGATATCGATGCTGTTTGGGCAGAGATGGTAGCCGGAGGCATTTCAGCATCAAAACCACTAGAAAACGTAGAAGATATGGCTGTAGACGAAAGCGAAAAGCCAGTCGCAGACGAGAAGCGCAATTCAAAAGAAGACGAATCTTCCATGATCCGCATCAAGCGAACCTACAACTTTGCCGGCCGCGTCCATACCGAAGAAAAGCTCGTCCCTCGTGACTCGGCAGAGGCGAAGCTCTATCTAGCCTCTCAGGAGGGAGACGCGCCGCCAGACGCATTACTCACCAAGCGACTTACCAAAAAGGCTTTCCGGTCCGCCTTCGAGCCCATCATAGAAGGCACAACAAGTCGTACGGATCTGAACCTCGGACTGGCGGCCAGAATGAAGGCGGCCAACGAAGCACAGGCGAAGAAGCTCAACACGGTGGAGAAGAGTCGCATGGACTGGGCGGGCTTTGTGGACAAGGAGGGCATAAAGGACGAGCTGGAGCTGGCTGGCAAGTCCAAGGATTCTTATGCCTCACGGCAGGACTTTTTGGCTCGAAGCGAGGCTCTCAGAGAAAACGAGGCCCAGAGAGCGAGGGTGGTGGGACGGTTGTAAACGGGCTAGAGGCGTTGGCGTTTGGAATGATACCACGGTTGGGATTACAATGTACAATATAAAAGTAGCAATGCATGAACTTGCATCATGATGAACTTTATGCATGTACAATGTATCAAAGTATTCTGTCTCCCCATCGACTTATCCCGTATCTTGCAGGTTGCTCATAGTTTCCCTTACGGCCTACGCTATGCCTCACTATAAGCGGCTTTTGATACTAGACCGCGAATTAGATGAAGCAATAAACTACGGAAGCCTAGGGTATTCAAAAGCCTACATAATTAAGCATCTTTTCATCCAATTACCTAGACTACAAACGCTTCCCAGTCTCACACTCCAGGGAGATGAACGGAGACCTGGAGGGATGGGAGTTGAGATACGACGCACAAGTCTACAAACTTCTCCATCCCCTGGTACTGCAAAGATATCTAAGGGAAGTGTACAAAGAAACACCCCGCTGTGAAGGGCATTACCATTCATCTCTGCTCGCTACCTCCCTGGGTACACGTTGGCATGGCGATAAAAAGAAAGCAGCGCTGCTAAACACCTCAACGCCAACTGATAGCTAAACATCTCAAGTTCAAGAATGGCAAAAAATAACCATGTAGTCGAACCGGGAATCGAACCCGGATCTGTCGCGCACTCAAGACTTAGTGTGAGGCGACTGTACTAACCGCTATACGATTCGACCGTTTGATGGTGGAGAACTGTGATGAAGTGATCATGAAGGATGAGTGTTGTGGAGGTGAAATCGCGAGAATTACTACCTGAAGTTCACTTACTAAATTGGGAATAGACCAAACTAGGCTAGCGCCATACCAGAAGACTTATGGCGTCGCGCAACCCCGCAGTAACTACAAAATTTCTCATCATCGTCTCTCCATCTATATACTGTACTTGATCCAATCTCCACCAACAAACTAGATCTAAATGGTCGAATCGTATAGCGGTTAGTACAGTCGCCTCACACTAAGTCTTGAGTGCGCGACAGATCCGGGTTCGATTCCCGGTTCGACTACATTTTTGCCAAATTCTGCTTACATTGATCCCCCCTTAAAAAAAAACGTTGCGCGTGAGATCCGGGCTCGGTCAGGTATTCTTTTTCATTTTGCGGTCTACTTTTGGTCAGTCTGCGCGGAGATATTTGTCTACGAAAATTGCTTGATCACCACCAAGCGCTGCCTCCAAGACTGTCATTTCGTTGACTCTCGACAGATTCATGCGTTGTTATGGGAAAAGTCCATGCTCAGTAAAAGACTTTTTCCGCAGCCATTTTACGAAACTTCAAATCTTATAACCGCTCCCAATATTATTTTGCCTCTTTGTTGCTAGCGGCTATTAAGAGGTAGTGACCTAGTGAATTAGCCGCTCTAAGATTATAGCAGAACAGTCACAGCGGTTCGAATCAGTAGCAAATGTACGTAAATTGTGCAGCAATCAGCAAATAATATCAAGTCTCCGAAAAGCAATAAATAATGAAATCAATCAGTTAAAAAAAAAAACTTTCCGCCCTAGCCACTAGCAAATAAAGAAAGAAAAAAGCGAATATAGATGCAAAAAGGGAATTAAAATCCACTCTGAAATCCATTTTCATTTTCATTGTGCCACTCAAAGTCCCATTGGTTTCCATGAACGAAAATTAAAAAGATGAAAAGAGAAAAGAAAATTAAAGCAGCAAATGGAGTCCTCCAGACGTGTTTATACCGAAGTCAATTGAGAAGAAGTATATATCCCATTTCAAGGGCGTCTCGTCGCGCCATTTAGCCCTTCCTAATGTCCATGAATCGCAATCTGAAAAAAGGAAAAAAAAAAAGAAAAAAGAAATCCCATTGCAAGGGCTTGACCTCGTCGCGGATTTGATTGGCACTCTGTGATGTCCGTCCTAATTCAAGGTCTTAATCAATTCCACTAGTGTCCATGAATAGACAATCGGGAAAAAGAATAGAGTAAAGTGAAAGAGAAGACATTGACACAGCAAATGACGTCTCATAGACGGCCGTGATGGAAAGTCGGAAAAGACTGCAATACCATTGCATGTAGAGTACAATAGAAATAAAGAAATGTGAGAAAGACCCGGAAAATAAGACGATGGGCCATTTCAAGAGAGGCGACACGCTTAGTCCATAGTAAGGTCGATGCAGACAGACGCGCCAGGACGATGAAGATCATGGGAATCAGATATGTGCTCCCTCTTTGGAGGAAGAGGCGTACCCTGTAAGCGGTCGAGATACTCTCTCATGCAAGGGGCTAGCTTGTTCGTCTTGAGTTCTCTCTTGAGATCCTTCCAACGTTTCATGAATCTCCTGAAAGCCTCTGCCTTTGAGGCCTCAGGCTCTTCCACAGACCTGATGCGCTGCATGAGATAACACAATGGGAGTATTTTATCTTCGTATACGTTAGGTAGAGCGACCTCGATGGTCCTGAACGGGTCTGCATGTGAAGCCTCGAGACCCGTTAGTTCTCGGATTCGCTGGCCCAATGATCCGCTGACTATCCGCACCAATTTCTCCTTGGACAACTGCTCATCAAATTCCTCCAACCATGTCCATGTTTGATCTTCTTTTAGAACAGCGGGTTGAAGTAACTCCACCAGTCTGGCTGGTGTACGTCCTTTGGGCGGCGCCGTGCGTAATGTACCTAGGACTTGGTTCCAGATGACATGACGCATGGCGGGTGCCTTGGAGATGGTCGCAATTACTTCATCAGCAATAGGGGACGGTCCTTGCGGATCAGTCGCAGCGTGAAAGGTGATGTCTTCCATCGCCATTTGTTGAAGCGCTTCTTGAGTTCCTTCTCCATACAATATCTCTGGTGGTTGAGTTTGGAATCTCTCAGCAGATATGACATCGAATCCCACGGCCACGCAAAATCCTCTCTCATTCACAAGAAAGGCGTGTCCAGGCATGACCTTGATGGCCCCTGCTTTAACCGCAATGGCGAGCAGATGTCTTTGTTGGAAAAGGTGAGAACACTGCATAGAAGGTGGAAGAGCCCCTCCGATATCCAACAAAGGGTCTATCATTTCGGAAGGAGGACCCAGACTTCCAAGCACAGCAGAACCGCTGGCAACGGACGCCAAGTCGAGCATCCAAAATCTGCCACATTTGACTTTCTCTGAAGTGATAATCCGGGGGTGGCCATCAAGGCCTTTGACCAAGGACTTTATTGTGCTTTGGTCCTCTCCGAGTGGTTCAGATGTGCCGTGGAAGGAATTGTCTGCCAATGCAGCTGGAATGCATAGGCGAATAGGCTCAAGCGACTCGGAGGTAAGATGCTCGTACGTTGGTGTACCGCAATGTTTCACCGACGGAAGCCCCGTCAGCAGTAGTTCCTCAGGGGTCGGGAACCGGTAAGGCTCAATATGAGTCATTCGTGGCATATGACTGTCTCGCATCATGTGAGGAAGCACGAGGAGCCTATCATTCACATTAATGTGAGAAGACTTGGATCTAGCACCTAGCATTAGGTCTTTGATGCGGGCTTCATCCAGACAATTATTAACAACGAGAGACAAATGACGTCTGTCGGTATCAACAGCTTGTCGAATAAATCGAAAGAAATGGGGATATTCAGCAAGTCCCATTTCTTCTGTCCAACGTAGCCAGTGTGTATAGTACACTAGACACTCCGGAAGAGATGCTGCAGGAACAAGGTATGCAGCTGTGACGCGAGATCCTTCTAGAAGCGCCTTCTCTGTGTTGTATGAAGGCGAGGAGACTGTGTCAAACCAAGCGTATAAAGCTAGATATAGCGACTCCAATGTGAAGAGATCTTGAGAGAATTGTTTAGTGAATTCGTAAAGAATGCTTGTCAACTCTTGTGGGAATTCAAGGGCCTTAACATAAGGGACTGCGTATCGGAAGCCTGAGAGATCAGCATATCCTCGACGCAAGATGGACCCGTCACACAACAACTCAGAATGCCTTGGATTCAGAGGGCTCTCTGCTGCATTCGGGTTCAAGAGTGCGTTCGGGTTAACGACAGCCTCATTGAAGGCTTGCAGGGACAGTGCTTCGTGTTTAGTCACAGGGTTCACACCCTGTCCAGCAAGAAGGGCTTGTGCTGATTCAAGCGTCGAACGGCGGATGGTTGATAGGTCCCGCGAAGATCCATTATAAATCGTCGTGAATGCACCACCGACGCTACTACCAGCCGCCCATTGTTTGATTGCCTTTAGGTTGGCTGGCATTGTGAATGCGAAATGCGGAATAGTGCGACTTCCCGCGATTTGTGTGCCAGGCTCAACCCTGAACTCGTTGCCTTTGAAATTGAAAGAAACGACGTTGAGCCGCGCTTCCGTGCTGGTAGAGTTTGATCGGAGTGGTCTCACAATGACTGGACCGGCCATATACAGAGAATATCCAATATAGGCCCCCGAGATTGCAGGCTGGCTGCGGATTGTGAAGTTCGGATCTGCCGCATGCCGAGCTTCATCCCGTCCATCATTCCAGGCTTCGTCTATGGCGGCTTTGCCATGCGGGGACACAGTCAGGATCCCATGTAGATTATGTGATTGCCTAGGTCTGCGGGGGGCGTCGGGCTTGAACTGAGAGTGGTCATACATGGAACGGGCTCTGGGAAGTACTTTAATGACCTTCCAGGCATCTGGCCGTACTTGTATTGCAGTCTGATTTGGTAGAGATTGAACAAGGTCCCTACCGTTATCATCTCCGATTGTATGAATAGCACCCTGTCCTAAGGGGAAGACAAGCGACAATGTGCCGTCCCTGAATTCGAATATCGAAATGCCCTTGTAATTTATGGTGCTCACTGGTATAGCATTCATGTTGAGCAGCAAGTTCTCGCGTCGGCGTGCAAGCGATAGCAAGCCTGGAATGAGGATCAGTATTTGCGAGACTAATGGGAGTATGTATCCATGTATGACAAGGGCGGAAAGATACCTTCAACGAAAAGAAACGGTCGGGAAGTTGAGGCCCAGCGAAAAGGTGAGATGGCTGTAGAGACGCTTGATTAAGAAGTCGTAGTCGCGAAGGATGTTGGATATATTGTCATAGGCCCCAGGGATAAAATAAAGTCCTTCCAATGGAAAGAAAGAAGTTCTTTGTGAGAGTGAACAGTGAGGTTGAAAGTAGAAGAAGAAGAAGAAGAAGAAGAAGAAGAAGAAGAAGAAGAAGAAGAAGAAGAAGAAGAAGAAGAAGAAGAAGCAGAAGAAGCGCGTAGAAAGTCTTACAGAAATGGGAGCAACGCTACTAGTAGGCAAAATTGCCCATATAAATGCAACCAAAGTTCACAGTCTCTCCTATAACTCACCTGAGTGCTATTTCTACGAGTGAGTGATGCGGCCAGTACCATTGACCGCCCGCAAAAATGTATGAATGGCTATGGTCACTTTCGCCTTGGGTTCTCAGTCTCCCCGCGACTTTTCGTGTCAGCGGGGGCCAACTGCACGCACAGCTTGGTCCTGCAACAATCTGATCTCTGGAGCCATACCGGCCTTTGTGGCGGCCAGCTGGCCCCTAAATGACAGCTGTAGGTCAGGTACAAGCAATAATAATACTCTACTAGGTACCTACCTATACAACCCTAAATGTTAATATCATCTTTCTCTAGTGCTTTGTTACAGCCATGATGGATTTTCAGACTGCTTGCAGACTGGATAAACTAGACTATGAAATTTATATGCTGTAGAATTAGAACGCTACATTTGATTATGCCAAGGACTGACGAATACTTTCGTTTACGTAAAACATAGACAAAAACCTGCGCGATGGGTAAAAGCGACATGACCTTAAGCTGACAGTAGGAATTTTCTATATTCACCATTCTGTCTACTTCGCTAACCACAGAATAGACTGCATTCGTCAGCGCAGGGCAACAATTCGGCCTTTTCTTCTTAATAAACATCGCCAACTCGCAAATTATTATATCTACAAGTCAACTGTTATGCGTTGAAAATGGTTTCCCAATATCTTAGGTCTTGCCCTCTCTATGCATAGAAAGCAATAAGATCAGGGACTTCCATCTAAACCTCTCTAGAGTAGTGGGACCTCCATTCTGATTGGGATGTCCCAAAAAGCTATCTTTCAGCCTCTCTTGCATGCTCGGCAATACCATACAATCAGTGCAGGCGGATCTTCGGTCATTACTGTTGGGTGTGGTATAGTAGCGAACTGGTCGATAATGTTTTTATCAATGAGAATAGCCGCACCTAGGCCGTCCTAGACATGGACATAGATTCACCAATGCGAACGCCAAACGTATCGTCATCATTCCCCACATTGCCATAAGAAGTCCTATAATTATTTTTTTATATGCGTTTTATGTGTACATGTCAGATTACAGAGGATCTTGGCCACGACTAGCTAGCACCTAGGCTTAATCACTACAATGTATTTATAAAGATAAAAATAGTCTTCCAATGAAACCAAGCTGCTCTCCTCTCTAATAATAAGAATGAATTAGCTCCACTTGGTCCTCTATGACTCTTCTTCCAGATACTACTCAGGCTTGTTGCTGCAATAGTACTAGGGCTTACGAAATGCTCAATACTATCCAGCCTAAGAGAGCAACAACTCCAGACCTCATGCATTAGTCTATAACATTGCTTTTTTTATATTCTGTTCGATTCCTAACAAGTTATACCTATCTTTCTAGGACTATTGTATAGCCAGCTGCGGCCCAACCAATACCATTGGCATACGCAGCTAGTGTCTCAAGACGATAGTTACCCGAGCTTACACCCAAAGCCAGCAGCATATGCAACCAGGTCAGGCGTGATGGATAAGAGCTAAGATGCGAAAGAGATTACAAACCGCCCGCAATAGCGTGTTAGCAGGTTTTACAATGCCTGAATCGTTAAAGATACAAGTATAAAGAGCAGGTACGAAGGCCTTCTTAAAGTTTTTGAATACAACCCTTCTGAAATAATCCATCTTGAAAGTCCAAGTCACATCAAGCTGAAATAAATCAGTCCAAGTGCGTATTTCTCTACAACCTCCCAAAGCAATATGGAAGATGAGTCTAATATTGCTATCTATAGAATGCAACTTGCTCAGGGATTCGTCATCGCCACCCTGGCTGTTGGAGCCATAGCCCAGATCAACTGCAGAGGAAGCGCAGCATGTGTCAGGACGTCTCAGCAGAATTCTCAAAATATTCTTAACGCTGTTCAGGGCATCGACACCGGTCGCACGTACCAGAACGGCGAGCGAATTGCTTGTGCGGGTAATATCTGTGCTTTCCTCGAGAATACTGGTGGCATCACCGGAGACCTCATCCAGGAGCTTGTTCAGGACCTTGTCAATACCGGCTGCGCGGTTTGTGGGAGTGTTCCCGTATTTTTCAACTTCGGCGATAACAACAACAATGATCATGGCGTACTCATAATTAATTTTGTTACTAACACCTCTGGCTGTAGTGGCCTTTGCTAAAGAGTCACGGTGCTGCCACATAATGTATTCCGGGATACGACTTTATATAGACTGGTTCCGGACAGTACTGGTGGTAGTTGCAGATAGCTTAGACTCGGCAATAGATGGAATTTCCTCTTTAATTCAACTATATTTCTTCATGATTAATAGACATCTATTATACTATGTAATAATCGTTGCTCGAGTTCTAATGCAAGGCATACTTAAACTATTTTATTATAGGAACTCTTAAGGGTAATTTCAGCTGAGTAACTCGTAAATTCTAGTTTAAAAACGACGTCCACACTATTGTTGGAGAATATGCCACCTCATAGAGCTAACATGCCCATGTGATACCTCACATACAATTAGCAATTTAAACTGCCATCCAACGTATCATAACAATCCCGTTTAGATCTGCATCTCCAAACCCGACTGCCTCGGCGTGTCGGCTGCATTGGTCTTTTAGAGCGCGGGTTAAACGGAGGCCAAAGCAGTGGCCGTATACCAGGCCCATCCAGTTTTTCTGTCATGGAGCCGTCTCTATAATTACATATCAGGCTGCATCCTACCTTATACAGGCACCTATTGGAATAAACCGCGTGAGTGCGGCTCTCCAATATGGTTGTAAGCGTACTTCGTTGGGCACCCAAACTATAACCTTACATCATCGCGGAGAACATCAATCTTCAGGAAGATGTGGTTGAGTTTACGTGGACAACGGGCGAGACCAAAGTGCTTGCTAAGTCGTGGTCAGACCTCAGACCACCCTGCTTGTGTAGTGTGGCAGGAAGTAGCTGAATTGGCCAAAGAAATGCCCGACCATCCAATCATACCCAAACTAGCTCAAATTCAGGCTATCTGCCAAGATCAAGAGTATTCTGGCGTGGCTGGGGCTGTACATATCCGACTCGATCATTTGGGAGAACTCGATCAAAGGCATCCAAGATCGCTTGAACTGCATCAATAGTGAACAAAAAGTCATCCACCAAGACATCAAAATGTGGACAGCAACGTGATCGGACTTTACAAGAACATTAAGATACTCGGCGAGGGCTTGCAAATACTCAACAAGAATTTGAACAACAACGCCAAAAAGGTTGACCAGTCGCGAAAGTGCGGTCGCAATAAGGGTACCGTCAAGCTCAACACCAAGGTCGATCCCAAGGGTGGTAACCAAGGCAGTGTTGAAAATGATGCCATGGTTGTCAACGAAAACGACGGCGAAAACGATCGTGAAGACGATAGTGAAGACGATAGCGAGGACGACAACATGGGCATCCATCCTTTTTCAGAATGGATCACTCCAACTCTGAGAGTATGATTAAGATTCAAAGACAGCGTGCCGACTATGCGATAGCTGAAATTATAACGGACGGATGAATAGTCAGGGGGAATCTATTGAGGACGGAGAACTGGTTCTCTGTGTATCACTATTACATATGGGATAATCGCACCGTTTCTTTTCATAGTTTATCATTTCGGCAGATGCTACAACTAGATACAAAGACTTTAATGCTTTTCATATACAAGTGTTCTATATAAGTAGGGCGACCGACGTATTATTTTGCAGCGACTTTCGCGAACTGGGTAAAGTTTCCTTATTAGTCTTCCTTTTGGACACCGATTTTCTATTGATCGTTTGAGACAAATAATCTAGTTCTACAGTCTCATATAGTCATGATACTATCTTTCTCACGGCATAACACGGCATAGTGGTAAACTGGTGAACCGAGCCTGTAGATTGACAGGTTTCTTCTCAGCTTGGATCCGATGGACTTCTGGCTGAGGTTGGAAACACTTGGGGTTGCAAGGAACAGTTAGGCAAATTGGACAGCGGCTGGCCCATCAAACGGTCCACGAGGCCTGTGCTACGTTGATAGATATATCTGCTATTTCTTGAGCCTCAGGCCTACAGAGAGACCAAGTCTTTTATATGCCGTTATCGACGACTATTTACGTGTACAATCCACGGCCTTTTCTTCTTTCAATGCAACTCCTTGCATGATATATGTCCAAAAGTTATCACCACACATGCATTTATCTGGGGCTATTCGTATATAATATTACCAAATATTGTGAAAACAGGAACATAGCTAACATATGTAAAGTTAGATGGAAATGGACCACATGACTGCATAAGACATGTAATCTCTAGCAATAGCTTCATTTGCCAAGAATAGCTAGGTAGGCATTACCAGCCCAATCTCCACCATTCACCGCAACGTATGGGGTGAGTATCAACTCCTGCAAAGCGCCCTTCTATAGCAAGTCAACTAACGTAAGCATTGGAAGACTGTGTGCCACAGGCCGAGCCTCCTTTATCTAGGCTGCCGTCTTTGGAACCCTGGTTAATTGTATGTCTGCCAAAAATGCATTGTGTAATATGAATTACCTCGTTTTCCCGTCTGATTATGGGCTGCTTCGAAGGCTTCGAAGGCCTGCTCAGGGGATGTATGCTTTCCATTAGAATTTTTTGCTGACTTCTTTGACCCATTGTGTAAAAGAAAATGCAGCAGCTGAATTGACACGGATTTTGTAGCAGCAGACACGACCCCAGAGGGAGGAAGCAAGGCTAGGGTGGTCAAAAAAACGAGAGTGAAGTGAAGCATTATATCTGTATCAGATCAAGTTCGAATCAAAGCAGCCACGAAATATGTAGATTGGCAAGTGTTATTCACTGGCGGGCCTCGCTTATTTACATGTATACTTTGCTTGCTGGTCTTAGCTTCGCTGCAGCATCATGAGCGTGTTCTTATCTCGATGTCAGTGGTCCAAATTGTCAGGACGCAAATACATGCCCTTTCTACCCATAACATATACATAACATGATACTATTTCGCGGCGGGACATCTCCTTACGGCAAGTTCAAGTAGCTATGGGTATGACAGGCTCTCTCTCTTTCATAAGTGGTAGCGCAGGAGTCACCCTTTCCAGTCAAATAGCATTGGCTACAATGCTCGTCGATCATGGTGCTATACAATGTGCCACACCACACAGCGAACAGCTTCATTGTCTCCCAATTTGGAAGACGGATAGGCTGAACGATGCATCATTGCTCAGGGGCTAGATTTGGATCGGGATTAATTTCCGATGGAGTACTATATATAGCAGAAATTTTTCACATTATTGAGAATTGCTGTCTCTTCATCCCCTGTTTTCTAAAACTCTCTTTTTTCTCTTGAGTGTCAATATAGAAGGGATTTTCTCCTGGTCTCACTGTGAGCCATGGCTGAGGAGAGACATTAAAGGCACTGCATCTGCTACTGCATACTAGTATGTACTAGTATCTAACTATTAATATAATAGGTTTATCTCCATTGTGCATTATAAAAAATTTCTGGCTCTGTCTATCAGAACAAGTTACCTTTTATGTCGTAAGTTAATAAAGAATACTTACAATACTCATACGTATTAGCTCATTGAAAATTCTCTTATGGTAGGGTTTTGTGCTGATATAAGAGAACAAGAAGAAGAGAAAATAAAAGGCATGAGCACGCCTCCTCATGCTTTCCTTTTTGAATTAAGTGGTGGAAGAATTACGGCGGTAGTGGTACTATCAATACGTGGACAATCAGAGTATTTCATAGTATCAAAATATTAAAGCTGAAGGCGATTTTCCAATGAATCCGCAACAAGAGACAATGTCTCCCCCACCACATGAACAATCTCAAATACCTGGATCCCTTTGCATGTCTCTGCCCAGAGCCTTAGTGCAGCTATAGCCAGGCGTCGGATACGGTGAGGGTAATCGTCCTTTGAGCCTAGGAAGCCCTCCAGATGCGTCTCCTCAATTAGCCGCTCGATAATAGACAGCAGCCGTTTCTCCTCATCTCGAAGACTTCCAAGCCCGTTAGAAGATACCAAGTGAAAGAGGTTTTCGAGCCAGTGGCTGAGCAGGAGCGCACATGCAAAGTTGCTAATAGCGTGCTGAACACTCCAATGCCCAGTTCGGCCGCGCGCGACAAATGCAATTCCAACCCTCACTGGTATCCTCAATGCGCAGATGGCATGAAAGACTGCCTGATCTAGATGAGGGCACCGGAGTGGAATGGGGTTCTGATTGGGTTCAAATGCCTGGGCGACAATCCTCGGATCGCGTGAGCGGAGAGCGCACTGGCTCTGGAGGCCAACTGCGAGATGGACGTGAGCCAAGCGTAGAATGGCGGTGGAGTTGAATGCCAAGGGGCCATAAGGAGAATTTGGATCAAGAGCAGAGTCAATGGCTGAATCCCAACATGACTGCCAGGCGCCAAAGGCGTTCTCGTAGAGTGAAATGGTGGCTGATGATAGGCTCGACGATGAAGTCAATACCGCAGACGCTGTCTGGTGTTCGAAATAGACTTGAATAAGCAAGCTTTGAACAAGCATGTAGTTTCCGAATTCTGTAGCTGAGTCTTCTTTGGCGAGCGGCTTCCCGGATAGCAACTGCTGAAGACAGAGTTGGAAGGCTGGTTGACAGGAGTTGCTCTTTTGCCGCAAGCTAAGCCACGCGTTCGAATTGGGGGCTTTGAACTCTGCTTCCGAGGATGGAAGGGGAATCTTGACCTCTGAGCTGGTGATTTGAGGTGGTACATTGAAGCAGATAGTGAGGATGTTGATGACAAAGTAGGCAGAGAACAAAGTGCGTCGCCTCTCTTCTTCACAAGCCCACGATCTCCAGTCGTCCGCTGCAATTTCTGGAACTGGATATTTGAGCGCTTCGCGAGTCAGCTCGGTAAGTTGACTGCTCATGGCAAGTGCATCTTGTGCAAGCGGCCCATCAAGCCAAGACATGGTAAGCACAAGCACTAACAGAGACTGAAGCAGTTCAGTATCGACGGGACCGGACGTTGCGGGTTGTGGTGTCTCCCAAGACTGCGCACGGGTTGCATCAGGGGAACCAGGAGGGAGCCCGGCGTAGCGTGGAAAAGTTCGAAGCAAGTGCAAAGTAGAGGCTCGGCGACGTTTCTCGAGCTCGTGGGTAATGACAGACTTGGCAATAAAGTACATGGCATAGCCGTGCGTGTGCTCAAATCCGTAGAATGACCCGGTAGCGGCAAGAGTCAATACTAGCATTGGCTTCTTGAACTCCAAGCAGGTTGTTGGCATATGGATGAACGGCAGATGAGGATGAAAGCTCCGCATCCAGCTCGCAACATTTCTAGATAATGTCTGCCGGCTAGGAAGTGTGAATGGTTCCGGTAACACACCGATGTGCTTTTCGACTTCAGCAGTAAGCTTTTCGTACGCTGTCGCAGACACCGTCCATGGATTCGTTGTCGCGATGTCGTCAATGTCGTCGAGTGATCGGCTGATTGTATCTTGTGCTTGGTTTGGATGATTTGGCATCAACTGAGTCGTAGGAGTCTTGATCTGTGATGGCGTCATTTCCATAGTCGATACATCAAGACCACTAGACTCTAGAGCTGTGGGAAGTGGCTGGGAGCTGCCGTAACTGTTGGAAGCATCCTCAATCATTGGCTGTTGATAGTCCATTGGTGGAAATACATCCATGAGATATCCGCTTATCATTTCCGGTTCATTGGCAAGAAAGTCAATATCGAAAAGCTGGAGCGGTACAAAGTTAGAATCAGCCTCGATGGTGCTATCCATGTTAACATCATCGCGAGCCGCAGCAGCACCGCTATCGTAGGGGAGATAGTTTGAATGTTGATCCTGGCTGGGCAGATTCAGGTCGCGTATTGAAAACTTCCCCATGAGCTGCTTCTGAGAATATTCAGCGGATGCATTATTGTTTATCGTGGTGGCTGATTCTGCAATGGCATTCCGCGTCGCAGGTGTCTGGATAATGAATTCGGGGTTGACGCGCTCAAAGACAAATGGTGCTCCAGCCTCAGGATCCGGATTATAGGGAACGGGGGATAGTCGTCCATGGCTGCTGTTGGAAAATGAGGGAGAGATTACAGCAGGCTGTGTGGGAGATGTCTCATAGATGATTTTAGGCGGCGGATCGGATTCTTGTCCTCCGCTAACTGCGGTTTGAGATGAGCTTTCAGCCAGGCCTGAGCATTGAGACAATCGACGATGGCGATTTAGGAGATCTCTAATGGTAAATAATGAGAACCTCAATTGTCCGTTCCAAAATGGCTGGACAATGACCTACAGTCTTGTAAACGTGCGGCCACAGGCACAACCAAACGGCCTCTCCCGGGTGTCTAGACGGGACTCAGCATCGAGCCAAGGTGATTGTGTGCTTTTGATACATACGCGTGCGAATATGCCGTTCTAGGTGCTCCTGTCGCTTGAATTCCTTGTTACAGTATTTGCACAGAGCCACGCGGAATCGAGGGCGGCCTTTCATGATGCAACATGTGTGGGGCAGGCTGATGAGACGTCGGAGTGGATACGATTAGGTGCAACCACAATGCTATACGGCAGATTATAACCGCACAGGATGAAGGTGATGAGAGCGGTAGCAAGCAGTTTATCCCGTAATGACCCAATGAAAGGGTGTATGTTGTAGATGAAGAGCTGAGGATAGAGGTTGGGAAGACCGGGCCGGTCGAGGCACGTGACGAGTGATAGCTGTTCCTCAGCCGGTTGGGGCCAACCACCCACTAGCCGGCGTGCTGCATGTTATCAAGCAATAGGTGATAGCTCGATGACATATCACAGTTATCCCGATGGAAGTTCCCGGGATTGGTCTACATGAACCTTGTACTTGTTGAAATGCTATACGAGCAAGCTGATTCAGGTATCTTGACATGGTTCAATTCTCAGCGTCCTCATTACTATGTACGTGTACTCGTCTCAATCTTGCCTCCGCCCCTCCACAACTGGAGTCCCAGGGCTGACTACACTTCCCGGCGGTTGTCTGATCTTCGTTACTACAGCGCCAGCCTGAGCATCATCGACAAGCAGACTAATCTCCATCTTCATTGCTTCGAGTACCGCTACTGTTTGGCCCTTTTCCAGCACATCACCAGGCTTCACCAGCACTTTCCACACGTTGGCATTGATAGGCGATTCGATGGAAACGGCATTGGCAGAATCAGCGGCATCACCCTCAGCAGCTGCAGCATCGTTTCTTGCACTCTTTTCTGCTGTCCACTCCTCAAACAGACGCTGTTCAAGCTCTCCCACCTCTTGGGCTGCTTCAGCTTGACGCTGCCTCCAGGCCTGATACGCGGGATCCTTGGCAGCTGCTTCGAATTTGGCAATATACTTGTCCATATCCAACGTCGTATGTGCAATGTCAAATACATATCGACCTGTCTCAAAATCTCGCTCGATCTTTTCGTACTCCTCCTCAGAGACCTCATAAAACTTGATTAAATCGAGATGGTTAAACAGCCAAGGCCGCTCAGCAGTGAAACCAGGGCGATTTCCCGCCCCATCCCATCCGCCCAATGTGCGGCCCATTAGCTGGTATCCTCCTGGTGCAGCAACGGGATAGATGGCCACCAGTGAGCCGCCAAGGCCAACGGATCCGCTGGGTGTATAAACCCGACTTGGATTGTACTTTTGGCAGGTTAATGAGTGCCAAGGGTCAAGCGGGAACAACATTGGTGTTCCAACGTAGAAGCCGACGGCGACTGCTAGCCACGGTGTCTTGAGAAGCGCATCAAACACTCGCTGGCGGGTTTCGAGTGCATTATTCTTGCGAATATATTCGACATTGTCTGGCATGTAGGCGGCCGAAGGTCTGATGTTCTCCATGTACCGTTGCGCAGACTCTTGCAGTGAAGAGTGGTCAAGGCAAACGGGGAGCCGTACTTCTCGAACGGGTATCTCGATGCCTGTAGTCTGCTCCATTTGGTTATCGAACTGAATAAGTTGTTGAAGAAGTTTGGGCCGGTCTATCTGGGACGGGTCGAAGCGCACAGTGACAGAGGCGAAGTTGGGATCTCCGCGCACGCTCGGTAGATTTGCATTCGACAGCTGTGTGACGAGAAAGTGTACGCAAGCAGTATTGCGCAGATCCGACACCTGATTGCCGTATTCGACAATGATGCTTGTATCTCCTCCTTGGCGATATGTTACCCGCGGATGGCTCCCATGGGATTGCTTCTGGTGTAGAATTGAAGACGAGCTTTCATCGGTGAGCTCGATAACGAGAGGAGACACCTGGCCTGCGTTTCCCTGCGAAAACGCTGCAAGAGCTTGAAAAAAGGCATCTTTTCTCCTCGAAATGTCAAGGGCATTTTCGTAGGTGACAGCACGGAATCGTATAGTGTTGCCAGGCTTTACCTGGCCAAGCTTCCACATCTCGCCGGAGCAGACAGTCGTCGGACATACGAAACTGCCCAAGTCTGGACGATCAGGCCCAAAGATGATGGGAAAGTCTCCTGTGAAATTGACGCCGCCATTCGGATAACCATAGTCGAGCACGTTGGATGGATGCGATCCGCCGTCACCGCCGGATGCTCGAGCCCACTTCAATCGCGGTCCTTCTAACCGGATACCGCTTCGGCTGCTGTTGTGACTGACCGTCCAGTTGGCCTTGTACAATGTCGCATGGCCCTCAGGGGTCAGGACGTCTTCGGAAGCGTACGGGCCGTCAATACAGCAAATAGTTACATTTTCAGTGAATTCGGGTATGACATTTGGCGGCAAAGACAAAGGCGTGGCTTCTGTGGCCCAGATTCTGGACTGTGGAGATAGATTAAGGATGTCGTGAATTAAGAGCTTGCGTCCTTGTACGCCTCCAAAGCCGAGCTCCGGAGCTGTGCATTTGGAGCCAAGAAACTTGGGGACCTGCGGAAACCCGCCTTTGACGGCAAGATATGTTCGGAGGCCGTTGCCAGTCACCTTGCCGAGCTCTAGTGTTTGAGATTTCCTGATGATGATTCTTGACCACATGGGCTGAGGTGCGCCATCGAGAGTAATAGGCAGCTCTGCACCACAGACTGCCACAACAGCTGCTTCATGGAACAACAGCTTTGGACCAGATATAGTGAGCTCCAATAACTCGACTCCAAAGTCGTTGCCGACCAAAATATTTGCCATTTGAGCACTGACATCGTCCATGGGGCCGCCCGGGGGGACTCCGTGTCCTACCGCAATACGGCCAGGGTAGTCCTGAATTGTTGTGGAAACGCCGGGGTCGATTACTTGCAATGAACAGCTATCAAATTTGAACGTTGATAAAGAATTCGTCAATGTATTACCACTCGCAAACATGTCAGACTCAAGAATCCTTGAACAGTATTCCAAATTGGACTGTGTTCCTTGAAGAGCCGTGTCAGCCAGTACCGCAAGCATCTTCTTTTGGGCGGCGACACGACCATCAGGGCTATACGCCATGACCTTTCCAATTAATGGATCATAGAGGGGCGTTATCCTCTGGCCACTTCGAACCCATGTATCGACTCGCACTCCTTCGCCCTCTGGCCAGTATACGTGTTGGAGGACGCCAGGGCTAGGGGCAAAGTTACGAAGCGGTACTTCGGCATACACTCGTGCCTCGATTGCTGATCCCAGTGGCTTGGGCCTTCCGAGGCTTTTCAGGATATCGGATGGAATTCCAATCCGACCACCGAGTTCATAGTCAGCTTGTCGCAGCATGAGGTGTACCAGATCAACTCCATAGCACAGCTCGGTGATTCCATGTTCAACCTGTAATCGCGTATTCATCTCGAGGAAGAAGAAGTCGGCTGTCTCATCATCCACCAGAAACTCAACCGTGCCCACGCTCTTGTACTTGAGCTGCGACGCATAGTTGACGGCTGCCTGAAGCATCTTTTCGCGTAGGCCAGGGTGACGCTCCACAAAGGGGCTGGGACACTCCTCAATGACTTTCTGATGCCGCCGCTGCAGAGAGCACTCACGCTCTCCAAAGGCGACCACAATCTCTCCGTTGCCGGCGACTTGGACCTCGATATGGCGTGAATTCGGATAGTACTTTTCCAAGAAGACTCCGCTATTCTTGAAAAGCGTGGTAGCGCGGCTCTCAACCATGGCGAATGCTTTTTCAACGTCTTGTTCACTGTAGCAGATCTGCAATCCCATACCACCACCTCCACCGGTGGCTTTCAGCATGACTGGACACCCCAAGCGCTTTGCAGCGGCTACGGCAGCCGCGGCAGATTCCAAGAGCCCTGTGCCTGGAATTACCGGGACTTTTGCAGCTTGGGCAATAGCTCTGGCCTCATGCTTGAGACCCATGGCATTGATGGATGCTGAGGAGGGCCCGACGAAGATAATGCCGGCAGAAGAAACGGCCTCTGCGAATTCGACATTTTCACTCAGGAAGCCGTACCCAGGGATGATGGCGTCTGCATTCGTCCGTTTGCAAATGTCCAGAATGGCCTCGCTTTTGAGACAATATTAGCAACACAGACACTCATTACGAACAATGCTGTACTTACCCATTCGTGTAGGCTGTGCTGTCCTCGCCCGGTAGCAGAACTACCTCGTCTGCTAACGTGGCATGTAACGAAGTTGCATCAGCATTTGTTATGATAGCGACGCTACCAACTCCCAATTCACGGCAGGCCTTGATGCAGCGGACGGCAATCTCGCCTCTATTGGCCACCAAGACCTTGCGAATGTTACTCAGCGAAGTTAAGTCGACGGAGCCCATATTGCCGGCAATGGGAGGCAACTTCGCGTAACGAGGTTAACACGAAATAGCATTTTGAGTGATGGGATAGGATCTAAGTGGCTTCTAGATGATATATATGAGCCTGAAGCTTCAGGGGCCTAGATTTCCTGGAGCTGCGTTACATCAGAATGGATGGGGTAGTACATGGCTGTGTCCAGAGCTACTCGTTCCTGTTACAGTTAGATTTTCTACCCCAGCGCGGGGTATATTGCGGGGTATCCGGAATAGGAAATTCGATCATTCTGTCTAGTCCCCGAGGAGCGGCAAGCGGGAAGGGATAGACTAACAGAAAGATAAGACAACTTAGTCCATCTCCTAGCTCGTGTAATTCTAATCTATGTGCAAGGAGAGAACGAGGTTCGAGGGAGGAAGGTTTGCTAGACCACGCAGCTTGTCACATCTGCTGATTCTATCAGCTTTTAGTATACTGATTTCTAGAGGTATAGTTGGTATACAACAGTGATTTCCATCATACGACTACTATACGCAAGACTGAGGCAAATTACTTGAACTTAATTGACAATAGACACGATAGAATGTAGTCATAACATGAAAATATGAACACTAAACACAATTCACACCATCTTCGTCTTAGATACATCCATCCGCCATACGGCGTCATTTGAGTGTCAGAACATGCAGATGAGCAACTAATAAATCGTCCAATGAAACATGAGGTTAATGAGCACTTGCACCATATCGCTCAACAAGGTTCCAATATGATCGTGCGGTGCGACGTCGCAGAGATTTACCCACGAAAATCATCACAATAGCTGTGCACCATACTGCTAGGCCCAAGATGGCTATGAGTACAAACGCATAACGAAGCGATAGGTTGGTAATCATGGGGACAACAGCATATCCGAAAGCAAAGCCTAGTAAAGTCAGTCTATTATCGTAAAAAGCGAGTGGCAGCGCGAATGAACATACCCATCATGTTGCGAATCAGAATGGCCGAGACTAGGCCTTCTCCTGCAACTTCTTTGTAGGTATCAAGAATGTATGTGAATGCGAGATTGGCTCCCATCGGGAGCGTAATGGAGATCAAACAGAGGCCAAATACAACTCCGAACCAATGGATATGATAGGATGCACCTACTCCGTAGAGAAGACATCCGGCTGGATGCATGACAAGCGCAATAAGACTTGTCCAGAGTCGCTGCTCAGGCTCCATAACGCCACCATTCCGACGAGCAAGACGGAGGGCGAGGGTATCGGCCATCCATCCTGAGAGAAAGCAGCCGATAGTGACTCCAGCAACGCAGGAAAGGTACGTAAGACCGATAGTGTTCGCAGAGAAGTTGTACGGCGCATTACCAAGGATCAGTGCCAAGGATCCGCCAACGACATTATACCAAGCAAGAATTCCACCTACAAGTAGGCCGCCAAAGGACATACCGGGAAACATGAACAGTAGCCGAATTGGTAAGAAGAAAAGCCTAAAAGTGCTGGGCTGTCGAGGGTCGCGGAACCCCCAGAACTTCAGTTTCTGTAGGTATGTCTTGGTGCTCTCTTGCTCATCAAATGCAGAAGGCTCAGAAGGCGAGATAGATTGTGAAGCACAGTGATCTTCTCGATCTAATGACTTCTCATTGGTCTTTTTGTCTGATGCGTCCGCGGTACTGCTTTCGACATCTCCAACAATGTTGGTAGTCTTTACTGGGCTGATGCCCGGTGTGTAGCGCTCGTTGCTGGCAAGATGATCACGATAAAACATTGTTTCTTCAAAGAAGAAGAATGTAACAACGGTAACACCTGCGCCGATGAAAGTCAAGATGTACTGGATCCAGCGCCATCCAAGCTCCTGTGCGACATAGCCAGAAGCCACAGGCGTGAGGAAGGCACCGCACCACAAGGTCCAGCTATAGGCACCCATAAAGAAGCCTCGATCATGGGTGAAGAAAAGATCTCCGACGATGACCTCGATAAGCGTCTCTTGGGGCGAGGCAGCAATACCGAGAAGGATGCGGTTGGCGAAGAATTCTCCCCTTGATTTGACGTACGCAGTCCAAAGAGATACAAGGGTGGTCATGATGATGGACACAAGAAGTGTAAGACGCCGGCCATTGCTCAGTGCAAGGCATTGTGTGATCATGGTTCCCCAGCCCAAGAAGAGGAAGAGAATACCATTGCCAGTACTCAAGTCTGCGATTGAGATGCCAGTGTCCTTTTCAATCAAGATGTACGCAGGAGACAATCCTGAAATCATACCAGCGACGAAAAAGCACCACACCAAGGCACAGATGATATTTCTCGTCTTGCGTGAGGCGACCCAGCGAAGGGGATCATCAGGGTCATTGGTTGGCTGGGGAACAAGGACGATATCTTGAGACTGCTGGCCATGCTTGACATCAAAGACGCCTTGGGCATCAACAAGCTGGACAGTCCCCGGAATGAGGATTTCGGACGCCATTGGAACGAATTGACAAAGATTTAAAAATAAGGGAGAAAGGTATGTTTTACGATATTGATAGAACTCAAATATTGGTTCAGGTTATAAAAATAAATTAAAAGCAAGTTAAAGAATTTGAAGGTATTGCATTCTCATTCTGTCCTGGAGGTCTTCTAGATGCCGTGTGATGAAGAAGGAGAAATGATCAGGTTGTAACGTATTAGTGTTGACCATGGGCTCTTATCAGCATTTTGTAACCCCTTCCAGCATCCTAGGAGATTAAGCGGTTTACGATAAGAATGGTTGCCATGACTTTTTACCCCAGACTTTCAATAGCGTGTCTCCTGATCCCTAGAGGACCAGACTTGAAGCCGCAGCGCCCTACCCCACATGATAGCCTAGGGACCCCGAATTTGTTTAGTCTCGACCCCCAGGCAAACTTCAGTGCCTTTGCAAGCTATTGGGTAAGGCTTGAGAAACTATGGCTGAGGCTAGGACTTACACGTTGCTCGGTGGAAGAATATTCATCAACAGGGATTCTTTTCGCATGGGAGGCCTGATATGTCTGCAGAACGCTATCAGATTTTTCATTGCCTAGGCGACCGAAATCCCTTGTAGTATTGGAATGGTGATTACAGTTATTAAGTCAAGATGTTTATATATGAAATCAGGGCGGATGGGGTCCGTTTCGAGCATTTATACTTGAAAACATATTCTATATATTCAATGTTCAGAGCAGTCATTGCTTGTCTTTTGTCTACGGCGCATGATTGACCTGGCTAACTTCCGACGCAAACTTGGTCCGATTTGCTTCATCAACTGCTTGGCGTACTACCTTTGCGTTTTGAAGGACTGTAGGCACATCAGAGTGAAGACAGATGCTAAAGGGCTTGCCGTCGAAGCCAAAGCTGAACTTATCCCCGTTGATGTTCTTCCCACTATCAGTCATAGTCGCTCCATATGCCCGCTCATAACAGAGTTCTGGTGTAACCTGTTGAGACTGTGCCACAGGCACAAGTTTTCCTTCTGGCGAATAGTCTATGTCGACATACACTTCTCCTTGGAATGGAATGCCCAACTCCTTGCACATCGCCTCTTGTTCAGGATTTTGCGAGGCATAGACGGGCACTTTGAAAATCGCACATGCCTCCAAAACAGCTCTCATGATGCCCTTGTCTCTTTGCATGTAAAAGAATAATTCTCCATGAGGCTTGATGTGGGACAGCTCTACGCCCTCAGCATCTAGCATGGCTTTGAGAGCACCGACTTGATAAAGAACCATGGCATACATGTCGTTGACGTCGATTTCCATCTTCCTCCGACCGAAGCCGAATAAGTCCTGTAACCCAGGGTGAGCGCCGGCTCTAACGCCGTGCTTTTTGCAAAGACGAATAGTTTTGAGCATAATGGAAGGATCACCGGCATGGAAACCGCAAGCGATATTTGCGGCATCAATGAAAGGCATCAACTCTTCGTCAGGGCCCTGGAAGTCTGTGTTAATGAGAAATACATAGCTAGACCAAAGAATGTGTAAACTTACCATCTTCCATCGTCCAAAACCTTCGCCCATATCGGCATTGATTTCATACTTGCGAGCGAGTCCATGCACCATGATTGCGAACTGAGATAACGCTAAAAAATCCTGGAAAGACTTGGGAATAAAGATGCTGATGATGTAGGCGATTCTTAGTGCGGCGAAGAGTGATTTTTCAGTGGCTTCTGGGGCTCAATGCGGATATCCGTGAATGATGCCTCCATGGCCACATCCCATCTGTATTACCAATTACATCACCCATCTTTCATCCCCCGGCCTGCATTCCCCAGACGGTGATGCTGCTGATGGGGTAGTGGATGGTGGCGGCGGGGTAGGTGGCATTTGGAGTAGTAGGACGGGGGAGTTGGAGTAATTGAAAGGGGAAATTGGGGAGGAATTTCCAAAAAGGGAAATTACCGAAAAGGGAAACGCAATAGTGGGAAATAATGAGAAGTTGTGATATGACGGTTTCTAAGTCATACGCTGCTCTAGCTTTAATTATGGTGATGCTAGTAATTCAAGAATCGAGTTGGAGGCGAATTAGTTTTAGAGTTTTAATATGTAAGCTCTACTGACTATCTCTGGACGCACTCTGGAAAAAAGCATTAAAATCTGTCTTTGCGAATGCTCATTGAGCTCCAGTTCCAGTTGAATCCGACACCAACTCAATTATACTATCCTCATTCATAAACTTTCACCATGGGCGACATCCCGCAACATCAATACTCAGACTTTCGCAGTGAAGTGGTGGCTGGTCTCCCTTTCTTCACGCCAAAGCAGAGAGTACCAGTCGGCACCGCGATTCTCGATCCCAAGAACGGCGTTACTGCAGATTCAATCACCCCTGCCTTCCAGCCAATCACTATCCGGGGCAACACGTTCCAGAATCGCATATGGGTCGCCCCAATGTGCATGTATAGTTGCCAGAATGGCATGTTTAGCGACTTTCACGTGGCCCATTATGGGCAATGGGCCATGAGAGGGTCTGCTTTGATCCATTTGGAAGCAACCGCAGTGACAGCCAGAGTAGGATCGCTCTCTACTGATCGGTAAATTTGCATTAATTCATGAAATAGGGTCGTAACACACCTCAGGATGCCGGCCTCTGGTCTGACGCCCATATTGCGCCTCTAAAACGAATTGTCGACCTCATCCATTCGCAATCTCAAAAGGTCGCAATCCAGCTCCAGCACGCCGGTCGCAAAGGCAGCGTCACTCCACCATGGCTGGGTCTCCGTCTCGTTCCTGATGAATTTGATGGGTACGCCAAACAAGTTCAGGGCCCTACTGCCGAGCCCTGGAATGAGAACTACGCAACCCCTGGAGAGATGTCAGAACACGAGATCCTTGAGACCATCGAAGCTTACGGCCAGGCCGCTCGCAGGGCTGTCGAGGCTGGAGTTGATGTGATTGCTGTTCATGGTGCTCATGGATATTTGTTGCACTCGTTCGCGTCACCTGCGGTAAGATCATAAGTCATATTCATCAAGTTATGGTTAGAGGTAATGCTTACCATGGTGAGTAGACCAATAAACGAACAGACAAATGGGGTGGAAGCTTTGAGAACCGCGTCCGAATCGGCCTGGAGGTGATCCGTGCTATACGACGTAACATTCCAGAGAAAATGCCCGTATTTTGGAAGATCTCAGCTGTGGACTGGCTGCCAAAGGGAGAAGGATGGGAGTTGGAAGATACTCTGCGATACATCCCTATCCTTGCTGCAGAGGGCGTGGATCTTTTTGATGTTTCAAGTGGAGGCACCGATCGGAGACAACAGGTTCAGCTTGGCCAGCAATACCAGGTCCCCTTCGCCAAGGCTGTCAAGGACCTCAAGCTGCCAAACGTATTCGTAGCTGCTGTTGGCTGGATTCGAGATGCCGACACTGTTCACGATGTATATTTCTTCCCTCATTAATCGTTTTATGTGTTTGATGGCTGACTGACTATTCACGATAGATCTTGAGCAATGGAAAAGCCGATGTTGTACACGTCGCACGAGAGTTTCTGCGAGATCCCAACTTTGTCCAGCGGGTTGCACTCGCTACAGGGACTGAAGTCACCTGGGTTGATCAGTATCACCGCGCTCCTAGTATGTGCCCATCTTGAAGCTTCTCAAGTTCAGTTTGACTAACATAGACTTTTAGTGAACAAAAAGTATGTTGAGTCTACGACAACCATTACGACAGACGCCAAAGTGTCGAAAGATGTAATTCGATCGCACGATGCCCAGGTATCAAACAAGCTAGCTTCTCAGTAAGATGAGACCTTAGGCTATATTAAGCTTTTTATTCAGAGACGCTGTAGTGTTAGAGCCAAATTGCATATAAATAAGAGTCGACGGTCAGGACGATAGATTGCCATTCTTTCGATAAAAAAGATGATTGCCTGTCAGGGATACGGGGCGGGAGATTCAGCTTCCAATCGTGCGGTAGAGTGAAATAAGACAAAATCAGATCAATCACCAACTAGAACAGAAGCATTTGCTTGAGTGACTGCCTGACTTCGGATGAAAAATAAATCGTTCGCCCCCCTGGCGGGCATCCACAAAGGCTCGAGCGCCTATGCGAATTCGTTGATCGCTCTAGATGTAAGCACAGCCCACTGCTGCGGATGACTTGAAAACTCCCCACACGAAGCATAGCGCCACGAGTTGGTCTAATGGTGTGAGAATGATAAAAAATGAGCTTTGATGTATATTATATAGATGGCTCTTCAAAAGCGAAAGCGAGAATGGTGAAGATGATATTGCCCCAAATGAAGGACGAACAAGTGGCTTGAGCCACCTGAGGAACAATAGGAAAATAAATAAACTTGTGTTTTACGTTACAAAGCTCTTTTTGTATCGATGTTACAAGGGAGCTCTTTTTGTAATGATTATGTTACAAAGGCTCTTTGTAATGATGAGGTGATGTAGCTATAGTATCTCCGCCCAGCCAATGGCGTAGATGAGATCTGCAATGAGGCTCTCCCGACCCGAGCTGATACCCGACCCGAACTGATATGCACCTATCAGCTCCTACGTTGGTACAATTGCATCTGCGCGGCCGCTCAGCCTCCACAGCCTGACTTAAGTTTCTTGTTCGGTCAACCTTATAGGTGGCGGGTAACAATCCAGATCTTAGTCTAAAGGAACAGTGTTGGGACGGTAGCTGGTCCGAAGGTAAGAGGCATTCATGCTATGTTATTTTCGGAGCCTATTAGATACTGACCCGATGACCTCAGGCGGTTTCAACCCTGGAGTCGCACTCAAGAGCTCTTCTATTGCTGCTACTTCTTGGGATTCGTCTAGAGATGGATTACAGCTCCGTCTGTTTTGGCAAGACCGCTATGGCCTGTTAAGAGGCTATAAGTGGTCCGGCAGTTGGGAGTCTACCGGGTCCATAAATCTTGTGCCGGTTGATACGCACGTTTCTGCGGCCAACTGGAATATTGGAAGCAGCATCAAAATGCACTACCAAGCTGATGATGGCAGCATCTTGGAGGAAGCACCAACAGTTTGACAACTACGCTTCTTTAGGTCGGCATAGAGCGAGAGTCTGTTGGAGACTCCAACAAACTTGATGCAGGAAAACTATGCAAAGTCTAACGCGCATATGAATCCTAGCAAAAGCCATAAGTGTATACTAGATATAGATTGGCCATATTCCAGAATTTAAGCCTAATAAGCTTCGCGTTTATTTCAGTGTATTTCATCTTTATGTAAAAGTTTAGCTATGTAAAAAAAACTGGCTCTAGAGCAATATCTGCGAACCACCGACGTATATTGTGTTTAGCTGCTCTGTTTAGTAAAAGGCCATGAGATCCACGATGTTCCCCAAGTCCACCAGGTTGCGCTACTACGCTGCCGTCTCTGCCACTCTTGAACAACCTCGAGAAAGTGCGGGCGGGAACTCTGCTGAGCTACCTCAAATGGACTGGGATATGAAATATCAGGCCCCTTATATATAATATCTTTATAACTTTTGTAGCCATCTTTAAGAACGGAAGCATGATTAGGGTCTGCACCACGATCCAGCAAGAACCAGATTAAGTCTCTCACGTCCTTGTTGCTGCTGGAGGTGTGATGAGCTACATACTCCAATGGCGTGGCGCCAACTCTACCTGGCTTCAGCCATTGCGAGCGAACGTCGATGCCAACTTCATCTACAAGGTATCGTATCATGACCATGCGCTCATTGAACTGGTCCCGGCGATGGCTGGAGGAGGAATCAAAGAATGGTGCGTGGACAACAGCGCGCTCAACGGCGGCATGGAGTACACGTGGGTGGAAAGGAGCGCCCTTTTCTCGCAGTAGCTTGAATATCGCGACTGAACCATCGCCCGCAGCAGACTCAAGCAGCGTTATGCGTGGGAGTTTGCCTATGTCGCCGTCGGCAGCTCTCGGAGGAGTGTCGCCGGGCAAATATACGCTGGCTCCGTGATCAAGGCACCACTGTACAAGATCGGGAAACTGCACCACACCCCACAGCAGTGGCCAGCTTGTGCCGTCTCGCCGGGAATCGATATCCCAGCCGTGAGCGATGAGTATCTCCAGCGCCTCGAGCGAGGGCTTGGCGAATAGGTCGTCATTGTAGAGCCACCCGGGGTGTACGTCACTGATGTCTGCGCCATTGTTGAGCAGGTAAGATAAGACTCTGTGTGAACGTTTCCGTAGGGAAGTCTGGAGGCGGAGCTGGATGATACGCTGAGCTGCATCGCGTGATTGTAAGTGTGCTATCACCGCGAGGACTTGCGCCATTAGGGATACATCGTCAACCCTGCAAGCTTGTATTCCCATCTGCATCGGGGAGATGGAAGGAGGCGACGGCAGTATCTCATTCTGATCTGTATGCTCCATCGAATCTCAGAGGAAATGAGATTGGTGCGGTTTGTATAGATGTACCTTGGTTATGGGCGGCATTGTGGAGGAAGCACAGGAACTGTGAGTGAGGGGTGTCTGGAGATGATTAACGACTGGAGTGACGAGTTAGTGCTGTTTGCGGTAAGCTTTTTGTTGGTCCAACATGCATGGATTTGCGGGTGTGGCGGGCCTTGACTTGACTTTCAAACGGCGCAATCCGACATGGATGGAAATCTCTTGATCATCATTGATGCGTGTGTTGGGAAGAAAAAGAGAGAAGTCCACAGAGAAGAATGGCAGTTAGAGGTGCACGGACAGGTAACAGTGAAGGCACAGACACGATGGTACGTGAATGCTTAGGGCCGTCTTAATCAGCAGCGATTGGCTGGTGTCCACATACTTGTACCAAGGTACATACACACTTGCATTGAACTCGATTTAATCTACCTTAGCTCAATGCTTTCAGCTAGAAGTATCAACATACATGTAGAGTAAGTGGCGCCAAACTTACAGCTTCTGCGACATACTAACTGCAGTGCTATTAGCCTGCAAAAGTCCCCCTCACTGCCAGCTCTGTTGCTTTGTCCGTACTATCAAGTACATTGCATCATTGTCAAAACGTGCGCCCGACGGCTCCATCGACGGCCCAGTGGAGCCCAATCAGGACCCGCCCCCAGTTTCTAGAAAGTTTCAGCACGGCGCGACGACCTCAGTGGAACGATCCAGCACCATCCAGGCGCACCCCCAAGCTTTTAGCGCACTGCACCGCCTGGAACCCCTCCAGATGGCACCAGACTTCCGTCATCCATCCACGCACCCTCTTTTTCCCTTAGATCAGCCTTGTGTGCTGTTTTGTTTCCATATTTATTTACTTTTACTTTTCTGCAGCCCATTTCGCGATCGACGATGCCGCCAATCCCTCTCAATTAGCTGCACGCTGCCTCATTTTCTGCTCTCAACAACTAGCATTTGATCTTTGCTAGTAGTGTTTGTCTCTTCTTCTTCTGTTTCTGCTTGTTCTTCTGCCTCTTCTGCTGTTTACAGGCATCATGAGCGGGTCGCGGCCACTGCGGGGTGGGTGTCAATGTGGCCGAAATCGTTACATCATCGCCATGCCCGCGGACAGAGTCAAGGAAGCTCAAGTGCTGTTCAACACTGAGCCTCAGCATCGTAAGTGAATTTCTAGTTTCTTTTACGGAGTAATCGTGAGCGAAATGAAGGCAATTGCATGGGTTCATGGGTTGCATCATTTCCCTTGGCAATTGGTGTTTTTGTCTGGGCTGTTTTTTTTGTCTGGGCTGTTGTTTTGTTTGTTTTGATGTCTTTGGCCCCCAGCCAACGGCTTTGCTAACGACTTTTGGCGCAAACAGAGATCCCTCTCGCAACACCCCTGGCAGCCTATATTCGAGTCCCGCTGTCATGGTATCACAGCACCACATACGCCTTCTTCCCGGATGAGACGCATTCCATGATCCGCAGGGTCTACACACACCCAAGCCAGGACTATTCCAAGCGGCACTTTTGTGGCTTCTGCGGCACCCCGTTATCGTATTGGTCCGAGGACCCTCGGAGCGAGGCCGAGTTCATCAACCTCACGCTCGGCAGTCTGCTGCGGGAGGACATTCGAGACCTGGAGGATATTGGTCTGATCCCCCAGGACGGCGATGAAGATGCGCCGTCCGGCAGCGAGGCTGCGCCGGCGGCGACACCGACGAAAAGGACAGCTCTCCAGCAGTCGTTTGGCGTTCCCTGGTTCGACGGCTTAATCGACGGTTCTCGGCTAGGAAACATGCGCCGGAGCTACGGCACTAGGAGATCGCGCGACGGGCAGACGAGCATCGAATGGGAAATTGTCGAGTTTTCGGAGAATGGCGGCGGAGAAACGGGCGAGGGCGATTCTGCGTTGATGCATCTTGGCAAGAGGAAGCTTGGAGAGCATGATTTGTGACGGCGACGATGCGACGATGGAGACGGAGATGCAGGTTGGTGGCTTGCCGGGTATTGATGCGGATGCATGCGTGTGAATGGAGGCGTACAACGAGATAGTAAGCAACGGGTTTCTTGTTCTGGGTTGGTTATGTCCTGTCCACATGTTAGTAGGTGCAGAAAACAGATATGGTCTGTATATGTAATGCTATTTTCTCTCTCTCTGTGTTATCTATGGTGTTTTCATCTCTTGAATGGCGTTTCGTACCGTGAGTGAATACTGGCGTGAAGTTGCACCGCAGAGCAGTAGAGGACAGGCAAGTTGCATCGGGCGATAGCTTCAATCGCTTGCTTATACGCCGTCTGGTGCCTGAATTCCATGCAAGGGTCCTTTTAGCAGTACCCGCAAACCAGCCATATCTGCCTATGCAGACCGTTCGCTAGTGCAGATGCACAATTTCGGAGAGTAATGCTGGTCGATAGATTGCCATGATCCGTGCCAGCAGTGTTGCTGTTTATTATATTACCTGCCTTACATGTACATGGAGTTGCGTTCACGTTCCACCGCCTCTGTCTCCACGTGTTCTCTCGGCTGAATCTAGCCGTCGGCTTCAACTCCAATGAAACACAAGTCTTTTCTTCCGAACATCGAATCAGGTGACTCGATCTTCTGCCGAGAACGCAAGACATATCTGTCCACTTCCAATGCTCTCCTCCTTGCTGCTGCTGTTGCTGCTGCCTGTTGATTTCTCTTGCTGCTCTTTGCAGATCTGCTACCTAAAATATAGCACACCATTGCCTGTAACGTGACAACCACCTACATGTCTATCATCTCTATACATGTATCAACTTGCAACTGCACTTACAAGTATACTTATCCAATAGAGTGTGCGTCCCTTTGCCTCCAAAACCCTTCCGTTGAACCCACCACCCTTCACTTAGTTGCCCGTCTCTCGGCCCGCTGACGGCACCGGCTTCATGTTTCGGACAATCACGTATAGGCTAAGCTGCTTGGAGCCGCCCGGATCTCCATCCTCCGCCGATTGAGGGCCACTAGCTTTACCTTGTGACTATTTGTCGGTCAAGGTGGTTGGCCGAGGAGGATTTCCAACATATGAACAGAGAGCTGTGAGAGGGGAATTATGGGTTTCGGTATCACCGTCAATTACCGTTCTGGGAATCCTCGCTTTACCATGCCTTACCTAATGCAGCTCCTATCTGCTCCTACCAAGGTAGTTCAAATACAATGCAAAGTGCTATCGCTAGATTTGTACTTATGGAGTGCATGATACTAGCACCACTCCATAGTTCGGGGTACGGGGTAGAAGGCCCTATTATCTTAGCCTCCAAGCATGGGTTAGCCGTACTATTATCAATAGCACTTTTTGGTTAAAACGGACATCCCAACCGTAGCTTGGCTAAATGCGCAGGTACCCATGGCAGGGCACCACCATTATCCGGGAAAATACGCCATGCGGGTTGTGAGCATATTTTGTATTTCTCCATGTTTATTTTCCGAATCTTAGGCTGGATGGGAGGGGCAATTATATATATCCAGGCCCTTGAGGCTAATTCCCACCCGTCTCATTAGCTGAAGGAGAGCGTGCATTGCATGATCTCTTAAGTGGTTGTGCACCTGGATTTAAAGAAATACTTGTTTTCCTCATTCTTTTCCTGAGAAGGGAAAAAGTGATATCTTGAAAATGTTGCCCAAAGACTTTCAGTGGGGCTTTGCTACGGCTGCGTAAGTTTGGTTCATTTCATATCGAAAACAGGCCACACAATATCCCGGCCTTTATAATCTCGTTTTGTTTAGCCTCTTACACGTTATCTACAGCTATCAGATCGAAGGCGCCATCGACAAGGACGGCCGCGGTCCCAGCATCTGGGACACCTTCTGCGCCATCCCCGGCAAGATTGCCGATGGCACATCCGGCGTCACGGCCTGCGACTCGTACAACCGCACTGCCGAGGATATTGCGCTTCTGAAATCACTAGGAGCCAAGTCTTACCGCTTCTCCATCTCTTGGTCTCGAATTATCCCCAAGGGCGGCCGCGATGATCCCGTCAACAAGGCAGGAATCAACCACTATGCGCAGTTTGTCGACGATCTGCTGGAGGCGGGCATCACCCCTTTCATCACGCTTTTCCATTGGGATCTGCCCGAGGAGCTGCACCAACGATATGGCGGCTTGTTGAACCGCGAAGAGTTCCCGCTGGACTTTGAAAACTACGCTCGCATCATGTTCCAGTCACTGCCCAAGGTCAAGAACTGGATCACTTTCAACGAGCCTCTTTGCTCCGCCATCCCAGGTTACGGCTCGGGAACTTTTGCTCCAGGACGCCAGAGCACTTCAGAGCCCTGGACTGTTGGTCACAACATCCTGGTTGCCCACGGCCGCGCTGTAAAGGCCTATCGGGAGGAGTTCAAGACTACCGACGACAGCCAAATTGGTATCGTCCTCAATGGCGACTTTACTTACCCTTGGGACTCTTCAGACCCTGCCGATAGGGAGGCGGCTGAGCGCAGATTGGAATTCTTCACTGCGTGGTTTGCCGACCCCATCTACCTGGGAGACTATCCTGCATCCATGCGCAGACAGCTCGGAGATCGACTGCCAACGTTTACCGCAGAAGAGAAGGCCTTTGTTCTGGGCTCCAATGACTTCTACGGCATGAACCACTACACATCCAACTACATCCGCCACCGCACCTCGCCCGCCACCGCTGACGACACCGTGGGCAACGTCGACTGCCTGTTCTACAACAAGCAGGGCCAGTGCATCGGCCCAGAGACGCAATCTCCGTGGCTGCGTCCTTGCCCGACCGGCTTCCGCGATTTCCTCGTCTGGATCAGCAAGCGGTACAACTACCCCCGGATTTACGTGACAGAGAACGGCACCAGCATCAAGGGCGAGAACGACCTGCCCAAGGAGAAGATTCTGGAGGATGAGTTCCGAGTCAAGTACTACAACGACTACATCCGCGCCATGGCTACGGCCGTGTCGCTGGACGGCGTAAATGTGAAGGGATATTTCGCCTGGTCGCTGATGGACAACTTTGAGTGGGCGGATGGTTATGTGACGAGGTTTGGAGTGACGTATGTGGATTATGAGAACGGGCAGCAGAGGTTCCCCAAGAAGAGCGCAAAGAGCTTGAAGCCGTTGTTTGATGAGCTGATTGACAAAGAGTAAAAAGAAAAGCAAAAAAAGACATTATATGCTGAATACTTTCTCTCTTATTTGTTTTCTTGATATTTTGTCACGGGAAGGAGCAGTACATACGACGTGATATAGCGAGCGAATGATAGGAACGCGTACCAGAAATGAAATGAATGTGTGACTGACACATGAATCGGAAACAAGGTGTAGGAAAAGAATTCCAGATAAAGTGCGAAAAGAGAGTCTCCGGCAGCGCTTTGAAGTGTGAATATAAGCAAAGGAATAACTATTTGAGACGACAGGGAGGGAAAAAAAGAAGCATGTATTTGAAATCGGAAAATATCCGGATGAAGCGCGTGAGCAATCCTCCCGGCAGTTTCACCCCCCGCATTAATCAGACTTCAATCAGGATCAAATCTTAAGCTACAGCGGTTTGCTACAGCGGTTTGCTATAGCGGATTGAACTATTTATATCAATCAGACAATTGAAGCTTCCCGCCACCCAGCTTCAATTTTTAGGGGTCCCAATCGCCTAACCCCCCCGATAATGCCACTCAACCTTGCAACCAAAATCTTATCAAGCAGTCTTCCTTCTCTGTAGATTTTCCATTTATCCTAATATCCAGGTCGGGTTTTCAACTTCATCTAACCGACTGAAACTCTTCATGATTCCTTTAGAAGTGAACAGCGAATACGTTATCAAGAGGTAAAAAAAAAAAATGCTCACGGCAGGGCTTGAACCTGCGGCCTCCGCATTACCAAGATTTCAACCGAAGTTAAAGTATTAGTACGAAGCTCTAACCAACTGAGCTACGCGAGCTGACTAATCAACGCCCAAGGGTCCAAGCGGCACTTGGTTTGAGCCATTGTTGAAAGTTTTGTTCTTGAGTTGTTATATATAGTTTTATCAATAACTTGCACACGAGATAGCCAAGTATAGCAGACTTCGATCATTAAAAAAGATCATATGCGAGCGCTCGATATGGTAGAGTTCGAGTAAAAGAAATGAATAAGTATGCGGATCAGCCAGTTGAGAGACCAACACAGAACCAAAAGGCACATGGAATCCTTCTAATTCTCAAGCACCGATCCAATAAGAATGGCAATCATTACTTTTCGATGAAGGTCCTGCGAAGAGCATCGATATTCCTAGATGGTCATCTAAGTATTCGCCTTAGGCTACTTGCAGTTATTGTTTGCATTTTCGTTTGCTGTTTGGAGTTGGTCAAGGGCCTGTTTCAAAGGGATGAAAAAGGAGGGGCACTTTCTCTATATGTATTGTCATGTAAAAAAAATCAATGTAAAAAAATCAATCTATATAACTGAGATACTGTGGCCGAAGCCGTCATGATGTCTAATTATGGCTGCAAAACTCCCCAATGCTGCGAAAATGACGCCATCTTCGATGATTTAAATGTTGACCATCAACGAATGGAAGATTATCTCATGAACAAGCCATGGCTTACTACTAGCCCTCGATACTTGGACGACAATCCCGAACGCATACCTGAAGAAGATTTGATCTTCTCTTCTCATCGTCTTTGGTTGTGCGGTAATTTGTGGCGACGATCTATTAAACCTTATTAAACGGCCCGAACGGGACGATGATGGCCCAACGAGCCACTTATAGCCTGATCGCTTCAGCGAATACACTCATGAAGGATGCTTCGGTTCGACATGAGGTTATAGCAAAGGGCGCTCTCTGCTTGAAATGGAAGCTACCGGATTGATAAACCAACTTTCCATATCTGGTTATTCATGGCATCTGCGACTACTCAGACTCACATAAAAATAAGGAGTGGCAGGGCTATGCGGCGATGACAGCCGCAGCATACGCAAAAGATCTTCTCTATCGAATAGCTCCAAATAGGATCGAAAGGAAAGATCAGTGATATTCTATCCAATACAGTATATTCATTTCAATTTCAGATCAATTCTTAGAAGCTGTAGCTCCACATATTGCCTTGTGCTCTTTGTAATGAGCGACTTGGCACGTCCTCCCGCAATACATAACCGCTTTACACCTCCCGCACAACATTAACGGCACAGAAACCTTTTCGCAATTTGCGCATCGCGCCGGTGGCGATGACAAAGCCCTCTCCCTCCCGCTCTGCACCGCGGCTAACAAATGCTCGGCTCTCTTTCTCGCCAATCTCAACACTCGCTGTTCGCCTAAGCTAACGTGTGCTGCCGCCCATGAGTTTCCTCCTAAAGGATAGACGCTCTCCGCGAGATATTCTTGTAGCTTTTCCAGTTGACTCCCGAAGCTATCTAGAAGACTACCAATTGATTCTACCAAGAACTGCAAGACTTCCACTTCCTTCGAATTGCTGATTTTCTTATTTATATTGAGTTTCTGAAGCGCTATGGCAATGAGATCTGATTCATCCAATCGCTGAATACGGAGGTATTGAAGGATATTCTTCGGTAGAGGATTAGTAAGAGTAAGGGAGATGGTAGAGGTTGAATTAAGTCCGGCTGATGCCCAGAGCTTCTGCTTTTGCTCAAAAAAAGGCGCCATAGGGTGCGTTGAAAGAACGAGATCATAGCTATCGTTAGGGTTATCAGATATGACAAAGCCATAGAGACGTAAAAGGCGATTATTTGGAATAGACCCGTAGAATATAGAAATCTAGAAGAATAGTCTCTAGGTAAGCGTACAGGTTGGTACCACCAGGGAAAAAGATTAACATACCTGATCTCCGACTTCATAGTCCTTCCCCGCAAGGACAGAGAGGTTTCCAGATAAGGGATCGTAGGCATGACATTGCTTAACCTCAGGGGAGTGGTTTAGCATATCTGCAAAGGGTGCTAAAACTCGAAGCGCTTTTCCATTTGGAAGTACGAAATCCATCGCACGACTCCAGAAGGTGCAGAGCGCCCACTTGTACTAAGAAGAAGGGAAAGAAGGTTTAGTTGTGGGTTCGCAACATTAATCACACGCATAGTATAATACCTACATCTTCGATGGTGAATTGGTCGAGTGGGAAAAGATCTGGATGCAGTCCGAGCACTCGCATGAGTAATCCCCTGTAATCGTCCTTGATTCTTTGATTTACTTGCTTTGTGATGGTATAGAGTGAGGTTCCAGCGCAAACTTCTAACTCATCCTCCGCAAAGAAGATGCTTGAAGAGTACCTCGCGGGTAACGCCGCCACATGGCTTCGCGGGCCCTCGTATCCAGACTCACGCGATCGCACAAAGAGAAGATATACAGCCAAGGTGTCTTCGACTGATAAGGGCGGCTGTGTAGAGCGAAGGACTGGCCCAAGAATGGGATCGGCGTATGCATGTTCGACTGTCCAGAGGCTGTCACCTGGAATCGTGAGAATCCTTTCTCCTTGCTTAAAACGCCGCAGTGTTCTAGCACCGCGCCCGGTGACTGGGAAGTCGGCAAGTTCCAGGTCATCCAAGCCTGCCGCTCCGGATTCTTTCAGCCAGTTTTCCATGGGAATCAGATTAGAGAGAGTGTGAGTGAAGAGCCAGGATTAGGCATCAAGGTAGAAAACCCGTTTGACTTTAATCGCGTGACGTTAAGCATGGACCAGGTACGTCCATTTTCTGGGGGGCCACGACCAGTTCTAGGGCGTTCATCTCTCCTATCTTGAGCATCTATTGGAGCGGAGTCTTTGGAACGACGACCACGATAGTCAGCGAACGGGTGGCCAGAGAGACCGGAGCCCATTCGTCGCGAATGAGAAATAACTGTGTCGCATACTATACAGAGGCTAGTTAAGGCGGTAGCCATCTTGGGTTTCGGAGATAGCAGAAGAAGCAGCAGTGGAAGAAAAGGAGACGCCAGGAACGATCAAGCCACGTTTGGGCTTGAGGTGCCCGCTGGTGGAGAAGGGATCCGACCCCATTCAGCAGTTCTTGAATTTTTAAGGCATGTATCTAGACTAGGATTATCTTATCCATATATTCATTAACTCTGTCTGCACTGTCCATATAAAGTAAAGAATGCCAGATTGCGGAATACTTTGCAGTACATGACGCTTCTTTAAAATATAACAAATAAGCAAGTATTGATAATATAAGTAAATATCAAGTACCCATGGTCCATGCTTAAAATATTTCTAAGCATGTGAACAGGACGCCCATTTCGCTCCTACCTGTACTCTAGGCTACTCTGCAACTGTAAAATTGTGAAAATGCTTCAGCGTTAGCCTGCCAACAGCCCCAAAATTCATCTACGTGTATAGGTAGTAGGTATGATAGGCACTGTGCCTAATGTAAAACCTTGCCTAACGCGCCCTTGCGCCCAGTGGGTTAAGTACTACTTTTAGTATACAATGTAATAATGCGTAAGAGAGACCCGAGATCGGTGATGAATAATGAGAAAACAGTGCACCGGCTCCGTTTAATATTGCAGGTCAGACCAGGAAGAGGTTGGTGCCATGGTTAGCCCATGAGCCATATCTTCAAAAAGCGGAAGCATATGCCTCCAATCTTTTAGCCCTAGACATCTAAATATGGCAGACTTCGCTTATTAAAGAAGATTATACGCGAGCAGTTTAATTACGTAATTAGGTAAACTCTCCAAGTGAGAGCTGGTTGTCTGTGTGAGGTTCTCACCTTATTATAAGTCTAAAGAAAAGCTTAGGTTAGCGCTGTGAGTTGCATCCTTGAAAAACAGAAGCAAGTGCCTCTAATTTTTTAACTTAAGTCATCTGAATATAGCAGACTTTACTCATCCTAGAAGATTGTACGCGAGCTGACTTATTGACTCACAGGCATGAATTTGCTTATAGCCTCGTGTGATCTAGATGCTCTTGAAAGAATAAACAGCGATCAAACATAGAGGCATCTTCGAAGACGGGCTGACAAATCTGGGCAATTATTCTCAAATTCTTTTAAACGAATGTGAATTTTATCTAAATACTAGTACTCAACCCTGGAAAGCGCACCCCTCCTCTTCTGTATACTATCATAAACGATACCCACAGTCCTACCAGCCTCCGCCGATGTATCTCGCATGATGAGTAAATCGTCCAAAGTGCCCTTCATTTATTGCACTTAATAATCTACCGTAGCACGCCTGCCATTGACCGCCTTCTTGTATCTATGGTCCTCGGGAGAGTCCACGCCCCTCCCCTCGTTGATCCTGTAAAGGTCAACTGTGATTGCCTCGTCATCCAACGTCACAGACTATTTATAACAATGAGCAGGGTAATCTCTTTTCAAATAATGGAGACAAAATTTCTTACCTCGCCACGACTATTCACTACAACGTAGAACACTTCTGGCTCTTTGTTGGTTTTTTCCAATTCCTGATGCGACCAGACAGCCAGTGTGGCTGGAAGCTGGGCTTCGGAGTATATGCCTCTCTTTTTCTGTTCAATACAATTGCCGCAGTTGCTATTTTTAATGGCAGAACTGAAGTTAAAAACACTGGCGACGAAATTTCGAGATCCAAGGTCGTGGAAATCCTTGCCGTCCGGTTGACCGAAGAAGATGTTGATCTGAAAAGGGCTACCTTCCAACGCATATCTGAAACCTGTCAGCGTGGACATAATAAGCACGAGAATATCTATATAATAGTACTTGCCTATCATATTTAATGTTTAGATGGTAATCATCATCTATTTCTAAGCCTCCCGATGGTCCCCTCTTGTTTCCGTACAAGGTTGCAATGTCGTCTCTGATATCTTTTTCGTCTTTCTTCGTGATGGCGTAATCGTAGTTTAAATCAGTCCAATTTCTCACATCATCGGACACAAACAAGTTCCCATTCCTGTTGTGGAATGGCGTCAATTGGCTGTGGTGCACTCCTTCGCTATCTCCGTCAAACCAGCTACTATTATTCAGCTTTTGCCAGATAGCAGTAAGACGGTCGATATTACTGCGAATACTCTAGATAAGCGTATGAAATATTTACTGCATGTAGTAGACTAGAACTTACCAATGATGCAGCCAAAAAATTGGATCAAATGCGGCTACGGATACACTGGCCATGTGACCGCCACCCCAGAGCTTCAAACGGCTGGAAGCAGTAGGACGCCTGAACAAGAAGCCTCCTACCCAATTCTATGGAATATTAGCTATGCTATTTTCCCAAAAATGAATGTTACCCACTTACATGGATGTTGTTGTGGATAAACTCGAGATTCGTGTATCCCTTTTGCTCGCTTCCTTCCTTGTACTTGGTGCTCGAAAAGCTACTCCAGGATCCCCCAGATGTCTTGAGGAGCTGAAAGACCGCCTCCTGCAAGGTCCGGAAACCCTCCCAAACTGTCGGATCCCGGTTCCATGGATGCTCGTTCAGTGCTAGATTGGCCCTCAGCCAGTTTTGGCCACCATCGGCCCAGACGTCCTCGTTGTAGCCGTCTAAAAGGCCGTACCTGGTGGTGGATCGGCATTTGTGGAACTAGACTTGATATGAGGATCCATGCAGGACAAAATGAAGAGACTAAAACTTACGGGACCTTCTTCCCCCTGATCTCTAATTCCCAGGTCTCCCATGAGGCTTTCAGTCTGAAACTTGTATAATGGATTGGATTTTCTTTGCGTGGACACTGGGGAACCGAAAACGTTGATAGTAACCATGGGTATTGTTGCGATAATAGGCAAACGAATTTCGTTAGTACCGCGGGCGAACCGAGCAAAGTCCCAGTAGGGGAGACGCCATGTCTTAGCTTCCTTATGACATTCAGTTTGCCATTCAGTTGGCACTTTATCGTTAATGAATTCCGTCATAGCTTCATAGACCACTTGCTATATATTCAGTTAGAAGGCCTATAGCTTCTGATAACTAGTGTCTTCCTTAAAGATAAACCTACCTCGAATAAGGCCATATACACGCGATGCCATGTTGGAAAAGTGTAGTCATTATGCACACAGAAATTTTCATCCTTGGTTTGGTGATCGGAGGTTTGTCCGCCCCAACCGGACCAAGGAGCGCCATGGATACCAGCTAGACCGAAGTACGATAAGTCGTCAGTGGTGGAGCGATTTTGCATTATAATCAAGGCTTCCACAAACAACGTAAGTTGAATACGGTTACCGGAGGGCCCTGTCTGCTCGAGATACCAGTCATCGACATCTTGGCGGATGGGGGACTCTTCATTTGTATCTTTTGGAATACCTGTGATAAGATAGGTCATTGTGAACAATGCGCGTTGTTATTTGGCGTATATATGTTTGTATATGCTGTATTTTGATGATAAAATTAAAAATATTGGCAGCGGATATAATTACTTAAATACTTCAAGTTTAAAATCTTTTGGGTATAGGGCCTCTGAGCTTGAATGGAGTTGTAGTAGGAGCAACCGGGCACGTAGGAGAGATGCCCCCTCCCGGTGAGGATCCTAGACTATAATTTCTCTGTATAGCTAAAATCATTATCCCAATAATATGCAACGCTTAGATAAATAGGGACGAAGGAGGAGAAATTGATGTCAATAGGCCCACACTTTTGAACATTGTAAGCCAAACACGTGTGCACTCTGTTATAATTGATATGTGATATTAATAGAAAGGATTTAAAAAAAACTGATAAGTCAAATTATACTCCTACATTGAGCATATATTGAAAGCTATGATGCAAGTAGATATATCAATCATATGTGTTGTCAGAAGAGATGGAAGCATATGTGTGGCTGGTGAAGCGAAGGCCACTCGTTTTCATTGGTGCTGAATTTGGTATCAAATAGATGCATTCTATTTAGATATCCTATTTTTTCACAAAGGATATAATGTCGCCAAAGCCTGGAACGACTTCTTCGTGTTTGCAGTTTCATATGGAGCCAGTTTCTTTAAGAGATAGGTGGCTCATGACCACAGCTACAGTACTACTGGTATAATAAGTGCCCAAAAGCTGCAATAGTGATTGAATACATGTATTTGTGCCTAATACCCCGCTATATTTGTATGCAGTTTACTATATGCATATTCCTAGCTAATCAAAACGTCTCTTGGTGTGAAAATGAGCCCTGACACCACCTCGAGATGTAAATATCAGCTGCAGCGTAGCATTAAGAGGCAATATTGCGGTTTTTAAAAATAATTTACCCCGCATTATAATACGTCCTTGCAGTTTTTCTCTATTAAGCTCCTAGCCAATCAAGACGCACTTCGGTGTGAAAATGTGCGTTAATGCCCAAGACACTAGATATCCAGTAAAGCCAAGCCACTTATTCTTTCTGAGATATATTGGCATCAATCAAATCATGAGTGAACACGTAACTCTCATATTCAGGTGGCTGCATACATGCGTGGTGCTTTTGTATGACCATTAGGCACGTTGGTAGAGGGACACTGCTGTTGTGGGCGCATGGATGACGCATTCCTGATAGCAGCAGAGTCCAGACCATTGAACTGCAAGAAAGGGCCAATGGAATATCCTGCTGTGAGGTCATGAGGCGGCTCTCATCATTCACAGTATGGCTATTTTGTCATTTTAATTAGGTTGTATGAAAGCAGTCCAATAGTTACTAGTTGATAGTTTGATTCGCACAAAGCTCTCGTAGGTCTAACTCTTCATAGGCTATTGCCAGGCAGTTGTTTGGCAGAGATTTCTGGCAAATTCTAAAATATAAATATATGCCTTGGGAAGCCTATAAATATTGGTATTAAACACAACTGATTTTGACTACTATTGGAAACCAGAAAGAATTTGTTGCAACTCTTTAATTTTATTATAACAAAATGCCGAATAAATGGGCTCTCCTTATTGGGGTGGATTTCTACTTCCAGGGCAGCCAAAGAGATATACATTTCAAGAATCTGAAGGGCTGCGTCCGCGATGTTTCCCGAATTGAAGAGCACTTGGAGAGCATAGGCGGGTTTAATATTGAGAAACTTACCGCTTCTTCGGGTGTTAACGACGAGGGTCCATTGGAGACAAACCCAGACACTTGGCCAACATACGATAATATCAAAGCAAAGATCGACTACATCAGCAGTCGGGTCGCCCCAGGGGACTTTGTTCATATTCACTATTCAGGTCATGGAATCCTACGCCATAGACTCAAGGATCTAGCACATCTGGATGGTGGCGACGCTATATCTGGTACAGCTCTGGTACCTACCGATGTGAAAATTGGCGGTGCCTACCTCTCTGGTTATCAACTCGGAGTCTGGGTACGTAGACTAGTCGAAAATCATAAGGTCCGTGTCAGCATAACCCTGGATAGCTGCTATTCAGGCAAGGGACTTCGAGAAGAGAACGACCCCAACTTTGCGCTGCGAACTTCAGAAGACAGTGAATTTGACGATTCATGGCTTGAAAGCGACGAAAAAGGGAACAACGAGATTCTGGACACCGACATCGAGCTTGATAATGACACGGATTCAGATGAGAGGAACGCCACAGTGAAAAAGTCTTGGCTTTCGAGCTCAGAGGGATGCACGGTCTTGACGGCGTGCCAAATAGGCGAGACCGCGGGGGAGTATAAATTCGTCGGTCAACCGGGGAAAAGCGGCATTTTAACTCATTGGATGCTGGACACAATCAGTCGTTGGCCCCGTACTCGGATCCTTACATACACGCAGGTTGTGCATCATGTTAAGACGAGTATTACGACAGAGATGACGGATAGGACGCAGACTCCAACCCTACACGGCGATAGTTTCTACGAATTTTTTGGTAATCAACGGCTCATCCAACTTCCGATGTGCTCAGTCCGCTCGCTAGAGCAGCCTGGATCTCAACAGATGCTGTATTCCATCGATATTGGCACCGCACAGGGTGTGGCTGCGGGTGCTATCTACTCCGTATTGCCAATCCACCCGAAGGAAAACAAAGATCTTAAAAGCAGAGATCTTCAAAGCAGAGATCTTCAAAACAGAGATCTTAAGATACGCGTTTGTAAAGCCTCCATATTCCACTCTGAGGCCACTCTCATACACGCGGACCGGGCATCGCAAAAAATAGCCATTGGGACAGGCAGTTTGGCCGTTCGCGATACCTGGGCGCTCCCATCGGGTCGACCACTTAATAACTTTACAGCTTCTCTCAACTATGATACTAATAGTTTTGAGATCAAAGACGCCCAACATGAACGGGTTGCCCGAGTACCAGCAATATCCGTTCTTGACGACCGCGCAGGTGTCAAAATTGCATACATGTTAAAGCATCTTGAACGATTCAGCGCCGTGGCAGACTTCAGCTATGGCGAACCGCCAAACCTTCTTGACCCTCAAAGTTACACGTTCGAGCTTCTTGATGATCAAGGCACGGCCCTTATCCCGCTGGGAAATGAATATGAAGTTAGCAACGGCCAGGACTTGACAATCCGCTTTGTAAACAATGATACTACTGCCAAGAACGTCCACGTCGCCATTTTCCTATTCAGCGCTACATGGGGCATCCAAAGATGCTACCCAGAAGATGGGCAGTCGACAATTCAGGCAATGCCTGACGACAAAGCATTGGCCTGTGATATTAGGATGTCTATCCCTCGAGCAGTCCACGACACAGACCCGCCTGATATTCGGGACCGCTTCAGGGCGTACATCTACCGTGGTGATCAACCACCCTCGTGGGACGAACTGCTCCTGCCCGACATCCCTGCCCATGCCGGTTCTGTCCCAGAGGTGCTCGTAGTAGAGCCACTGCCTGAGGAGGAAGATGAGGAAGATGGGTCTCGGAACATCAAGAAGCCTAGCCGCGGTACGAAGCCCCGCGAACAAAATGAGAAGGAGGAATCATGGCAAGTGAAGGATTTTTGGGTCCATACGACTCCATAGTCATGGGTAGCTCTCGGAATTTAGCCATCAAGGAGGTGAGCTGAGCACTCAATGCTGATTAGGGTACATTTTCTTAAGGAGAACTCTGCTATTCGTGTCATTTAAAGTAACTATATGAGTCGTTCCTTGATACAGTCGCTTCCATATATAGTTGAATCATTGATATTCCCGTTGCCGAGTTTCACCAGTACTTAGGGCGCGCGCTTCCTTGAGAAATGTGATCGAGATACATGCCATGGGCTTGACTTGCGATGGATTGGTATACATGTATCTAGCTCTTCGTTGAATGGAGCAAATAAACCTAAAAAGAACACTGATTCGCAAAAGCGGGGCACCGTTTTTGAGATCAACGTTCTTGATGGTACTAACATGCAAAGATAAATCGTATGACCATTATCGAAGTTATTTGGCATCCAAGCTATTTTTGCTTCCTGGCAGTGATAGAGGTGCATTCATGCTATGCTTATACTGTAAGTACTTATGTCACCCACTCGCATGCTGAGCCGAGCGTAGACGTAATGGACAGATATATTATCAGTCACTCGCTCTCTCCCAAGCCATCAATGCCAAGGAGGCCGATTCGTACAGCCGCTCCGTCGCCCCCCGGTGCAGAATCGATAACAAAAACATCGCAGTTCCCATCGTCATCGGCACCGGAGATACAGGCCTCAAAGTATTCTTCGCCATCCTCGCTGTCATCCTCGCCTCGGGCGCCAGAAAAGGATTCCCACATAGTCTTCAGATCAAGCGTAGCTGCGACGACACCCTTGCGACTTGTAATCTTAATCTTGCGGTAAGCGATAGCGTAGATCCTCTCACCCAAGATAGTGGCCTGGCCCTGGATCTCACGCCTTGTCTTGTGCGCAGCGCTGGCTTTGATATCAGCCATGCCACTCGGGTCTCCCTGCGCGGTGCTTATGGGCGCCGTTATGCCACCGCTCAGGTTGCCGGACGTGTGTTTTGCGCGACTGAGTTTGGCGCTGACAAAAGTTCGGTAGCCAACTACAAAGCGCGGTGCCAGCTTCCTCTGCTTCCACTGCTCGAGCCACTGCTTCACCTGCTCACCGTGCAGCTCACTTGCTAAGATATCCGTGAATAGGTCATTTGGGCTATTGAGCGTGTAGATACTGCCGCTCTCAGCCTCCATTCGGAACGTGCTGTCCTCCTCTCGTCGTACTAGGAGATGCGCGAATTTGGTTGCTAGGATCTCTAGAAGACTCTCCGAAGACCTTGTGACAAGCCCTGTCAAGTTGGTATCTGTTTGCACCGAATACTCTGACTGTGAGACTGTATACGGTCGCTTGTTATCAGCGTACGGCTGACTGATATCGGGCACGAAGCTGGCCAGTGGGACTTGGCTCAGCAAGAGTGGTGCGCTAGTTAGGATGAAAGTCGACGCCATACTTATGTTGGCATGGGCTATGATAGATTCCTGTCCGGCGTGCCGATCTTAGATCTGCTTATTTGATGTTACTATGAGTCCGCAGGAACGGAGCTTCCTATTAAATGGAATTTCATCGCTCTGAAAAACAGGTGTGGCGAACGCTGGTCGCCACGTGTATGAATTACATGCACAGTACTCAATTAACTAGTATGCCGCCTAATGAGACCCAATATGCAGCTCTCATGCATAGGTGTCTAATAGGCCTTGGGCTTCCCTTAAAAGTATTGTGCAGGATTATTTCGGCTGATGACGTGGCACCCAAATACTTCCATAGCTTTGACTGGGTAATGACCGACGAATGCTTTAGGGTTATCGTTAGGCATCTGCATGAGCAACACTCGCAAAGTTGGGCAAGTTTCGGCTGACAAATATGTCCATGTGTATAGCGAAAATGTGAACATGTCTTAGAGGTCATTTATACTAGACAGGCCACTCATAGACCACTCGCAGAGCAATCAAAGTGGCAATTACATGTAATCATCCTGACAAATATTATCTGCAGATATGGAAGAATTCACGGTCGGCCATGATATGCTGGAGCTACTAAACAGCATGGATACTGAAGAATTGCGTGAATTCGCAGTGCTACAGGAAGATTCCAGTAGCAACACGTCCATGGAGCTCCTAGTCTGCATTCGATACCTCATCTACCAAAAGGAGCCATCAACGGAAAATCTTGACCAAGCAGTGCGCCAGGGTGAAGCATGGGTGATATCCACGGCTCCAAGTGACGCAGACTTGGCGAAGAAATTTAAAATCGTCGGTAAAATACTGCATGCTCGACTTCAATTTTGCACATCTCGGGAGGTTAAAGAGGGTACTAGTCATTTGTACGTTCTTGACACCTTTACCCATTATATCCGGTGATATATGAACTGGAGCAACAATTTTATATATCATCAAGAGACCACCCCTGGTCTACTCCAAGTGCTTAATATTCGGATCTGCTGACTTATCTTATAGATTTCAGCAAATGGGTACCGCCCTTAGACTTGCTCAAGGGCATGGGCCTGGTTCTATTGAAGACCTCACTCGGGCAATTTCAATAATGGAACAGACAATACGACAAATGCCACATCATCTTCCAGATCGATTCAAGATGTTGCTAAATTTTTCATGCATGCTGGCCTCCCGATATGACAAAACTGGGAACGTCACTGATCTCATATACGGAATCCATGTATCTGATACGGCTCTAGCCACTATCCCGCTCAATCATCAGTCTAGATTGAGCTTACTGAGTATATATGGTACGCTTCTAGGCCGTCGGTATGAGCGCATGGGAGATCTTGAAGATCTTAACCAGTCAGTGAGGATCACCGGCATGGCAGTAGAGGCGACAAATACTCTTGACGAAACTGTACATCCGTCCCGATGCCACTTTCTAAACAATTATGGAATGTGGCTTGGTAGGCGCTTTGAGAGACTTGGAAACACTCGGGATCTTGACGAGGCTATTCAAGTTACAAACGAAGCCAAAGAAGCCACTTCTCATACGGACCTGGAACGAGCTGGTCGGTTGAGTAACCTTGGCCACTGGCTTGCTGAGCGTTTCGAGCGATTTGGAGCTACTGAGGACCTTGATTGGGCTGCCAGTATTTCAGAGGAAGCCGTTAGGGCGGCACCCCCAGGTCACATTCATCGAGCTTCTGCGTTGAATAATTGTGGAGGAACGCTTCTGGTACGTTTTAATAGAACGCATCATGTGCGGGACATTGACCGTGCTATTGAAATGTTCACTATTGCTGCCGAGATCACTCCTTACAACCATCAAGATAGGGCAAGGCAGTTGAGTATGCTTGCTTGCTGCCTTGGTTACCGATCCCAGTTTTTCAAGGGAAAGTCGGATGAAGATATCAACAGAGCTGTTAAGATTGCGTATGAAGCATTAGAAGTCACTGGGTCTGGTGATCCAGAGAGGGCACTCTGGAAACGTGGACTTGCCGATTTACTTTATCAGAGATTTGAGAAGATGCCATTGATACTGGTAGAAGATCTCAACCTAGCAATCGACTTTGCAAAGGAGTCTATGACTGAAACTATCTCAGGTACCTTGGAGCGAGCAATGACTCTGAAAAGTCTTACAACTTTTCTAGTAGTGCGAAATTTGTCTGAAGGACCAATCCATGGATTTGATGAAATTATTCTCTACCTTAAGGAAGGATGGAATTGTCGCGATGCTCCTCCAGGTCTTCGAATTTATTTGGCTCGACAAACTGCCTATTTTTTGAATCTTCAGTCAAAATGGGAGGAGTCTATCGAGATACTCCAAAAAGCTGTTGAACTCCTCCCTGCGCTCAGCGCACGATCCTTGCAGCATACCGATAAAGAGTTTTACATTGCAAATTTTGCAGGGTTGGCTTCCATGGCTGCGGCTACTGCTCTGAATGCAGGCAAGACAGCCGTTGAAGCTTTGACGCTTCTTGAGCTTGGCCGGGGCATCATCAGTGGTATGATGTTGCTGATGCATGCAGAAGTGTCTGATCTTAAAGAGCAGCACCCAGATTTGGCAGAACAGTTTTTTCTGATTCGTGAGAAACTCAATCTGCCCGTTGACTGGACACCTCTATCTAGCCTCAGAGCTGGAATGGATCCCAATAGAGATCAAGCAAGGTTTCGCCGTGAAGCCGAGAGTGATTTCACTGAGCTCATACAAAATATTCGCCAACAAGAAGAGGGCTTTGAAAATTTTCTCTGTGCGCCCACCTCAATTGAAATGATGGCTGCGGCGGAGGCTGGTCCAGTTGTCGTTATCAACGTTGCTGGATATCGATGTGACGCATTGTTAATCATGCCACATGAGATCCAAGTGTTGCCACTGCCGGCTTTGACGGTAGATGATATTGAAAAAAAGACTCGTCTACTAAGAAGATCTGGCCCGGACTCGAAACTTCTAGAATGGCTGTGGGATGTTTTGGCGGAGCCCGTGCTTGGGGCGCTAGGATTCACGCAGCCTCCATCTGGAGATTGCTGGCCTCATATCTGGTGGATTCTCACTGGTAAACTAAGCCAATTGCCGGTTCATGCAGCGGGAAAGCATGATCAAGGACTCGCCAGTTGCGTCATGGGTAGAGTCGTCTCATCGTACAGTCTCTCTATCAAGTCTCTCATATATGGACGTCGACGCAAGCTACAACAGTCTACACAAACTACTTCTGGGACAGCACTTCTGGTTTCTATGCCAAAAACAGCTGGCCAGACGTCTTTATCGTTTGCTCTTGAAGAGTTAGATAAGCTGGAAAGCCTCTGTCCTTCTTTACAGCTGAAACCTGTTAAACCTCCACGTCGCCGTCGGTGTGTCTTGGGACAAATGAGCGCCTGTCAAATATTTCACTTTGCCGGTCATGGAAAATCAGATCCATATGAGCCTTCGAAAAGCTGCTTACTACTGGATGACTGGAAAACTGAGCCTTTAACAGTGGGAGACCTCCGGAACCACAAATTACACGAGAACATGCCATTCCTTGCGTATCTTTCTGCGTGCCATACAGGAGCGAATAACGTAGATAGTCTTGTTGATGAAGGGATACATCTTGTCGGTGCCTTCCAGCTTGCTGGTTTCCGTCATGCTGTGGGAACACTCTGGGAGGTGTCTGATAGGCACTGTGTTAATATGGCGGAGGTTTTATACAAAACGATCGTGGAGAAAGGTATGAACGATGAAGCAGTATCTCTGGGGGTGCATCGAGGCGCTTTAGTGCTTCGAGATATATGCATGGGTGTGGGACGATCAAAATTCCAAAAACATGGTACTCCAGGAATTGAACAGAGCGAGATCTCTTCGGAAGCAAGAGTGAAATCAACACGCGAAATAAGCTCTCAAATTCAATCAGCTGAAAGCAAAATGGAGAATCAGAGCACAGTGCGGCATTGTGGCGATGGTCAACTATTGAGCCATGAACAAACTCTGTCGACGTGTGATGAGGACTCTATAGAGTCAAGCATCAATGATAAAAGGGAGCATCCAAGGGGAAAGCATGAAGATGTTATAACTGAAGAGAGTGACCGAAATATTATACGCCGCCCTAGAAAGGAGCCAAGACGGAACTTCAGCTGGGTTCCTTATGTTCATCTAGGGGTGTAGTGGAACCATCATTGAAATCACATACACCGACAAGTATAGCCTTGAGTGCAATAAGCTGTCCTGATTAGAATGGCGGAGGTCATATTAGTAGAATTATAACTTTCCAGGCAATCCTGCGAATCTATATGATTGATAATACCTAGTCGAAGGGTATGGGTCCGAACCTATGCCGTTATAGGTGATGTGAAATGCTTATCTGCATGTTCACTAAACGATGCAACAGCTCCGTTTAATATTGCCAGCAGAGGTTACCGCCATGAGCAACATCTCTAAAAAACGGGAGCAAGTGCCTCCAACCTTTCTAATCATAGTCATCCAAATATGGTAGACTTTGCTCATCCCAACAGGTCGTACGCGAGCGTCTCTTGTTTTAGAGGCTCATCCGGCATTTAGCTATTAAAGCCCTTGCCACTCCATAACGACATCTGCACCCTATTTTCCTAGCAGCAAGAATTCCCCATTAACAAAGAGAGCCGCTCTTCACTTAAAGCCGCTGCTAAGCCTAAGCCCCAAATTTGCAACTTAAATATCACAGGCTCTGGCTCAGATCCTAGGTTTACAGCTTACACCACACAGAACCAGCATGTGGACGAGCATAATCTCCATTTTACGAAGGAGCGTGCCAGAGAAGACGGGAATACTGACAAGGGTGGTACTCGTCACTAGCACCAGCTAGCAGATGCCATGCTCCAAGCAAGCTATGGAGCTGACTTTGGCGATGATTTTGAACTAGGATGGGATGAGGGTAGAGAAACCCTGAAAGAAAACCTTAGGAACCTTTTATTATAGCTCTGTAGCTAATATCCGAGCCATATCAAGAATCACAGGGTTTAAGTGCAGTTTAGAAGAGAACTCTTGCAAAGTTCTAATTAGGCGTTCGCCCTGGCTACGCCTGCAATGTTTTCATAGGTTCGGCGGGATACTCGGGACCGTACTCAACTGGCGAAGCTATCCGACTCTGTCGGATTCTTTCTCTAGACCTCAAAATCTTTAATGTCGGCACGAAGTCAACAAGAGATACTATACACTGCTAGAGGTAGGGTTTTCTCGGTGGCTGCATACAGTAACTCTCTGGAGGATGCAGTGCGTACTAGGGCGGGGATTCGACAAGCTTTCGAGAGACGCATTTCCAAACCGACATTGCAAGCCAGTATGCTATCTTCCAAATGTGATAAAAAAAAACATGTATCATTGCTGATTTAGGTGAGTAATTGCATGGCTAAACATTGATTCTTTTCGAGAATCCCTACCTAATGTATTGCTTGAACCAAGGCCCTTCATGCCGAGGCTCATCTTTAATCTACATGTGAGGGATGCTAGGCTATCACAGTTGGCTTAATAAGAATCCATGCTTTGCCCACAGAGTTCGTCAGAATTCGACCTCGAACCTTTGCGAACCATTCACAGTAGCTAGTATATAAACACAGTCATTTCCATTAGATAGTCTACTTAGTTACTCAGCTTTCAATACAACTTGGTTACCACAATCTACCTGTGCATTACTAGATGTAACACCCAAACATAATACTTCCGCTGCTGCTCAGTCTAACGCCTCGACCGTTCTGCCAACATAAACCTATTGCGACCTGGTTTATCCTTTGGAACCGATCAGACAGGTACAGTATAAATATCTCAATCAAAAGCTTGCATAGCTTTCCAGCTAGTGTAAGGTCTTTGTACAATCATCTCCTTAACTGTAGGCAAGGTCGAGCGACCCTCGCCAAATTTGATACTTGACTTCATGACCTCGCGCCATCTCCTGCCAGGAGCAATTTTGCCTGAGATTGTGTTAGGCAGTAGGTTGTCACTATTGATTGGAACCAGAGCCGGTCGCCCTAAAATGGCCTCCATCGCTTGTTGGGCAAATGAAACTGCCTCCTTGGCATCTGATGGAACTCCGGTCTCATCTAGTGCCCGTATCTTGGTATCCGGAAGCTGCTCCCTAAGATATTTGATGATGCTCGGGTTCCGAGCACCACCGCCGCACATATACACCTCTGCAATCTTATCCACGCTAATGCCAAAGCGAGGGAAGAATGTGCGGTATTGCTTGATGATATTCTGCGCCGTGATCCGAGTAATGGTTGCTAGTGTATCGTACTTATTGCACCCAGCAGCAAGACATTCATCAATGATTTCTTGGCCTTCGTTGTCGCCAAATGTCTCCCGTCCGGTGGTCTTGGGAGGGACGTGGTTGCAGTACATGTTTGTGCTCAGAAACTTGTCGACAATGTCCTGGCGCACGTTACCTCTGGAGCTCCATTCGCCGTCCTTGTCGTATTCCATCTCGCCGTTTGTGAAATATCTCATGGCGTTGTCAATGAACATGTTGCCCGGACCGCAGTCCCTATAGATGTTAGTCGCCCCGTTAGAGCGCTATGCAAAGGATTGCTCACCAGTCGACCATTGAGTCAACTCCACCCTCGGAATCAGGAGGGATGACACAGAGATTAGCAATTCCGCCAATGTTCTGACAGACACGCCACTTGGTCGGGTGATGAAGCAGAAGACCGTCAATCAGAGCAACCAATGGGGCACCCTGTCTGCCCACTGCTTGCTCTGCCATTCGGAAGTCTGTCACAGTTGTGATTCCAGTGATGGCACTGATGACTGTGCCCTCTCCAAGGCAGAATGCAGAACGTGTCTCCCCTTCTTCTGGCATGGACAGAAGCCAAATGGTCTGCCCATGTGACCCAATAAGATCAATACTGTCCATCTGTATTTCGTGTTTATCACAAAACTGTCTGACGGCGTTACCAAACATTTCTCCAAGTTGTACATTAAGTTGTGACATTTTTGAGGGAGTTGTCTTGGTCTCGCGAAGCATTGTGAGAACGGGTTTCTTGATCCATTGGGGTACGGGGATCTCATCATACTAATTATTTGGTCAGTACCAGGACGGGAAGATGTCGCAAAGTGCAACAAACTTTAATGAGCTCCATGTGTAGAGCGTCATCCGGAGTCTGTTGGTAATATCGAACCAGTGCACAGTCAATGCCGTCCATGGCAGTGCCACTGTTCATTCCCAGGACTGTCAAATCAAGCGCACCAGTATTAGATGACCGATGATGGCCATTTCCGTTGTAAGAATTGCTATGGGATTCATGTGGTTGACCGTTGGTAACGGAGCGGTTGCCATTTTGCTGGGTTTGGGAGATTGTCATGGTGGGATGATAGGTTATGTTCAGTATGTTCAAGAAGATCGCTGAACAGTCTTGGGACACTGGTCACGGACTTCGAATGTGCATTTAATATAACTTGATGGGCGATTCAGGCTTCGACACCGCCTTAATGCGAACCGCGGTAAAGATTCCTTGTTTGGAACTTCGTGACGACGGGATAATTCAATTTTGGCACTACTTGCCAAGTGCAATCTCGATAGAGCGCACTTCTCGGTGGAGAGTCGTGATTCGTCAGTTCTTGCCACTTATTTGATCACTGTCGAGTCGAAGTGCCCTTTTTGGTAAGTCGTCTCGACGGTGGATACGTGAACTCGAGGCGCAAACCTTGATTATCTCCGAGTTGTTTCCGCCGGCTAAGTTTGACCATGATCCGAGTTGTCGGAAAGTTACCAAGGCGATTGACGAATAAAAGACCTCAGAACGGGCAACACGAGCAGCCCGGAAACAATTCATCTTCATCGCACAGACGTTGAAGTTTTACCCTGTTACTTGACAATAAGGGACATTTAACAAAAAAAAGTATGGGTACAGAAATAGCAATCGTGCCGGCTGTATGGACGTCCGACCGAGGCACCATGGCCCAGGAAACGGCCAAGTCTCGCTGGCCTACGCTTGTGCAGGGCATGATCGATGATGTCTGTATTACCGGCGCAGAACTACGTCCATCCCTCGCGTTGGAAGAAATCAAGTCGATACAGAAAAGGCTCCAAAGACTCAGAGAGGAGATTATCAGTGACGATAAGCTACGGTGAGTGCTGCGCATGAGATTGTCTTGTGGGTATGTGACTGAACAAAACTCAGTCACCTCGAAGATGACGGTTCGGCAGATATTGCGGACTACAATCGGCTGCTCCTTAATTTGGGCAAGCTGACCTGGCTCAACTGTCCATGGTTGTATGGTGAATGCTACCTGTATAGGTCAGTCTTGGTATTGTTGTGTGACGCCAAACGGTGCTGACTTTGTGCAGGCGGGTGCAGCTGTTGTTTTCCACATCCTCTTCCTGGAAAGAGTACGATGTGTTTAAGCGCCAAAAGGATTCTACCCTTGTCAAGTCGCAGAAGGCCGTCCAGGAGCTTGCGAGCAGGTTCACTCAAGTCATTGCAAATCCGGCACTGCCAGTCAAAAGCTTGGACCACGAGCTGGGGAGACATGTCTTTGTTGAATTGACCGAGTTGGCTTTATGGGGAAACGCAACAGACTTGTCTCTTCTGACCAACCTCAGTCTAGAGGAAATTCAGGCGTTACAAGGAAGGGCAGCGATTGAGAAGAGCCAGCGGAACATTATCGACAATGATATACTTGATGTGTGGAATTATCTGCGAAAGACGCAGTTGACTAAAGCGAAGCGAAATATCGACATCGTTCTGGACAATGCTGGGTTTGAGCTATTCGCAGACATTCTTTACACGGCATACCTCCTCGAATCAGGACTTGGAACGAGCATCACTCTCCACGCGAAATGTTTTCCCTGGTTTGTCAGTGATGCATTACCCAACGATATAGACTTCCTTCTTGAATATTTGCAGTCTATAGGCTTAAGTCCTTTGGCCACTCAGATCAAGGGATATCTTGAGCTCGGCTTGATACGTGTTGAGGTTAATCCGTTTTGGACAACGCCTTATTCATTTCATGAGATGATCGCTGAAGCACCTGAGCTATTTCAACGTTTGCAAGACAGTTATTTGACTATATGGAAAGGAGACTTGAACTATCGAAAGTTGACCAGAGACGGTCTCTGGCCACATACAACGGCTTTCAAGTCTTCGCTTGGTCCTCTTGGTCAAGGAAGTGGCGTCAAGATTCTCGCCTTGAGAACAAACAAGTCCGATACTTGTGTTGGGATTGAGAGTGAGGAAAAGGTCAAGATTCTTAACCGGGAGGCACCGGGGATGGCATGGGTCAGGAATGGAAAATATGCCGTGATATCATTCAGCGACGGTAGTTGAGACCAATAAAATACTACTAGCATCTTGACCACTCATCTCGCAAAGCATCGATTATCCAGGCTGTTGGCCAGGCATGCGATGCCTCGAGATCCTCGAGCATGCTTATTAGACTTGTTTGCTCTCGCTCATCTGTCATCAAGGGACCCCCTTTTGGAAGTTAGACAATGCTGAATCTGGACAAGATGATACGACCCACAAATAAATGTAGAGTGACATAATGTGATGAGGGACGGCACAGTTCCTGGCGAGCTTTTACACACTCCACACAGGGCTCGGGCGTGCTCCATGATAGACTCCTGAGATGATGTCAATCGAAGTAAGTTACTCCGTATGCCGTGAACTCACATCAGATTCCGGTACGACCCGTTGAATACTCCGAATGGCAAATCGCGGAGATGGACAGTAGACCTTTAAAAGCATCCTAGCCAGGTGATAAAACCCAAATGCCATTACTGATAACCATTAGGTCTCAGAATTACCGCAGAATGTTTCAAATATCTGTACCTACCATGCCAATCTGCTGTAAACCAGGTCTCTGGAAACGGGTTCGCCCCCGGCTCTGGTTCGCCAGACCATATTGGATCAAATGTACTCGGCTTCGTCTTGTTCCAGTTCTCAACGGCCTCAGACAGCTCATGCCACCTTTGCATCCTTGTTGATGATTCGGAGTACAAGACGCTTCCACGAAAACAGAAATGCACTACGGTAGCGCAAATCCATGTCATGGTATTTGCCCAGGCAGTCTCCGACTTGACGTCGACAGCTTGACCGTTGACGACGCGTGGGGGTGGTATCAACACCAACTCGAAATCCAAATTCGGTGGTTGTTGATTGACGCAGGCGTTGAAGAGGCATTGTCGCACATAGACCCAAAAGGCGGCTTGGGAGAGTGTAGGTGTCGAGGGGTCTACTTGTCGTCCTTGAGACGTCTTGAGCAGAGCACTCAACCCAGCTAGATGCCTCTCCTGATCACCGCCAATCACAGTGACTGAGGTAGGGTTAGACGAGGAAGGCTACCGCGCGATGGGACTTACCACTCAGCTGTTCGCATACCCGCAATATGACTATGGCGCAGAGGATGGTCTCGTCGTTGGCAATGGTCTCGGTACTCAGCAAGGGAATGAGCAGCCCTATGCACTTTTCTTGGAACTGATCAGCTGTATTGTTATGGCCTAAATGGCGAGCAGCATAAGAAATGACAGCATATAGAAGAATTGGTAAGCTCTTGGCAAGGGCAGTCACGTTAAGCGTGAACTGTCGTGATGCATCCGTGCAGTCTAGCCACCGAGCCAGGTGCGTGGAAAAGTGATGCAAATAGGAAGCTTCCCAGCGTGGAAGCGCAGAAAGGGTAGGGGTTATCCAATCTACGCTCATGGCAGAGTCATCACCGTACTGGCTTGGAGACTCATGCTGACAAAGGTCGGAGATGGAGAGAGCTCTAGGAGGTGACGTCAGGCTCGGGGGTTGGCACGAAATTGAATCTGGCTGTTGTATAGAGCCGAATGGGTATGAGAGCCCTTTCATTGATGGATTATCTCCTTCCGGCGGTGGTAGGGATTGTTCATTAGAGACCGGATAATCCATACGCCTCGGTTGGTATCGCTTAATCTTGAGCTGAGGGGATGAATCGTCCCAGCGGCACGGTCGTTGCTGCCTGAGACACTAGTTTCACCGGGATCCGTCATCTTCTTGATGTTTGGCAATTGGGATATGCTCAACATACCTGCCCGCAAGTCGACCTCGTCTCATCACCTGTGAAGTCAGTATGAAGGATTTCTCTCTCTCATTGGAGACGTACATTTGACGTGGCGTTCTCGGCACGTCAAGCTGTTCGATGTCAGCTATCTTTCTGGAGCACCAGCGCATCGGACTTACCAACCGTGACGAGATCGCAGCCGCCCCATTTTCACTCGGAGTGTTATTTTGATTCTTAGAGCAAGAAAACGAATTCTATACAGAGTTAAAAATATTCGAGACGAAGGATGCGGGGGAGCTGGACAACCCTGATTATTCTGAACTTACTACTACAACGGGCCCAACTTTACGCTAAATCGTTATAGTTTGCTCCTCTATTACGGACTATTTCCTGGCTATTCCATTTCCACGTCGCCACAAAACTGGAGCCCAGAACGTTTGAAAGTAACCTTTTTTGGCAATTCGAGACGATGTCAAAGCCTTTCACCAGTTCGCAAAAACTCCTCCAGGTGGCGCCGTGACTAAATCCCCATGGGGTATGGGGTTGAAGCAGGGTCATTCGCCTTCTCCGTGGAGAAGAAACAGATATAATGAGGGCATCTCGAACATCATGAAAACCCTCACAATCAGTGATACCTAGAAACAACCAATTTTATTTTTAACACAACTATCCTCCAATTCTGATTGATCGGCATAATGTGGAACCGCCAGGGCTGGAAGTCCATGTCGAGACAGCAGTTGTTGAGACTTGTTACAACTGCCTCCGCCGTTGCCATCTCCTACGAAGGCATCAGTCAGGGCGTCATGGGAGCTGTGACCGTTGCACCCGATTTTGGGCGGCGTATGGGATATACAAACGATGGAAACGAAGTTATCAAACCCACGCTGCAGGGCGGCATCGCCGCCATGTATTACAGGCACGTATCAAGTCCGTCTAAGAAGAAACAATGTCTAACATTATTGAAGTGGCTCTCTATTCGCAGCCTTTTGGGCTGGCAGCTTCTCTGACAACTACGGTCGGATCAAGGGCATGTGGATGGCCTGCTTCTGGTGCATGGCGGGGGTCATCCTGCAAGCCTCTGCCGTCAACCTCGCACACATGCTTTGCGCACGTTTCGTTGCCGGCATGGGTGTGGCATTCATACTTGTCATTGCGCCTATGTGGACTGCCGAGCTCTCTGCTGCATCACATAGAGGCAAACAAATCGCCCTCACATTCTTGGCTAATTTCTCTGGTATCGCCCTCGCCGCATGGATCGGCTTCGGCACGTCTTTTACTGAGGCAGGCGGTGGACAGTTTCGCTGGCGGTTCGAGTTCGCGATTCAGGTCATTCCCGTTATCGCCCTGGCCATACTGAGCCTTTTGGTCCCGGAATCCCCGCGATGGCTGGTCAAGGCTGGTAGACCTGATGAAGCATTGGAAATTATTGCAAAACTGCGCGGGAATGGTGACGCCGAACACCCCGACGCGCAGAAGGAATATCGAGAGATTGTGACCGTAGTAGAAGAGGAGTCTCAGTATGCCAAAACCAACTACTTCAAGATGTTCTTTGGTATCGGGTCTGGAGACATTCATCTTGGCCGCCGTATCCAGCTGGCTTTCTGGCTCCAGGTGCTCATGCAGTACGGTACTGGAATCGCCGCTGTCGTTATATAGTGAGTTTACTCTTCTTGAAGAAGAATGGTTTGCTGACTGCATTGTAGTTCTGGAACAATCTATCGCACAGCCGGCTTTGGTAATGTCAAGTCCGGCTGGCTGTCCGCTTTGCTGATGCTGGTTGGTATCCTCGGTACTGCCATCGCAGCCTTTACCATCGACAGGGTCGGCCGTCGACGTACCCTTTACTGGGGTGCCATAGCCCTCAGTATCACGCTGTTCATCATCGGCGGCCTATTCCGGGGAGCCATCGACAACCCTGACAAGGCTACCCAGTACGGCACGGCAGCTGCAGCCATGGTGTTTGTCTATCTCTTGATCTTCAGTTCTTCTTGGCTGTTGATACCTTTCATATATCCGACCGAGATCTTTCCCACCTGGCTCCGAGCCAAGGGGAACGCATTTGGTGTGGCCGGCTGGGCTATTGGCTATGGTGGAGGTTCTCTCTTGGTGCCTGTCATGTTTTCTGGCATTAACGAAAAGGTATGGACTTCTTAAAAACCCACAACTTTCTTATTTCTAACTTAGCTTGCAGACTTTCTACGTTTTTGGAGCGTGAGTAGCCTCTAATCCGTCCGACACCAGCCGCTGACCTTTTACTAGTGCCATGTTTGCATATATTCCCTTGGTATACTGCTTCCTTCCCGAAACTGCTGGCCGTACATTGGAAGAGATGGACTATCTGTTTGCCAGTAAGAGTGCGTTCACTTGGGACGAGGAGAAAGAATTTGCTAAGCGTACGGCTCTCTTGCATGAGAGATTGAACAAAGGGGACGGGAGCGACACGAGCGCACAGGAGAAGTCAATTGAATCGCATACGGAGGTAGTATAAGGAATCAAGTCGATTAGAGAACGTATAATCTGACTGCAGACGATTATTTCGTAGTTTCCACATTGATATAGGCAGCTAGTTGCCGTTAGTGATTCAAGGACAAAACATGGCTGCTGTAAGCACCAAAGGCCGATTGCATGTAAGTGAAGAGTGGACTAATGTATAAGCGAAATGATAGAGGCGCTGGTTGTGGTTTAAAGTGTCGCAGACAATGATATGGCGAACCAACGATCTGGAGACTCGAGGACACGGTGACGGCCAACTTGCGTACCTACAGTGGGGGGACAAAAGTGATGTCACACACCCATTATGACCAAACATCACCAAATTGCAAGCCTACTTTGAAGCTGCTTTTCTCAGCCAAATTAATGTTTATTAATAAGAATTTAAAGTGGCATGTTTTCTAAATAGCCATTTTAGAATATTAGGTTAGCTTAGAATTTTTGTGTACAGTTAGGAGCGAAATGGGCGTTCTGTTCATATACTCTAAAAAATTTTAAGCACGGACCATCAGTACCTCACACTCACATTACATCTTATTTTTTCTTTTCTAACATAGTATAGTATTTGAAATTAGGCCACATTCAAGTACTTAGCACCCTGTCCTTTCGGAACTATAGCTTTATATCTAGTACAGATAGTCCATATCTTCCCTTATATTTAAATATTGGTTAACCAGAATAAGTTCATTAACTATTAGTGCGCTTTATGCTACTATTATAGGCAATATAAAGTTTAGAAAAAATTTTGTATCACTTGCTTTACTACATCGAAGAAAGTTTCCCAGAGCATGTTTTGGCTTTGCAGCGCTATCATAATGTAAAATCTTCCCAATTTATATATTAAGCCAAAGCGCAAACCAAAGACTGCCACCCATTCCAAGCTCGTAGAGGACCATACCCGGCATCCCTACCGAGAAAAATCCCAATGCACCTATCGCACGGTTGAGTATGCTAAGTCCCATTATACCTCGATTATTCTCATAGGCGGCATAAAGAAACGTTGAGCCTAGGCTTGTACATAGGATGCTATAACAACATCAGTTCTCTGAAGATTAATGCAGCGTTCTGTCTATCCTTACCCCAATGTCGAGATTACTGATTTGGGTGTATTGTTCATCATAGAATGTTCAAGCGTGGTCGGTTTCGGTCCGTCCATTATATACCAAAGAAGGATGATGTTGCTTCCATATATGATACTTTAAAGCATGAGAGCGGACAGTTGTCTCATTGTCGCGCCATTCAGGTCCCGGCCGGCCTTTAATAGGTGTTATGAATTGGATTGGCTTCATCTGATTTGGATGAATATCTTCCATATTGGTAGAGGCTTCTGCTAAATAATGCTAATGATCCGGTCATTGGGGATGATTGCATAGATAAGGGGTGGGTGAGCATATGATTCTTATGATTATATGCTTGCTTACCCTTAATAAAGGAGACTCTTTTCGCCGTCGGTAATTATCCGAACTAGGAAAGGCATATATATTAGCAGTGCAGATAAGATGATAATTAGAGCATAACTACCTGGTACATGTATGTTTAAACTGCAAGCTTTTGGGAAGCTCCTTAACACTTAATAAGAATTATAGTAGCTTGAATAAGCTTGTAACTAATCTTTTTTCTATGTAACTTATACTGAATTTTTGCTACTCGCTGAAGCGAAATTTGGCCGCAATTTTAACTAATAACAATAGCAGGTCTAAATTTCTTTTGTTAATATCTATCACAATGTGCACCTTACTGTGTAATTGAGAGTGGAATTTGATCCTTGATTGAAGCTATCCACATAGGAAATTTGTAATTAGACGCAGAAGTCTGTAAAGTTATTGCCTTCTATATTCCTTGTTTTTTCGGGCTTTTGACCTTCTCTTATAGGCATTGGGCCTGGCCCAACTCAATCCATGGAGGGATTCATTTGTCATCGTCATTGAAAATATTCGTTATATCCTCCACTGTCTACCATACTTCCTTAACAAATCCTGATAAGCGTTTTTTGGATGGATACGTCACCACACTATTTGCCGCATCCTTCGAGGCCTCAATTGCAACCAGGGCCGATGCTTGGTTCAGTCCAGCAATGACATAGTTGCTCCCTCCCAAGATCAAAATGAAGATCTGCTTACTCTCTTCATCTTTATCATTGATAGCGCCCGCATACGCAACTCTTGCCACAAAGCCAGCAATATTCGTCACCTCACCCATAATTGCCTCGGTGCGATCAGTGCTTGCCGCCTCCTGGCTCAGTTCATAAAAGTGGTACCCTGTGATAAGTACCGCAGGAAGCACAAGTATTGCATCGATGATGGCAGCGGCGCCGCGCTTGTCAACGGGGGCCCCAAAGAGAGGGATGTTCAGACCAGAATTCAACAGTTTGCCCGAGAGAGCCAACGGGGCGGCGACGGTGATTAAACTGAGAGCAGAACTTAGCTGATCCGCCACGGAGTTCTTGAGAGGCTTCCTTGGCACGAGCAACCCTCCCGTATACTTCATGGCACTGCCGAGGGATGAGAGAATGGTGTTTGCATAGGACAGGGGGCTGTCTGGAGGCAGTTCTGCCTCGGCGGGTTTGATGACGGACCCCAGGACCGCGAGGATGCCATTGCCGCTGTACATTGCCGCGGACGTCGAATCCCTCAACTGGTTGTCTGCTTGGTCCGCTTCCATCAAGTCGACGCCTGATGTTGACGGTTGGAACAGCTCTAGAATCGTTGCCCAATCTTCCGCGTTGATGGTGGCAGAAACGCGAGAACTCTCCTTGAAGGGGGCCTCGCCACCCTTAAGGATCTTATACACAGCTGTGAAACCAAAGGCGGTGATCCACATGAACAAGTCGAGGATCGAAAGATCCGGTATTCCAATCTTGTTGAGTATATCGGAAATGACAGGAATGTGTATCTTTGTATCGAGGATCTTGAGAGCGAATTGGGCAGCCTGCGAGAGCACGCTAAGCAGAGCGTTGACCACGACCATTGAACTGCCCACGACGCCGTTGACTAGGATGCCCACGAGCCTCTTGAGAGCCTCTTTGATGCTGAGCGAACTGAAGTCGCGAGCCAGCTGCTTGAGCTCGTTGAAAGCCCTCCCGAGAACATCGCCCTCTTTCTCGATAGCTTTCATCAAATCTTGCACCAGCACCTCGAGGCCAGAGGGATCATCCACGTCCTCCTTAAAGGTCAGATTCTTTGCGTTGTTCTGGTAGTGGTGCGACAGCAGCGTCGAGCCGGATGTCTGTGGGACGCTTCCGGTACTGTTGGCCGCTGGCTTGGAGACTGCCGTGCCATCGAGGGCCGGCCAGTCGTTCAGGCCCGCCCATTGGGCTACCTTGTTCTCGATCTGGTCACTCTTCTGGTTGATGACACCCTGGACAGTGGAGATTTGCCCGATGCCGTATTCCAAAAAGCGTAGGGTAATATTGTGCATGACATCCTTGGTCCTGGTAATGTCATCCCAGCGGAGGAGGAGCTCGATGAATTTGATGATGTCCTCGACTGCTGTCTTGACCTTGTCGTAGACCCACTTGAATGCCTTGATCACGGCGTCTATGCTGTCAATGACAGCGTTAAAGATGCAATCGCCAATCTTGACGGCCAAGTGCCACAGCCCCGTGGCAGTGTCCTTGAGAAACTTGACCCCCTTTTTCATTTCGTCCACAACCGTGTCCCATGTGTTCTCGGCCCACTGGGCGACATCTCCGGCCGCTCCTTCGATCCAGTCCAGTGTATCATCCCACCAATTCAGGTCCTCGCGCTTGATAGGGCCGAACTGGTCGCGGGCAGGGCGCCACCGCCGGCCCGGGACGATGCCACGGTTGGGCCGGAAGCGTGGGTGCTCGCGCCGCCTCAGCGCGATTTCGCCACTGGGCAACTCTTCGTGCTGGTCGTCGTACGCCTGGGAAATGTCGGCGAGACTGTCGGCGACGGCCTGCAGATCGTCCTCGCTGCTGGCCTGGTCCACAAAGGGCTTCAAGTCAGGTTCGCCGCACGTGCCGCCAGCTGTGGTATCCCGCACGACTCTGGCTTCGCGAAGCTTTGCCACAGTCGTGAGCGAGGCGAGCTTGCGGAAGCCCTTGTCCATGGTGTTGATGGTTGTGACGGCGGAGGCGTTGTCGGGCTTCACGAAAAGGGTCGTGCCATTGACGTCTGGGGTCTCCTCCACGATCACCACTGTGCTGTCCCCGGTTACAGGCACCCAGGTCCAGTCCGGGCCGAGGACCGTGTAAGCCCCGTTGATGTACACGGGCGTCCGGGAGTCGGTGCAGATGGCCACCTGCAAATCCTTGACCCCAGCCCCGGTCACTCGGTTGGTGACGTGGAGCGTGGTCGTGTAGGCTTTGAAGGAGCGAGTGGGCGTCACCTCATGCGGCTTGGGCTGGGGGACGTGGTAGATCCGCTGCTTCTTCCAGATGCCCGTGTTGCTCGCCCGGGTGAACTTGTAGAAGGCCTCGTCGTCGACAGCAAAGACGGTGTTCTCGCCATCAACCCGATTGCTGTAGGTCGAGATCTGCTGGACCCCGCTCAGAATCGGGATGGGCGTGCTCCAGCAATCGCCTTGCCCGACCTTGTCCGATTGGCAAGCGAGATAGTAGATGCTGCCATCTGATGTCTTGCCCCAGATGGTGGTCACGCCGTCACGGGAGTCGGCCAGCAGCGTCGTGGTGCCCTTAAAGGCCACGTCCTCCAGCAGGTACGTGCCGACGCCGGACTGGGACTTTTGCGCCTTGTTGTCCCAATAGTAGAGCGCCGACCCGGCGATGGCAAACAGGTAGGTGCTGCCAAAGAGCGGGTCGGTGTCGTCCTGGACCCAGCGTGCCGTGGCAATGGCCGAGCACTGGATCGGGCCCCCGGGCAGCTTGAGAGTCGTCACCTCAGGCCCGGTGTATTTGCTATACGGGTTGATGATGGGCACGTAGACCAGCTGTGTGGCAGAGCCGTTGACGCCCATGGTGTAGAGGCCGTCCACCCTGCCCTTCTTGGGTGCCGCGGCGGTGCCTCCGCTGACCATGCCAATGCGGCTCTGGTATTCGGAGCTCTCCACGTCGATGGGCAGTGGATGCTTCACCCACGCCAGGTCGGCGCGTCGGATGTGGTACCGCTCGAGGAGCCGCACCCCTGCCTGCGTCTCCCCGGCGCGATCCGCATCCACTACCAGGTACTGCTTTGTGCCCGATGTGGCCGCGAAGAAGGCGTTGCGGATCGTGACAGGCCCGGATGGCTTGTTTGCGTCGACCAGGTCCCACTCGGGATCGAGGATCCAGTCCGTCTCGGCGGCGCTGTTGACGAGGGAGATGAAGAGGTGGTCAGTGTCCCCCGAGCGAACGGCCATCATGAGCCCAATGCTCCCATCCAGCGGATTCTGGCCAACGTCAAAAGTGCGCACCTCTCCACCGGGCACCTGCCGCTGGATTGTCGCCGTCGAGATGTCGTAGTCTTTCCACCCGGTGCCAACGCCACTCTCCTCCTTCATAACGTGCAACGATCCGTCTTGGTGGATGCTGAAGAGCAGCGTGTTGCCTAGGTCGTCCTGCAAGGCCTCGAACTTGCTGACAACGCCCAGCGTGTTCTTTGGAGGGTAGTACATCTTGCCGGCGACGTAGTTCTCCATGAGCTCCGTCGTGTACGATAGATTGAGCACACTGGAGTAGCTCCCCTGGAGTGAGAACCTCGGTGTCTTGGTCTTCTTGGTTCTGGGGCGAATCCATGTCGAATATTCGGTCTCGTTAGGATCGAGATAGCTGAGGTCGCAGAGGAGATCCCCCCCTTTGGAGAACCTGGCATTCTTGTAGGTGAAGACTGACGCGCCGGGGAAGACGAAACACCCTAGTTTTTCGAGTTTCGGCTCGGTTTGAGGCACAAAATTCGCTGGCGGAGTTACAAAAGTTTGCGCCCAAAACTTAAGACTGTCGTAACCGGGGAAGTCAAAAAGGTCGTCATCAAGCCAGAATGGCGCCGTCTCGCCCGTCTCACCCGCGTGATCCATGCGCCAGCCCCTATCCACTGGTTTTACTTGCAAGCCGCCAGACTGATCACAAAGGACTGAGTAATGCCGCTTGAAGTTCTCATTAACTGCAAAGGTCGAAGATGGGTCGACCGGTAGGTTAGAAGAGATGCTGCACTGAAAGGACAAATTAATCACAAGGTAGGTTGTATCCTTGACTTTCTCGATAGAGGCGTAAAACCGCTCGAGGTAGTCTAGATATACCTTGCAGTAACCCAGGTCAACATGTGAGCTGTGAACTCCACCATTCCCGAAATGATAACTCCAAGAAACTGTCTTGCCTTGAGAAGCCGTCTGGTCGAGTTGAGGATACCACCCGAAAATATTTTTGTTATCCGAAACCAAAGCTTTGTCAATAACATCTATAATGAGGTGCGGAGCGATCGCCATGACACCATGCTTGTCGCCGAGTTCATCGTCCCCGACCCAGCACCACGGCAAGTCTCTTGGTGTTGGTAGCTTGTTCCCCCCTACTGCGCATATGTAGTCCAGTGTCGTCGCCGCTTGTTGGCGAGGCGTTGGATTTTTCGTCTCCCTGCCCTTTTCAACCTTGAAAGTGGTAACCTGCTGCTCCACGTCCGTAATCTGTATTTGCGACTTCTCCTCCTCCTCCGAGAGGGCTGAAACTCCGACGACTGGGAGACCATTGTCTGCGACGTTTTTCCAATAAATTTCGATAAACGTACTCCTCAACGCCGCCTCGGCTTTGGATTTTCTCGGCACCCCTTGGAAAGTGACGTCTTGTTCGAGCCGGGCATTGTCAAGCTCAAGCTCTAGCTGCTGCAGACTGAAAACCTTGGCTGGCATGTTGGTCAACGCACTCGCAAGTTGGCTTTGCTGCTGCGTATGACTATTGAAGTAGGTTGTGTTCAACTTTGGGTCCAGCGGGGATGTAATAACATTGACATCAGCCGAGATGTACCACGTATCATCCCCCTGACTCCAAACATCCCAGGACCCCTGCCCGCCGTGGTCATTGGGGGGACTGTTCTGGATCACTGTGATCTCCTGGCAGAAAAGATTGTACTTGACGAACTCGGAGTCCTTGACGAGTGTAACGATATTGGGCAGATCGACAAGTAGTGCGCCGGGGGGGATGCCCGCCCTGATCTGAATACCGACTACGAAACCTTCTGCTCTGAGCTTTGAGATTGCTGCATTGTTCTTGTACGCATCGCCCTTGCAGGGCTTGATGTCAAAGGGGTTCTCTGATAGAGACTCGAGAGTTACCTGTGTCTCCGGATCTCCGGTCTCTGGGTTGGCAAGGAAGCAGATGGTTGTAAGCGGTTGTTGGGTGTTGTCAAGGTAATTCAAGAGGCCCGAATTGATGCTTGCCTGAGTGGTCGCGATGGTCATATCGATCCCGTAATCGCTCAGGCACGAGTTCCCCGGGCCGAAGTCTGTATCGGCGGCCGAGAGCAAAGGGCCATCAACAGACATCTTGGCTTGTCGGGCGTGCGGTAGCCCGTAGCGTGGGTCCGAGACGGAGATCTTGCCGCCGTGGCGGACGAGTTTCGGGTACACAGGACCGTCCAAAGACATCTTGGCTGGTTGAGTATTCGGAGAATAGCGAAGTTTGAACTGTGAGAACTGTGATGGAAGTAAACAAGTTTTGTTGAGCAGTATGTATAAAGAACTGGGGATACCAGCGTAGCTTTATAGACAGACTTCAGCTCACTGGAGAAAGGTGATCAAGCGTTTGGGCAAAGGTTTGAACCCTGGCCAGTAAATTCCGGTCTTGACCAACTCGTCTTGACTCTATCCAGATGGTACTTCAACAGGCACACACACAACTAGAGGCAAGCCGCCAATTATTTGCACTTGCAACCTTGGCATGCCTGACCCACGGTTTTCATTGTCAACCTACAGTAAGAACTTGCATTATCATGAGACCTGGCCCACTCTACTCTCAAGCATTGTGTGCTGGAATAGGGCTCCATTTCCTGCCGCAATCGTAAAAGGAACGCACTGGAGGGTTAATGGGGACTCAGATGGGTATTTGATTGCCATTGAATCTTGTTTTATGTGCGATGCCCCAATTTCACCTTCACTGAGCCGCACGCGTGCCGTTCCAGAAGGCACAGCCTGTAAAGTACAGTATCAGTAATCGCCCAGTTCGCTGTTACTATACGTGCTACCGTCCATTTCTTGAAAAGTCTACCAGATGCAATCCGCTACCACCCGCCGCTACTAGCCCCGGTCCCCGTTTTAACGGGTTCAGAGTTCGGAACGTGCAGATTAGCTATTAGTACTACTGTATCCATAACGGAAAAAGCATTACATGCTTATGAGTGCGAACCATACTCGTACTATATGGTTTATCTCCTTACTAGCACACCAAGCAATTCACTTATTCAGTCCCCAACCTTCTCTGAGCGTGATTATTTCTTGATGCGTGTAATGATGGTGCTCGATCTAGAATGAAAGAACAGAAAGCCCTGCAGATGCACCATCGAAGATACAGTCGACCGATTGCGCAGATCTGCAAGTCGTATTGAACGTGCAGGAGCAAAGCACCAAAGGGAGCTGGTGAAAGCTTATCGACAACGAGAACTTGAAGAAGCTGGCAACTATGAGAGTCGATGACGTTTCCAAGAATGCAACGGCCACCGTCAAAGGAAGAATAGCCGAGTCCATTGCATGGCCATTGCATGGAGACAAATTCGATTCGAACACCCCAAAGAGCACCGAAAGAAGAGAGCTATTGTGTGCTACAGACGCACTGACTTGGCATTTGGTAGGATTCTGCTGCCATGAATGCTATACAATCGAAATTGTAAGACCACTTGAGTCCTGAGAGTGTCATTCTACAGAAGACAACATAGCGTAACGCGCTGCAATAACACATAGTTGTAGGCAAATGCCATCCCCAAAAGTCAGCACTCTCCATCTCATTGATGGAGGTCATATTGGAAATCCACTTCAAGGGCACATGTTGACGCTGATGATATCATATCGTTGCGGTTATGAAACCAGTTAACTTTTAACAGTAGCGTTAGAAATTCCGTGGCAGGAATCTTCCAAGCGTTACCCTGATTTGTTTTGGTGGAATATTATCTCTGAAAGAATAAGACATAGCAAGGTTGGGGTTGTTCGGCACGGCTTCCTGACAGCTTTGGCTGATCTCTGCGCTTGGACACCAACCAATTGCGACACCTATTACGTGCTCAGGCCCATAATGGAAGCGATCAAAATACTATCAGCTACGCGCTCGGGTGCTTGTGGCGACTATGTGCCGCTCCAGTGGACAGAATCTATGACGATTCGGCAGGAGGGAGTGCATCTCAAACAGCAATACATGTCAGATACGTCAGATTTCGTGTATACCACGATGGTTATGCAATGATATTAGGAGATGACCCTTGGTGCTGTTTGAGTATGTCTTTTGTTCTCCTACAATGGTCGCGGAGTGGGGACAAACACGGGATGCAACCAAACAATCCCCACCGCCACTTGCTCTCTCTTCTTAGACCCCGTTTTAACGGGCTATGAATACGGATACAGAGCTCAAAAGCTAGCTACAGGCGCTGCGGTACGGCACTAGAGAGGTATTACGCGGTGGTTATGAAGAAGAAAGCTACTATTTCCACAGAAAGCTGATTCCACAATCAATGCTTACATGGTCCATTCATAGACAGCGTTCGCAGAATGTGTTAACCTGCGCTTGTACTCCATAATGTAGCATGCGACCACATGGAACTGGTAGCGAATACTCGATTGCCTAGATGCTTTGTAATGAAGTTTAAACCCTATAACAGCTATATAACTTCCCCCATTGTCTCTCAAGAAAACAACACCATGATGAAACAAGCAGCCTAAATCAGCAACTATGACAAGCCTCGACCTTACCTGGGAAACCACCTCGAGCGGCTCAGATGAGTGGCGGTTGCTAGCTTTTACCACGCTCATGTTCCTAGATGCGACGCTTCCGGAATTCATGTGAGTTCAATTCGTAATGCCACTCTGTACACTACTATTGTAATACTAGCGATTTCTGTTAGAGAGATTGCTAGCACTTCCCTTCTCGACACCGGTGCTACTGCGCGAGTGGATTTTGTTATTCGCGAGAATGCCGATCGTCGCAAGCTGAAATTCCTCCGCGGCAACATTCTGCCAGGCGATAACGATGAGCAGAGACTTGTCTTTTTCATTAGCGGAATTCTTAAGCATCAATTCCTTGATTTTGCTCCTGACAAAGTCATTCAATCACCAAAAGCCTCTGTCGCCGGGGAAACGGATATCGTTGGTGAGTACCATCGTCCACAAGTCTTATCAATACTAACTTGATCCAAGTACTTGGGGCATCTGATGTCTTCACTGGCATTGCGGGTCTTCTTAAAGGATTAGGTAGCCTGGTCGACCCTATCAGCTCAATTACCAAGCTTGTAGAGTCTATTCGCGATGGAGGGGAGGTCAATATCGAGTACGAATTTACGGAGCGCCTCGGGGACAAGCCTGCAACAGCAAAGTTTAAGATTGTAAAAACTCGGGCTAGGGCAATGGAGAGAGCACTCAAAGCGCTAGAGAAGTTTGCCCAGAGACCAGATTCTAGAGCCGCAGCTGGAAATGCTGCTGTTGCGCTGGATTGGGAAGAAAGTCAGGAGGCCAAAGACTTTGTTAAGAATCATCCGATGACCTAGGTTTGTTTTGGGATAGGGTAGTTGAGGGTAATTGACACGAGCCGTGGCTCACATGTCAAGGACCGACTGCTTGCTTGCTTGCTTAGGACTAGTTTAGTACTATACTACTCATTCCAAATCCTAAGTTTGCATCTTATGTATACATCGCTGCGTTTATATAATCTAGCTCAGGGACTGACGCAGACAAACACTGGAATAACCTAGTACCGAAAGAATTCTGAGACCGTGTGAGTATGAGTAGGGAATACTCATTGTAGCGGTGTCCATGAAACTTAGACTCGAATGGAACAATGGCCCAAATACGTGAAGAATAATTGACATCAGAATAGCGTTACACAAATAAATAGGCAAACACAGATTCCAGTATACTGGATAATGAGTCAATGCTGGGGAATCTAGCCTATGTGTATTCTTTTTCTGAGACTCTCCACAATGCCCACTGGTGATCTATTGGAAAGCGCCAGCCTAGCTTTTGCTCCTCAGCTACTTTCCCATACAGTTAATTGGAGATCCTTAAACAGTACCAAATGTACGCAGAACCTTGATGATACCCCGTGCTTGACGGTGTAATGCCATATAAACCATCGTTCCTGGGAGGGCATAAACTGCTCCTCGACCTGCACGTTTCGTTATAGATATCGATCTGGGCTTTATCGTTGTCTCGATCAATCTACCCCGCATTGTAGGTCGTCATCTTCCTGATGTCCTTGTTCACAGAGACAACACGTAAAAGGCAATTCATATATATGCTGGCCGTGAGTAGGGACTTTGCATTAGACTCTGAGGCCACATTATCACCTTGCGCGTGACTGGGGTACGCTTCCATCCAACCAGTCCGGGAACTCTATTATAGCCAACCAATTGTGCACGAGGAAAGGAAGAGGTTGCAACGTAGGTAAGCTGTTGAACTACCTACGGTCGTGTGTGTGTGTTTCCCCAGTTACATCGGTGAACTTTATGTCCTCGAATACGTTGACATTTCATGTTTCTTTGTGTTTCAGCTAGCCTCCGCAGCTGCTATCTTCAGTAAGTGCCGCCTTGGTTGCAGTCTCCTGGTCTTTCTTGGGCCATTTGGTGCACCCGTATTCCTGCCGCAATGGAAGAGAGCTATATCAAGGACGTAAATCATGACCGCACTGGGCGTATGTCAGCTATCTTGAGTTTCAAGTGACATGTTGCACAAGGCGGCTGAACACAAAACACCGAAACGAAATACATTCTTACTTATTGCAACAACAATACAAAACAAGTGGCATTATTGAATATCAATAAGGTATCAACTAGCAGAGCTGCAAGTTCCCCATCGAACCAAGTTGGAGAAAGATTCTCATGCTGAACGATATGACTTTGAAAACTCCCAGATGATTGTCATGGTAGCGTAGGCAACCATAAGTTCAGAAAGAAAAAAAATCGATAAGCCAAGCCTTCCTGGAACTGACACCCTAATTCTTCAACAATAAGGCGTTATCATGGTCCAACTTCTAATTGTCCAGATGCATGGGATAGTCCCACAGCTTGGACAGCTTCAACTCTCCCAAGGTTGTCGCCCACCAATAATCGTCCGTATAATCAGTATCCTTACCCATCCTGCGTTTAGTGATATCCTTCCGACGAGGCGCAACAGAGCTTCTATTCTCGGGAAACTTGAACAGAGGGGCAAGCACCTGGTCCCCGCGGGCCGACTCTAGGGTCGGCGCATAACTCCAGGCTTTATAGGAAGACTCTGACGGAGTTTTCTTGTCATGCCAGGCTTGATACACCTCGTCCGCAGAAGCCTGAACTGCTGATAGGCAAAGCTGCTGGTTCTGTGAATTGGCCTTGTCAAGGAGACGCTTGTCGCCGTAGACCATGAATGAGTCACCACTGGGATTTTTGACGGAGATGCCGAGTGCGCAGTCTTCGTCATGCATATACTAAATCAGAAGTCAACTTATATTTGCGGGATAATACCTCGGAAGCCAAAGGGGGAAAACAACCTTGCAGCACAAGTCGGCGGTGAAGTTGATGCTGTCATGCAGCGCGCGTCGAGGAGCGCGAAGATGACCAGCGGAGAAGGAGTCTTCCAGGAAATGATCCGCAAAGGCGTTCAGAGCATACGATAATCGCAAGTCGCTACCTGGAGTCGCGGCATATTTCAGCGCCTCGGCATGGCCTGTGTTGTAAGCTGTGCGTGCATCCTCCCCAAAATGGTCCCAGTTCCTCTGCGCGAGCATCACGTAGCTCGGATAATCTTTGCCACGAGTTATCGTTATCTTTTGAAGCTTGATGTTAATGCCCTTTAGCTTGCTTAAGGCTTTAGAGGGATCCTTTCCATCCTTCAAGGCGGTATTCACGGCTTCCACTTCCTCTTGCAGCAGGTCTAGAATGGCTGTAGCTTCACTAGGTTGTCGATTTGTATCGACAGCCAACTGATTATACGCCAAAATAAAACGATGGGCTCGGTCCTCATCGTCTGCCCCATCGCTAATGGGTTTAGTCGTCCCATAGAAATCGCCTGCGAGTCCGTTGATTTGGCCGTAAGTCAACTGGAGCTTGTTGGGCAGAGCAAGCGGGACGAGAGCTGCTGCTGTCGCGTTACCGCCCTCGAGCTTGAGTTGAACAGAATCTCCCAGGAAGCTATGCTCGGCATATTCAAACTCTAGGTTTCTCCTCTCAGATCAGTTCTTTCATCAAAGTAGTCGGTGTTTGAGTTCTAGACCCACGTACCCTTTCCATCCCTGGGTGGACCTGTCTTGGAGGTCGAGGCCGGGATGAGGCGCGTCTCTCGAAAAACGAGGAAGGCCTCATCATCGGCGGAGGCATCACCGTTAGCACTGATCTGAGTCATCTTAACAGACTGTCGAAGTTTAGTTGTTAGAATTTTGTTTTGGGAAGAGAGTGAGCAATAGTGGTATGGGGTGGCCCTTATTTATAACCCTTTTGTATGGGAGAGAAAACCAATACTACCGATTTTTACGGGTTATCTGTCGGAGAAAGATGACCACGAGTGAATCATCATCCCACCAAAAAACCGTCTCTTAGTGGACTGGTGGGATCGTGATGCATGCAGTACATCCTCTTCGTTGTATCGGCTGGGCCAACAACCAGTTCGCCTGCACCGTCCCCCTCAATAAGGCAACGGGACCTGGCTGTATTTTGATACACTCACGCAAGAGATCCTGGAGCTTGCTCCACCAACCATCCCACCAGACCAAGAGGAGAGCATCATTTCCAGCTTGTCCACTCATCAGACTGAGCACTTGATGATTCGTTCTGGACAACAGATGGGTATGTATGTGCCAGAATCAACATTGCGTCTGGGTCACGAAGTAGTCTTGCTATTAATACATAGTGGATAATTTACGACTTTTTCCTTAGACAGTTTAGACACCTGTTTCTAGCACATATGACCTTTTCGTTAGAGAGATGAGAAGATAACTTATGCATAGTCGAAGAGTCCCATCACGGCACAGAAAAGGGTCTTAACAAAGAGAAAAGAAAAGAAAAGAATATATACAATAAAAATAGAAATAAAAAAAAATAGAAAAAATTATAGAGCGGCAAGCGGCGCGGTAATATTAGCTAATATTACTATCCAAACACCAGGGCTTATATCTTACTATAATAGCGGCAATCTGTGCACCAGGACTTTTTGTCATCTGAAAAATAATTTAACTCCTCAAGCGCTCAGTACAAGGGTTTGTATCTTGCCGTCAGCGGCGACAGTTACTTCTTCAAAACCTGTACTCCCTGGCTGGATAAGTCGCCACCAGCCAAGCTGGTGGCTTTCTTTCAGCTGGTAACCAACGACTACTAATCATATAATGGCCCACCCGCATGCATTCGTCCAGTTCGTCGTATGCCATGTCTGCAGGCAGTAATCTTCAGCTTGCAACTTTCGCTCTTTGCATGACAGCAAGGGTTGCGCGGGAAACACTGCAGCCGATGAGATCCAATAAGCGCTCATGTGCACCCTGGTTCCTCGGCGCAATCGGGCAAACGAAATAGTGACTAAGCCTGTCGTGGCCCCTTGTACGGATCCCCAACGAGGACAGGACGGGTAACATCAAATTATTCATCGGTACGAATTGAGTATCCACAAGATTCATTGGCCGAGCTTTCACAATCCACTTGGCCTATACATGAGCAAACCTGCAGAGAAATGGTACGGGGGCTTCCGTTTGGTTCGCTCCGTCTGCAAGTTCCCAGCCTTGTGTCGTCATGGATTGAAAATCCGAACACAAGGTCTTGACATGTTGACGGCTGAATGCGGGGACTGCGTCTGTGTTCCTCCCCGGGTTTGCAGGTATCGCGAGCAGATCCGGGGCATTGTCTTGAAATGTCCATGTCCACTGTTTGAGAACAAGCACATCATGAGAAGAGAGCCAGCCGGCCTAGGGGAGGGACGAAAAGTTAAAAGGGCAATCCAAACTGGGAAGTCCCTTGTACCAAAATCATTAGACCTATCAATCATGCCTTCCGAACTCAAGGAGAGACGCTTCCCGTTTCACGGCGAGGACATTGAATACATATTGTATTTGGAGCTTGAGTTGCTGAAAGCCCAAAGAGCCACGTCAAGGCCATGCCTGATACCATCCTCGCTGAACTGCAGTGACACGCCTTCTACCTTGGACCTGAACCTATCCGAAGGAAACTGTAAGTTCATCTACTGCAGCATGTCCGAGAGGACGTCCCGGATGCCAATCGGCAAGAATCAGAGGTTGTCACTCAGTACAGTCGCCTTTGACCGTGGGCACACCAAGAAGAAGCATGCTCAACTGCCTCAGTGGCGGAGAGAGATGAATCGTTTCGTCAAGTCTGTTCCGTCACTCGAGACGTGGGCTGCCAAGAGGGTTAGCTGTGGATTCTCTAGCCCCGCGAGTAACCATGCTGCTCTTCAACTCATGCTAGGGTCATCTGTCAGTGTGGCATATCCAAACGATAATGGGATCATGAGTATGCCGCCGCTCGCGTCGTCGGATAAGTCCGATATGGTTATGAGAGGATGCGAGTACGGGGTGTTGGCTAGTACCTGCTCTTTGAACGGGAGGCTTGCCATCCTGGTTGGCAAATTCCAGAAGGTCATCTTCATCTGCTACTGCACGGTGTTGCTTGCGCTAGGCAATTCCAAGAAGACAGTCAACTGGATGATGCGCCAGTACATAAGTGACTCGGACGATAAAAACCTTGAGCGATATCGCCTCGGCTGCCTATGGGTGAATCGCTGTGCCTCAAGCCTGCTGAGGCTGGGATGGGGATACAAGAGCTGGGAGCTTTTTGTTCTCTGTAAGCTGTGATCGATTGCCGCCCCAAGTCATGATCCGTCCAATTAACCCTCAGATGGTACTCGCTAGGTGCACAGGCTCCTCATCAATACGGACGGTTCTCTGACTACAGCGAGAGCATCAAGGTGTTTACTGAGGCTATTGGGCCGGCCGAGGTGCCCATTTTTGAAAATGGGTGGATCCCATACTGCATTCCATGCATCATCAAATGTCTTGCCGGCGATAGCATCGAGTATGAAACTACCCGTTCCCTTCTCCATGCGCTACTTTTAACACCTTCTTCCAGGCTGTCCAAAATCTGCGAGTGCCTTGGCTACGACTTTGACCTCATTGCAGACATTTATCGTAACTTCTTCGATCCCTTTGACTACAATGGTTTGATGGTGTCACTACGAGATTTCAACTGAAGTCTTTCAGTGACCGGGTCTGATATTGAATGAACACCATGTCACGACAGTCTCCTATTAACGCATATATGGTTAGTGTATCAATCCTGGTCTAGTTTATAAGGGTTGTACAACCTGCTACTTTTTAACATCCAATCTATGTAGCTTTGGCTCTGCGCTGTATAAGAGATTTGTAGAATATGACTAAGATTATGTTAGAATATAGCTTTTTAACTTGCTTACTTATATTAAGCTTTCTAAAGCACAAATTACCTGCTTTAGATTTATTATAAAATTGCAATTAAAGGCCGGATTTTATGAACATGCCTTAGATTCTGAAGGATTGAAATATCAAGGCCCAATGTCACGTGTTGGGTAGCATCAATGTCTGACTGCCTCGAGCTGTTCGTAGCCGCTCATCTAACTATCTATATCAGTGTAAAGGCAGTCACCCGAAAGAACCCACAATGGTATATGGAAGCTGAATGAGGATCCTCCGTCAATGCTTGTGCTGATGAAGAATAGGATTATCCTTTTGTGCATGGACGACTGCCCTACGGATGGCTGGACGTCCCCGTATACTGGCCCCAGCGACTGATCCATATACCTAGCATGACTTCGATCTCTCGAGACGATGGCAATATATACAAGTACAAGGATATCATGGCAAAGGAACCAGAATATGGCACGCTATCGTATACATGGGGCCGTTGGAGGGTCAAAGACAAGCCCGACGCCCCACCAGTGCTGCCTATTAAAAACACTCCTTGGCAAATCCCTGCAGTAGAAGAAGCACACTTTACCACGGAAAATTTCCAAAAGGTTATTCAAAACATACACAAAAGTGGCGTCGACTGGGTTTGGATAGACGTGGGCTGCATTGACCAGCGCCGCGGTAGTACACAAGCAGCTGTCGAGATAGGCCGACAGGCCAGTATTTTCAAGCAAGCAAAGTCTACCTTTGTTTGGTTATCTCGTCTCGATTGTATACAGCTCGCTCAGGCTATCGATGATATATTGGACTATGGCGGCCAACTCTACGATCACATTGACATTGGCATCGAGGGCGTTGATTTTGATAATGTCATGGATAAGCTTCAAACCGTGTCCGAGTACCTCTTTTCTGATCCGTGGTTTTCGTCTCTATGGACTCTGCAAGAAATTGTTCTCCGAAACGATGCTATTGTTCTTTCTACTGAGGGAGAGTCTGTGCCATGGAAGGTAGCGCGCCAAGACCAGCGCACATACATGACGATGTTGATCAATCACTGCCAGAATGTCTACACTTCCTTGGAGAAGGCAATTGAAAAGACAAAAACAGTTTATTCTGAGCAATACCCGGAGAAGACGATGAACGCAATTCAGCGCGTTAAGCAGCTCATACTCCAGGTCGGATTCTATTATCTGTTTAGCACCAACCCTAACGTACAGTTTGGCACAGCTCGCTACCGCACAACGAAAAGAGCTGAAGACCGCATCTATGGCATCATGCAAATTTATAACCTCTGCGTTGGAAGGTCAGCGAGGCCAGAAGAAAATCCATCCATGGAAGAGCTGGTCATTGAATTCGCAGCAGCCATCAACTATAATAGCGCCATATTGGGCCAGTTCTTCGTCCATGTTTCGCGACCAAAGCGAGGGTATACTTGGCGGATTACAGAAGAGTCGACAGTTCCGAACTCGCTTATAATGTACCGAGATCCAAATGACATGGCCACCATCAATGTTGATTTAGATGAGAATTGCATTGCCGCCGGTAAATGCTGTCAGCTTCCCATGTTGTTATCTGCAGCTAAAGAAGCCGGAGACATAGCACCATCACATGCTGTGGACGGATGGGGCCTTAAATTCGAAATCCTCCTTGACAACCACATCAATGACGCCGCATCATTTAACGCAGCTAATCAACAACACTTTATGGAGCGGCGTAACTCTGGTACGGAAATTGATTTAAAGGACGTATTGGTTTTGTGGCTGGGAAACGTTCAGGCGGAGTTCTCCTATCGATCTAATACTTATTTTCGCCGCAATGTTGGCTTGCTCTTGAGTGTGCAGAACCACAACACCGGAGAGGGCGTGTTGCATTACGAGCGCCTGGGTATCGCGGTTTGGACGACAGGTGAAAAGTCAACGCCTTTTGAAGTACCCATTAGAAGCATTCCTTGGGAATGGTACGACCAATTAGTATTGAAATGACGCAGAGTATGAAAGATACAGCTGTTTCGCTTTGAACAAGTCCATTTCTTTATAAGATGAGAATAAAGAGCTAAGGAGCAATGTAGGCCTTGGGGCCTGAAGAACAAATATGCTGTCTTCATTGAAAACGCGAGTAGTCAGTCATTAGGGAAAAGAATATCTGAAATCCATCGCAAGCGATAAAAGAAATAGAAAAAGAGACGAAAATAGAGCAACCAAAGATAAAGAGCAGGGTTAAAGGGGAGGTGGAAGAAGAGAGCAGCGTGTTCTTTTCAACCTCGAAGAAGCCACTTCACTCCTATTTTGTTACTTTTTGCTCAAAAGACACACAATTCGATGTTTGATAAGTACGATGGTACGATGTGGTCAATTTGTATAGAGATGTGTACTGTCTTAGTTTATTCCAGTGCTCGCTACAGTAGCCCAATCGAGTCAGCATTTAGACAAGCGCTTAGCCCGGTGTATCGATTAGCCGAAATAACAATAGATGCAATAGTCGCGCTGATCGCCACTTGGACTATCCCCCTAGGACAGCTTATTAACATGGGCGTCCGAGCTTATATAAAAGCTGCCTATGGCCGAGCCTATGGTGAAAGCCGCAAATACTTATCCCACATATCAAACCTTTTTTACAGCCCGTGTTTCTGTTTGCGGTGTTGAAAAATATAATTCTCCAAAATATATTAGTACTCTTTGCAATACCAGCGATTTGATCATGAGCAGCTCTTATTGTTCTTACCTTACTTAGATTATGAAACGAACAACGCAATTCTAATTTCTAGATCTTTTGGACAAAGGAATGCGTTCATCCTTCTATCTGGGTTAATTCTTACAAAAGCCATCAATGAATACACGGATTGGAAGACGCCAATCGACATGTTGACATTCACTATTGGTTGGATGGACACGAGAGCGAGAAAATGGCGGATAAGGCTCTGGTTGCATGAGTCTTATCGAATGACACAGGAGAACCCCGTTCGTTCCAAGGCGTAACTGCCGCACTTGGGCGCAAGGCCGACGGGTAATTCTCCAACTTAGCTGGCTATTCGATTTGTGGAACTGTTTCCCGAAGACCCTGACTCGCTCAATTATTACAGGTCTTGCGGGGGAGATTTGGAAGTTTCACTTAGGTCGTTTATCAAGCAAATAGCAGTACTGCTAGCAGCAAAGAACAGCCTACAAGATGAATACATGGCAATCAGTTGCCAGAACATTGCAACTACACCACCTTTCAAATGGAAGAGCCTTGTGCTCTTGTTGTGTAAAATAGATTTTCGCCGCCAACCGTTTCAACATTTTCTATTCTTGGACTTGTCGGCCCTACGGATCCACTCAAGCATGAATAGCGCCCGCAGAAGGTTATCTCTTCTACTTTTCGACTAGCAACAACCGGCCACACGAACCCACTAAAGCAAGCATAAACGGCGCCCACAGCAGACTATCGCCAGCCTTATGTGTGATCATCAAAGAGAGCAAAGAACAATAGGGACCACGAGATGTAAAAACGTACGAAATGAAAACATGTACGCTACTTCAATAACGAAAGAGGCGAATACTAGCGTCATTACGCCGTGTTCACTTGAGAGCTTTGTGCTGATCAACTGAGAATTCTCCGTTGTCTTTCACAGACCTTGACTATGTATGCTTTTTGATTGCTATCTTATTTTCCTCATTCGGCGTTGATCGCATTGTCTGGATAGTTTCTTTTTTAACGGGGCAACTTAATGCGGGCGAGTATGGTTTGCCCTTTCCATATATGGCAAAAGGTGTCTTGGTGTGGCATACAAGCCATAATTTGCCGCTATTATAGCGTTCGCTATTCTTTTTACGGTTATAGAGCCTCTCACATATTTGTTTCCTTTCATGGTAGCTGAATCATGATATGCGTACCTACCTCGCTACGTAGGCATTAACAACGCCGAGAACTTATACACTTAGGAGGAAGGCTTGAAAACGTATCAGATCAGTCTATTTTATGCGTATACAGAATGGTGTTCTCTGTCTTTTCTCCGCAGTTAGAATGCAAATATATTGGGTTCCCCAACTGCGCTTTTAGACCTCTTTCTTGCATTCAATGTATACTATTAGGTTTTTTGGTATGATCAAAAGCACTTTTGAAAACAATGATTGTCATTACCTTGGCGGTATTAGGGGCAATCTACCTCGTCTACAGAGCGATTTGTCCAAAACCAATTCCAGGAATTCCCTATAATGCCTCCGCGATTCGCTCGCCGCTTGGCGATGTCCCTGGTATGATACGAGACATAACATCGACGCCAGGCCTTTACTTCAACGATTGGTGCGCCAAGCAGTCTCAGAAACTGAACTCGCCATTATGTCAAGTCTTCTTAACACCCTTTTCCAAGCCTATACTTCTACTGGCAGATTATGATGAGGCTCTGGACATTGGGTCCCGCCGTACGGATGATTTCGACCGTGGCACTTTCATGGCGGACAGCTTTGCAGCGTTTGGAAACTTCCACACGCGTATGCCTACCGGCCCGGAGTTCAAAGCAAGCCGTCGCTGGCTTCAAGACTTGATGGCCCCGAGCTTTCTGAATGGCTTTGTGGCGCCAACCACCTATGCCTTGGTATCACGATTGGTGGAGTTATGGCGAACCAAGGCCCGTCTGGCTGGAGACAAGCCCTTCAGCGCCGGCACGGATCTCGATCGTGCCAACTTCGACATAATGGCACGTTTCTTCTTTGGGGAGCATTTTGGACGCTCGTCAATAGACGCGCAAATCGAACTTTTATCCGACGAGAAAGCTCCAGAAGTTGGGCCGCGTGGAGAAGCAGTCTTTCCAGAGGGCGCCATCGATTCAGTATTCTATACGCTTCATGATGCGGGACGAACAGTGACACAGATGATGACCTCTTTGTGGCCAAAACTGACTCTGCACTGGATCCCTTGGACTGCTGGGTATAGGAGAATCCAGGCGACGAAAAGGCAATTAACCCGCGATCAAGTCCAAAAGTCCATAAAGCGAGTTCGCGCGGGCGAGAAATCAGCTGGGATTGATTACATGCTATCACGAGAACTGGCTGTCGCTGAGCAGGAAGGCCGAGAACCTGATTTTTACAATGACATGATTATGGCTGAGGTGAGATGAACCAATTCACAGACATTAAAAGGCCAGCTACCCTAACAAGATCTCAGTTCCTTGGTATTGCTTATGCAGGCATGGATACCACAGAAGCCAACATCTCCTGGGCGTTGAAGTTCGTCATAAAGCACCCTAAAGTCCAAGAAAACCTACGCCACGCTCTTCACTCTGCTTATCCCTTAGCCGTCCAGGAGAATCGACTTCCAACTGTGGCCGAATTTCTCCGCTCCACAAGTATCCCGTATCTTGATGCTTTAATAGAAGAAACAATCCGCCTCCACCCTGTTCTTTCTACGAGGGACGCAATCCGTGATACGGAAATCCTTGGCCATCACGTCCCCAAGGGCACTACAGTTTTCCTTCTCCCCAACGGACCCAGTTTCTTGTCGCCCCCCTTTCCCATAGCTGAGAACAAAAGAAGCTCTACCACCCGTGTAGTAAAGCCTTCAAAGAAGTGGAATGAGACGGACATGGCATCATTCAATCCTGAGCGCTGGCTAGTCCGTAACGCGCAGCGTGATGTCGAATTTGACTCAACTGCAGGGCCACAGTCAGGATTCGGCCATGGGCCGAGGGCCTGCTGGGGTAAGCGAGAGGCTTATCTAAGGATGAGGATTGCCCTGACATTGCTTGTATGGAGCTTTGACTTCCTGGAGGTGCCCGAATCGATGAGTAGCATGGTAGCACGTCCTGTTTTCGTTCACACGCCGGAAGAGATTTTCATTCGGCCAAGACCCCGAGTGTAACATTGAACTATAGAGTAGAGGTGGTAGATAGGAGGTTTCATGCATTACGTTGATTGGATATATCCCATTATGGGTTCGAAACACAAGTCAATTGAGGTATAAAAACTAATTAAACAAAGTCTTGAAAAGTATCGATTTATTTTACAGCCCAATCTCCTGTAGTTGTAGAGTTTATGTCCGTATGTTATGACTGAGCTTGACCAATAAATCTCAACCATTCTCCCACTCCAACGGTAAGCTGCTCGCAGATTTTGTCATCAATAAGCCCTCGCTGCCAACTAATCTCGATATTTATGTCGCCAGCCTTAATGGCCATAGGACTAATATGAATGAAAGCCTCTGTGACATCAGCGCTCAACGAGAAGACTGCTCGCGAAACAGACCAACCTTTTGGGTCTGAGACATCCTTTGGCATGTTATCGTTGTTCGCATCTTGCGTCTGTGCTACCTCTGCTGTCCCAAGCTTTCCGTCCATTACTCCCAGATTTGTCACATTCCATGCCACCGACCTCGGTTTCTTGAGATCCTGTTTCATCTGTGATCGCCAATCTCCCACAAGGCCCATTAAACCGACAATGTCGTTTTTCAAGCCTAAATCCAAACGCTCTTGAATCTCGCCACGGACCCGAGCGGCTGTTGCCCATAAAACCTCCGTCAATGCGTCAGTGCCGGCAAGTTTTTGCAAATTTGGCTCGCAATCCACATTTGAAGGTATAGAAGATTCGCGATATTTTGCAGCCAGCTCGCGGATCTTCCTCACCAAAGCCTCATCGAACTTGTGTATCTGCCGAGAGACAAAATTTGCCATTGTTTGATCAGCCTCAAATTCCAAGGGACCCTCTGAACTTGAGGGCATATGCCGTCTCAAGTTGAGCGCCGTGACACTTGCAAAAGCAGGCGCTTCCTTGTCCACAAGCTGTGTTGCCAGGGAGATGAGGACGGCTGCATGTAAAAGGCCTGTAAGAGTTGTCTTGTTCTGACGGCATGCGGAGAGAACATTCTGCAGTGAGCTGCTGTCAAGCGATATAATACGTTGAGTCGTTTCGTACGGTTCGAGGCGAATTGGCGCCCATGTTGCGTTCGTAGAATGCTCGCTAGAGAGAAAAGATGGTTTCAGCTCTTGCCATGCGGTAGCAGCGGCAAAGCCTAGCGAGATGGGAAATTTGACCATCTTCTCCATTGGTGGAGGCAGACGCTCCGCTATTGCACTCAGGCGAAGTACATGATTTTGTAGCAGTGGACTTTCGGTCACGGATATAGGATCATTCAGATGGCGCAACACTGTTTCCTGGAAGATCTTTCCGCTCATGCCGTCTGCAATGGGATGGTTCCAGACAAACATTAGGTCGAGGTGGGACAGATTTCGTCTTGACCTGAGCACTACTATTCTCCAGGCTGGTCGAGTCTGAAGATTCGAGAACTTGGTGTCAAGTTGTTCTCTGAGACTGCTGTCATATAGAGCCTGGTACTCCTCTGTCGAGCCTTCTACCAGCAGTTGCCATTGGATATGGTGGGCGAGATCAAAAGTTTCAAGCTGGACCCAATGGGGGCACTTTGAGTCCTCGTCGACAAGGCCAACTTGGAGAAAAGGATGTTGGAGGACAGCTGCGGCTATTGCTTGCTCTATTTTATTCATAAGCTGTTCCTGCGCGCTCTCATCCACAAATTCGCCAGGAATATTGAAGCGGCAGGTAACAATTGTACTGCGATACAAACCAATCAAATGCAAGGCCGACTGAAAACACTCTCTATCACAAGCGGAGAGGTCAGCGACGTAGCTGGTAGTAGGTAGAAGATGGAAACGTACAGATGTCCCAATGGACGAATGAACTTTGCGCCTACATTGGTGCGGTCATGCGATTCTGGTTCCCTCTTCATTTTGAGCGATTCCAACTTTTGACGTTACAAAAGCTGTTTATTAAGGAGCATTGACCGCCTTTGTTCACCAATTGACAGATCGTTATACGGGGGTGTTTGTAACAGCGCGAAAGAATTGAATGGGCTAATTATCCAGTAAGTTATGAAAAGAAAGTGGACAGCGCTGGACTCAGACCATGGGGAATTAGTTTGATAAGCTCACGAACTGGTGATGAGTTGGATTCGTATATTTACTTTAAATCATGGCTTACGCGGCCTTTCGTCTTTGCAGTAGCATCGTAACCATAAACTAACGCTATTCTGGAATTCGACGTCGCTAAAATAGGGCGGTTCTAATTCGACCCCTGCAAGATTCTATAGCATGTGATTGAGCTTTTTAAACATAACGCAAGGTAGAATAGACTCGGTTGTCAATTCTGACGCTAGAGTAACTATGTAGCTTATCTGTTGCATCGGTGTCTGCAGAATCTATTAGATATTGATTGTTAGTAAATTAGGAATAATTGGATTGTGTTTCTCTATTCTACCAAAGGTGTAGTCAAGTCGTAATTGTCATGGGGAGAAACAAGCTCAACACACTCAGCTGTCTGTTAAAAAAACGCTGCACTGTATAATCTTCTGGCTTAAAACATGGTTGCTGAAGTAAGCTAAGTAAGCTAAGCTTATTAGTTGCCCTGCTTGGAAATAGAGCTTTGGATGAATTGATTAATTATACTAAAGGAACTATCTTAATATTATTATTATTAATTGTTCTTTTTACCTTGTAGATGGGTGTAAGTCGGGCTGCGATTTGGGCTGCGAATCGCGTTGGGATCTGGTGAACGTTAGGCCGTGCAGCGATTTGTGGAAATGGCCATTTCAAATAGGCTGCCACCACGCACCAATTCAGCGCCCAGAGTTATCTTTTCTAAAAACAATTAATTGTATGTGGCTGGTTCCTAAGTGGGAGATGGCAGGCTTCACTTATCAATGACGAGCATACGGGATCGTAGCTATTATTAGTTTCCGACACTCTTCCATACCTGTTATCCATTTAAGGCGCCTTTTTGGCCCGCACTTTGTTTCTCAGGCTCGGTTCAACTTTAATACTCTGTTTATGGTCTTCATAGTGGTCTGGCATGCTTAGTACAGGGGAATATAATTGTACATGTATAAGACCTACGGAACGTCGGCACTGTCAACTTCTCGGCTCACAGCCCATCTACCGCCGATCTTATTGCTACCCTACTAGGTATTTACATCTGTAAATGCCGATACATGTACAGTGAAAACGGAAAGTAACAACTAGTCTTTTGGTGGATTACTAAATGCTTAAGGAAATGTAAGTATATCCGTCTATGTTTAATATATTAACCATATAATATCCCATAAGCCTAACCCTGGAGCAAACTACAGGAAATGGCTTCTGATTACTTGTTTTTTTCATGATGAAATACTCTAGTTTAGATATTTTGGTTTAGAATTGCGACCGCTACATGAAAAACTAAAGCTGAAGAAATTCTGTAACATGTGGTATGGATGGTTACGTTTGTCACTCTCACCAATAGCACAAACTTACATGCAATTTCATCATCACAACTAGTCGAATAGCTGCTTGGATCTCATTTTCTTGAAGCTCTGGACTTCGCTGGGCAAGACGTAAGCGGCATGAGTCTTTAATGACTCAACCCAATTTTGTTTCCTCGGGCAAGAACACACCTGAAAGATGATCTGGCCGGATTCCATGTATGTATTTGTAATTGTAGCTTGACAGACGCCATCCCGTGATGGATTGGTACTGGTGCGCTAGCTCCGCTTAATGTCAGCTATGCAAGGACGATGTTTAAATGACTATAATGTATCGAGGTCTTCTTCTTGAAAATCGAAGTGAATCGAAGTAAATGCTTCCAATGCTTCAATGCGCTCCTCAAAAGGTGAATTTGCTCGTTGCGAATCATCTCTCGTAAAACTTATCCGCTGATCATCCTCCGACATTTAGCCACTCCAAGTCTTTAGTGTCTCATTCGTTTAAAGATGACGTTGTGTCTGTCTACATAAGCAAGAATGTCAATTTGAGTAGCTATAGGTAGAAATTACTTCAAGTTCTATCATATGGTTGACAAGACATTGCTCATAAGGATAAACATTTCGCGGCGTATTCTTAGTGAGTCTAAAATTATCGATTCGATGCCGCACTTCCCTTATCGCAATAGCCCGCCTGTTTCCCACAAATTTGCCCTATCTTCATCCCAAATTAGCGCTTACAGAAACAAATTGATTTGTATTACTATCTGTGCTCCGCCGCATTGCTCTCAGTCTCTCCAAGTAGCAAGAACACCCACTTGTTAACGCATTTCCAAGTGCTGACCCCTCTTTCCATCGGTCCATAGCTGTGTAAACAATATATTCCTACTCTTAAACCCAAAGACAGAATCTTTTTCAACAACAGCAATGGATGCCGATAAGCGAGCAGCTCTTGATGTCTGCGTTCGGACTCTTGAGAGCCTGAAGGTGCCTGGTGCAGCAGGACGAGATCAGTTTCTATCCACTCTTGCCCCGCATGGAACTGCCTGCCATTCACGCTTCATGGTAAGTATAACATTCACATTGTAGTGATGCTGCATGTTTACTCTTGAAGACGCAAAATATTCACAGTAGGAATTGTGATAGATAAACAAGGGCTTCGAATATGAACAGTTTCCAGACGGCTTTGCAGGACGTATACCGTGGGACTCGATCAAAGCCGGCGAGCTTGAAGAAGGGCTTGATGGCGAGCCTACGGTGTTGGTTGATCGCGACCTTGCCATGGTTTGGACGCCATACTGGGTCACGCGCAATGATATTCTCAGTCACCTTGGAACTAATTGCTTCACTCTTATAAAAGCGGCCTGGGATGAAAACTTGCCGCAGGAAGTGGAGTGGAAGATTTGTGGTATGACCGACACTGCTCGGCCTCCAACAGATGAAGATAGAACACGGCTTGGGAAAGAGTAAATGAGTAAATCAGTAGTTTTAGTCCATCGAATAAATCTAGTCACGATAAGTTGTCTTTTGAGACGGATTACTCGCAGCTCTTTTGTTTGTATTCTGTAATTGTCCTTTGCACATAAGCTTGAGGTATTTACTGTTTCGAAACGCTGACGAAACCTGCATCCAGACTTTTGAATAAGTCCTCTCTCTCCATTCATATATATATGGCTTGAATCCTAGTAAGCCTCTTGCTGCGACATATATACTCCTCCCAGATAACAGACCGAATATGTCAAAAACCTCCCAAACCTCAGTTTTCAATGCTCCGGAAGCCATGTACCCTCTACTTGTTTGGCTCCTTCAATTGGTGTCATCCAACTCGGTCGATACTTGACAAAAAGCTCGACATCTGCCTTACAGTCTTCTACAGTTTGCAATCCATCAATTCCGCCAATCATCACCGACACCCATTTGTCGCTGAAGCTCGAAATGCGATACAACGTTGACCCACAATCTCCGCAGAAGTGACTTGTCATGGTATTGCCAGTAGCGACTTCTTTGGTATATGTTTTAAGTGTTCCTTGAAGAATCTTCAGCCCAGCAATAGGAAGACCTAGGTTGTTGGTATTTGTAGAGCCAGAAAACTTGCGGCAGTCAATACAATGGCATCGCATCTAAGAAACTTGACTTAGTAACACCAAAAAAGAGCGAACATGGATAGAAGTACCTTTACCGAAATGTCGCCCTCAAAAGAGACGCGATTTGCACCGCATAGACAACTTGACTCCAGCATGGTAGCTAAATATGGCGACTCTAAAGGTGTAGCTTGAGGTTCTGTCAGATGTGGTAAATTTTAATGCACGGGATGCTTCTATTCCGTTGTGAAAGAGCAACCGGCCATATTTATACTTTCACCTCATTCTAGCTCACAATGCCTTCGTATAGAGTTTGTGAAATTACCGAACCGTGAACCGTGAATCGGCTGACGGCTATGGTTATTAATCGTGACATGGTTACAACAGCCAACCCGCTAAATCGACAACGTTTTTGGAGTTGGATGCACCTGAGTCTGCTTACTGTCGCCGCCAACCAATGCCGTGTTACACTACCGTGTCAAAGCGTCTCTCATGGGCAACCCCAGTTCATATTATCGGGACGTCGGGGGATGAGGATGTCGGCATCAGGAAGTCGGGCAAGGTGGAAGTCGGTAGCCTCAAATAGGGCAGTAGATCCTTTTAGCCTTCTTTTCTTATATCTATTAGCCGTAAGATCGGATATAGGAGCTGTACGCATCTGCATGCCCGCACGGCTCGGCGGGCGACTGCCAACGTAAGCTGATTTCTTTGATTGGCTTTCTGCCATAAACTCCGACTCTCCTTGCATGGCTCGGATATAAAGCCTTAATCGCCAGGCCCGTATTTCGTAATTATTGCGATGCTGCTATTTAATGTCCTCTATTCTGCTAGAATATGGCGCGCCTCAAAGATTAGTCGCAGGAAAGGTTCTGCAAGATTTGAGTCCTCCGAAGAGTTGTCCCAGCTTATACACCAGCCCTAGCATTCACCTGTATGTCTTCTTTGCAACACTAAGGGAACTTAAAAATGGATTTATGAAATGGATCGTAATTAGTCTGACACTTGCATTTGGTCATTCTCTTCTCGGGAACGAAATCGATCTCACGTTTAAGATCTGCACCCAAAAATCTAATAGAGGGAGAAGACGATAGGAGGCCACGATGGGGGCTAGTAACAATAGTAAGCCACCATCTCGCCCGCCACTCAAATCACCATATTGCATTACCCACATAATGCTTGCCGATATCCTTCGCTAATACAAAGTCCGGTGATAAGTCTCATTATCCAAATGCAGTAACGCTGGATCAACTCTTGAGTCAAACAGTATGTTCATTTAATCTATAATTACTCGCTTAGCTTTCTATTTGCGTATCTCTTCAACCATCTGGCTCTTGTAGGTAACTACTTCATCTCCATATTCACACATCCTCTCTACCATCCTCTTAGTTATCATTATCCAGCTAGCAGACTCAACTGGTGGCAAAGGTAGACCTTGCTCGCAATTTCGCGCCGAAAAAGTATATCATAGTCGTTCCAATTATACCTGCCACACTTATACCGGCCAACAGAGAAACACCCCTAGCTACCCCCAAGTTGACGAACAACGGCCTGGCGAAAAGCACGGCGCCGCCAGCAAGAGTTGATCTCAAGACACTGTTACCAGCAAAAAGAGATGCAGCATATTGCGGATACGACATTGGAAGGTAGATGAATAACGATTGCATAACGATAAATTCTCCGCAAACAAAGAGAGCGACGCTAATTAAGCATACGATCCAATGCACTGATTCCCTGGCTGTCCACGCAAACATGAACATGCCCACCGGGAGCAAGACTGAGCCAAAGATTGCTGGTACAAGTCTGTGCTCTTGCGCTCGCAGGCCGTTTTTGATGTTGTCCGGAATCATATAGAAATGAAGATATGCAAAGTATGAGAATAAAGCAGTCGTGCTACCGATGAGACATGACACAAATGCAAGTCCAGTTTCGCCTTCGTTGAAGCCATATATAACCGGGAAGACAAGCGGGAAGACCTCGAAGAATGTATAGAAAATTGCATAGAAGTATGCTGTGTAGACATGGATGAAGAAAATAGAGGGATCCTTGAGCATAATCTCCGTCGGTCGGATGAGGACAGTTTTGACAATGCTATATGTGCTGATATGCCGTTGGTTGATCTCACTCTGAGACTGCAGATTGGCGTTGCCAGTCAGCTTGCGAAGGCGGCGTGCGCGGCGCAGCAAGATGTTATCCGCCGATGTCTCAGGCATAAGAGTCAAAAGCAGTACCAAGATGATTGACGAAAGCCAGACAACTTCCCACATTGGCCACCTCCAGCCCTTTGCCTGAGCTGCGAAGCCACCGATCAATGGCCCTATGGAAGGCCCTTGGTAACCTCCAAAAGCCCACCAACAGAGACCGTAAGGAACGTACAGTAGACTGTAGATGTCACCAACAGAAGCTCCGCCATTAGCAAGCGCTGGGCTGCCAAAGAATCCCAGCAGAAATCGTAGGACCAGCAAGCCTCCGAAGCTGTTGACAACTGGTGGAGCAAATGAGAGCGCCCAGTAGACGATAAAGGTCAAGTAGTAGACGTGGTTGCGTCCTACGACAGGGATCTCGGTAATAGGGGAGAAGATCAAATCGCCCACGCCAAAGGCACACACATAGAGTGCAAGTCCCAGACTGGAAGCAACTGGGCCTACTCCGAAGCGTTCTTCAACCCCTGCGGCCGAAGCCACATACACCGGTCCACCGCAGTACACGGCAAACGTATAGGCGCAAAGCACGCCTGTGATCCAGTACTTCTTGAGCTTCGACCAGTTCTGTGGGTTCGCCGGGTCATCGGTCGTGTACCAATCAACAAGCACGACGCCGTCATTGGTTTTCTCGGGCACGATTGGAATGGACTTTGTGCGCTGGAGTTCTATTTCTCGCTCGCCACGAGCATCATGCTCATGCATCCACTCGCCTCCGATATTCTCGACATCGCCAGGGCGGTGCTGCTGAGAGGTCTGAGTATCGCCAGAAATTCTCTGGTCGGGTGCGTTTCCGATATCAGGTTTCTCCTCTTTCAGTCGTGCCGTATACTGTGGTGGCAGTGCAAAGCTCGCCTCCTCTTCTGGATATTTGAACAGCCGCTTTCCTGAGAGGAATCGAATCGCTTGGCCAAGAGGCGCGTCGCGAATAAGGTCGTACATAGCGTTGTAAAATTCAGAAGAATCGCATTATATGTAATGAGAATGCTGTTGGGAGTATTGGTATACTTCCGGAATTTGGCTACTGTGTTTCCCAAGAGCGAGGAAGGTGAAGACAAAAACCACAACACCGCGAGATTAAGCGCACGTATATATAAGGTACCGTGAATATCATTCTACGACTTGGTCTCGATTGATTTTCTATATACTTTCAATTGCACGCTGCAGCTTAGAAATTTTACGCAGGTTTTACAGCTTAGAAATGTAATGCGGCGTATGTATTCGAGGATTTCAAAATGACAAATGCCCAAGTTTCCCAATTGGGCAAACAGCAATTGAGGCAGCTTAAGCAGATAGAGAAAAAGGGGGCCTAATCAAGCACCTAAAATGAGTATGGCGTTGAATCCTGTGATTCTGTCGTTCTAGACTGGGCAAAACAACAAACTAAAAGGCCAATAGCGCTAATGGCAGGAACAACTTGACAGCTAATGAAGCAGACGATGCTAGCGATATTAGTATAATGCTACGTGATGGTGTAAGATTTCCGGAGACTTTTTCGAATTTATAATACGAGAGAGTTGAACGCTAGTAGAGCTAAGATAAGACATAGTGCCTTGATAGATCTTTTTTAAGGCTTGCAATTGGAGCTGAAGGCCGAGGAGGCTGAGATCCTGTTCCTTTGGCTTCAGTCTTAGATCTTTGTCGACTTTTAAAAGAATTGGCACATGCGAATTGAAGATTACTATTTACTGAGGCATGACATTTGATAGAACAAATTTGTAATTTGCTCTTTTACTTTTGTCAGATTTTCGCTTTGTACTTGCATGATGACCCTTCGCAGCCTGGTACTACCTTATGGAGGCTGCAGTGACTGTTGCAACAATCAGCCGATAAACGGGCTATACTATTGCCACGTGGCTGTATTGATAAATACTATATACTCTGATGCCCTTGTATAAACAGGGCAACGAGAACTGTGCCCCAAGATAGACAGATACTTTGCCCCAGAGGTCACTTTAATAGGCTTGGATGATAGTATGATGGCCTATACGCCTCATTGAACATATTACAAACTCCCCTATCACTAAGTCTAATAGAGCTGCTTTCATTACATGTACCTTGGCTACCTAAGCGTGATATTGTTGTTGACTATTGTAAAGAAGGTTAAGTCTCTTCAAAAATGGTAACTGGTCTTTACATAATCCACGGTTCGATTACTATATACTATTATAAGAAAGAGGAAATTAAAGTATTTCCACAAACGGCAAGTTGCGCACCCTGCCGCTTTGTCCCCATAAATTTCTACACTTAATGATTCATGACGCATGAGTCGGATGCAAAGACTATGGTCCACTTCAGCCTAGATTCTGGGTCGTAAGTCGTCAAGTCTTGGCTTTGATGTTGTAATCACATTGGCAGCCTTTATGATGTAATGTGTAGAGAAAGAGTTGTTTCATTGTCAACTTTGTTCTTTTAAAAGCCGTCAGGGTTGTAACGCATACTCTACCGTTGCAATATTTTGCGCATCTAGGGAGCTATATCAATGAAACTGTGGTCACGGCTCAGACGGCTCATGCACTGCTTCGAGCATAGACCACCCCTCAGTGGAAGCTATGTCGCGCAAAAGGTTTTATAAGACTAGCCTACTCATCAGTCCAACATTACATTCAACGAATATTGAACTACAAATCCATTCGAGATTGAGCGGCGCCAGGAGGTTTCAAGAGAGCTTAGCCCACTAGGAATTCGATGCGCCAGGACAAATAACTCTGTTGATACTAATGAGGCCTTGTTGGCTAACCTCATGGCTTCCATTCCTATTCTTAGGCTCAATGCTTCTTGCTTTCTAAGATGCCACAACGGTCGTTATACGACCGTCTTGGATACTGTACACTTGTATTTGGCACAAGTCATAATAGCAGCCAAATTCGTCCACATTATTGCGATTAACAATACGTCTCCGAGAAATGGGCGAACGATTACTCGCATACAACGTACAAGACACAATATCTTGACTCCATACACAAACAACAGCGTAGCCCATATGCTATACAACCACTCTCGGTTTGATATACACATTCAGATTTGGCTTTTTCCAGAATGTATAAACCTCGTGTTCCTCATACCAATTTGTACTATCGGGATGCAGACTGATGTCGAAATTCCACAAAATCTTTGACAGAATCAAGCGCATCTCGGCATATGCAAGACTAAAAATAGTTAGATTGATTATCCTTGATGATTTTGAGAGAGTATAGCCACCAACTTCTTTCCTATGCAGTTTCTGGGTCCATACGAGAATGCCTGAAGCGCTTCATGGCAGTCATTCGAAAACCGGGCATCTCCCAGCCATCGTTCCGGGATAAAGGAATCGGGCAAGGTAAAGTGCTTTGCATTGTGATACATTGGCCATTGCCAAATCCCCAGGATAGTCTAAAGTTTGTAAGAGTCGACCTAGGATGTGCCTTTAACGGATAAGAATGCTCACGTTTTCTGGAACATACTGTCCACATATCATGTCGCCACCAGGCTGTGCCTTGCGCGGTATGGTAGCTGGAACTGGAGGATACATGCGCAGCGTTTCTTGCAGCACCGCCATCATGTAGCTCAGCTTCTGTACGCTAAGAAGATCAATCTCAGCTTCGCTTGAGAAGCTCGATCTCACTTCGTCCTTGACCTTCTGCAAGATTTCGGGGTGGGTGAGTAACATATAGGTCGCTCCAGACAAAGTCGTCGCGGTTGTTTCCGATCCAGCAATAATAAGCAAACTTGCATTATCCAAAAGCTCGGGATAAGAGAATTTCTGCAGATTATTAGTAAGAGGTGTCAGCCCGAGGATTTAAAAATAAACCTATAGAAGCCATACCATGTCTCCTTCCTTTCTAGCCATAACTTCCATGAAATCTGCTCGTGGGCTGGTGTTGGCTAACCTTTTGTTGACCTTTTCTTGTGTGATTTGAAAGTACATATGGAACTTTTTGCGTGCCTCCTTTGGGATGAGAAGTTGAATAAGGTTTTCTCCAAAGGGAAACCGGCGCAAAGCGTTATTGATTGCGCCCCCGCGAACTCTTTGGAATACCAGTGACACCCAAGGGTGGTAGTCAGAGTTTTGCAAGCAACCGAATGGCTCTCCAAAGGCCAAGTCGCCGATGATGTCGAATGTCGTCCAGTTATACCAAGATGTCATCTCCACAGGCCGCTTGCCATCGTCGCAGTTCTTTCGTAGTCCGCTAATCAACATATCGACGTATCCTTGGATAAGAGGCTGCTGATCCATCATTGCCTGAGCTGAAAATCCGTGGGCCAGGGTTCTCCGCATTCGAGTGTGATTTTCGCGGTTGGCGCTGATGATACTGTGTTGCTGTGTCTTCCAGAAGATTGGATCTTTGCCATTTTCTCCTTGGCCACGTTTTCGATGGCCCATGATATCATTCCAAGCATCGCTATTGCAGTAGGCCAACTCATCCGGTGCTACTCGCACAATATCACCATAGCGATGATGTAGTTCAAGGATTTTCCGGTGAGACATGCCAGAGAAGATCATACGAGTGTAAGGGATTCGAGTGGCGGCCCACAGCCTAGGGCCTGGATACTTTCGAAGGGGATGGAACCAGACATTGTAGATTGGGATTGAAACAAGGTATACAATTCCCTTTTTCGACTACGTTAGCTCTATTTAAGAGGTTATAGTATAGAGAATCCGAAGAGAGGATGAAAAAACGCATGTTGAGTTATACTCACAATAATTATAAGCCATAGCACTAGAGCGACTCCAGGCGGCAGGGCAAAACCCAGCGCCTCAGCAGCCAAAAGCATGACGATGACTCTGTATGTACCCTAACTACTAGGTACGTATTCTCCGAGTTCGATGTAAATTTATAGTCTGGGTAGGGAGAGCGAACAGGTTTTATATCGCCTCCGGATACGACTGTAAGGGGGGGCGTCGTTGATCTTTTGCGGGGCCTCCGCGGAGACCTGGTTCAGGTTTTACATATTCCGACTCATTGCGCAGTCATTACACTATGAGATGCTGAAACTTATCATGAATGACGAACCCCACCATTTTCACAATACAATAGGTGGCCTCCCTGGCATCACGCTTAATAACCAGGGGGCCTAGACAGATGAGCATTATTTGCGATGGACATCGACTCAATTGCTCACCATTTATCTACCAATGCTAGACTACCGATTGAGGTTCACACCAACTATTTGGGAGCATCTTTCGCAATGAGCACCAATAGTGTTGCGGAGAAAGTGGCTTTGTAAGGAGGGTGCGATACTACAGCCCTGCAATCTGGCAAACTTTCCAAAGTTACCTAATGAGGGGCTATCTAATGTTACATTCCAGGCTCGCTCGAGTCCGAATCGTGTGTACACAAGGTTCGCTACCAACCGCCCTAAGCCTGCTATTGTTACGCCCGCATCTCGGTTGTATACTAGGGTAACGCCGACTACGGATCAACGAGTGATTCTATGCAGTCGTCTGGTGAAATATATTCCGTTCACTGCTATCGGTGCCAATTGTTGACGTTACTGCTTTTCTTTGAATCAGTCTCAAGAGACTACGAGTCGCGCATAGGCTAGATAGAATGTCTCACCTCTCAGTGCCCTGTGAATAGCTGGTGGTTTCTCTCTTCTCCTACATATTAATATAGTCTTGTAGTCAACAGGAAAGGGCGGAACAACGAAAAAGGCTAGTAAAGACCGAAATAGCAGAGCTTTGTCAAGCGAGAGCCGAAACACTGCGCCTTGTTTAGAACTAAACGACTAATCTAGTTGAGTTGGCAATTCAGTACTAGCCAATATGCAGCGCTAGGTGTATACGGATTGCACCAGTACTTCCACGAATAATAGAAACGGGAACCACCTGGTCGTCAAACATCAATTGGAAGAGGCTTGTATGATATCCTCAAGTAGTCCAATGCCTTTCATACTAAATTAAGTCGTAGAATATAGTGCTTATCCGCTGCAGTATGAACACCAATAGAATTTCCCAGGAATAACTATACAAAACGGTTTTGATGATGCGGACATTTCACGGCGGCAAGTGTGGGTCGGCATCATCTGAGCCGATCTAGCTTCACATGATCTGTGACGAAACCCACCTTTCCAGATGTCAACAGTGGGCCGAGCCGAGGTCTAGCCCCCTGAAGAAAGCGGCAGTGGGTGTGTTTCGATATTCTTACACGAGCTATGTAATATGTACGTCGAAGCTCTAATATCAGCGAATGACAAGAAGTAAGTGCAACGCCAGGGAGCCTCGTGGCACTCCTGTGTGAATGGATGTTTGGCTTGAATCAAGGCAGTGATGGCGCGACCGAAAGTTCAGAAGACAGCTGAAATAAGGCTGAGGAGATACTCAGAGAGAGTTTGCCTCTTGCGGCTCATTTACATAGAAGTGAGACTCGAGGGAGATAAAAAATGCTGACGGTGTTGTTCATGTAAGTTCAAGGACCATTTGGAGCATGCAAATTGCCGGATATTTTCGTTCGGCTGTTGTATCTCCTCATCTTTGCGCATGTACATCTCCTCTTGATACAACAATCCAGGATTCTCCCCGTTGACGGAGTACAATGTTTGCAGTGTTTACATCCATATCCGGGTAGCTATTCCATGTATGACCGACTGCTTTTTCAACCAATTTACTTCAAAATTCGGCCTAAATGATGCCGCCCGTTTTGTATTTTCCCACTTTGATGTAAGTGGCCTTCGAATGAGGCTTTTGTGAACTGGCGCCTGTAATGAAGAGGCGGGCGGCCAGACATTTTGCATCCAATGCAATGGAAACCTCCTGCAGCGCTCTATTCAGCCATGGCACCCGAACGATTACCACAAATGCGTGCGGAATCCCCGACTGCTCATCATAAGGATTCTGTCAGATATGGCGGTGGTATACGGCGTGCGATGGCTCCTGTTTTCAGCGCCGCCGTTATCTTCTGGTCTTTCGTGTGCAACACGCAATTTTCCACATCATCGAGTGGCCCGTGAAACGTAACACCAGCGCAAAGGCCAGATTCATAGTTGATCAAGACAGACTGCTTCGCCTTCCTTTCGTTTGGTGAGTATATCCCCGGCATAACTCTCATGCGAGGTATTTTTGCAAGTATCTAGGGCTTCAGTCCGAATACCCGGCTCCCGCGCTGGCAGGACAACGGCAGGTATAGCTTATCCTACGATAGACATAGAAAGGAACCCCTCTTGCGTGTAAGGAGATAGAGATATAACCACCAAAGTCATCGCACTGTCCGCATTTGGGTGTATATAGTTTCTCATATAGCGCACCGAGGGTAATCCACCTGCCGGTTTCGATGCTAAGAATGCCGCGCAAGGCACTGTGTGCATGTGTCATGATGGCTTTGTACTCAGGAAGGAAGTCAACGAGTTCCAAGGCTCGTATATTGACGCGTCGAAAATCCACGAGAGTGCGAAGGCAAGTTGAGGGAGAATCACCACGATCAGCTCAGGAGGCAGAGCATCGAGAGCACCGGCACATGCGTTTGGTGATGACCGGAGGCGGTTTCTGTCGGGCAGAAGTTGGAAGCCGGGGAGGTTGTCGTTCCAAGTGTGAGCGTCAAGGTTTATGTAGTACTTCAAATCAAAAGAGAATTGATTTCGCTTCGAACACCTTTCAAGGCATATTTTCACGGCCTTCTAGAATGTATTCCAAGATGCAGTACTTACTACTTTTACAGCGTATGTTGACCAAAGGCCGGCGCCGCTCCAAAGTCGCTATTCTCCGAATTCCCTTTGACATTCTCAATATATCGTCAATAAATTAGCTTTGCATGACAATTAGAGCAATTCGTCACATCACTTTCCAATATTTGGATACTGAGATCTCGCTTTCTTTACATAATAAAGCCAGATTTTGGGATGGGCTGGCTTACACATTGCCAAGTCACTGGGTCTGTCCGCAATGCTGCGAATTGCCTTGTATGAATACTTGGGACTCGCCGAGCATGCACCGGATTATAAGAGAAGCGTATCAAATTGTTCCTCGCAATGTTGACCTCTCTCGAAGAATTGGGAGAGAAACGTATTCTATACACCCTTACCACATACAGCTTGCACTGAAACTCTCCCGCTTGGGCAACACACAGCACAAATACCTTGCGGCACTGATGATCCCTTTTATAGATGAAAGGCTATCTATAACACTCGGTCCGCTTAGAGATTCCTATGCAGTGAGACCCAGGATTATTTAATTGACAATTTACGCTGTGTGAAGAGTAGACTATCTACAATGAAACGAGTGCAGACTTACCACTCTGCCCAGAAAACCGTTCTTTCCATCTCCCGGTCTGCCCACACCTGGGTTTAAAGAACAGCAAAATCAAATGTTCTCGTGCTGATAATAGGCGAATTATCAATGATAAACTACATCAATCTCACAAAGCATGTACGAGGCGGCGTAGAGAGCGACTGGCTTGCAAAGTTTCTGCTCAAGGAGTTCACCTTAATTGAAGATGGTAAATCTTCAGCTCTCAGATGTCCTGGAAAGAGGACATATGATTCCTGCCTACATTGTCTGACAGATTTTGAGTCATGGTGTCCTCTGATAAGCGAAAGGTGATCATTCAGGGTTGGCATAATTTTGGGATGGAAGGCTCGCCGATGGATCCAAGTTGAAAGGTCAATGTGGCAGACGAAGAGTACTAGCTGATCACATTGAGTCCATATTCATATTAATCTTCTGGAATCATTCAAGAAGTATGGTTATCCGTTGGTCCTAATAAGCATGACAGTGGTAATTGATAGACTTTTTGAAACATCCAGTATTGTTGGAGCATAAAGCTATGTGAAATATACCATGGAGCCAATAGCCTGAATGTACAGCTCTGCACAATAAAATTTCATAAAATTATATTTTGCAGCTTATGATCTCAGCTTACACAAAAACGAACCTTGTTGAGGCCCTTCTACAGAGCATGATTCGAAAGGAGCGTCGAGAGCGGCCGCTCACTAATGCACAAGCGGCCGCATGAAATCCGATCGCTAGGAAGCCCTTGTGTCAGCCATTCTTTCTACAATAGGATGCCCAGTTCCTTGGAAGCATGATGATTCGATGAATCATAAAAAATACGAGAATATCAAGTGGAGTTTACCCATCATCCAATGTGGCGATATCGACTTGGCTCTCCCAATGCCGTGGTTGGCGTCGCAATAGGTTTACAAGCTTTAACTGGGACACGTCACAGAATTTTGGAGATAGCTCTATCATATCGTAGAAGTCTTAATCACATTTGCACTTTACATGAGTAATTGATTCGAATATCATTTACAGAGATTATGATGCCATGTCTTGATTTCGCATATGATACCTACTACCTAAAGATCCTATTTGGCTGCTTTAACTGGTTGGAAACAGAATGTATCACAATATAATGAAAACGTTGTAAAAGTCTCAAGCAAATTATATATCCATCATTCTCTATAGCGTCTATTATCTAGAGTAGCATAAAATATCCAAAATGTATCCAGTATCTAATATTCATCAAATATATCGACTTTTCCGTCGAATGCTCCAAGCAAGCATAAAGCAGATCTGCTCCAATGCATTTCAAATACAAATCCCCTTAAAACCATAATTGCGACAATGTGTTTATCCTGCAGTAGATATTTCAAATCTCGTGCATTGCATGTCCATATGACTGTTTTCTTCGAAGCAGTTCACTGATTTCTCCAATGTACTTCCAGAGAAACCAAGCAACAACCAAGAACATAGGCAAGGCGTCAAGACAATAGACGAAGACCTCCGTAGTCAGCAAATAACCATTGCTGCCCTGGCAATACTCGATAAGTCGGAAGATATTCCGCACGATAATGAGCACACTGGCAACATATAGAGCGTGAAGATAGCTTCTCCATTTTATATCGGATTGGTAGCTTCGAGCTGTTGGGGCGAGCATCATTCGACGGTGAAATATGAGGGCTATGACAACGAAAAGGCCAAACCACAACAACTGCAGTACAAGTCCGCCGATGATGATGTTGTTGGCCAGATCGAATTCTTTCTTGTTCGTCTTTGCAGAGGCTAGCATGCCACCACCTACAATAAAGTTAGATATCTCCAGATCAAAGCATAAGTATCTGTGCAAAGATTTTGAAACGTACCACCGCCGAGGAGAAGAAAGCAAATGACATCTCCGCAAACAAATATCTTCGTAAGCCATCTCCGTCCGATAAGTGCATATTGCTCCCCATCAACGACCTCGATAATTCGCCCAAGAGTCATATAAATCGAAGCTGCGAACAACGCTGGAGCCAACAAGATTAACAACGTCTGGATAAGATACGGTGTTTCCGTCCAACATCCTGGCTTTTGATTTGCTGAAACTGCTCTGGCGGCGAAACCAATAACCTCAACTATTGTGAGTTGTTAGCCCATGTTCGCGGTAAGTAGCATCAGTCTCCATAGAACGCACATAAACATCCTATTACCAGGGGAGTTAAAAACCAAGCCCTTGCTTTGATCATTCGAAACAAATGACCAGCAAATGCTAAAAAGAAGAGTCCGGTGAATATCCCCGCGGCAGCAAGAGAAGGAACATATTTATAAAAAGTAAAAGATGTATGCTGCCAGTCCGGGATGCAGTTATCGTTGTTACTCATGTTGTCAAATAGATTTTTAACAAGTATTCAAAGAACGGAAATTGGGAGGAAGATGGAGCACAAAAGAAAAGTAACGAATGGTGAAGAAAAAATCTTTGTTGTGAAGCGTGAAGCCACTCATGATGCTCCCGATTATTAAATACCAGCGCGAGGACAGTATCTTCTCCTATCCTTGGAGGCTATGCTATGTGATCCTCCAGCTCGATACGCGCGTCTTCTTGACATGATGCTCAGCTGTCAAGAGTTCAACCGGGATTCGGGGCCCAAATAAATGCCATATTTCTGGCCACTTTGGACAAAAAGGCCCCGGCATTGGCTTTCCTATATGGTACAATAGTGTCCGGCGCCTATTTGATATCACATATCTATTCTTGACTAGCCATACCTAGCTGTTTATCAATCCTACTCGCATGGCTTTCCTTAAAATGGAAAAACTGGCTGATTGCAGGATAGAGGCGCAGCTAATCGCCCATCTCCACAAACAGTAAGTGCGTTACGGGATACGAAACAAGCTTTTTTATCCTCTTATTGCCAGCTCATTTTATGCTTTGTAACATCGTACGTTTTCTTTTATTAGACCGGTAGCGTTGACACGCAGTTTTCATGACATAGATTGCTATGTTCAAAGCTGAGAATCCTCAGAAGCCTGTGATAAGCAGAACGGTTCCGTGCAGCAAGCGCATCCACTCTATTCGTCTTTTAAAGACACGAGAAAGTATATCATAACAATTCAACCAAAAAAATATTGTAGAAAAAAAATTCGATATCGCTATCCATCTTCATAATATACAAGTGTTTTGCAAAGTCGTTCGGTATCGCTATCCATCTTCATTGGATACGAGTATTCTGCATTCTACTGCAGGCTAAACTTTTAGGATCCAACCAAGGCCGTACAACCCCTTGCACTAACGGGATTCGCCTAAACGGAATCCCTAAAATTAGCGGGTTGCCGCGCGAAGGAAACTGGAGGCCTCGTTGTCATACATTTAAATATCTTTTCGCGCCCCAGCTGCAAATTGGCCAATGCAAAGACGATTCTCTACATCAATCGAGATGAGATCTTTTAACTTCTTTTGCAGCCATACTTCATCCTGATGCCGATTGGCTCCCTGCTTTCTAGACTATAAGAAGCATTGCTTCTTTGCCTACGATGTAAATTACTGAAGTCAGACGATGCTTTCATTATCCAACAACCCATCTGTAGCTCAACAGGCAGCAAGTTGATACTTCAAAAGACACAACTACCAAATACATTTACAGATAGCAATAGCACCAATAGCGTAATTAGCCTACACTATAGCCACAGCGCTAGGTAACAGAATTGGGGTGCTGGATATTGGTTCCCTTTTAAATAAATACTTATTCTCACCTATTGTTAACATTGAAGCTTCAGCTTTGCTGTCGTCGGTAGTTATCGGTGAATGTCAGTAACAAATGCCGAAGGCATGTACCCCCACGTATGTTTTCCAGAAAGTCTTTTACCGAGACATGGGATAATAGCTGAGAGAGGAATCCCCGAAGACATGAAATCAGACTAAATTACAATTGTAGAAGCTCTCTGGTATTGACAAGAGTGGTTGGGCCCTATAGTAAAAATATATCATCAGCACCTTTAATCTCGCTCATAACTTCCTGAACATCCACACGACAACCCAAAAGATCTTGCTTATCTCGAACCCGCTTCATGAGCAATAATATTAGCTTCTGGTCGATTAAATCGCCCGTCTTGTCTTCTGTCGAAGCGCCTGTGTGTTCTCCATGATTGCAACCTCGGCATTTCGCCGCGTTATTCGTCGATGAATCCATCTCGTCTATAAACTCCGATATCCAGTCCGCGTATATCTCATCAGTAGTCTCTATCCCCGCAATGAAGACAGGCAGAGGCCATAGCATCGCTCGAGGTATTTTAATTGAAGAAGCCAATATGCCTTTACGATGGATCTCCCGCAGCCGCAGAGCAATCTTGAGTATCCTGCTCGTTGCCATCGCGGCAGTCGAATCGCTACGGATAGTGGGGTATAGAAATCGCGACCATAACACTTTGGCGGCCAAAAATGCTGCGTAGCAAGACAGCCATTGTAATGAGGCTCGATCATTGGAAGTAACACCATGGCCGGTAGTTGAAGATGATGCGGCGAGTGGAAGCGAGTCGTAATTCGCGATACCTTTGGCTGCATGGCTGGCGCGATTGCTCTCAATGGTGTTATGCCCAACACTCGTAATAACGCCGCATAAAGAATTTGCAGCAGGATTGGTTGCTCTTGCAAGGTCGAATTCTGTATCCATCCGTCTTATATCGAGATTTATAGCTGCTTCTTTAGCTTCTGCTAGCTCCCGATGTACAGGGAAATCGGCCTTTTGCTCTGCCAGATATTTCCACGATCGGTATTGGAGCATATTGGAGATGAGGCAGAACGTTTCGTGAGTTCGTACTGAAATAGGTATCTTCTTCGCATCTTGTACTAGCTCTTCGGGCGGATATGCCTGACCAAAAGTTTCGGATGCGTAAGAATGTGAATGTGACAAGATATGGTTGTAGCTGGGATGGTGAATCAGCGCATCAAGCAGTGTGGTTATAGGAGTGTTTCTGCCATCATAGGTTGGCGGTGCCAGAGTCGAGAATATTCTCAAGCGAACATCAATGTAGCATAGCCATAAGAGGAACTTGCATGCCAAGGCAGAGAGAGGACCGTCGTTTAAGTGGCATGTCAAGTGCTCCTTGAAACTATCCAAGCGACGAAGAATTGGAGTAGCATTGCCGTTTAGAACATCGCACCTGCAAAGAAACAATAAAGAAGCTATCGTGATTTCGGCTTTCGATGAAAGAGCCGATTGGCCATTGGATGGGGTTGGCCTGGTCTCTGAAGCTTTACGTGAGTCGCCGCAGCATGGTATGCGGCCGAGAGAATCAATTGCTCGAACATAGTAGGACTTCCAAGTTTTGTCGTGCGATACGGAGATTTTGGCCAAATGCTTGGCTGTCCAGGCCAAGACTGCATATCGGAAAGGAGATTCACTGCTGCAGTGCTCGCTCTGAATGTAGTCGAGAACATATCTCAGATAGTTTCCTTTGCCATCTTCCTTGAGAGAATAGCCAGATCTGGTGATCCAGCGCTCAAAATGAGCTAGGTAAGCAGCCTCTTGGTTCGTGTTTGGCGGAGGAGTCTCAGCTGCATCTATTGGTGAACTGCTTCTTCTGTAGCGTTTGTTGCGGTATGACGCTGAATCATCGCTTTCCTTAGTAATAGCTGGAGGGTCCAAGATATCCACAGTGAGTGCCGCATCTGACCAACTAGGGAAATCTATGTCTCTGTCAAAGATGGGATCAAAAGAGAAGTCAAAATCCGATATCTCTGAGATGTGAAAGCCACCAAGTCCAACGAGGTCACCATCGGACGGCTGGCCGCTGTCGAAGCCTAGCCCATAGCTGATAGAGTGAAGGTTGGGTTGAGGCAGTGAATTTTCTGAGCGGGAATTTGATCCTGTTGGCCATTTACTGTCCAAATCCATATAATTCAACGTAGCCGAGGGAAGCGAGTGACCCAAATCGGGTGGGTTATGCTGCTGCTGCTGACTGTCACTGGCTTCTCCAGAGGCATCTGCTTTCACGCTGGGCGGCGATGGCTGCTGGCGAGGCGTGCTTGGAAGGTCGCGTTTCTGGCTGCTCCGGGGATTCCCCAGTGACATTCGGAGATTGCTATCAAACGAAGAGACGCATGTTGCCTTTAGCTTGATGCAGTTTTGGCACGGGTTGCCTCCTTTGCAGCGGACTTTGCGTTTCCGGCAGGTCATGCATCCTGCTCTTAGTGATTAGCCACCGCCTTATGCAGCCCGCCCTTGAGTGTCGCTCAGTCCCAGTTTGCTACGACCTGTCGCCGCCGATTCTACGTACCGTGAAAGCTTCTACGCTGAGTGTGCTCCATTGTCACGAGCTATGACGCTCTCTTCATGCTGATAGACTCGGATTGTCGGCTCACGCGAGTCCTTGTATCTAGAGGGGGCGGCCGCTGTTTTAGGGAAGATAGCTGGTGGCCAATATTACGTTAGCGCATTTCCCCTCCCTTGTCGAATTTCCCGACTCCAAGGTTCACTTTGAGGTAGCTCCAAATGCCTATTTCGGATAGTTCGTTAAAACAGCTCACTTTCGTTCATGTTACCACGATTACAAGATGACATTCATGGATAAGAGAGAATTTTTGGAGTGCAGAATTGGGATTATTATGGACGCTACGGCAGCTGCGTACTGGTATCTGGCAACTACCTAAATGATATATCTGAGAAATGAAATATCTGTGAAATGAAATATCTAAGAAATGAAATAATTGAGCCCATCTCTGTTCAGCCATAATACATATACACAGTTACTACATGTAATTACTACCTGCATATACGTTATACCACGGGATCAGTGTTATTCACACGCCACTTTTATGCATAGGAGGGCCTTGCTAATCCGTGTAGAGATCTTGAGTATACTACTAAAACGCTTTAACTACATGTAAGTATGTTGAGATAAGCACGGAGAACTATGGGGGATATGAAAATAGATTTCAACAGCACTTGGACACAATTTTCTCAGCTACAGCTTCAGCATGCCAACTGTATATGTCCTTTTGCGGCAGATATTCTGACTTGTGGAGCTCTCCAAGCGACCACCAAATATTAGACACTCACCAGGCATATCGGAAGTAGTGCAACTCCTTGTCCGTCAAATCCATAAAATCATCCTCTTGTACAGCATTTGGATCAACTTTGCCGTACACCTTGTCACGTCTCCTATTCTGTACAATCAGATATCCCATGAGAGCAAAGGCCAGCACGATGATTGTTACAAATGAAGCAATCATCCCTCTGAATCCCGTGGGATATAGAGGTGCCTCCGAGTCGATAAAGAGATGTGGAGCGACGAGATTTCCTGCAGAATATGAGAGAAATATGCCAGCGGAAACAGTGGTTTTCCGAGACATTCCAGCAAAGTTCGAGGCCACAAGACTCAGTACCATGATATAGCTGATTGTGTTTGTAAAGAGAATGTAAACGCCGGCCAAGCGTGTCAATTTGTCGGATGCGGACACGTAATACACGATCAAGCTACCGACCAAAGGAGGGATGTTGGATAGCACAATAACGATGCACCTGAAATTTTTCAAATAGGAACCGGCAATACCCCTATTATTGTTAGCTTAGTCCTGTTATCGGATGGACACAGAAAAACATACGCAACTATGACAGCAAACAGCTGGATGGCATGTTCTGGCATAGAGTATATCGTGGCTTCGAGGTTGGTATATCCAAGACCAGTTAGAATAAGTTTGTTGAACTAGGCTGCCTTAGTTATATGCATCAAATGAGAGAGCAGGGTTACTTACAGCAGTCAACCCACCGCTTGGCAAGCATTGGATAAATGCAATACAAAAGAATATCCATGCTTGCGGATCTACAAGCACGGATAGTGCCTGGTTCCATTTCCAATGCGAGGCGCTGATTCCAGTATGGTTAGACATAACGCGCAACACCGCAATCTTCTTCTCTCGCTCATTCAAAAACCTCATCTTCCATGGTGAGTCGGGCAAAAACAGCATCAGCACTGCAGACCAGAGGACTGTAACGCCTCCAAATGTGATGAACATGTACTTCCACGGCGAGAGCGGCCCGTGGCCATGCCCGATGCCATACGCGATTAGATCTCCAAAGAAAGATCCAACCGCGTTTCCTGCCCACCATATACACGCTCGAAGAGAGTGTTCTTTGCGAGTGTAATACTGGGCAGTGATGAGCACAAATGCTGGGTTATTGACAGATTCGAAAAGCCCGAGGAAAAAGCGAGTGGTAGCAAGACCTGCAAAGTTTTTAGCGGTGATGGCGAGTAAGATACACACTCCCCATCCAAACACATTGCCGGCCAGCCATTTGCCCATGGGCACTTTGTGAAGTAGGTATGCATTAACCGGCTGTCCTAGCATGTAGCTGTTTGCCAAATGTTAGTGTTGTCTTTATCAATGCCTGTCCAAATGCCATATCATACCCAAAATAGAAAATGCTTGCAACCCAGCTGTATTGCTGTCCAACTAGATGCTGAAACAACGTTAGTACAAGACGTCAGTATCATAATAGGAAAGATCTTACCGTGTCCTGTTTAAGCCCAAACACTGATGCGTTGGAAAGAATGCCCTTGTCAAGGAAATTCAGTGTATACGTTCCAAGTAACTAGTCAAATAGTCAGCACATCAACTTTATAGATGCTGAGTATCCTTGATGCTTACGAGTGGCATCATCATCGAGTCAATTTTCCACCGGACCATGATTGCTTCTTTGTCTGTGTAGTCGAAAGCATGATCTCCCGTAGACTGGAGGAAATCTAGGGCATCATCACGATCCGTTTGTGACTTCTTGATGAAAACATTGTCTGCCACATGGTGAACACCATCTGGCTCTTCCACACCAAGTTCACGATCGTGGTGTGTCGAGTCAATGGCGGTCTTTTCAGTATCCATGGCTTCCACTGTCGCAAGAATCCTAAGCTTCACAAAGCCGAGAATTTCTACTCCTATTCATCCGTATCTTCATGCCAGTGATCGGGTCCTTCTTAAACAAATTGTCTAACATATTGAGAAGCAGGTAAAAGGCCGTTATCTCTAGCACCCACCACAAACTTGCCCCATGAGCCTATTGCGGGGGGCGGAGTATAGACAGACGCCTCTCGCCGTGATTACCTAGAGAAGTAATTATGCCGACCCCGCGAATTACCAAAACTATCACAAACTAGCGGATATCTAGTCCTCGAGATGGTAGCCAAGCCGAGATCGCGATATGGCCTCTAATGTTTTCGGAAGACGATCGTATTGCCGTTGTATATCAAATTATCCGCTTATATGGCCAAGCTCTGCATTGCTACATTAAGGTCGCATTTCCCTGGTTGAGAGCTGGTGAAGTTTAGAGCGTCTTTGACCAATAAACAGGACTTGGACCAGAACCTCTTCATCAGCCGCAAGCCAAGACAGCAAGCCAAGACGCCAAGTCAGCACTAGCCCATCATGACCTCGACAGCGAACTACCAGCATATTGTTCTCAAGGGACTGCCGTATGATCGCGGCTTTACTCATGGAGAACAAGCCAAGCAAAAGATTCTCGACAGTCTTGCCCATTATCACAAACCAGGGAAACTACTGCCATGGTATGAGTTGATTCGTGCCCTCTTCTGTCTACTTTGGGCTATTCAGACGCATGCATTTGCTAACTCTCAATGTCGTAGGGACATATCGCTGCGCATTATCAAGGAAGTTTATCTTCCGGGAATAGATAAATACTTTCCCGAAGCGCTGCCTGAGCTTCAGGGCATTGCCGATGGTGCTGGGGTTGACTTAGACCAAATTTTGTTTCTCAATGCTCGCTACGATCTTGCCAGGGTCCGAGGACCAACTATTCGCCCGTGTCCGACTACAAAATCCAGTCTGACTGCAGGCACTTCTCAAGCTGTAAACGGTCATGTCACTCAAAATGGCCTTGATAACAACGCTTCAAGCGAGCCGGCAGATGTCCAAGAGCTTCAAGAATGCACTTCTGCAGGATTCCTTGCCGAGTCCCTAGAGAACGGCGACGTGATCTTGTCTCAAAACTGGGACATGTCGGCCAATGTCTTCCTTAAAGATACAGCGGTCTACCTGGAAATCCACCCAGACCCTTCAGAAGACCTCCCCGTCATGTTTGTCACAACTGAGGCTGGCCAATTAGGCCGTTCTGGCTTCAACTCTGCTGGACTCGGAGTCTGCGCGAGTTCACTCATGTCGACCGAAGATTACTTCCCGCTTGATCTGACTTTGCCTCCCGGCAGTGAACAACAGCCACTACTGCCGATGTCTCTTGTACGAAGGCAATTTCTACACAATATCAACTTCGCCAATGCTCTCATTAATGTGAGAAATGCGCCGAGGCATTTGTCGAATAAGCTTATCGTGGGCACAGCCGACAACTTCATCATGTCCATGGAGATTACTCCCAGTAGTGTCCACTTAGGATATCCGTCCAACGGAGACCACTTTGTAGTTGGATCAAATCACTTCATCAGCGAGTCATTCCAAGCGAGTCAATGGAATGATCGCTATCCTGGTGGCAGCAGCTGGTTCCGCGCCGTGAGAGTCGCGCAGCGAGTCCGACCGTTCAACAACAAGCAGTTAACGGCAGAGAAGATTACCGAGGCATTCTGTGACCATCTATCACTTCCTTCTTCTGTTTGTCAACACATGGAAGATTGCACAGTGAAGAATGTGCCGGATTACCCATACAAAGGTGCTCAGACAACATTGGCCCATATCCGATACAACTTGACCAAGCGAACCGCAACTGTTTGCAAAGGTCCGCCCTGTATGGGTACCTTCAACGAGTATTCGTTACCCGTTACGAGCAACGTGTGAGTTGATGCTACCCAACAAGGCGCCATACTTAGCGTACCCAAATACTAACCGTTCAAATACAGGAAAAAGAATGGCTATATAATTGGCAATCACGCAGTTACAAATGGCAAAACCTAAAAGAGAGAGTGCTATTGATGTTCCTCAAGAAAGTGTCGCTATTCGTACAGCTTTGAGCGGTACGGGAAGCCAGCAGTCGAGGCTAAGGACTTAATGATCTTGTTCTTTGAAAGTCCAGCTCAAGTTAAAGTTGTATTGGAAAGACGACGGCGTTGGTATCCAAGGTCGGTATTTTGACCAGAGTGGATGTTCAAAAAGCAGACTTGCTCCAATCGTTCAGCCTAATCAATTGTCAAGGTCAGGCTTCTGGTCTTTGTTGCGTACCAAAAGTGTCGAAAGTATGCCTAATATGTGATCTTCCCTTTGTATCCCATGCCTCCGTTGTATTGCAGGTAAGCAGGGGCAAGGAAGCAAGGAAGCAACGGTGGTAGTAACACAGACGGAATTGAGAACAGTCCTACAATTAGAGTCTATGGATCTAGAAAAATAAGTAGTTACAAATAAAGTTATAGAAGGTTCTGTTGATTCAATAATAATTCTTCATACTGGGACTCCACATTTCAACAAACCAAGCTGCTTGACTCAGCTGTGAATTAAAATACAAGGACTAGCTACCTTGCTGAGCTCCAGTCGGGGTATTAGATAATGAAACTGGGGCGTTAAATCACTTTTTCCTCCAAAATTAAAAACACACTGCCATTACTATACACCCGTTCCTTTCCTAGACCTTGTATTGCCGTTCAAATCCAAAGTTCCAAACTTCAGTTCGGCGCTTTCCTTCGGATGACTCTTTAAATCCAACATGTTGAAACACGCTCGGCTCCAACGCCCACTTTACCAATCCACGATCTTCTGCGTAGCCTTCCAATATCATATCTCCCGGGAAGTCGTATGGCGGGTCTCTCAGTAATGCTTGAAAGCCTTCCAAGTGTCTCTGCGGAAGAACAAGTCCTTGAGCGCAGCATCCGTAATGTGGCATCTCCCGAGCTCCATGGAACTCGCTTAGGCCAAACGGATTCAGTCTGTTAGCAGACAGACGGCCGGAGAGAAAGTAAAGAGCGATAAGAGCTGGCAGCCAGAGACCAAAAATGAGGGCTCCGAGATAACGTTGCGTATGTGGCGATACACTCGCTGAAGCACCCTTGCGCATATAGTATTTCCTCCCGGTCAAAAATGCGACTAACACGGCGGCGTATACCAAGAAGATGACCTTGGAGTAGGAGAGCCACTCTTCGTTGTTCCATCCCATCAAAATCTCCGAGTAAAACAATCGCAGATATATCCATTCTCTGTTAGTCTTTTCAGTCTCTTGTTCGACGTATGCCAAGCCTTTTTTGAATCGAGGAAACCAGTCTCGCAGTGTAACAATATCGTCCTCTACCAGCGCAAAGTACGGATACTCTTGCTCTCTGCATGCCTCCACGAGCGCCGAATGATCGAGCCTCATATTCTCCACACGGCCATCGCCACGAATATTTCCTTCTTTCAAGTCGAACGGGATGCGGCGGTATACAGAGCTTCCATCAGGTGGTTCACCATAGAGGAGGACCTCATCAACCAGCGGCTCAAGCCAGTCTTGGCCATATGCAAAATGCTTCGCAGGCGTTTTATCGGCAAGCAGCACAACAATGCGAACTGATGCGCGCTCCTCTGGCGTGAGTGTATCGGTTAATGTAGAAACGGTCGAAGCGAGGAACGACTCGGTCGTGCGATTGATGCTAGGGATGCCGATACATAGCAATTTTTCGACGGGCTGGGTTGGTGTAACTCTAGCAGGCGGATTATGGATATATGCGTCTGCCTCTTCAGTTCTCACTGTAGAAAAGCGCTGTCTATAGGCTCGCTCGGCATTGAAAAAGATTGAAGAAGGGTCATCATATGAAAAGAAAGAGGAAAAGACAAACAGAAGAAGCCAGAAAACACAAAACGCGGCGTTGATGCGAGCGACGGACATCATTACTGTCGCGTGACTCGGGGATGATGTCCACAACATCAACTTGCGCTTGGAGGCTACGGCTTAGCTATATAGGTAGTTTTATAAGCATCGAGGCGGATTTGCCGGAGAAGATATTTCCGCCAGTCATCTCGGGGATAAGTACCCCATAAGGCACGACAAATACCAAATTTCTACCGGGGTATTTCAACTGGTGCTTATGACTAAAGACATGAGATAATCTAGGCATTCTTGACTGCCAGCAGTATATTATGCCTTTAGTCTGCTGAGAATCTGCCTGACTTCACTGCAGTCTGTGTAAGATCTCATGTGTTGGTACACCCTAGGAGAGACAGCCTATCCATCTCATTGACACAAGTAGCCGATAACTACTATTTTTGCACAAGTTAACACTTTCAGCCTCACTCTACCAGCTCAATGAAAAATAAGGAGAGATGCCGCTGTTTCTCGGCGCAATCAGACCCTAAAGGTAGTGAGCTTATTACACTGGAGTAGTGCGGGTAAAACGGCAGGACAACCAACCAACAGTAGAGAACTTTCGATTGGGTGGCATGAGTCTATTTGTGCAAGAGAAAAAAAGCAGCTAATGATTTATTAGATACAAAGATGATGAGTCGAATAAGTCGTATTAGCTGTCTATTTATTTCTCTCAGCGTAACATTTACAGGGAGAGCAGGGGTGTGTGGCATATCGCTCTGGCTTTTACAAATACCGCCCATGTCTAGAATTCGGGCTCCAGAATCTCCATAAGAACTATAGAAATAAAATTGCGTTTCACATGTAAAGTCCATCTGTTCTCTTTTGCCTCATTAAAACATACATGATTATTAAATTGGTCTTGCGTTATGAGAGCTTGCGTCGAACATGATTTTATAGATGGCCTATGTATATGGCTTTTCCGCTATCAAACAACCTACAATAGGTCCGCACCAGCGTACTCTTTTCCGCTCAAGCTCCGACAACTCGCAACCTCCCTCCACAACTCCAATGTCCCTTTAGCCGTCTCGCGCTACTCTGAGTCCAAATGCTGAAATGCAACATTTTTAAGACGAAGTGAAAATCTTCCTTTAGGCCCCAATGTCACAAGGAAGAGATCCGCAGCAATATCCACTGTGTGAACTAAGAGCTCCCTGGAAATCGATGTGATGGCAGCCATCAGAAGACCTCCAAAGCAGAGCATTAAAGCTATAACCTCCAGGAGTCGTTTCGTAGAATCTGGTTACCAGTTAGTTTTCCAGTGCTTACTGTTTTGGGCGAAACTTACCCAGCCGTGCATTTCGACGACACGCATCCACTAAAGCCGTCGTGAAGTTCGGTTTCATACTTAGATCCGGTGTTGTAGTCGGTCAAGTAGATGAATTGATATTCGCCACCCTCGCTTTGCATTATATTACCAGCCGCCAGTTGTCCCCAAAAGGCGGTAGCTGAGCCGCAAAAGGCAGCAAGGCTGAGTAGAATGTATGCCTTCATGGTGAATAGGTAGAGAAGCCTTAGAAATTGTGTGCAGGATAAGAATCTAGAAGCAGTAGTGATGTGCTATTCAAAGGAGTCCTGAACGTAGTCTTTATAGACTTTCCAATTCGCAGACCCATTACGATGTATAGCGGTAAGCAACAATATTTTCCCCAAATTAGAGTAAAAGCTCTTGAATAAGCTTATAGTAATTTCTTGTGAACACCTGGTACTTTCTATCTACGGTTAATGCAGATCCTATGGTTCAAGATCGTACATTATAGTGCTTATACAGCTCAGCTACGCATATATTTTCGGTTTCTATGATAGCGCCTTCGTACCTGGCGATTTCCAAATACAGACTATTCATGTGGGTGCTATGGCGCACGACTGACACTTTTTGTTTAATGTGAATAGCCCGCATCCATAGCTTCTTTTCAGCGAACTAGTGCTGAGTGCCACCTGTAAGTTGCGAGATATCCCAGTAACTTCTTGTTTAGGCAGGAATCCATTTCCGCTACGCTTTTATCTAGCGATAAAAATATCTGTCTCTTTTGCACTTACCTTCGCATGAGACTTACATTCAGTGATCTTTCCATTCAACTGAAGCTGGCTACCCTTCTTTACGGAATTAAAAAGCGCAGTCAACTAAAGTCCTAGATCATATGTCAGTGGCATATGCTCGAAGGAAATCTATCACCAACCAAGCATCTCTTAGGTATCGGCTGCTTACCAATAGCAATGCTCAAGCCCTTCAACTCATATGAAAGGCACACTAGAATTCTTAATGCATGGTCACGGTATCTTACTAACCTTAAAGAAAGCCTTTCTTTAGGTAAAGAACTTTTTTTGAAGATCTAGAATGTGGCATAGGAGTAACACCACCCGCAATCAGCTTGGCCTGGTACCGCACATAGTGGTGGCAGCGCGTTGATCCCTCGTCCAAAGCGCCGAACTTTAGCCTCCGGTCAGATCGTTATCGTGCCCGGCATCATACCATGTAGGCAAGGGAGATGCGCCACGTGAATGGCAAGAATTTCCATGCCTCCCAGCCTCATCCCTTGGCAGTTGACGTGTCCATGGCTGTTTGGGCTCGGCGCTGTGGCTGCTGTTTTCTTGCAGGCGAGTGTGTGCGCCCCCCTGGCTTGGGATTGGCTCGTAATAGCTCCCATGTTTATTTGGACGGCCACTGTGGATACATCATTCAAAAAAAACAACGTGACCGTGATATTGAGGCCCAAACAACGGCCATTGGGTGTTTCGTTGGGCAAAAACAGCGAAGGCTTGCCTTGTAGTATTATATAGTCAGTCTGTTCACTCTGTGCACCGTAGAGAGCCTCTTCTCGCCGTATGCGTCGCAAAATCCATTGAAACTTACATATACACTGCATCGGCCTGTCCGCTTGACAATGGGTTTCCTTGGGTGGCTCCAATCATGGCAGAAACGGGCTTCAGCTAGCAATCAACCTCAAAACAGAAGAGAACCAACATCTCAGCCACAAAAAGGACCGAGGCCTCAACCAAAGAAAGAGCCGACATATCGCGTACGAGGTGTGCCGAATGACTGGGATAGAGACAAGCTAGAGTCATTTTTGGTGGAAAGAGATGGCCCTGCTGGACCGGTGGTACAATCCTTAGCCAAGGAGTTTCATGGGTGCTCTCAAACGGCCACAGTCCTTTTTCGAAACACCTGCCAGCTCCCATTGAGGATCTCTCTGCCCGAACCTTCTGGCCAATTTGGTGAGCTTCGTAACCTGGCGCTTGACCATGCCTTTCTCGGTATTACCACGCTCTTCGCTCCCCCGCAGCAGGATCATAAAGTTGAGTAAGGAATTAACCATTCCACTTCTATATGAATACCAGCACTGACAGTGTTAAGCATCATCGCCATCTGTGGCCTTGGCGGACACGCATTTGGGTCATTTAAAGAGCGGGGTGGAGAGCACATGTGGCTAAGAGACGCACTCCCGCATGGTATCACTGCTGAAAGTGGCCAGCGTATTGCACGCATTATGGTGTACGGCTACGAGTCAAATATTCCAGACAGCGATAGCTTTCAGAATCTGGAGGATCTCGGGACAGCTCTCCATTCCGACCTTCGAACCCTCGTATTTGATGGTTCGTTCAAACCGATCGTATTCATCGCCCACAGTCTGGGCGGATTGGTCGTCAAACAGGTAAGCGCACTCACAGCATCCGTTCAGGGACATTAGTATTCTAATACTTCAGCAGTTCCTTATATCGTTGTCTGAGTCAAAGGATGAAGTGGACCAAAAATTAGGCTGCGCGGTTTACGGTCTTTCCTTTTTTGGTGTCCCACATGACGGCATGGACATTCGTTCGCTCATCCCCATGGCTGGTGATGGACCAAATAGATTTCTGCTAGAATCTATTGGATCCAACAATTCGCAGATCCTCAGCATCCAGCATCGTGAGTTTTCAAAGGCTCTAGGGGGCCAAGGCCAGTCTGAGATTGTTTCATTTTACGAAACCCGCTTATCGCGAACCGCATTAAAAGTGTGACTTCATCCATTGTTCGGGACGACCTGTGCTAACATGTAGCAGGATGAAATGGGCAGATGGAGAATGTCAGGAGAGCTGGCCGTCCTAGTAACGAGGGCATCCGCCACGCATTGCCGAAATTGGGAGAACGGACCGGAACATATCTGCGCCATCAATCGCACACACTCAGAAATGGTCAAGTTTGCGGAGGAAGACCCTGAGTATGATAAAGTCCTCGGGCGAATAAAAACACTCGCCCTACGTGCGATTACAGTACGCAGGAGTATGTGATCAAATTAACCGCCAAGCCGATCAAGCTAGGAAGGGATTATATTAACATTTTCTCAGGCCTATTACAGCGAACTTTGTCACAGGGTGAACAGAACTGCCTACAATCACTAGCCTTTGAGCAGATGCAGGACCGTGGCAACGACATTGATCATGCCATCCAAGGGACATGCGAGTGGCTGCTGAAACACGACACGTATATGAAGTGGGCCACATCCCATGAATGTTTACTTTGGATCAAAGGAAAACCAGGCGCGGGGAAATCTACGTTGCTCAAGTACGCCGTTAGTAAACAACGAGATATACCCAGTGCAAAAGACGATGATGTCGTGCTGTCTTTCTTTTTCCATGGCCGTGGTAATGCAATTCAAAAAACTCCTCTTGGCTTCTTAAGATCTATACTTCATCAAGCCCTTGAGAAGGCCCCTGAAGCCTTCCCAGATCTCGTCGATACCTATCAGCAGAGGTGCAAGGTGATGGGTAATCCTCCTGAGAATTGGCAGTGGCATCCGGAAGAACTTTGGCGTTTCTTTGAATTATCTCTTCCACAGATCTTAGCGAATCGCTCAATATGGTTGTTTGTCGATGCGCTAGATGAATGTGGTGAGGATGATGCAAGAAACCTCGTCCAGAGGTTCAAGGCTTTGCTCAAGAGAATATCGCGGCTTCCGTCTTGGATCCATTTCCGTGTTTGCTTCAGCTGTCGTCATTATCCAATACTAAGCTCTCGGGATCTGCTTGAGGTGTGCCTTGAGATGGAAAACGAAAGCGACATTTCCACTTACGTGAAATCCACACTCAAGCTAACATCCTTCGAGGAGCCGACACGATTTAAGATTCGAGATCTGATAATATCTCGTGCTTCAGGTGTTTTCTTGTGGACACAACTAGTAGTGAAAAAAGTTCAGGGCCTGGAGCTGGATGGTGATGGGCCAAATAAAATCGAGGCGACTATTCGTTCTACTCCCGAAGGCCTCCATGAGCTATATAAAGAGCTCATAAAGGGCATGACGTCATCCTCTTTGAGACTGATCCAATGGGTATGCTTCGCAGCGCGGCCTTTGTCCACGGAAGAGCTGCGATGGGCGATGGTCATCGACGTCAGATGTCCATCGTTGCAAGAGTGTCAAAAAGCATATGACTACATACCTGACAGCAAACGAATGGATCAACAAGTTATCAAGCTCAGTCGAGGACTTGCTACAGTTGTTCCTGGATTTAATATGCAGGTTGTCCAGTTCATTCATCAGTCCGTTAAAGACTTTTTCATGGATAAGGGCCTGGTAACCCTAGACAACAGCTTAACATCAACCGATGAGGCAATCGGAATGGCACAGTTCCAACTTTTGAAGACTTGCATACTCTACATGAAGATGGAGGAAATTAGCCAATCAACAAGCCATGGAAGTGGACTAAAGGCTGAATTACCATTTTTGCACTATGCCGTGACTTCATGGGTTTCACACTTGCAAAAATGCGATGCCATCAAATTTTCTCCGAAGAATATCCTAGAATTACTTTCATGGCCCTCAAATGTCATCCTCGACCTGTGGGTGCGTCTTTTTATACAACTCGGCCGTCCTTCCGGTCCTACTCCAGTAGCAAAGACCACTCTTATACACATTGCGGCGGAGTATCGCCTGGTAGGAGTGTTGGCAGCCATTCTAGAAAATAACGGTCAAACTTATATAAACATCAACTCAAAAGATAAACATGGCAAGACGCCGCTGTCATGGGCCGCGCAAAAGGGGAACGTGGCGGTAGTCAAGACCTTGCTTGACACAGGCCAGGCTGAGATCAATTCGACAGATATAGAAGGCCAGACGCCGCTGTCGAGGGCCACGCGGAAGGGGAACGTGGCAGTAATTAAAACCTTGCTTGACACAGGCCAGGTTAAGATCGATTCGACAGATTATGGTGGCCGGACGCCGCTGTCATGGGCTGCGGAGTACGGGAATGAGGCCACAGTCAATATCTTACTTAACACAGGCCAGGTTAAGGTCAATTCAGAAGATTGTGGTGGCATGACGCCGTTGTCGTGGGCTGCGTACGCCGGACGCGAAGCCGTGGTTAAGATCTTGCTTAAAGCAGGAGCTGAGGTTAATTTAAAATCTCAAGGTAATAGATCTCCACTTTCGTGGGCTGCGCAGAAAGGACAAGAAGCTGTGGTTAAGCTATTGCTTAATATGGGAGCTGAGGTCGATCAAAAAGATAAATATAACTGGACGCCGTTATTATGGGCTGCGAAGGAAGGGCATGAGGCTGCGGTTACTACCTTGCTTAGCCTAGGTCAGGCTAAGGTTAATTTAACAGATCAAAAGGGCCGGACACCACTTTCATGCGCTGCAAAGGGAGGGCACGAGGCTGTGGTTACTGCCTTGCTTAGCCTAGGTCAGGCTAATGTTGATATAAAGGATCAAAAGGGCCGGACGCCACTGTGGCGAGCTGCAAAGAAAGGGCGCGAGGCTACAGTCAAGCTGCTGCTTAATTCAGGAGCTCAAGTCGATTTAAAAGATCACTTTAACCGGACGCCGTTAATGTGGGCTGCATATTGTGGATATGACGCTGTGGTCAAGCTATTGCTTGATGCAGGAACTGAGGTTGATTCAAAAGATAAATTTAACCAGACGTCGCTAGTGTGGGCTGCAGAGAACGGGCACGAGGCTGTGGTCAAGCTGCTGCTTGATTCAGGAGCCGAGATTGATTTCATAGGTTCAAGAAATCAGACGCCGTTAATGTGGGCTGCACGGGGAGGGCATGACGCTGTGGTCAAGCTGTTGCTTGATAAAGGAGCTGAGGTCGATTCAAAAAATGTTGATGGCCAGACGCCACTGTCGTGGGCTGCACAGCACGGGCATGCAATCGTGGCTAATATTTTGCTTAATGCAGGAGCTGAGGTTGATTTAAAAGATAAAACTGGCCGAACTCCATTATCGCAGATGGCACAGGTTGGACAGTATAGCAATGAGGCTGCGATTACTATCTTGCTTAATGCAGGAGCTAAGGTTGATTCAAAAGATCAAACTAACCGGACGCCATTATCATGGGCTGCGGAGTTACACCATAAGGCTATGGTTAAGCTACTGCTTAATGCAGGAGCTGAAGTAGATTTAAAAGATCAAAGTGGTCGGACGCCGCTGTCGTGGGCTACGGGGTGGTGGGGCGAGGCCACAGTTACACTATTACTTGATATGGGGGCCGACGTAAACTCAAAAGACAGAAATGGCCAGACGCCGCTGTGGCGGGCTGTAAGGAGCAGGAGCGAAACGATGGTTGAGCTATTGTTGGATAGAGGGGAGGTTGACTTGAGTGATGATAACGGCCAAAAACTGCTCTCGTGGGCTGCGGAAAACGGGTGCGAAGCTGTTGTCAGGCTACTCCAAGCTTGTATCCCATCTCCGTTCTAGCCAATATCTGCATGAGGCCGCAGAAAAGAGCAACAAGTTTAACTGTTGATTCCTACTTGTGCAGTGCATTTGCGCAACATATATGAGATGCGCCATGTCTTAGACTGACAGTCGAGCCATACCGGGGAAATTGTGAGCACCTGCTGGTTGGGGATCTAACAGGGAGGTCACCGAGGATATAGCTGTTTGAAAGCCAGAGTCCGAGCAGTGCCCATTAGAAGCCTGAAGTACACCCGAGACATTCAAGCAGTTAAAATCTGCCGGTTCGCGTGTAGACTAGTCAGGATCATTCCCCACTTTCATCAACTGTCTTATACTGAATAACTAAACCAATGGGGGAATGGCTTTTTTACCCCTGAGGTTAGTCAAAGAGCAAATGAGGCATGTCCGTAGTTGCCATATCCAAGTTATTCAAACCTAACAGTAGGGAAGAGGCCTCGGCTGAAAACTAAAGCTATGCATCCTCAATAAATATAAATACTACTTATACCTACTTCGTATAGATTGAGCTTTTTGTTAAGCCTCAATATCTTTTTTCGAATGCATGTGATCACAGATGGATCATCATCCTATTCAGAATGGCTACTTCCAATGTTTTAAATTCTTTGTCCGTCACGTCTGTTTTAAGTCATGTGACTACAGATAAGAACACCCGTACCCAGAACAACCAAAAGCGCGTCCAGCTGCTGAACGACAAGGCTGCAATAAACGAGGTGCTTCTTTTCGATCGCGCAGACAAGTGATGCTCTATGCGAAGAGCGCATTAAGCTCAGCCCATAGGGCCAGCCTCAACAGAAAAACTATCTACTATGGTGATGAATCTTCTCTGCAGCAGGACTTGCAATAGTCACTCTATAGGAAACGCCAGCCTGGGAAAATTTTGGCGTACTTTAGCTGATAGACTGATCCGCAAAGAGCTGCTGACTCTCATACATGTAATCGCTAATACTCAACGGGCGTTGTAGGATGCTAAGGAGGAACGAGAGAGAAAAGGGAGACAAGAGACTTATTCATATCCTACATACTTATGTGTTTCATCTTATGTTACCCTGCCTCGCATGATATTATATCTTATGTATTATTATGCCCTATGTGTTGTACGCCTTACGTGTTATCATGTCTTGTGATAGTATTATGCCTTATGCATTCATAGGTAATACATTGCGTCTTGCAATATATTATTGTAATATCTCGTCTGCTACACTCAGGACGGAAGTCGCCATCCTATTGGACTTACATCCTGCTGGAAACAACTCTGTAGCGCAAATGTAGCTGCAGACACAGTCCCAGAGCTCAAAGTGATAGGCAGCTAGTCTAATGGACAGTTAGTAACAGAATATAAGCATACCTAGTTAGGATGTACCCATGTAATAGTAAGGCATATTGAAATGCTATCCACTAGTAGTTATATCAGTTTACATACAGTACCTGCTGTTTATAGGCTTGTGAAGAAAAAAAAACCGGAATTAGTGTACTGTAGCTATAAAATATGTCTTGGGAATTATTAGAAAGAATAAGCGACAGAGATTGGACCTTTACTACATTGGATTAACACCTGCTTCACATTCTTCTGGAAGACTCTCTAAAGTCAAGTGACTTTAGCCCCTTGATGTATGCTATTAATAAGGCAACTCAACTTCCTATCAGCTAGAGTATCGCATCTAGGTAAATTAGTTGTAAATGCTTAGATATAATCAAAACTGCAAGTATAACAGGCACGCGAGATATTGCAGATGAAACAAGAGCTTTACAATATAAAACTGCAAAGGGACAGTAGGTATATCAGCGTTACCAGCAGTAAAAATAGGATTACTATTACCTAGAACATCATCATTAGACAGACACAGGTGGGGAGCAGCTGTCAGAAGTTGGAAAAAAAAATAAACGAAAGCAGGGATTTATAAGCCTAATGGTTACGCCACAGGCCAATAAGGAAGACGGCCCGCGTAGCTCAGGGGTAGAGCGTTGCACTCGTAATGCAAAGGTCCATAGTTCAAATCTGTGTGTGGGCAGTTATTTTTTTACTTTTTTTGCGTTTATTAACCCCCAATAAATAGGTGACTGATTAAATTTTCAAATACTTGCTGTATTGTTATTTAATTCTCGATAGATATCTTGTACGCGTCGGGCGCATGCTTCTTCTATTATCCCTACCCCGCCTATTGATGTAAAAGTTGGTATACTTTACGAAATCATTATTTTCGCACTAATAATTGCGGCAGTAGCGAGTTTACACTATGGGTCTTTACCCTACATAAAGAAGGGTAGATTCTTCAAATAGACAAAGATTACTATTATCATTTGAAGTTACATATGCAGGTAATTATATTCACTCCCTTATATCAAGATTCTTGCAAGCTGTCAGTAAAATGACATGTTCAAGTATTACATCGGTATCTTCGTGATTGTACTAACACCACCATCGCTCTTATTTATCCAGTCTGTACATCCTTCTTTTCAAATCTTTCCACTGGCACTATTTCCACATGCTCACCATCATGAGCCGTCGCATCGCTTTCATGACCCTCCTCTTGCGGCGACACAGATTGGGCTTCATCGCCAGCTTCTACATCGTCGCCGCTCGATTTTCCATCGCGTCGTAAGTACCATTTAAAGTAGTAGACCAAAATTTGCGCCATAAACACCTATTTGCCCAGTCAGTAACAACACGAATTAGAGTGAGGGTAAACCCAAAACTGCGTGCTGGCGCTCACCTGCTCAATCGTATAAAGCAACACCGGGATAGTGATAAACGCCCTCGTCAAGTCATCGGCTTGGCTCCACATTGCCGTCACCAGAGGAATACCCAGACTCGTTGTCTTAGCCGCTCCGCAGAAGCAAACTGCAATGGTCTGCTCCTTGGACATCTTTTTCACCGTGAATATGCGCTGGGCTCTTTTCGGCAGACGGGACTTCGTGACGCGCGGGTTGATGTATCTGGCGAAGAACTGGGGTGGACGGGCGAGGTAGAAGCAGATGAGAGTGAAGATGATGTAGAGGCCGATGTTAATGAAAACGTTGAAAATGACATCTGCTTTCGATAATTTATAGAGAGCACCAGTGCCAAACGCGCCAGAAAACGTCGTCCTTTTCACGTCCATTAGCATAAAAATCATCAAAAAGCCATAGGGTCAGCATCTCCAACTCACCATACCAGCAGGATCAGACACACGCTCGGCAATTTCCCCAGCATCGTAACCCTCAAGACCTTGGCCACCACATCTCCTTTCCACCACCTCACCGCCTGGCCCACTGTCAGGGGCAACAGGACGCTCAAGCCCAGCTGCTTCGCCACGTTGGCGTACATGTCTCCCAGCGTGCTCGGGTCTGCAGGCCGCCAGTCTTCAAAGACGGACTCTCGCGGGATGAAACCGTATATCAGAATTGGCGTGAGAAATGACCCAACGGTGTTGCCTATGACGACAGAAATAACAGCTGCGGCTTCATCGCCTCCGGCTGAGCGCGTCATAACGACATTGGAAGCGATCGTGGTGGGGAGACAAGAGGTCGCGAGCATGCCAAGAATGATGGGAATTGAAGGAGTGCCATGCTTCAGGGCACCAGCAGCGAGACAGATGTGTATGAAGACTAACATTGTATTTCATGTCAGTCGATTCCAGGAGCAAAAGTTTGCCTTGATTGAAATCCAATAAGAATTCAACTCACTCAGCATAAACACTGGGATAATCGCAAAGCTGCTTCCCTGAATAATCACATGCAGCCTCCAATTTGTCAGATTTTGCTTCAACTTTTCGGGAGGAAGTTGCAGCCCATTTATTAAGAAGATGATGGCCACGGCGCCATACAAGATGCTGTACTCTGACCGAATCACGCCTCCATGCTCTGCAACAGCTGTACAAAACAGGGCAGTTAGCTCAATTCTCTTATTTCATGTGTCTTGTCCTCTCTGGTTCTTCGGCTTCACTTCTTTTCTTCCATTTCCCATCTAAATCGCAACGAATTTCGTCCGGAATAGTATCTGGTGACAGTAGATGATCGTAAAAGAGAGAGAAACTCACATGGAAAAAAACGCCCCAGCACACACGCCACCGCGAATCCAATAAGCAACCACTGCGCTGCTACAAACTGCACTCCTTTGCAGAACCAAACCACCAGCTTATTCTCGCGCCAAGATTTCTCATCCGTCGTCATCGTCTTCGTTGTCGTCGTATCCATCGTGCTTCCCAAAATCACCTTCTTCGGCAAATATTACCCAAAAATGTAGCTATCGTGATGAAATCATAAATCGTAAAAAATCATTCCGAAAATAAAAATGAACATGTCTATAACAAATGAATGAGAGAGAAGGGGGAAGGGGGAAGGGGAAGGGCGATCAAAAGAAAAGGAAAGGAAAGCAAAAAGAAATCACGAGAACGGCCAACTATGCACTTTTGTAGATGAAATAGTAGCTAAGCTACGTAGCTTGCTCGATTTCTCCAGCCACACAAGCGTGCGGAATCCAAAAAAGCTTGCGAAGTTGAGACCGCGCAGGAATGCTGGGTTTAGAAGAGGGCAAAGCGCCGTCTTATTACCGGATATGCTGAGCGGGTCTCGTCGGCCGATCGCTAGAGATATCTGCCGACACCGCATATTGCGATAAATAGTAGGTAATAGCCATAGTCATCGTCGGATAATTTGAGAGGGGCTTTTACGACATGGTGGGATGATGCTTGAGAAATCTCCTGCAAGCACAGCGATAACGAAAAGGGGCTGAAGCTTGGAGGGGTAAAAAAAACATCAGACTCAGCACCAGAGTCAAGGGGGAGGCATGAGATATGGGAAAAGCACATGATGGCGTCACGTCGGCATACTCCGTGCTCAGCAAGCATGTTTAGGAGACGGAGTCTATTTCTGGAATACGCGGAATAGATAAAACTTGAAGCATTGATATATACTGCTACTATTTCATCAATGTCGAAACCCTCCGTATCCCTGCACGGTCAACATATTAGACAACATCTACACCGATTCACCTTTTAACCTCCAAAGCAGCGATAAAACATCTAATCATCCAAAAGCTGTTTGTGGCTAACCCTTCAAGGGGAAGCGACAAGCAAGGCTAACCCCAACGCCGTGCGATGCCTGTGGTATCAACATAAACATTCTCTCAAACAAGGTTCGAGAAATAAAATCGTAATAAGAGGCCCTGCTCTTTCGTGACGGCTCTAATGGTTGTAAGAATATTAAGTAGAAGAAGGAATGTTAGAATAAAGAATAATCGAAGCAGGCATTTTTTTTGTAAAGAGAATAGGAAAAGGAAAGAGAAAGGAAGGAAGAGTCCAATGTGCTGTTATCGCATTGTCTCATGAGAGACCGGACTATGCGACAAGAACGGGTGCTGGTGGTGCTGGTTCTTCCAGTGGTAGAGCTGTCATAGACTCGCCAGCACCGGTACTACTTGGTGCCGGCGCAATCTCTGGGTCTGGAATTTGTATGTCCAGCTAGCGAGAGACACTTGTTAGCATTCATGGCCAACTTTAGTCAAGGAGTGGTAAAGGGCCTTCTCACAGTCATGTACCCCGTGCGGCGAAGCGAAATCAGCTTTGGGGGGAGAACTCCGTCCTCGGAAGATGTTGTCTTTTCTTTCTCACGATTCCACTGCTCGATCCAGGTCTCTAGGCTGTTCAGTCGAGATTTGATGCCGGTCATACCAAAGTCATCCCACAGCCAGCCAGTTGCGAGTCCAACAAATGCATCAAACATGTTTCGAAAATTGTAGGGATCAAAGGCGGGTATCAGCTCTTTGTTGAGCTTATCAATGATCTGCCGGAATTCAGGTTCAGGAATCCCCGCAGGATCCAGGATTTCAGGATAAAGGTTTGAAAAGGTAGGAGCCAGGTCACCTTGGAGAAGCCAGTCTCGGCGGATTCGGATAATCCGTGTCTTGGCATACTCGGCAGAGTCTGTCGGTACATGAGGATTCAAGTGAGGGAAGCATGGATGCTGCGGTCCCCAGGCCTCTCCCAGATCTGGCTGAATCTCCTCGCCCATGATGGACGAGTTGGATGAGGAGATTGCAGATCCTATACCGTCGCCATAAGAGACGTTGGAAAAACGATGGGGGTCCATGATATCCGGTCCTCGCTCCAGATCTCTGGAGTAGGACCTCCTCGACTCTTCATTATCAGGCATCATGACGCCTTTGCCTTTGTCGATTCCAGGCACGTTTGCAGGCGGCGGAGATTCGCTACTGAATTCGCCGCTGGTTCTGTTTGGAAAGTCAAACCGAGTTGGAGAGAGCGTTTGAGAGCGTCGCTCGTCGTACGACGCACGAACAGATCCGGGTAAGCTTATTCGCTTATTTTCCGTTGTATTCAAGTCGAACTGAAAGCTGATCGGCGTTGATGTGGAGTGCCTCGCCTGTATATGCTCGGTGAGCGTGAGCAGAGGATAGTCGCCAGCGCCAGTAACGTTTGGGTCCGCGGTGTTGGTAGAGTCGTCGAGAGCTGGATGCTGCAGCGGTACTGGGGGACCAATCGGACTTGAAGGGCGGCGTCTGTGGGCGGAAGGCCTGGGAGTTGAGTTGGTGGGATTCCACAAGCGAGCAGACGATAGGCGCTGTAGCCGAGTCGGATTTGCGCCCGGTGTGGCGAAGCTGCCAAATATCGAGCGTTGGCCTTGCTTATGAAAGACAGTCTGATGCGGCGATGCAGGCGCCTTGGAAGGGCTGGAGCGAGCGGGCTGGTGCGAAGCAGGAACTGCGGAGATGGCGTCGCTGCGAGAGTTGCTTTGCGCGCCTAGGGAGGGCGGGTCGGCCGTGGCTGAAATTGCCTGGAGCTCGTATGAAGCCGTGGGAATGGTGGAAAGGGCACGGCCGCTGGGACGACCGCGCTGCAGGGAAACGGCGATGTGGTCGCGTCGGCGCTGGAGGATGGCGACTGCAGCGCAAAGCTGCTACCGGGCGAGGCTGCTGAGCGTAGCCGTGGCCCCAAGAACAGCAACTGGGCTGTTGCGGCAAAATCTGCGATCGACTCTTCCGCCGTGGCCGTCGAGCGCAATGCTGAGTTGGAAATGCAGGGCCGGAAAGCAGATGCTGAGAAGGGCTTGGCGCAGACGCCGGTTTCGTATTGGCTAATCAGGGGCGGGTGCTCAAAGCAGTTAGTGCGGCTGGACAGATCGCTGGCGCCGCAACTGCGCGATAGCATATTTATCGATTGCTGCGATAAGACAAAGAGCGTGGGACGCTGAAGGCGGGCAGGGCAGGGCAGGCTTTTTAAAAATCAAAAACCCATTGTTGGCGTCACGAGAAGTAGGATGTGAAAAGGGAAGCGAAAATAGAAGAAGACAAGTGGACAAAGAGAAGAGAAGAAGAAACGAAGCGAAGACGGAAGCGAAGACAGAAGCGAAGAAAAAGAAATTAAAGCTCTGGATCGCAAAGACGAGATGGAATCCGTGCTTCAAGAGCAGCAACGAGATGGTCTGTGGTCATGTCATGGGAGCCCGAGTGGCTTTATCTGCGTGCGAGGCTTGTTCATTTGTCTGCTAAGTTTAGCCCTTTGTCGTCTAACCCATGCCGCATCTCGAGCCTCAGGGCTTACGTGCCTTGTTTGGTCCACTGCAAGTGAGCGTTAGCTAGGAGAATGCGGCATGGCTTCGGGACCCGACCAGTGGCGCTCAGCCAGCGCGCAGCTGAGCGGCTGGACTCTGGAGTCTGGTGCTTTCTAGGGCAAGGAACGGAGCACATGTACTAACTGGGCTGTGGCCTAGGCCGTAGTGCCCAAATTTCAACTGCCCGCTTCAAGCAGCATTACCAACCAACAGCTTGAGCTCAAGATCAGATCTGCCCTATGGTGGAGATGCCGACAAACATGATTTTCATCACTGCTCACGGCATTTCCGAAGTTGGGGAACTGCGCACAGCACAGTTTATGCAGACAACGGATTTTACCATCGCAATCAAATAGCTCTTCCACCGTAGTATACATGTATACTGTACACAAGCATGCATTGGCTGGGCACATCAGATGCTAATAGACGTGGCAACAGCAGACTGTAAGCCCCCTTGCAGAGCATAGCTCTATCACGACAAGTATAGCCTCCATCAGATTCCTTCTATGTTGTAAGGCTGAAAGCCAAGGGCGCGCAGCGAAGAGACAAGGTGCCTTGTCTTTGTAGAACAAAAATAGAACATCAAATTGTTGACTCCATGTCGTTAATCTTTGGCAGCACCGCTGGCGCCAGGGGTCATCACCAGTTGTTGGATCTGGGAAATTTAATCGGTCCTGGCCGGTCGAGCACGTGCGGAAGAAGGAAAGATGTAATCTCTCCAGACTGCCATCGATCTGGTCATCTTGAATAGGGGGCTGGAGAAGCCGTGCGCTTCCATATTGCATGGCCCGCTGTCTGTGCTGTGTCCCCCATGCAAAGGCCGGGCCTCCCAGCAGTTGATGGGCAGATCGCAGAGATAGTCGAACCAGGTGCTACATATTAAATTTTAATCTCCTTTTAGAAGCATCTTATCCAAAATTGAGAATCGTATTTCTGGAGATTGCCGTGCCTGTTCGCATGACGGCGATGCGGATTCACTCCCTGCTGGGAAATTGCTCAATGCGAATTTCGACGGTGACGTCCCCGGGAAGATGAAATTAAGCTGTTGGTGCCATGCGGCCCGAAAAGCGGGGCGCGATCTCTTGGAACTGACTTGTCAGTCTGCAGTATTGATGGCAGCGCTTCGAGAAGATGGAAGCAATTTCGAATGCAAATACGAAGCACTACTATTCAGGCCGCCATCGTATTCCAAGCAGTTTAACGTCTTATAAGCAATGGCGGAACGTCTAAAGTGCTGCGAGTGCGTCACAATCGCTACAAAGAAGAATGTTAGACTAATAGATACCCAGCCAGCTCATGTCCTTATCAAATAAAGCCAAAAACAGAAAATAAGATGTAAAAGTGGAAAGAAGTTGAAGATAGAGATGAATCATTGGCGTCCATTCGCTCTGGATTACGGGTACCAAAAATATACGCCGCTCTTTGCCGGCCGCGATAACTTCATTCATCACTTCAATTACAAGGTAATTTCGTCATAGTAGGTGCTTAGCGTCCTGTCATCCATGGCGGAGCATTTCGTCCAGAGCGATACGGTGGAGACCCAGCTATCGCCGTCACTATCGACCCAAATCGACCGAGCTCTCCGTGAGGAATGTAGAAAGAATTGGAGAATATTACCGCTATTTCCGCAGCTTGGCTGCCTGGATCAACATTCAAACTGAAGATAAACATCAATGAAACACTCTGAATCTGAATGATTCGAGCGCATCGAGCTTTGCTGCCAGTGCGCTGTCATTATCTCACCTGCTGCGACCCGCCATGCCCTCCTGCCAAAACCAGCACAAGCCCGCTGTACCCCGGATTCTAGCCAGCCCAGCCACGCGGGAGCGCTAGTCGGTCGCAGGGGAAAGCCGCTGGGAGCGCTGGTGGACGGCCACTGAAGGTTGCCACCGCAAAGCTGCACCTCGAATTCCTGTTGACGTAACGACGCTGCGGCGATCCAGCGCATACCACCCACCACGTTCTCCCACGATCGACCCAGCCCAATCTTCTTCCCTCCCTGCCCACCGCCTAATGCCTCTCTGCTGACATCCCGCACAAAACGTGCATAACCCTAGCCATGCCGGCGGCAGCAATGCCAGATGACGGCCGCCAGGCCTCGACGGCATCTCCAGCGAAGCCTGGGCTCGCTGCCAGCTCCGGCGTCAGCCTCGGCCACGGAAACAGCAATAGCAACGCCAGCGCCGCGTCCCCTGGACACTTTATCCGCCGTGCCAAAACCTTTGACGAGCCCTCGATGCGGTCCGGATCCATGTCGCGACACTTTTCAGACTCGTCGTCCGAGGCGCTGCCCCGGAGGAGCTCCAACTTTTCCGAGTATAGCCTGAACGAGGCACGCGACATCCTCAACCCCCGTCCACACGCTCTCGGTGAACAGCCATCTCATCGGGAATCATCGCCGCTGGCTTTTCTATCGCTGGCTTTTGCTTTTCTGCCCGCTGTTGCTGGTGTCTTTTTCCAGAATGGCACCTCGGTCGTCACCGACATCATGCTCTTGGGCCTCGCAGCCATCCTCCTTCATTGGTCGGTGACGCAGCCATGGTAAGTAGCGGTGATGGTTCCGCCACTTCCTCCCCAGTAGGAAAAAAGACACAACAGAATTCCTAATTTTTTTTTTTTTAATAGGCAATGGTATCACGCGGCCCAAGAAGTCCGTTTATTCCAAGAAAACTCGGTCAACATATCCCTTGAGGAAGACAGCGATCTCGACTCCCGGGGTAAACCCCCCAGCACTAGTGCACCACTTGACGATGTGCCCGAAGAGCGAGAGGGAGATGGCATGGATGACTCGAGCTCGGCAAAGAGGGAAGCTAGGGAGGAGCAGCAGATGACGGAGCAACAGCAGGCTGCTCTGAAAGAGCTTTACCGCCATGAAAGCCTTGCACTGGTATCATGCTTCGTAATGCCACTGCTTAGCGCATACCTCCTACATTACATCAGAGGGCAGCTCAGTCGGCCGTCCGAAGGGCTTGTTTCCAATTTCAACTTGACGATTTTCCTATTGGCAGCTGAGCTGCGTGTGCTGTCACACATGATCACGCTGGTCCAGTCTCGAACACTACATCTTCAAAAGGTTGTCCACGAAAACCCCTTTGGCCAGCAGGTTGGGGCCGAGACGCTATTAGAAGAGATGCTCAGGAGACTAGAAAGGCTTGAAAGTCGTTCAACATCCCAGGGTCACGAAATAGCTGGACACGGACAGACGCTGGACTCGACCGCGGCAACAATCAGCCGAGATGTGCGAAACACCATTCAACCAGAGCTGGACGCTTTGAATCGAGCCGTGAGACGATATGAGAAGAAGGCAACACTCCTCCAGCTTCAGACAGAATCCAGATTCTCTCAGGTGCACGTCAAACTGGACGATGCCATTTCTTTAGCCGCCGCTGCAGTGAAGAATACAAACCGTCGGCGGGACTTTATCCCTTGGGCCTGGAAATGGATCGTGGCGATTGTAACGTTTCCGTTCAAAGCCCTTTTAGAGATACTCGCTCTGCCGCTGAAGCCTATCGTTGCGTTTGCAAACAGAAATAAGCCACCATCAGCCACGAGTCTACCGCCGTCTAGGAGTAGGGCGGGGAAGTCGCCGGCATCGTTGAAATATAACGGCGATCGAGTGCCGACGAGGCTGACCAAGAGATGATGAGATGCTCGTTATATGTTATGTGGCGTCTTCTTGGATTTTCTTTTGTTTCTCCTCTTTTCCTTTTTTTTTTCCACAGCAGCCAACCTTCGCTATGGGCAATTATAAGCACAAACATGGTCACGGCTACATTCGAACGAATCATACGAAAATAGCATTAGTACCACGCATCTTCATCACTTCAAATTAGATGCCATCCTTGACGGTGACATTTTAACGACTTGTACTATTAACCAACTTTAATAGAGTTTTCTCTGCATATGTTTGAAACACTGGACCTTTTGTGATAATTCATGATTCATTAAGCAGCATCTTTAGCACAGAGAATAAACTTCATCGCCTGCATGCTTAGTCGCCATTTGATAGTGCCTACTACTGTTAGTTTCATCCTTTCTTGACGCCTATTTCGTCTCTTACCGATACATGACGTTATTTCCCCTTGCAAATCATTGTTTCCTTATATCTCTAATAACGCGCGTCAGCAAGCTAATATTCCAGTCGCGCGCACGCACGGCCAAAATGGTATTGTGGACATCTGCCGCGCTATGGACCCGTTGATCAGATTCTCGACTTTGACTAAACATGTGGGTTATGAGAGCAATAGCGAGTTATTGATTTCCAATGCGCTACAAAGCACGCTATCATCGATTTCATCAACCTTGCACCCCCTCGTGGCACGTGGGCCTGAAAAAAAAAATGATGAAAAAAGAGAGTTCTCGGGCTGTCCCAATTAGGTATCTGGCCCAGAACTCGGAGCACAAGAAAAACAGTGCTACGGGATGCCTTGCAATCATTAGGATTACATACCCTGCATGGGATGATGATGAGGATGCTCATTTTGAGTTCAACCGCCTTGCGTGCTACGAAAGTATACTTTGTACTATCTAATGTTATTTGTATTCTTCTTGTGTGATGAATGGCCAGATGAACAGACACATGTGCAATAGCGGCTTGGCTCCAATCTTGTGGTAGCTTGGCAACTTGGGCTTTCCAGCCATTTCCACCTCCTACAAAGAACTGTAATAGCCGGCTAATCGATATGAGAACTACGTGTAGTTAAATCTCGTCCTACGTACTCAGTTGTATCTTCCAGTAATCAGTGATCTATCCATACGTAGGTAGCTGCGTGTTGCCTCAGCATCAGAGCTGAATTCTGTGTAATGATCGTATCCATCGAGCTAGTCACGGGGCCATGTTAGAATCTGTTGGCATCGCTAAAATTACTTTTTGGCGTTGGTTAAATATTGCAGTAATATTAAAGCTGAACGTTGATAATTGCATTGTACGTTGTGCGTGTGTATCATTACCTGTGTTGCTTGTAGTTGCATGGTGGTGTCACGAATCCGATTTTGCCCGCGCATGGAAGGTTTCACCATTGTTGACGGACATGTGCGCCCAATTGATCACTCTGAAGAACCGGGGGCGGCGCTGAAGAGTCGATTGCTTACTGCACGATCGCGAGGACAAGAGCAGGTTTCACGGAGATGCGGAATCAACGTGGGCAGAAGGGCCTGGAGAGTTGCGCCGCCACGCTGGTGCACCACGACGGGCCAGTCATCTGCCGACTTTGGGTCACGCCAACGGAGTGGATCTCTTAATTTCGCAGCCCGAGGTGGCGTGGCGCATCAAAGAGGCTGCATCCTAAAGGAGACGAAGGTTCAATTGCTTTGAAGACCAAAGATTGGCTGCTGGATTGGGGGCGAGCTAATGCCCTGAGAGGATGAGCTTTGTGCTCCGTGTATGCGCTCTGCACGTACGAGCACATGCAAGCAAATCCTTGGCTACCGGCGACGATATTTTTGGTGACACATGAAGATCAATTTGAGCGTAGGCGAACTTGATGCAAGGGAAAAGTGTAAAGAGCACCGCGATAGGCATGGTCGGCCATTCTTCCAACTCGTCACCGCGCATGTTGACCTGTGTTGTCTCGGAGGCGGAAAAATAGGAGACTCGATGGCAGAAACACTTATAGTCTGGGTTACAGGCACAGTTGCGTACCGTAAGCCTGTAACAAATGATGTAACCGTGTATGAACCAGGTCCCGACTCTGCAGTAGTCTCATCGGCACTCCGTCGTCTCCGATGAGGTGATGAGACTTGGACACCACCGACTTAGTAGTGTAGCAGTGGTACTACTACTAGTGGTACTATGCGTCCGACAAGGAGGTGCCCAGTTGGACAACTTAACAGCTCTCATGCCTTGCGTCGTAGTGCTTCAAGCTTGGCGAGGGTCCATGGATGGTCAGCGCCGGCAACAATACCAGGATATTCAGCACGCAAGAGACACTGCTGCTCCAGTTCGCCGTGCTGATACGGCAGTGCATTGGTGGCTGGCGACGTCTCGTCCTATTCCCCAGCATGCACTGCAAGGGAGAGCGCCCAGCTTCTCTTTGCTTTTGGTTTAGCCCGCACAGCACGGCATAATGTGCAGGATTCGGTAGACGAACCAATGGCTGCTTTGCAGCAAGGGAGCAGCAGTATGTAAGGACTAAGAGTTTGCAGCTGGAGTTTTACTTTCTGGAGCTGCAGCGCAGTTATCGTAACCGAGCTCCAGCAAGATGATGACGAATGATGGTAGATGTGAAGATTGCTTGCGGCTGCTTTTTGGCATCCATTCAATTGTTAGCATATCCAGAAATAGACTGTAAATCTCCGTTACTTCCTCCGGTGGTGAACATCCGTACATCTTGCACTGGGTAATCGGAGGATAGCTGGCTAAATGCTATCAGTTACCATAATAAGGTTAATGAGACACGTTAGGAGCTCATGGGTGTCGTACTACTGCAGCACCATGTACCGAGTGCAACCCTACCTTACCTTGGCTGGTGAACAAGAGACTCAATATTCTGCTACCATGACGAGATGGCGTTGCCACCACGTATTTTAGCGGCCACTTACTATAGTAGATCAGAGAGATGATCTTTCCTGAGCAAGACAGATGTAGACGGGTGGAGATGGCAGCAAGAGAAGAAAATCTTGTTTCCTCCTGTTATCAAAGTCATGTAATTTAGAGAGTACATGTAGCGTATCCAACCAGCTCGCTTTGCCGCATCAAGCCCATGGCGCACGGATTTTAGGCTCTGCCCCATCCAAGCCTTGGCTGGCTGAAAGCGGATGGCACCGCGCGCGGCTGGTTCCTGCCAACGACCCCGCTCGGCGGCCATAGCTCCCTCTGCCCCTGGACGACAGGTCGCTAAGTCGCCGCACAGGTACCGCCGGGCAGCGCTACGACCACTAGCGCCCAGCACTGGCGGTGCAGCTGGCGGTAGCGTGGGGCCTGCGAGGTACCTGCGGATACCTGGTTGCTGGCGCGGGCAATCAGATCCGACCTGTTCCTGCATGCATCGCTGCCGAAGCCGCCAATTGTTGGTGGCCCCTGCGCCCGCTCGGCCTGCTCTCGATTTCATCCAGTGGCATCAGATGGGCTTGTGATGGACATCAGCTAGGTAATGCTCACTGTTTCCAAAAGAACCGAGAAAACTGGCCCCAGGCGTCATACACCACATGCAGTCCTCTTCAGAAGCTCTCTGGCTTTTGTACGCCCTGCATAGGTACCAATGCATGCGCCAGCGCTACGCAGCGCTCGTGGTGGCACCGCCTAGAGCGAGCGACGAAGCGTTGCTTCTTCTGCGCCTCCAGCCCTGCATGCGCCGTTGCAGCCGGGAAATTGGCCCAACAGCCACGCGCCATGGCAGACGCCCCGGCGATGGGATTGGACTGGATTGGACTGGATGGGACTGGATGGGACTCCATGGATTGGATCCCAGCATCCCTGCGTGGCCCGCGATGCCGGGCTTGATTTGACTTTGCGACCGCTCGCTGCGTGCCACTCCCGGCGGCCAGGCCCAGAACCGCAAGCACTAACAGACGTGGCCGAATGCCGTGCTGATCGAGCTGGACGTGGCCGCATGCAGTGGACGAAGGCGATGGGGCCGGGATAGGCAACGGCAGAGGAGGAAAACAACAAAAGCGCTGCTCCTTGCTTCGCCGGACTCCCGCCTCCTCTCTTCTCGCTTGGTGACATCGAAGCCCGCATGTCTCACTCGATCTTGTCGTCGGTCCTGGTTCTCTGGCCAGCTCCCCCATTGTGCGTGACCCATCCCCTATGCATGTGAGACATCGTTATTCGGCTTTGGCAGTCTTTTGGAGCTCCTCTGCCAATCTCCTACGGCCTTCCTCATAACTTGTCTCAGTCGCACCAACTGTACTCGGCTGTGTACGGGGGTTCATCACGAGCATACTGGGTCGGCGTTATATCTACCTAGGCGCTGTCTTTGTGTAATTGGCGTCCCGGGGCTTCTTTTGGGAGTTTGCTGTTCTTTTCAAGCCTTCTATCCCCCTTTGAAATCTTTTTGGTTGCCTCTTCCTCCCCCCACTACGCTCGAATGAAACTTCACGGCCTGCGGATATAGCTGGGAACATTTTCTCATACTGGCGGCTTCGAAATCCCCCGCTGGTGGCATTCACGCCCGAGCAATCACAGCAAGAATGTTCAAGGCCATGAGGCTCCAGGCGCTGGTATGCCTTTTGCTGGCCCTGCAAGTGGCCGCCACACACCACTTTCATCTACTGAGACGAGATGATGCCTCCGCGCCTTCGACGCCTTCCGCTTCAATTTCTGGTTCAAAGCCAAGTTCACAGCCAATGCCACAGCCCTCTGTTACCAGCGAGCGGCACGAAGACAGCAAGCAGACAGATGTCTCGAAAGAATCGACGACCACAAAAGCTCCTCACAGCACTACAGCATCCTCAACACCTACAGCTCACACCACAGCCACGGTTCCATCGCAAACTCCTCTGAGTAATTCGACATTGTTCAACAGTAAGAATAGAGTTCTCCCGCTGATCATACCAAGTTAGCTTGCAGCTTGCTGACATATGCACTGGTAGCAACGATTCCTGCCGGCCAATTGCCCATTAAGCCCGTCATAACTCCAGGATGGGGCGTTGCCGGCGCCATTTTGTTACTTACCGGGGCTCTCTATACCATTATTGGGCTCAGAAATCAATGGATCAATTGTTTCTTCTCGACTGCCTATCTCACCTCTCTCGGAATTACGGTTCTTGTTGTCTATCTCATGAATGTCCCTGTTAGCTTGGCTGTTCAGGGAGCATATGTCGTTGCTGTTGTTCTGTCTGGCTGTGTGCTAGGAGCAGCATCCCTCATCTTCAAAGAGCTTACTGAAGGCCTGGGATGCGCTCTAGGAGGCTTCAGTTTCAGCATGTGGCTTCTTTGCTTGGCGCCAGGAGGCCTGCTGCATGATACGGTAGGCCGAGCAGTTTTCATCTCGTGTCTTTCTGTTGCCGGTTTCGCCCTCTCTTTCAGCTCCTACACTCGAGATTGGGCCATGATTATCCTCATGTCTTTCGGAGGCGCAACAGTAATTGTATTGGGTATTGACTGCTTCAGTAGAGCCGGGCTTAAAGAGTTCTGGGCTTATATCTGGAACCTAAATGGGGACTTATTCCCCCTTGGTGCAAATACCTATCCCATAACTAGAGGCATCCGAGTCGAGATTGCAGTAATCGTTATCATCTGCCTCATTGGGATTGTCTGCCAGATGAGGCTGTGGACAATTGTTCGAGATAGACGCAATACAAAGGCTTTGAAGATCGCGGAAGATCAGAGATGCCTTCAGCAAGAAGAAGAGAATGTCGGTCGCTACATTGGGCAGCAAACGGCGCGGGAACGAGTGGCCTGGGAAAAAGTCTATGCAGGCAGATTTATTCCACACAGCAATGGTATGAGCACTGCCTCACACTACTCATATGGCACCGACAGCGGCAGCAATAGCAAAAGACAACAAAGAGTCCATTCTGAGTCGGTTTACACAGAATCCAAGACTGATGGCATTGAGATGACGGAAATGTCAGATTCAAGTGTAGTCCAAGCTGGAACTGATGGGCTCATGTCCATGGAGCTGGCCAAGGAAGGCAAGATCACGGTACGGGTAGCTGCAGACGAAGTATTGGAGACGCCAAACGAGAGAGAGGGCAGGATTACCGAAGAACAGTTTGATGTCATGTCAGAATCAGGCGCGGGGGTTGTTGACCGTGACAGAAATGGTTCACCAACAGCGGCCGCCAAAGAGAAGGAAATTTCTCAAACAAACTCAGAGGGAAGACGAAACTCTCCGCAAAGAAACGTAACACCCGCGCCTCAGGTAGTCCCCTTGCCATTTAAGACTCCGACAGAAGATGATTTGAAGTCAATTGGCGATCGATCATCTGTTGCGACATTTGCTGCTGATGACGAAGCTTTTGCGTCTGCGACTCCCATTCGAAATTCTCTCGTCAAAAGAGTTTCACAGAGCTCAGTAACGCTTCTGAGAAGCTTATCTCAACAGAAGAAGAAAAGCACTTCTCCCGAACGCCAGCTAGAGACTGGCGAAAGCACTGAAGATTTGGTTGAGCCAGCAGAATCCGTCCATGACGATAGCAGATCATCCTTGGCAGCAACTGTCGATTATGAAAGCTTGAGTGATTATCAGAACGATCATGACTCAATCGTCGAGGATGATACCCGAAAGAGTATTGAGATTACTGCAGAACTGGGCGAAACTGAAACAACTCAAAATCCAGAGGAGGTGGAAGTCGAGACTGCAGCCGCGGATGATGTTGAGAAGCCAGAGGGATTTAAACCTCAAGAAATGCCAAGGGAAGATCCAGGTGGCGAAGCACTTGAGATAGAAACTGAACCAAAGGTGAAATACGTCGGCGATGAGCTAGATAAAGGAGTTTCAGACGCCAAGGCTGAGAATGAGGTTGGAGAGGAAGAGGCCCCAACAGCTCACGAACAAGAGCACACTGCAACTGCAGATAGTACGACGGAAGGCAAGCTGCCCGAATCTACTGAAAAAACCAAATCTGATTCTTCAGCAACTTCAGTCCCGGCGAACTTGACAAAAGACCGATTACCTACATCCATGTCAAGAGCTGCCCTTTCTTATAGGACGAATGAATGGGCTAAGCATCTCGGTCACGCGGACACTCCTGAGCCTGACGCTATTCATATCGAACCATACGGGTCTGAGGTGGACATGGAAGAAGTCCCCAGATACGTCGATGTGGAGGATCTTCAAATGAACATTGCTGATCGCACTTCATATGTCCCCCCTCAGCACTCAGATTCTGGATCAACACAAGCGTCTTCCATGCAGTCAAATGCAAAGGCAGTCAAAAAGCAAGCGCGTGTCTCCGATATTGTTGTTTCTCCGGCAATGTCTGCGGATGCCATGAGCCCTAGCGGAAGTCCTAAATCGCCTGCCATGGACATAGCCGGTCTCCAGCCAGCTCCTGTGGCCCTAAGACGTACATCTTCAGGGTTTGATCCGATTGTTGAAGAGCAAGAGGGTGCCCAGGCTAACGAGCTGTCCCCCGAAGACATTTCTCATGAAGACGGCACCCAGCTGAATCCAGCACCATTCCGGCCGATAGTGCCTCGTGTTGTGTCTTTTTCAAATCCTCATACCCTACTTGGTCAGAGAGAATCGGTCCTACGGAGTCGATCACAAGGCAATCTCGTTGCCCACCTGGCCGACTACAACGTTGATACACAGGGATTCATTGCTGACGCAGACTCCCTCCACAACTATCCTATAAACCATCGAATGGCTAGCCCCGATCCCGATGAACTTCCACTGAGTCAACGAAGGGAGATTATGCGCCAAAGCAGCAGGACAAACTTACCAGCTCCAAATTACTTACCGCTCTCAAATTATAGACTGAATCGCTCAAGCAGTGGAATTGAAGTTTCCGGGAATACGCTGTTTAATTCTCATCAGCCCAAGAGAATATCCTCTATCTCTGCGATAGCTCAAGAAACAAAACTCGCCAACTTCCGACATTCGTTAGCTAGAGATCTCCAAACAATGACTCCTGGCATTCCTCCTAATTTCGGCCGTGAGACTCCTTTTGCGCCAACGTCTACTCTAATTGACGACATGGATACGCAACGTATTGTAATGATGGAAAGGAGGGAAGCGGAAATACAGCGGAAGGAGATGCAAAGGCGAGAAAAGGAGTGGAATGATCGAGTGTTTGATGCTCGCATGCGGAGCGGCGATCTATTAGACGCACACCGCGAAGTTATACGGAAGATGCAGAGCTCGGCGAAAGATGCATGATCAGCCTGATGATATATATCAACATGGCAGCTCTCGAAACTCTGCTGGATTTCACTTTATGGACGGAAAATACCCTGTTGGAGACACGAAAGGCCCATCAGTTTTGTTACTCATTTTTTAAGCACTTGGAAATGAAAAGACACCTTATAAAGGAGCATGGAGTATCACGCGGCGCCGTGACAGATATTGTTGACCTAGTAGTACCTATTAGAACTAGAGAAGCAAATCCATATAATAGCGCACGACGGTCTGGAAATATCAAGATATATATAAATAATAAAAAGAAGGACTGGCTAAATAGGAAGCAATGAATCAAAATATTTGCCGGTATATGCTTTTAAAGATAATTTTTTTTTTTTTTGAATTAACAAGACTCCTCGTTCTCAAAATAGAAGAATGTCATCTTTTCCTTCCACTCGCAGCTAGCAGAGCAACGCTAAAGCTCTCCATAGCCATTGACCGGATTTGAGGTGGAGGACGGGAGCAGTACTGGAGGTGCTGGCGCGATAACAGGATGGTCTTTGCCTTTATCACCTTGAGTGTTTGCTGTTGCTGCGCAAGGAATGGGGAGAGATTCTTCATCAGACCAGACAGACCTGTTGGTAGGTTGATGACTGAGTAGCTCTAGCGGCGCAGAAGAGCTGTTGTCTTCGGAGCGCCTGAACAGAGATAGCTTAAAGGGAAGAGAGAAATCGAGACGGGTGCGAAAGAGGAATGGGTTGCGACGAATAGGCTGAATATGGACGTCTTGGTTGTGGATTGGTAGAGATGCTGATGTTGCTGCTGGGGCCGGCTGCTGGACCGTTGACGTATTGTGGTTGGAGGGTATGCTCGTCATGACACTTAAGTCTGAGTGAGCTGCATTCTTTTTGGATGAACTGGTATAGAGTTAGCTACTATCTGTGCATAGAGAAGATGACAATCAAGATCGATTTACCTTGTAGACGTTGAGTGGCTACCGTTGGACATGGAGGCCAGTATCCGAGCATCTGGGTCATACTCTTCATGTAATTGGGGGAACACTTTTCCAAGCCCAAAAAATAGCAGAACCACGCGGTAGCTGTTCATGGCGTCCTTGGTCATGCCAAAGAAGACGAATATCGGGATAGTCGTTGCGATGGACAGGTAGCACATGTTCATGTATGACCAATGGATTTCGTTGCTTGTAATGTATACGATGGCATTCCAGGGTATCTCGCCCGGCGCATGGTTATGGATGGCGTCGAAGTTGAAGGGCTTGAGAGCTCCGGCAACTCGGAAGTTGACAATGGCGATGGCCACCGCAATGGGGACGTAAGGCACGAGGATGGCGACCACCATGAGGTAGAGGCGGCGGCGGGCTCGTTGGCTGCGGGCGTGGGCGAGGGGGTTGTTGGAGAGAGCAGACGCGGTGGCTTTGGAGACTTGGCGGTATCGTAAGTACACGATTACTGCGGAGGAGAAAGAAGTTAGCTGGATGTTTCTGAGGCTGAAAATTAAAGCTACACAAGGTTACGCCGTTGGTGGCTGGATCGTGACTCGGGTGTTGGTCGTGCTCCCCGGCACTTGGACTTACTAGCATAGCCGGCAGTTAGAAATGGCATCATCGTCGGCAGAAAGATGTCAAAGACGGCGTACGGCCACGAACGGGAGTTCGCCCAGGAGCATCCAGTCAATGTGCCGATATAATATCGCTGCTGGGCGAGAGGATATGTCCACACGGCCTGCAGAAGCGGCAGCGGAAAGATGATGAGCGCCTGGACAATGTTCCGCCGCGTCTTCTCCTTCTTGGTAAGCGGGCTGGCTCTCATGTTTCCAATCTGCAGGGCCAGGTTCCGCATAATGGCCAGCAGACAGCTGTTGAAGAGCCCAATGGTGAAGTTGCGGACGTGCGAGTCGACGTCGCAGAAGCCGTAGCCTGGCCACCAGGAGTCCACGTCGTCGTTGTGCCAGATGAGGGCGTTGACGGCGCTTTCAAAGTTTTGCAGCTGCACCACGAGGATGAATAAGGCGGCGGCCAGCTCTCCGTTGCGGTAGAGCAGGCGGAGTGGCACGATGCAGATGAGGTTGCCGATGAGGGCGAAGAGGACGCGGCAGATGAGGTTGGCCGTGAGAGCTGGAGTGGTGGAAACGTCGGGGGCTGGACCGAGCAGGACGATTTTGGGAGTGCCGCGGGGGGCAAGATTGACGAGCGAGTCCATGGTGGTGAGAATGTAACGATGTTACTGATAGTGACGGTGCAAGACACGGATGTGGATGATGTGGATGACGATGATGATAGAACTGAGGAAAGAAGGGATCAGGAAGAAGTTGACTGATGATAAGCAGCAAGAAGTATACTCTTTTCAAAACGAACTGACAAAAGAGGATTTCATGGTCAATAAGCTATTACTTGTATAGAGCGAGCAGCAGGGCAGACAATTGGTGTTCTATAGAAACAATAAGGGAGTCAATAGAGGAGCATATATAAAAAAGGGTAGTCCACGATACTTTTATTGCTAGAGAGTCGTTTATACAAAATTAAATAGATAAAAAAATAGAATAGAATAGAATAAACCTCTCAGTCATATACACGCATGCATATCACTGCATCTTGATTCACACACACCAAAAAAGTTGCATTTCGTACCAGCCCTGGCAAATTTGGATGAAACTATTGCCAGCTGAAGAAAACGAGCAAACTGCAGCATCAGATTTTGTCCATGAGGGAGACGCAAAAAAGAAAAAAAAAGCGGATCAGATTCGAGATATCAAGCCTCTCTCGTTCAAGCTTTCCAATAATGGAGACATGATCCCCTGGTCTCTCCATATATTATAAAGCGCAAACAAAGAAAATAGAAAAACGATGGAATAAAACTTTCATGATAATGTAGGCAATCACCAAAACTTCTCTGCTAATTGGTGTTTTGGCCATGTTTGTTGCTATTGGAGGCGTTTATTGAGAGACGGATTGAGCTTCTATTGATGGCCGAAAGAGGCAATGCCCCGTGCATAGTGTGTGACTGATCCCGCAACCTTCAGCGGCTACCCGGATTTTTGGGTTTGTACTCAAAAAGGGGGTGAAAGTGAAGGTCATATGATTAGTGTTAAGAGTGGCTTTTTAAAGGCTGTGGCTTTTAAATGCCGAGATAGATTTGGGCGGCTGAGGATGATGGTGGGCGGGCAGTTTGGTGATTTGGAAAAGGGCTTATTGTGCAGGAGAGACATTGTGAGGTTGTACGAAGCACGGGACGGGTGCGTGCAGCGGCACAGCGGGAGGGATTTTGAAAGAGGAGAGCGATAAATACGGGGAGACTTTCTGTATACAATTTGCTAGACAGACACAGACTTGAAGGTGGCTGTTTGATTATTTACTTGTTCTGTTTTATGTGTGGTGTTGATAAAGTCTGGCAGTGGAGGCTCCAGTGACTTACACCGAGCCGGGAGCTAAAATGGCGGGGCGCCGTTGTGAAGCCGTGCTGAAATGGCTTGTCTCTGATGAGTAAGCAGTTTCTATACGACAACATACTCCTCTAGAAGCATATGCCACGATCTATCGAGTGTTGATCTTTCAATCGGGGACAGGGGAGCATGCCCCGCCATCCAGCCAATCATTGCTCAAAGAGCTCAAGGTGCGGGCTTAATCTTATCGCGTCCTGACGTGACCCCATTTCTCTGCAGCTTCGGAAGAGCAAGGGAGGGGACCAAACAAAACCGAAACCGTCTCGACAAAAACTTGTAAGTCCTCTCCTCGACAGCTGTTTCTTCCTTCACTTTCTTCTATTTCTTGCCAATCGCTGATAACAAGCTCCCAACAGCAGCTCCAAATCCTCATCATGTCGTCGTTCCTTTTCCGCCGCGCCGCCGCCACTGCTGGAGCTGCCCGCGCCTTCAGCACCACCTCGCCTCGCTCCATCGCCCGCATCACCATCGTCGGCAATCTGGCCGATGCGCCCGAGGCCCAGGTCAGCGGCAACGACAAGGAGTACGTGCGGTATGCCGTCGCGAGCAACAGCGGGAGCAAGGACAACCGCACAACCAGCTGGTTCCGCGTGACGGGCTTTGTGGAGGGTCCTCGCAGGGACTTTTTGCTGGGTCTGGCCAAGGGGTATGTTTTTTTATACTTGTCGAGAGGATGTCAATCATGAGGAGAGACTGACGTTTGGTGTAGCACTCTGGTTTATGTTGAGGGTGATGCGAGCATCAGCTCTTACACGGACTCCAATGGACAGACCAGACAAGGCCTCAGCGTCATCCAGCGTAAGTTGCCAAATCTACGCCAAGCTCGCTCGAAAGTCTATACATGACAGTTTGACTAATTACGTGGCAAATTTACAGGCCATATCGAGGTTCTAAAGCGCCCCTCACTTCCTGAGCAGGGCGAGTAAAGCAAGGAACAGGTTGAGGGCTTGGCTGTCAAGGGAAAAGCAATGGATTCTCGCTGGGTGTTTTTGGCGAAATTATAAGCAGGCGGCGGGTTGCTTGCTTGTTATGTAACTGTAGTATTGCCTGATGATTTTGATGTATGATTTGATGGGATAGATGAACTCTCGGCTCTCCTGCTTTTGGCCACTTGCGATGCGATTCTCCTAGGTTTTCTATAAAGTCTACGTGCTCGCAGTGATGATACAATATACCTATCCAACTTTATACTTTATCTTTTGCTTCATCATACCAAGGTAACGCTGTCCATGCAACCGTACCCTGCAGCTACACCTCCCTCCTCGCTCTGATCTCCCTTTGTACGGAGCAGGTATCCTGCGCCCTCATTGTGGAGCACATCTCCGTTGCCCTGATTCCACAGACAAGTGCCATATACGCCCAATTCGCAAATAATACCGCCTTCCTCCAAGTGACCATTTCTAAGGATAATGTTTGACACGGGTGGTGGCACAATAAGCTCCATGAGAATGTATGCGCCCCAGTGTTCCTCGGGCAGAGTCTTTAGGAATTCTGGAATGGCGCTTCGGTAGATGTTGTTGCCTCCTCCCTCTCGTTGGGGCTTGAGAACGTATGCCTTGCATAGCTCGGGATCCAGCGCCTTCTTCCGTGCCTCCAGGCCGGCTTCGGACGTGTCCATGGGGTAAATGTTGGTAAACGTCTTCCAGAGCTCAGCGGCAGCCGGGGTATGGTCGTTGATGAAATTTCCGAGGACAGACGGCGCAGATGAAGGCCGGGGAGTGGCCAGCACTTGTTGAACCTTTTTGGTGCCCGCCAGCTGGGTGAGAATGCTGGGGCACTTGATCGCGCCAGACCGCTCCAGGTGGTAGCGGGCATCCCAGGCTGTCTGGTCGGGATAGTCGTTGGTGTGGTAGCCAGAGCGCATGTAAATGACGGCTACTTCAAACACCTTGGATGGGTCGCGAGGGAGACTGTAGAGGAGCTGGCGCTTCGGTGTGTCGGCAAGGGTGGTGTGTTTGAAGATATCTGAGATGGCAAGTCTGAAAACTGGTATCGTTGGTGAGGCTTGGGTGACCTGGTACTCTAGATGGCGTTGGTCAAAAATGTTGCGCTCGCCGCCCTGGACTAGGAAGATGACACATTTGGCATGACCTAGGTCGGACTTGGGATAGGCATGGAAAGCAGCCTGGATGCCGCCTGCTAGGCCCTGGATGCTTTGGTTATCGGGGAGATTGAGTGAGTCCGGTGCCAATGCGTGTTGGAGCAGGGGATACTCGGTGGCTGCAAGGAATCTGAGCGCTTGCTTGTTAGCTTTTGGTGGAGAATGCTTTGTATGAGTACTGACTTGTGTAGTTTGGATGTGTAAGTTGAGAGGCCACCGAAGGATGCGGCGATGGTGTTGAATTCGACTTGCTTTACTTGAACGGAAGGAGGAGAAACTGCATTGTCCTGATGGACCATGTAGTCTGATCTGAAGAGACCCAAGGATAAAGGCTAGAGTCACAAGTCACGAGTGAATATGAAAGCTCATAAGGACCGTTTTAGTGAGTGCTGTCATGAATGTGTATATACCTGAGTGTAGCCCTCAGCCTTGACTTTCAGATGGACATCCCATAGGTTGCGGATGAAGTCGTCGCCATTTACGACCCTTTATAAACCATGTCAGTTGATGGCTGGCTATTCATGTGTTTGCTACTCACTCCTTGACAGTTTGCTCGAGAAATGCCTCGTCACGGCTCACAGCCGCATACAGCTCGTTGTAAGTCTTTTGCACCGCCTGGCCCTGCTCGAAGCACTCTCGCGGGAAGGGAGTGGGGAAGAGAGTGACGGGGACGTTGATGGCCGTGATGCCCGCAGGATCAGTTTCGGTTGGGACGACTGCAGGGGGCGACCGCACAGCGAGGCCGTTGGCAATGGCCCAGTCTTTGGCCGTTTCGACGAGGGCTTCTTTTTCAGCTTGCTGTAATGGCGGGGGATAAGCCCCGCTCGTGAGAGATGCCATTGGGAGAGTAAGGGAGCGAGAGTTTATCCAAGAAAAGAATGAGGAGAAAATGGCGTAGGAGGCCTCGCCCAGGTGGTGACAGTTGGCCAGCGGTTGTAGGGCGTTGGGTGAGTTGTGTAAGTGCGGCGAACTGCAGCTGTTGAAGATTTCGTGAGTGGTTCTGTATGAGGACCTGGAAGAACGATATAGAGTTAGTGCGAGATCCCACTGAGGCGGATTATTAATGGCTGTCCGAAGTGCTCCGTAAGTACATTGACTCTGCTTGCGCCCTTGTGAATGTTTAATTCTAAAAGAGTCTATTCACATAGCTATGTTATGTGAGAGTAACATTCCACAGTCTCTTTTTCTAAGGCATTGCATAATCTTGTTAACATCGCCCGCAGACAGCGCCATTTCCTCTCCTGCATCAACCAAACATGTCGTTGGGCGTCGTTTCAGTGGATGTAAGCCGCACGCAAGATGTGCGCTCAGCCTCAGCCCCCGCCACAGCTCGCCTATCAGCCGCTCTAGCTAGGCGCCAAATGCCCCTGTAGGCTCGTCTCTGAGACACCCCCGGGCCAATTAGCCGCGGCTGAGACCTTCTAGCACTGCTACTACGGTATGATGGAATTTTCTCGACGCTGGAGGCCAGGCCGAGATATGGGCTGAAAAGAAAGAGGAATATCTGGGAATATTTAAACAGCCCCGTGGCTGCGCTCGCAGCAATCAGGCGAGAGCAGAGAGAAGAGTTGGGCCTTTCGTCCAATTTTTCTTTTCTCTTTGTTCGACCCTGCTGTACGCTCACTGGTCACGTGAAGTGGTGTTCTCTCTTTCGTCTGGCAACCAACAACAGTCGCCAACAAAACGCGTTTTCGAGCATACTCATTTTTTAGGAGGGAGCAAGATTGAGGAGCGAGATGCGCTGAAAAGCCGTGCTTCTGTTGTGCCGATTCAGCGAGTTTATGGATAATTTCTCGATATCAGAATACCCTCCTGATTCTCTTCTCTCTCGGCTGCTCCTCGCAGGGCAATATCTCACTACCTTCTTTTCTCTTCAGCTACAACGCACGCTGTTCACGCACACCTTCTGCTTACTGGAATTCGGCCGCACTCTCCGTTTTTTTCTTTAGACTCGTCATTCTAATATTCTATATTTTTTTCCTTTTTACATTTTCTTTGCGTTTTCTTCTCGTTCCTAATGTACATGCCGCCTCGAGCTGGAGAGACCATAGTAAGTCGACTCTCGCTCTCCCATGCCATCACTCTTTGATCGAAAGGCATATTAGTGCATGCTGGGCGTCATCTTCTCCTTCTCTGGTGTGAAATCTCAAAGAAACTACAGAATACCCATTTACTTCTTTGAGCAGAGTTTGCGACACTCGAGTTGCTAACGCTTCGCAGTGGATCCAACCGTGCCGTCTCTGAGCGCGAGTGTGGCCCAGATGGACAGCATCCGTCAAGATGATCCGTTCTTGTGGGATACAGAAACCCTCTCAAGGGAGATTTGCTCCCAAAATACCCCTTGGATAAAAGATCCAGCTGCGCTAGCCGCAAAGCTGGCTGATAATGATATTGACGGGCGCACCCTACTCTCTTACGAATTTCTACTCTCAAAGGCCGAGTTGATGGAATGCCTTGGTCTGAAGGCAGCCCGAAGCAAAGCAGACTTGGTAGAGACGATTGTCAACTTTCGGGCAAGAAGCAAAAGTTTTCGGTCATGGAAAAAGACTTTCTTGAAGACTCAGGCCATGCTCCTATCTGATGATGAGCAGGATGATGTGAAGGCAAGGCTCTCGCCTATACCGCCTTTGAAGCGACCCTTGGATCCGACACCAACTCCAAACGCTCAAAACCTCTCAACTCAGTATGAACCACACGCAACAGTCGAAGCGTCTTCGGTAAATGATCAAATCGCCAAAGACTTTGATGGCGCCTTGTTTGAACCTGATGGGGACTATTCAATGCAATTGGATGGCGATGCAGATTCTGTTACCCGGGTCGATTCTGCCAATAGACTCTCATCAATTGCTTCGCAAGCGCCTCTCCACACTTCCGCAGATGATCAGGCAAGCGAAGAAACATCTTGCAAGAGAAGACGCTTAGAGCCGATGAATTTGAGCGCAAAGCCGTTGGCCGATCCAAGTTCCCTTGCTCTATTTCAATCTGAGTCCTTCAATTTGATTGAAGCAGCCAAGAGACCGCGTAATACTCATCAGTCCTCAGAATTGGAACCCATTTCAAAATTTTCCTACCTAGGGAGCGACAGAATTCATCGTCAAGATATCCTGTCTTCTTTTGGTACTCCAGACTGCCCTTGGATAGATCTTGGCGGAGGCGGATTTGCGATTGTGACTCCAAGCCATGCAAAGCCTCCTGGGCGGAGGCTTGTTGTCAATCGCATACTGCGGATGCGCTTTCTCAAGAATTCTCGGAAACAAGCTACGATGAAGCGCGGATTTATTCCTCTACAATCGCCAACTCCTTCTGACGGGAGTGAGGTGGTCATAGACTTGGATGCCCTGCCTGATTCGTGGGATGAACTGACACAGCGAGAAATTGATGAAGAGGAAACAGAAAATGCAGCAAAACCATTTAAACCTGACACCTTTCTGTCGAAAGAGCACGTGGAGGTCATCCTCAAAGAGGAAAAGGCTGCTATGGAAAAAAAATGGAAAGAAACGAAGCTGCCCAAGCGCGAACGCCGAGCATATAAAGTCTGGATGGATGCTAAAAGAATAGGGGAGGTTAAGAAGATTATTTTCGACAGTCAAAAACGCGCGGAGTACCTCGATGATCGGATAAAAAAACTCTGTACCGAATTTCTCGGCATTGAATGGGTCAGAGAGAGCGAGCTTCGTACTAAATCTGCCTCTATGGAAATGAGCTTGAACGAAAAGCTTGATAAACTATGGCTCGTTTCGCTGCTTGAGAGGCGACAGCCCCCTCCAAAGCCTTTGGGGGTTTCGAAACCGAAATCTTCAGCACCAAAGGTGCGCTTGGAAAATTCGGATGATGAACTATTGACTAGTTCAGATGAAGAAGACTTCATCGTACCTGACAACGACCTCGATGTGGCCATGGTTGACGAAGACTTTTTTAAGAGCGCTCCTGCGTCACCACGAGAACGGCGTGTCCGCGAAGCAAGCCACCCCTTGTCTGAGGTTGACGCCTCCATGGTTATCGATCTCACGCAGGTAGAATATTTACCTGGTCGCTTAGATCGCGAGGCGACACGAGATCATGAGGCGACAATCGAATGCATCGATTTGACAATTTCACCGATAAAAGAACAGGTGGACGACGCCCCTTTGCTCATCAAAGAAGAGCCAATCAATTTGACAGAAGAAGTCCCTCCTATGGATCAACTGGGAAGCTTGGAGAAGATTGGCGAGACGTCTGCAAAACATTGGGCAAAAGCAAAAGACCGCTGGAGATTGGTTCTCTGTCTGCTGTGGAAGCTTATGCAAGCTCGCCGTGAGCCGATTCTCCAGCTAATGCAGCGATTTAACGCAGAAGAGGCCTGGCAGGCGTCCGTAAGCCTCTACCAAGCAAATCCTTTTACAAAGGAGTCAGACATCGGAAATGACTCAGCAAAAACTACGGCCTTTGACCTCACAAAGCTGTTTTTAAGCTTTTCTCAGTGCCGCCAGTACGCGGACGATCGGATCGTGGCTTTGAAGGAGAAAGACCAAACCCGTCTCAACCGTGCAAAGGCAATTTTCCCAGCTTTCCATGCCTTTATCAGAGAGTGGGCTCCCGAGTATCCGCAAAGCAGCCAGATCTTTAGAACCGATGCCTTCGACGATGCCTTGGATGATGAAATTGGACCAGATGGCCTCCTTGATCACTCAGTCAATAATACGGAGAGTTCATCAAAGTCACGCAAACGCGCGACTAAAGAAATTGTGCAGAACAAAGAGGGTGTTGAGCTCCGAGAGCAAGGCAAAAAACGCGCTGAGGAATACGAGGCTCGTGCAGCCAAGAATTTGAGACTCGCCACGCTATCCAGCACCATGACAGAAGGCGAGGCTCGACTGATTATCAACGAAAGTAAACAAGACGATCAGTCATTCATCTATATCAGCAAAAAAATCGGCGAGCGCATCAAAGACCATCAGATCAAAGGAGTCCGGTTTCTATGGAATCAGATTATTCTCAACGCAGACCTTCGACAAGGCTGTCTTCTGGCGCATACCATGGGTTTAGGAAAGACGATGCAGGTTATTACTCTTCTTGTGGCTATAGCTGAGGCTTCTCACTCAGACAATGAGTCCATTACGGCACAGATACCCATGGACCTGAGATCTTCACAGTCACTCATCATATGCCCTGCTGGATTGGTCATCAACTGGCTTGAAGAAATTAATGCGTGGTCACCCGAAGGCATCCTTGGCAATGTCTTCATAGTGGAATCGGCACAGTCCAAGTCAGACCAACTCTCAACGATTGAATACTGGGCAGAATATGGCGGTGTTTTGGTTATGGGACATGAGATGTTTAAAAGAACGCGGGCCGCAAACGACAACGTCAAACAAATATTGACGAACAAACCCAACATTGTCATTTGTGACGAGGCCCACACAATGAAAAATCCGGAGAGCCAGCTTCACCAAGTCTGCCAAGACTTTCTCACCAAAAGACGGATTGCTTTGACCGGCTCCCCGTTATCCAATAACATTAAGGAGTACTATTCAATGATAAATTGGGTGGCACCAGGGTATCTCGGACCCCAAAAGGAATTTGCAGATATATACGCAGAACCTATTGAAAGGGGACTCGACAGGGAGAGTACTTGGTCCGAGAAACGCAAAGCCCTGAAAATGTTGGAGGTTTTGAAGATGACTGTTGCTCCCAAAGTGCAGCGAGCCACTGTCCAGGTTGTCAAGCATGAGCTACCTCCAAAGTATGAATTTGTCCTCTTCGTCAAGCCTAATCCTCTTCAAGAAAAGCTGTACGGCATTTACTTGAATGAAATGGTGGCTGCGGCATCAAAAACGAGTGTAGTGAAATTCGTGGCGCAACTCGGGGTCATCTGCAACCACCCTCGCTGCTTCAGGCAACTGATGCTCAATGAAAAGGCAGCATCGAAGACGCCAAAGGCGGCACAGCAGTCTGTAAGAGGCCCTAGAGATGAGGGAACCGACGACGAAAGCGAGAGTCATGGTCGCCCGACAAAATTCCCCCCGAATATGATCTCGACTGTTCTTAAGGAGACAAACGGGAAAGATATAGCCAATCCTGAACTTTCGCAAAAAGTTGCGCTCCTTCTCGTCGTGTTAGACCAAGCGCGCGCTATGGGAGACAAAGTCCTCGTCTTCAGTGAGTCTATCCTGACGCTAGACTACCTCGAGGAGCTGTTCAAACAGCAAAGACGAGCAGTACAGAGGCTAGACGGTTCCACACCCGTGAGCAAACGGCAAGGTATGGTCAGGGCTTTCAACACCGGCAAGGCTGGAGAGTCGGAGATCTACCTAATCTCCACAAAGGCAGGCGGAGTAGGCCTCAATATACAAGGAGCAAACCGAGTCGTCATCTTCGACTTCAAATGGAACCCAGTGAATGAGCAACAAGCTGTTGGCCGATCCTACCGTTTTGGACAACAGAAAACGGTATATGTATATCGCTTTGTCATTGCGGGCAGCTTTGAGGAAGGGCTACAAAACAGATCGATTTTCAAGACGCAGCTCGCATCGCGTGTTGTAGACAAAACGAACCCCATTGCCTGGGGCAAGCGGAACGGAGATTTGTTCAAGCCCTTGGCGACAAAACCAACCAGCGACCTCAGTCCTTTTCTAGGCCAAGACGCCATATTGGATAAGCTGATAGAACTGTCAAAAGATGACGGGGCCATTCGGAAAATTCTTTCGACAGACACATACGAAGAAGAAGACCCTGCAAATGAGCTAACAGCCGAAGAGAAAAAGGATGCTCAAGAATTGCACGACATGGAACGGCTGAAGCAAACGGATCCTGAAAAGTATTGGAGAATGTACGCAGAAAAACAAAGAGCAGCACAGATTCGAGCTATGGCCGACGCCGCTCGACCGCCTCAAGGAACACAAATGCCACCCACGTATTCATCCCCAAATCCAGCCCAGCCACAATACAATCAGCAAGCACAGCATAGCCAGCACGTACAACACAATCAGCAAGCGTCTGCCACTCCTGGACTTTCCTTCCAGCCAGTGCCAAATGCCAACACTCCGTCGTTCTCGCAAGCACAACCAGCCACTATGGCGCCAACTGCCTCCCATGTGAGTAATTTCCATATCAGCTTGCATTATTAGCTAGCTCACAGCTAATCTTGGCTGAAATAAAAGGTGCACTTTCCATCGTCGGCTCCTTTACCTATAACAGGGGCGAACACGTATATCCGGAATCCTGCTGCGTATACTAACCCTTCCGGAAACACAAGCACTATAATGCCCATCAGGCCTTCACCCACACCGCAACAAGGAGCAGAATCTTTGCCAAGTCCTCCAGGGCCAAGTTCTGCGCCGGTAGTGGCACCGACATCCGGAAATGCGAATACCACGACATCCTTGTTCAGCCAGTCTCGAAATCATTCTAAGACGGAATTTGAGTATGTGCTGGCTACGTTGGTAAGGGACCAACCCGGATATACAGGCAACGCAGCAGAACTAGCAGAAAGAGTCACAGTGGGCATTTCCAAAGCTCTGCAGAAGCAGGCTTGGGGATTTCTTCCTGACAATTACCGCTGGCGCCTGCTGGTCAATCTCGTACGAGAACATCACCGGCTTGTGCCAGCGATAATGTGGGGAAATTGCACGCCTCAGTACTTGGCAACAGCGCCTGAAAAGGAATTGCAAGATAGGATCTTACTTATGAATAGCCAAGCGCAAGGTGACTTTAACACTCAATTGCAACGCAGTGCCAGTGCGCCTGACCCAAGCGTATGTCCAACTCACATTACTCCCACTTTTCTCTCCTATAGCCTTTCTTTGGATAAGAACTTTGTTTCGGAAAAAAAAAAGCTTAAGCTAACCTTGGCAGAACTTGCACGAAAACATTAATAGGCCAATCTCGCAGTCTCCCCGAGCCAGTGAAGATGCCGAAGCCATGCGGCAAACCGCTCATAACAGGACAGAGCGCAGTTTTCGGCTACCGCCCTAGGCAAATGACGCGTTTTCAAAGAGCAACAGCCAGACCCCATAAAAGAAGATGTATACTATAAGGCGCATTGTGGATTTTATTTTATTCTCGTGGTTGCGGCATTGTGCGGCGTGAGTGCGGCGTTTGAAGCGGCCTTTTCAACCGGAAAGAAAATGGCCACTCTCTTTTCCTGGGAATTTTTTTCCTTTTTGATTAGTCCTATGTTTAGGTACCAAGATACCCCCAACTACACATACCTATATAGGAGAAAGTGCGTGAATGGCGATTTGCATTAGGAGTCTTATTTCAAGAAAGGAGAATTCTGCTACACTATATTTTTTAATCGAATCTTTCTAATGAACAACCGTAAGTTGATATCCCGCATGTTGTCAGGGCCGCGATCCTACCTACCTTAGTAATAGTTGATGAGCAGCCAAGACGCCTAGTAATTGTGTAAGTGGTCCAGATTGTCTAGAATCGCCAAAATCAGCTCATCGACCAAGGCGCTGAGTCAGTGTCGTATAGGACGACTATTTCCGTCTTTTTAGTCCTTGTTGCGGATGTAGCGACGCTTGGCAACTTAGTAAGGTCTAACTACTAATAATGCTGGTTGCATTCATACCAACGGCTAATGTTCAGCTGTGCTGCATGTAAGCAAGTAATTGCATTACGTTGCATGAGAGATTTACATGTAATAGTAGGCATAACATATCCCTGACAGCTAGTTGCCATTTGAAGGCGTATTGCTATACGCCAAAACTGCCTAGTAGAGGAAAATACGGAGTTGGCGATATTTGTCATTGGAGGCGCATGATATGTAAGTGACCTGTATATTACAGGGAGATTCAAGTGTACTTGCGTCCTTCTGCAAATTCCTCTCAAGTAAGCCAACTACTATCTCGTAGAAGATCGATCGGCATCTCAAGTCACATCTATAGATCATATCGCACAAGGTACTAGATTCCTTGTTTGAGTTATAGAGGTAAGTACTTTAGGTAGTAGTAGATCGTTTAGGCTTTTAACCTCTGGGGGGCTGCGAGTATGGAAAGTTGAAACGTGGTCAACTTGGATGATTTGATGACTTGTGTTGCAACGCCTGTAAACTACAGGCATGCTACCGTTTGAATGACAGACACAGGACAGTTTAAAGTCTCCTTGTCCGACTCTTGCCCTGAGATCGAAACGGCCACGGCCCAATCAGAAGCGAGATGAGATGCAGCGTTGCAGTTACACCGTGATCTGACAGGCTGACTGTACGCGCATCTGCAGGCTCTATACGTGGTATATGCAGGTAGCATTACTAGGAGCGTGTAGTAGTGATTTAAAAAAAAAAAAAAAAAAAAAAAAAAAGAAAAAGGCTGATCAGCTAATTGTATACAAGTCGTCGAGAAATACTTAGCCACGAGACTTCAATTCTGCGCATATAGCAGGGCAAACATCGGCGAACTCGACTCGACATGCCTTTCGTTTCTCTTTCGCTTCCCTGAACATAAAGACGGTATACCGTACAATGATGTGCCGCGCATGGGTCCCGGAAAACAGCCTAGTTGCGCGCCCGGCGAATGAGCGAGCAGACAAATACGCTTCAGTCAGCAAAAAAACGAACCATGGCCGCTCCGAAGCCGCGGCCGGGATTGATTCGGGAACTGAATTGTGGAGACTCCGTTTAAGGCGGGCGTTTGAGTCAAAGAAAGAGAGTCGAGAGTCTCAGCTTTGCGCCCCGAGTTCCTATATTTGGGGCCGCGGTCCCCGAAACATTTGTCTCAACTCTTTTTTCTTCTTTTTTTCTTCTCTGGCTTGATATTGACTTTTGTCCATTGAGAATTGGAAAACAGTTCTGGTGGACTTTTTTTTCGAGAAACGAACTCCTTCTTGTCAAGGCTAACCAGGGCGTGCTTCTCCAGAAATTTTTTTGGTGGCTGGAACTATTATTCCTCCGCTTAGCTCGTCTCACTAACTTGACTAATAAACCACCAACGAACGAACGAACCCTCTTTTCCCTTCTTACTCTTCAATCCCTCGCCTCTCTTTCTCTCTTCATTGTTGCCACTTGTTGTCAGCAGCATTGAATCTCTGTTCCAGCGATCAAGTCCCTCGATTGCCATCACACGCCATGGATAGCGTCCTGCGTCAGTCCAAGGCCATGTGCCCGTTCCTCAAGTCGGCCTCGCCCGCCACCCTGCGTGCCATGTCGACGGCCGCCCGCCCCAGCCCGCGAGCCTCGCCCTGCGGCGGCACCATGTCCAAGCTGCAGCTGTACGCGCACCGCTGCCCGGTCATGGGCAAGGCCATGGCCGTGCAGTCGTCCAAGTACGGTGCGGCGGCGGGCATCCGGGCCTTTTCAGCGCAGTCCCGCTCGGACAAGGCAAGGCTTCACACGAGCCGCAACCAGGAGGCCCGCGCCGTGGAGAGCCCGATTCTAGACGGACGGAAGAATGGTACGTGCAATTGCCTGCAATATGATATATGCGATGTAGATGCGTGTGTCTTCTTTTTTTGCTAACGTTGATGCTTCGGTTGCAGCTCCTCCTCCTCCGCCCACCACGACCACTCCTCGCAAGGATGTGCCGCCTGTTGTCGCGTCCGCCTTCACCTCGGCCGGCAAATTTGCCTACGAAGACTTTTACCAGACCGAGCTGGATAAGAAGCGCAAGGACAAGTCGTACCGCTATTTCAACAACATCAACCGTCTCGCCAAGGAATTCCCGGTGGCGCACATGGCCGACAAGAAGGACAAGGTGACCGTCTGGTGCGCCAACGACTATCTCGGCATGGGTGGCAACCAGCATGTGCTCGACACCATGCACAAGGCCTTGGAGGAGTATGGCGCTGGCGCGGGAGGCACGAGAAACATTTCCGGACACAACAAGCACGCAGTCGAGCTGGAGGCGACTCTGGCCAAGCTGCACGCCACAGAGTCTGCGTTGATGTTCAGCTCATGCTACGTCGCCAACGATGCGACGCTGGCCACCCTCGGCAGCAAATTGCCAGAGTGTGTCATCCTATCAGATAGCTTGAACCACGCCTCCATGATCCAGGGCATACGCCACTCCGGAACAAAGAAGATTGTGTTTAAGCATAACGACGTGGCGGATCTCGAGGCCAAGCTGGCGTCCCTACCCCTGCACGTACCCAAGATTATCGCCTTTGAGTCCGTCTACAGCATGTGCGGTTCCATCGGCCCCATTGAGGAGATTTGCGACCTGGCCGAGAAGTACGGCGCCATCACCTTCTTGGACGAGGTCCACGCCGTGGGCATGTACGGCCCATCCGGCGCTGGTGTTGCCGAGCATCTGGACTGGGAGGCACACGCCGCCGGCAGACCCCGCGGAACCATCATGGATCGCATTGACATCTTCACCGGCACGCTCGCCAAGGCGTACGGCACCGTCGGCGGCTACATTGCCGGCAGTGCCAAGTTTGTCGACATGATCCGCTCGCTCGCTCCCGGCTTCATCTTCACCTCCACCCTGCCCCCGGCAACCATGGCCGGAGCCAACGCCTCCATCAAGTACCAGATGGCCTATGACGGCGACCGTCGTCTGCAGCAGCTTCACACCCGCGCCGTCAAGGAGGAGCTCAACGCGCGCGACATCCCCGTCATCCCCAACCCGTCTCACATCGTCCCCATTCTGGTCGGCAACGCTGCCCTGGCCAAGGAGGCTTCGGACCTGCTCCTGAAGGATTACAAGATCTACGTCCAGGCCATCAACTACCCCACCGTGCCCGTTGGCCAGGAGCGTCTCCGCGTCACTCCCACGCCCGGCCACTCCAAGGATCTCCGCGAGGAGCTTGTCAACGCCCTCGACGAGATCTGGACCCGCCTGGACATCAAGCGCACTTCGCAATGGGCTGCCGAGGGCGGCTTCATCGGCGTCGGCGTCGAGGGCAACGAGCCCGAGCCCCTGTGGACTGATAAGCTGCTAGGCATCGAGCAGGCCACGCAAGAGGTCAAGGCCGCGGGCGTTGCTGCGAATGGCGTCACCGAGGCTCTGCTCGCCCGCGAGGCAAGCAACGCCGGCCGCGCCATGGACGTTTCGGCATAAATTGCCTGAAACGCCATAAACTGACTGAAACGCCATATGTGCGGTTAGGTCGCGTGGCTTGCTTGCTTTGTTTGAGCCAGCTGCAAATCAAGTTCACTTCTAAATAGCCCTTCTTTTTGAACAATCATTTTTCATACAAAACCACCCACTGCAGCTAAAGCTGCCAAAAGAAAAAGTCGGGGTTTTGAATCAATACAAACCAATCCTTTCTTGGTGTCTGACAAGATGCCGCCTATAATTACTTGTGTGCCTACTCTCCCTTGTGATATATGAGTAGCGTGATTCCCTCGCTTGTAAAACATATATGAGTAGTGTAATGTGATATGGTGATACCCGATGCAGTTATACTTGTATAAGCTTAAGATTTGAGTTTTATTAGTGCCCACCTGCCAAGTCTCCTCCGTTTTATCCTCCTTAAATACTACTGCAATGGATGCCAGAAGCACCCCATTTCTGCAGGCTTCGCTCCATGCTATCCCGATGCATCAACTCAGGATTTGGGATCTTGATCCTCCCGCCTCACTTTCTCCCAAGACAGCTCGGCCCATGCCCAATCCGGCCTAGTCCGCCACCGCAGCCTATCGGAGCTGGAAAAACACCCCGGAAGGCCACAACGTCCAAGTCCCCAGCTCCACTCCACCGCGCCAGCTCCCAAACGGACAGCCGGCGCAATATTGACTCCGACCCTCGCAAACCGTGGCTTCGTTGGGACGGAACTGTCTTTTACACAGCAATGAATCCCGAGTCAAACGAGAGAATCTCTCTTTTCTTTCCATCTGCCATTCTTCGCCCTTTTCTTTCTGTGACGCGTTGCTGATTGGGTGAACTGGTTGCCTATTCTGAATCCCTATCCTCATTCCCTGTGTACTAATTCCTTTCCCCCCGTTTCTCTTGTTCCTCTCCTCTACCAGTTCTTCCTTTCTCTTTTTCGTGATACCCAGCAAGAAACGGAAGTACAGTCTCGCCGTATCTCACTTATAGACTGTCCGCGTTCGGGGAATTGTAAAAACAAAACCACAAAAAAAAAGAGACATCCATTACTTCAAAATCCACCATTACATACTACATCCATCCATTTACATACACACCATACAAAGCATCCACTCCGATACATACACGACTAGGGACAACTGCTTGCAGACGGCCTCATATTTGTACCATCGACCGTCTCCCAAACGCTCCCGCTCCGGCGCGGCCATGGAGCCCACCAGTAAAGGCCCCAAGGCCTGCACGACATGCGCAAAGGCCAAGGCCCGGTGCATTCCCGGCCCGGACAAGGACAGCAAGTGCGAAAGGTATGGATCTGGCATGTCCTTCTTACTTGTTATGGTTTGCTCCGTGCCGTGGGCGTGTGTTGCGCCGGGCCGAAATCCCGGGAGGTTGCGTGGGGGCAGCGGATCTGATATCGCTGGTCCTCGGCTCGGAGCTCCAGTGGCTTTTGGTTCATCCATCATGTCTTTGATGTCTGATTCCTTCTTCCCCTTCCGGCTAGCTGCCCTTTCATGTTCTAGATTGCCTATTTGCTTGTCCTTTTGATTCAACTCATCATACTCATGTGCTTGTGTATTATAGATGCCAGAGGTTAAAGAGAGAATGTGTCTCACAGCAGCCTGCTCCGCCTCGGGCCAAGAAGCCGCCCAAGAGGTCTCGCGTTGCCGAGCTGGAGAAGAGGCTGGATGAGCTGTCGTCTCAGTTTGTCGACGGGGCTGCAGCCGCCGCTGCCATAAACCCTAGATCAAGCCAGCAGTCGGGAGACTCACCGTCGATATCAGTCTCATCGGGCAACCCCCTATCAGCCACCGAGCGCCCTGGGCAGCATCAACAGCAGCAGCAACAACAACAACAGCAGCAGCAGCAGCAACGACGGCGGAGGACCAAGTGCGATAGCATCGTCACCTTCGAGTACCTGTTTCCGTCACCGCGGTCAGAGAGCGCCGAAGTCTCGGGATGGACCTCGGAAGTCGGCAGCAACGACTGCGTTATGGCGGCGACCGAACTATGGCCCACAGATGCCGAAGCCGAGACCCTACTGCTGCAGTACCATGCGTCGCATGCGCCCCTGGCGCCCTTTGTGATTGTGCCCAAGCATCTCATGGCGTCGGACCTGCGTCGGCAGAGGCCGTTCCTATGGAGGGTCGTGATGATGATTAGCTGCTTCATCGACGGACCGAGGCAACATCGCATGGGCAAGGAGGTGCTGGCTGAGCTGGGGAGGATGTCCGTACTGGATAGCACGAGAAATCTGGAGACGTTGCAGGGACTGTTGCTAACCATAAGCTGGTGAGTAGATGTTATACGCTCACATGTTGGTAGCTTGATGATGATGTGCTAATCACTTCAACCTCAGGCTAAATTTCTGTCTAAAGAGCGCACAGCTGACCAACTTACTCTTCCTTGCGAGGTCTATGAGTCTCAGTTCAGGCGGCTTTGGAATCTCATACGGTGCTGGTGGCAACAGCAGCAAGGATGAGGTCAAGTGGGGGGAGCTGGAACACGCACGGGCATACCTGGGGACATATTACCTCAACGCCATGTAAGTAAAGAAACCCACGTTGAAGAGCCGTTGTCTACCTCACTTACTATACCTTGGCTTTGACTGACATAAAATAGCGTCTTCAACACGAATAAAAAGGTGGATGCCTTCATGAATACTTCACAACTCGACAACTATTGCAATCTCCTCACATCACCAGGGGAGTATCATTCCGATCTATACTTGGCTCGGCTAGTCAAGATACAAACGTTGTCGCAGTCCATCTCCATGGCCATGTTGGATCAGCAACCGATGCAGCTGCCCCTGACAATGGTGATTCAGACTTTTCAAGAGCAGATTGATGCATATCGAGCATCTATACCGCCGCATCTTGTCGATAACAGCAAGTTTCTCCTGAGCTATTCCCGAAACGCAGACTTGCTAACCTATTCCACAGGCACTCTCCAATGCCATCTGGCCATATCAGAAGTCCTCCTCGCCGACATGGCAATCTCCGACGCCCACTGCGCATCCATCTCCCTCCCGCACAGTGACCGGATCCACCTCCTCTGGTCTTGTCTCCATGCCCTGCGCCGCTTCTACGCCGTCGCCTCGGTCAAAAGCTGCGACATTGTTGATCAGGTAGAGCGCAACTTCCTGGGCATCCATGCGTCGGATCTTGCCTACGCAATCATCACAGGCATCAAGCTCCTACTCGTCCGGATCCCCGATTGGGATCCTCGGTACATCATCTCCGAGCTAGGAATCCGGGAAATGCTAGATAAGGAAATTGAGCATGTCGGCGAAGTTGTGGCGCGGAGAAAGAGTGATCGCTGGCCTGAGGAAGACCCCATGGATCGGATGCATAAATTGTTAATGTATGGGAGAGACTTGGTCAACATGCAGATACAACAAGTGGCGGCGGAGATGGAGGGAAGAGATGACAGCAGTCGTCATGCTCTTCTACCTGCTTCTGCACCAGCAACGACGAATAAAGGAGACACTGGCCAAGGGTGGGTGATGGCAGGTATGGAAGATCTGGACGACGATTTGTGGCAGAACTTCATGAATGACACGGCGTGGAACTTGAACGGAGAGCCGATGGTGATGGATTCTTTTTAAATGCAAGGTTGGGGCAGTGTATTATGGCGCGGAGTTTGGTCAGGCTGTATAAGATTTTAAGCAACCAGGTTCAAGGTGTTTTTCTTTTTTCTTTATTTTTTTCCCTTCTTCTTGGTGTCACAAGGATCGATGGGAAACCTCAGACTGGGTAAATGGGTATCTGGGCATGGCGCACGTCAAAGCTAACAGTCGAGTTTAACACTCTTGTACGTGTTTAGAACAACATGGAGCATAAGCAATATGATATCATTCTCTTCTCTCGTTCCCCCTTTTTGTGCAAACTTCTAGGTCTTTATGCTTCCTTTCTTTGTTTTTGCAATTCCAATCATGCACTCTCCTCCTCCACCTCCAGGGCCTCAATCCTCGCCTTTGCCAACCACGCAACATTTCCCCCAGCAGTCTCCTTCCGCACCGCACTCAGCTCATCTATAAACGCCGGCACAAACGTCCCCGGCCCGCGAACATCATCCCTCACCGCCGCCCTCTCGGCCGCAATCTCAAACAGCACCAGCCCCGCCAGCGCCGCAACCAGCACATCGCTCCGAAACGCAGCAACCATGGCGCTCACCGTCGTTCCCAGCGTGCATCCGGTACCCGTAACCTGGCCGAGGAACTCGTGCCCGTTGTCTACGCGGAACGTGCGGGATGCGTCGCTGACAACGTCCGTCTTGCCGGTGAGGATGACGACGGCGCCGGTGCGGCGGGCGAGGGCGCGGGCGAGAGTGGCGCGCTGCGGAATGGACAGGGACGAGGAGGAGTCGACGCCGCGCTGGGAGACGGAGGAGCCGTAGACGGTCTGGATTTCGCGCTCGTTGCCTTTGATGACGGTGAAGTGGCCAGAGGAGAGGAGCGTCTTGACGGCGTTGCGGCGGATGGCGGTTGCGCCGGCGCTAGATGTATTGTTAGCACTGGGATGCGCTGTGTATAAAAGGGGTATGATAATATGTAAAGTTAAAATATCTGTGTATATGTGAAGAAAAAAAGGGGGGGCGAGAGCAGGCGAAAGGGGGGAAGACGAATGAATAGTCAAGACTTACCCAACAGGATCGTACACAACAGGTCCTCCAGCAGCATTATATGCTTGCAACGCCTGAACATGATTCTTCAGTCCTTCCGGCGTCACAGTTCCCATGTTAATGACCAGAGCTCCTCCCAGCTTGGCCAAATCAGCAGCCTCTTCAGCATAGTTCGCCATGATGGGACTGGCCCCAACAGCAAGCGCAACATTAGCAGCAAAGTTTTGCACAACCTAACAAATATCAGCCATCGTTCAACAAATCATCTTCCTATTATCTCAAAACGCACCAAATTCGTCATGTTATGCGACAGCGGCGTCCCAGCCGCCACCCTCCTGATAACATCCGGAACCCTCCCCATGGCCACATTCGTCAGCAGCACCCGTGCCGCCTTTGCGGGATCCTCCGCCGCCACCAGCGCGCTCACCACGGCGATGCCGTCGAGGCTCTTTGCGGGCGCGGCACTGGACTCGACCAGCACGGCCGTGGCGTTGGAGCTGTTGATGCCGCCGATGCAGACGGTGGGGATGGCGGCGTGGCCGGCGGAGGAGAGGGCCGAGAGGATGGAGCGGATGCCGGATGTGCCGATGATGGATTTTGTGTCTTTTTTGCTGTGTTGTGTCAGTGTTTGAATATATAAAGAGTGAAAAGGGGGGGGACTCACGTTTGCGTGGCGTAGACGGTGCCCAGGCCGAGATAGTCGGCGCCGGCTTCGCATGCCTTGAGGGCTTCCTGGATGGAGCTGGCCGTGACGCCGATGATTTTGTCTGGGCCGAGCAGTTTGCGGGCTTCTTCGTATGCTGTGTCTCGTGTTGTCAGCCGTTGTCGCTCTTCTCTTGTACCACAACTCCACGTTTATATCAACCAAGCAAGACAGATCCAGTTCTCAGCAACAATAAGTCAACAGCACCAACAAACTCAGAATATCATCACTCTTCAAAATTATAAGAGTAAGCGCATAAATAAAACTCACCTATGTCGTCCTGCCCAATATGCACCCCCTCACAGCCAACCTCAACCGCCACATCCACGCGGTCATTCACCAGCAACGGCACGCCATGTCGCCTCGTCACTTCCAGCAGCGCCCTCGCCGTCTTCACCGCCGTCGCCCGGTCGCTGAGCTTGTCGCGATACTGCACAATCGTCGCGCCGCCTCGCACCGCCGCCTCGACGACGCTGGTGAGGTCTTTGTTGCCCAGGATGGCGGGCGTCGAGTCTGTGACGAGGTATACGCCGTAATTTACTTTGTTCTTGTCCATTTTGATGTCTTTTGTCTTTTTATGGGTTATCGGAAGTTTAAAAGAGAGAGCGGCTGCGGACGATTTGTTTCATGTAAGCCGATGGTGTTCATGAAAAAATTGTAGCGGTTTGTGAGGCACAAGGGCGCAAGTTTGATACCCGGGACGCGGCTACGATCGGACCCATCCATATTCAGCTCCATGAGCTTCTCATGGCGTCATATCAGAACACCTCACCAACCATCAGATAGGCAATCAATTGCGAAATAGAACTAAGAAGCGCGCAATGTTAAATGGACTATTATATCTTGCGAATTAAATGTCTAAGGCGGCTCTATTTATTGTGAATCAAATATCTACTCACTGTTTACCACATTGCACCAAACACATTTCTGCCATCTCATAATCATAACTCTGAATACAACAATCTTCAGTTTCCAACAGTTTCATTTAATACAAATATGTCCTGTATATTGCGTCAAATACCGACTTTTAAATCTACCATTTTATACAATCAAGCCACAACACCGTTTAAACTCATGTAATGACCTTTTCCTTTCTCTCTCTTCTCCCCAGTCAATCTAGACATTATCATCTCTCAAACATTCCATAGTTACTGCAACATGGAATCCAAGCTTTCGCCAAGAACGCCCTCAATCTTGACAATCCATCTATGCGTCTCTCTCTCAACCACCTCATCATCATCTTCCTGCAGCTCGCTAATCCGAGGCAGCATCTCGTGAAGCATCGCGAGCCACTCCTCGCCCAACCGATCCGTCAGTGCCTGCTCGCATTTGACAGCCGCCAGTCGCACCGCCGCCTTTTCTGATCGGAGATGCTTGAGCAGCGCAGAGTTCAGCTCCTTCTGGTGCGCCTGAGAGTCTGCCGCTGCTGCAAGCTCGACTGTGGTAGGGATCAGGGCTTCATTGACGTCGACAATCGTTGCGTGGGTATACTGCTCCATCAGCACAGGAGCAATGGCTCCAAAGTGTGCTGGCGCCTGCCAGAAGTCGTCTTGGTCATGCTCAAAGCACTTGGCCAGTGTGTTGAGCACGCGGTTCCAAAGCTGTCGCTCACTGCTGGCCCTGGGGTCGATGGCGCTGAGAATCTTAACGGCATCCTCCAAGACATAGGTGGCGTAGTTGGTCACGATTGACTTGAGATTATCAAAGAATGACTGCAGGAATCCGTACACACTGTAGCGTCTGCTCGACAATCCAGCGTTGTCCCCTTTGAGCCCTGTGCTTGACCACTCGATGAGCTGCACGAATACGGGCCGGAAGGTGGCGTCGTTGAGCTTGTAAATCATCTTCAGAACCTTGTCGTTCACTGAGTTCTCCAGCTGGGTCAAACGAGCCAAAACTGCATCGCTAGTCTCGCCATCAGCAACAATCAGTCGTCGCAAGTCAAAGACCTTCAGCAAGATGCTGGACAAGACTCCGACGTTCCTAGTAATGGCAGACTTGGAATGCTTGTCGATGGCCATTCCCAGAGTATTGACGTATTCAGACATGGCCTATAATTTATCACGTTAGTCTTTTCGTCTTTTAAAAATCCATTAGATGTGTTTCTTACCGAAAAGCCGTTGGATCTTGCACTGTCCCAGTTAAGATCCAAGCTAGTAAACATGTCCTTGGCCTCAAGCTTCTTCGCAAGGAATTCGAGACAGCTCTCACGAGCTTCGTTGGTGTCGGCATCAAGGTTAGCATTTGCCGACTTGTTGGAAACCTCCAGGATCTGGCCGACATAAGTGGAAAGCATAAAAGGCAGATGCTCAGCCAGAGCACTAATGAACCCGTAACCAGCCGAATGAAGTTCCAAGTCCTGTGAGTCCTCTTGCAGGCTCAGGTTGAGATAAGTAATGGCCTGGGGAATAGCAATGGGGAGTACCGGCACAATTGCGTCTTGCAGCACGTCGACGAGAGATGTGAGGCACAACAGAGCCATGATGCGAAGCTGCTTCTCGTCTTGGCCAAGACAGTGCTCGCCTGCAATTGTTGATGCAGCCGCAACCACGGCCTCGATATCCTTCTTGCCATATTTCTCTGCAATCTTGTCGACGCAAGTAACCGCTGTGTGCTTGTAGCGGATATCGCTGGACTCGCGGATTGCGGCAGTGAGTTGTGGCAGGAAGGTAAGCAGGGCTGTCCTTGACGCTGCGTCTGTGTTGCTCTCTGAGCCCACACGGAGCTCCAGGGCGCGAAGGACCTTTTGACGTAGATCAAGGCTGGGTCTATCGAGCAAGCTTTCCACGGCTTTGATGAATTCGCCAATTGAAAGTAGGTTGAGTAGGTTGGCCAGTGCGTTTCCGCATCGGTTATGCAGGCTCTTGTTCGACTTGACAGTGTCTGCCAGTACAAGTACGTCTTCAAGGAGAGTTGCGTAAAGTTGGCGGACCTCTGATGTCTCCATGTCATCTCTATCGACAAGCTTGCTGATCTGCGCCTTGAGCTTTCTGTTTGCCAAAAGACTTGGTAGCACAGAAAGCTGGCGAAGAGCAATCTTCTCAACATCCTTGTCTTCCTCCTCGTCACTGCTACCAAGTAACACCAGGGACAGAGTAGGCTTGGGCTTGAAAAGATCTGAAGTGAGGTCAAGCAATTTGACCAAGGTTTCCAGCTGAATTTCGACGCTGAAATCGTTGAGGAGATCCAGAACAAATTGGAGCAAATCGTCATTCAGCTCATATCGATCGACCAGCATGCTTACTAGCGTAAACAAGAACTCCTTGGGCCCCATAGTCTCAACCAACGCCACGAACAGGCCGTGTCGTCGGTGGACTGGGATATGCTCGTAGGCAGTCGTAAAGCTGACAAGGATGTCCGAAGCTCCGGCAACGGGGCTCTTCTGGCCTTGCCGTAGTGACTCGATCAACGGAGGTACGACTTCCTTGATCGTCTGTGCCACGACGTGGGCGGAATAGTCATCGCTCTGGCGAAGCACAGAAGTGCCCATAAACGTGAAGATAGGCATAACACTGTGCAGAACCAGGTGCGGCGCAATTGTTGCCAGGTTTGCGACCAGTAGCAAAGCAGCATTCTGGACTACAGGGCTCGATGACTTCTGAATGCAGCTAACAAGCAGGTCTCCATAACCTCCGGAGCTGTCTACCTGTAGATTCTTGTTTGCCTTATATGCTGGCATCATGGCCAGAAGACTGCGCAAGATCAGATTCTGCAGGTAGCCCAGTTCCGAGCCAACAACGGTTCTGAAGTGCTGAAGCTCCGACAATGCCGTGAACAGACCATCAAGAAGTTCGGGGTGAGACACAGGATCCGAGCTGTCGACGATTTGAAGAACAAAGGTAACCTTGCGCAGCGCACGACTCAGTTCGGGGGTAATCTGAGTGTTCAGACCCCGATTGGCATCAGCAGCGCTGGTTCTTCGTCGCTTATTAGGAGGAGGCTCAGTAATCATCTTGGTGCCAGTTTGAATCGAGTCTAAGAAGAAAGATAAGATGTCCGTTGTCAGGGGCACAGACCTCAGAAGATCTGCAGCCTCAGCCGGGATAATAGATTCAGAGTTGCCGGCGGTAGCCTCTGGATCTTGTGAGAGTTCCAGAAGTTGCTCTGCCACCATGTATTTCATTTCGGCCTTCATCAAAGTCCACATCTTCTTGACCCGAGAGAAGGCTGCTCGAATAAGGCCTGGTCTTTCACCATTGGTAGAATCCGCATCCTTCAGTAGCTTGAACACAAACTCAAGTCCAGTGGCGTCGTTGGGAACAATGATGTCAATGAACTGCGAGTCTAAAACAGATTTATCCAGCTGCTGCGAGGTGCAGATCTCTGTGGCCTCGGCTTCTGTCAAATCAGCCCAAGACTGTAGAGCTGGTAAGAGAAGTTGTGTTCGCGTCACATTAGACACGCCGCGGATTTCGTTTAGTGACTTGAGCAGTCTGCTCTTCACAAGCGTCAGCGGAGTCGAGACAATGTGAGAAGCAAAGAACGTCAACAGCGCTGATCTGCCAGACTGAGATAGATGATCCTTCTTGTCCAGAGACGGGTCGGGGGCGATTTGGTATTTTCCGCTCTCGATAGCTGACTTGAGAATGGCAGAAATGTGATCCGCATCCATGACACACTCCTCGACCGCCGGTAAGAGCTGAAGGTGGAGGAATTTACAAGCAACATCTATGCTTAGAGCAGCAACGTCCTTGGACTTGGATTTTCCATAGAGAGAATCAGCTCCCCATGCCTTTATCGACTTGGCAAAGGGAGGCGCATAAAGTCCAGCAGCTACTGTGATTAGATCTGCCGCTGCCTGGCGCACTCGTTTGGAAGGATCGCCGAGAGCAACAACGCAGTAGGGGATAAGAGCTTGGATATCCACTTCGGATACGCTTGCGGCCTTGAGCCTGTCCTTGGCCATGTCCAATGCTGCAGCTCGGGCCAGTGCTGGATACAGACCGCACCAAATCCGAATAAAAAAGCTGAAATATGTGCAGTCTTTGAACGCAGACTCTCGCTTGAGCTTGGAGAATTGGTCAAGCTGCTGAAGAAGCTCCTGCTTCCGCCCAGTTTGGTCGGAAACGATGGAGACGAAGATGTCACTGAGGCTTCCAAAGATTTCGCCGTCTTCTGGCAGAAGTGATGAGGAGAGAGATGAGGAGCTGCCAGCCAACTCTTCAAGGCCTGCTTCAGGGTTCTGTGCCTGTTGAGCTTGAGCAGCATCCTCAGCCTCGGTACCGTCTTTGGCGTGTTCGGGAAGCTTGCGTGTACGAAATACGAGGTCTAGCTTCATTTCCAGCTCTTCAATGTCGAATTTGACTTCCTCAATGACGGATTGAATGATGTCGCCAGCTGATCCGGTAGTGTGTGATAGAGCAATCAGGGTAGATCCCACTTCACGGCGAAGAGAGCCATCTTTGTCGTTTTCATCGTTGAGTTCGTGAGCCGTCAGGAGTAGAGACTTGAAGATGACCGAAATCTGCTTGTCCTTTAGAATCTGGTTACCCAAAATTGTAGTAATGGTCGAAAGGCCGCGCGAGTCGCCCTTCTTTACTAGTCTCTCTACCAGAGCCAAGCACAATCCGTTTGCCAGCTTGTCCACGCGACGCTCCCGGCCAATTTCGACAAGAAGGGTGCCAATATCCTGAACCTTCATCAATGCCTTGGTGACCTTGCTGCTCATTTGCTTCGCGGATCGGAATTGGGCCAATATCGTCAAGCATACGAGACCTGGCCGAACAGTCTCGCCAGTCCAGCCGTGAACCAGCTGCTGCATTAACGCTGTGACAGCATTATCGTGCAAATCGCCCTTGGAAACGAAGACAGTTGTGGCCATGTAGGAGGCGATTTGAAGGCTGGGAACCTTCTTCATGACGAGCGCTTCGGCGAAGACGGGGCCCAATCTATGTAATAGCGCTTGGCTGTTGTCGCTCTGTATCGTGGCTCGTCCAGACTTGGTGCGGTCTAGAATTCCGCTTACGGCTTCGGTGATGAGTCCGCCCCAGAATGTGATGAGAGCCGGATACTGGTATCCTTTACGGCATGACTCGAGGGTGTATTCGGAAACGGCAGTAAGGAAATCGACGTGATGAACGGCCTGGTGAACAAAGACTGATCGAGGAGGAGATGTAAGAGATCGAATATACGGATCGAGGAATCGGAACTCGCTTGGAATCTTAGACGGTAAAATCGATAAGAGTGTCGCAAATGCGGTAATGGAGTGATATGGTAAAAAGGTCATGAGCAGAATTGACGTATTTTCCACATGAATGCTGTATGGGTAGACAAGTTAGTTATTCCACATTCAACTCTTGAGACTGCATTGGGTTCTGCTTTGAAGATTTTACGCACGAGAATCGTCTGATTAGCCACTCAACAGCCTTGATCGCAGGCATCAGCCTCAAACGGCTTCCCACCAGTCTCAGGAACGCCTCGATGTGTCGATCGAGCTCCTCATTTTCCGCAATTGTGAGCTGATTTCGGTCCTGGTTCTGGCTCTGCTCGCTGAAGATGGTTGCTTCAAAGACAGCAAATCGGCCATCGAGCTGGCAAAGCTCTTCAAAGCCCTGGTGGCATGTCGCATACAGAGTCTGATAGCTCTGAGCCGCTGCGACTCGGGGTTCCCAGATCAGAGATTTTGAGTGGGAAGCCCTTTGCGCTTTGATATCCAAACTCGATTTCGAGTTTGCGGCAACCTGCGCCAGCTGCGCGGCAAGCGAGGTCGCCATTATGTCGAGAGGTGAGGCTCCAGGTCGGAAAATGGGCTTGTGGTGTAGAAGAGTTCAGGAACGCGGCTATGTTTCACTATGGCGCCTTGAAGCCTACTGTGAACTTTTTTTTTCCAGATCAGTGGAGATTTGCTAATTGTTTCTTATCGATAACAAGACGCTAGTGAGTGGGGTTGCGATATCATCTATTTTTGCCAATCACGTGATACGCTATCACTTTGATTGCGATCGCAGAGGCTCGCTATCTGTGGTAACTCCAGATACTTCTATGTTAGGTGCTCTGATATATGTTCCCAAAGCATATCACTAGATATATCAATACCTTTTGTCTCTCTAATACATTTATTTAAATAAATACTCAGTATATGCTGATTATGTTTTATATGATTAGTCTGCCAACTGATAATTCTACGGGGCGTAAGATAATATGACGTATGATGCGGCTTCTGTTATAAACGGCGATGTTTGTCTGATCGGACTCGTAATCTATAGAACCAGTCCCTTTCGTCCGAACAACTGAGGAATCTTGAGATGAAAGAACGTTTCACTGCACGAGACCTCAGCCAATAGGCCTAAAAAGTTCCCTAGACTAGCTTGAAAGCACGCCGAACCATTCGGCGCAAATTCCGACCGGAAGTGGGGAGAAGATCGTGGGCAGCGACATCTTTGCATTACCGGACTCGGAAGTTCACCATCCGGTGCTGTCCATATAGTGTCATTCGAATCCCCCAATTCTACACCCTTACTATTACATTCACAAAATACTACTTTTAAAAAAAGGCCGTCTTCAAGAGCACACAATGGCTGTAAGTTGGAATATCATTCGAGGCTTATTTAACAAAAGGCTCACTCAGTATAGAAGCCGTATCCTCAAGTCGTTCTCCTGGGGGATTCCCTGTTTGAGTTTGCAGCTCATACTTTGAGCGGCTTCTCATTCCAGTCGGCTCTTCAAACACGTAAGATGCCGAAATGATCTAACTTTACAAAAGAATAAAAACTCTTGAGAGAGATTCTAAAAAAGACGTTTTGCAGGGCTTATACGGCGATTTGACGTGGTTAATCGCGGCTTTGCGGGGTGGAACACGACAAATGTTCTCAAGTACTTGCCCGAGATTTTTGCTGAACCGTCTGCCTCATCACCAAAAATTGAGTATTTGGTTAGTGCAGAGTACCTTTGGAGTTTGTATAGTAATTTGCGCATACTGACTTGACGGACTTGTTTCTAGCTGATTCTCTTGGGAGCAAACGACGCTGTTAAACCTGGAGCAGCTACATCGCAGCATGTTCCTATTGAGACATATAAGGAGAACCTCAGCAAGATTATAAACCATCCTCATATACAGGCTCACAACCCCAAAATCCTACTGGTCACTCCTCCCCCAGTGGATGAAATTAAGCTGCAAGAGGTTGATGTGGCTTACGGCCATCCAGCAGCGATTCGGTCCTCGGCCATATCTGCCTCATATTCGGAGAAGGCTCGGGAGGTCGCCCGCGAGAATCCGGGAGTAGTTCTTATTGATCTCTGGCAAGCAATCATGGGCGAAGCTATTTCCATGTCGCCAGAGGACTATCAGCCAGGAGGGCCTTGGCTTGGATCGCCCGAGAATGGGAAGCAAGGGGGGCTGGATAAGCTTCTTCCGGATGGACTTCACATGGGCGGACAGGGATATAGGGTGTTTTTCGATGAGATCAAAGCGCATATTGGGCAAAATATCAAGCCGGATGACAGGACGGACTATATAATTCCGGATTGGAGAGTTGTCACTCCCCCAAAGGTTGATCTGCCAAAGGTAACGCCCATTCCCCTCGAGTAAGATGGGCTGCTGTATAACGCGCATATGCATATATACATATAGACTAGACAGAAAGCGCCTCGGCCATTTTACGTGGATACTAGTAGATCAGCCTAGTTAAACCGTAATGATACCTATTGCAATATCGGCTTATGGCAGCGAAGATCTAATCAGGAGAGGCATCCGATAGTCCCTGTAATCAGCTGATGGGTGGGAGATTTGAAAGCAGCATCATAACCCAGGTAGCATGGGAACAGACAGCCCTGTCTGCGGGGAAGGGGTGAAAGCTTCAATCCATCAGTCCATCCTTCCAGCTAGGATGACAGGCCTAGGTGCTGTATTACAGCGCGCTGCCCTGCTCTCTGCTAGCGTTCAATGCCTTGCGGCGATGACGCCCTGCTGGATTGCCTGCCTAGAGCGCTGGACCCAGCTGTCTTCAGAGGCTGCCACGGCCTGTGATTGGCACTGGTGGGGAACGCGCCCAGCGCAACCACTAAGCTCGAGGCGGGCTGGAATCCTGGATTGTGGCGATCGGCCAACCTCGCATCATCACGCAGCCCTTGGACCTGAAACTGCTTGTTGATTCTACTCTCACGTCTCTCTCTGCCTGCCTTGCCTTGCCTCGCCTTGTTTGCGCGTCGACGTCGCACTTGCACGGGCCCACTGATCAATAACTGGCGGCCGCTTCCTGCTTCTTCAGTCTCCGTTTTCTCTTCGTCTTTCATCGTTCGACTCCTCCACCCAGAGTCGGCCTCTTCAACGCCATCTCTCCCCAGCGCTCTCTACAGACCAGCCACCGACTCGTTCTCCAGCTCGCGTTCCCGACACACCCCAAAAAGTGCTGATATCCCTATCAGATACCGAATCGAGCTGTCGGCTTCCTATTAAACGGCACGCGGTCGCCGTGATTTTTCCCGCGAAAAGAAGCACTTGCGTCTTACAAATAAAGGCACTTCCGAACTGCTTCACACCAATAACCACCTGCACACCTCTTTTTGCACGCCTACGTCTGGCCACTGGTCTATCCAAGCCACGGAATCACAGCATATAAACAGCGTGTGAACGGCCCATCCTATAAACAAACACTCGCATACGAGACTTCATCCGTGTGGCTAAACCCACAATCTTGGTGCCGCTTTGTGTCCGTGCCGACACAGGATCTGCCACGCGACTCCGCCGCTACTTGAAGACTCCCCATCTCTCGAGACGTCTCACAAACCTGAAAAGCCTGAATATTGGTTTTCTTCAGGCCATAACGCACGCTCTGCGTTATCGGCTGAGTGACCTGCGGGTCCAGGGCAAGGAGATGTGGTCGGGGATGGGATTGTGAACTGCCATTAATACTCTGAGTGATCGAAAACCCGGACGAGTGCCACGCCGCATTGTACTCTCCAAAGTGAACGCCCGAATCAGCAACACTTCGGCATCCCCCTTTTCTAATCCTCTTACTCTGTGCGGCTCCAACATTGTGCACCTCTAGCTGAATCCTGGCTGCTGTTGTCTTTGCGTTGATACCTATGCTTAATATCTTTCTTTTCCTACGACTTATTTAATATCGCACCATCGTCTCTCCCAACGCCTCGGACTGATCAAACTCTGTTAATCTTGGCGTCATATGTTCCCGCATCCCTCCTTTAAGATATCTTCAGACATGGAATCCCGCTTCGGCGTTTCTCGGGAAGAGCTGTACAACCTGCAAATGGAGCTGAAGCAGGTCCAGTATACTCAGGCAAACTACGCAGAACGAATTCTGAGGCTGGAGAAGCGCCAGGCAGACGATTCTGCTATAAAATCGGTATGGAATTCACCATTTCCGGGAGTCCTGGCCGGAACGCCACAACATGGTGAGCTGCATTGCCCTCGCTCCTCATTGAGTCGAAAAATTGAAGCTTCCAATACTAAATGTTCTTCAGGCCCAGTCCAGATCCCCCAAAATGATGTCTTTGACGACTTGGATGAACAGGGAGAGCAGTTGCTTGGCTCCCTGCATTTGGGCCCTGCGGAAGAGGAGCCGGTTCGCCGCGGCGGCGCAGCTTCACGAGCAAACAGCGTCCGGTTTGATGAAAGCGCTCTCCATGGATCGAGCTGGGCCGCCCAAAACAACCGCCATTCAGGAGACTTTGGCCAGGTCCGTCCGAGCACCGGTTTCATGATGGAACGATCACTGTCACACAAGTCAGACGGCAGACATAGCTCGGCAGGGCATTCGGTGCATTCTCACCATTCTGTAGCGTCAGGCCGAGCTAGCAGCATTGGCCTCGACACCAACTTTGCCACTGGTGATGAAGACGATGACGATTCTTCCTTTGATATGCCTGGACTTCCAGCCTCTGTCTATGTCCTAGGGACTGTTCCATCCATTGTCCGCTGTTGGCTGACTACAGATTATGCCCACGGGACGCTGCTCTACGCGGATATTTGCACGGGGTCGCAGAAGTCTACAATTGAATATTCGCTTGTCAAAGAGCTGGATTTGCTAACCGAATTTCAACGCGACGTCAGCGGAGCTTATAAAGCTAGACTAGACGTGTACCTTGCAGAAGCTGTCATTACGCGCCACAGCAGCCGGTCAGATTCTGCCGCGGGATCGGTGCCCTCGATGTCGGTTTGTTTTGAAATGTGTGGTGGTAGTGGTGGCGACGCAGCCAAATTGAGCCAAGGCTCAAAACCGGTTCGCATATTCATCGGCAGTGATGCCCTGAGAGCGCATGCAGCCGACATCCTCTTCTCTCAAAATACGATGGTGCTTTACAGTAACGAGCGAGATCGACTACGGGTTCCCTTCATTCGCCCTGAAGACGAGGAGGTATTCCGCCACATAACTACCAGCAGTGCTGCGCCGGAACGACCAAAGCTGAATGCCAATGCTGCACCCTTCGTCTTTGGGGAGATCAATAGGACCGAAAGTGAGGAAAAAATACCACCAACACCGACGACGACGACGACGACGACGACGACGACAACAGCTACGACAACAGCCACGCCTACATCCATTACAGCAGCGACCAAAGAGCCGGGAAGCAGTGAGACAAGGAGCCAGGCGTCACCCGCAACGTCGCATTCTGAGCCCTCGGATCGTGTTCGAGCGAATAGTGTCCCCGATTACGAAGAAGACACGGAAAAGTCTACGAGAGATGCCAGTGGCTCTGAGCGTCGGAGAAGAGATGGATCAAGTGCGTCTGAAGCCTCGCGGCGAGAAGCGTCATCAGGCATCTGGGGCTCCTGGCGCAATCCCAATGGCAGCGGAACGGACCAGCGCGAGACTGGACCTTTGAGCGGATACCAACCCGCGCCCCGAGGGCGCAACATGAAGATCCTCAAAGCTCCAAAGTCCAGCTCGTCTTCTGCGCGCACAGGAGCGTCGTACGAGCCTCCCATCCCATCCAAGTCTGAGCTAGGTCGGCGCAAGAGCCAGATTAGCATGAGTGGCGAAAGCACCTCCACAGCAGCAGCCAACGGCAGCATTAAATGGGAGACCAAAAAGCCAGGGGCGGCGAGTGAAGGCAAGGGCAACGAGGCAGCAAAGCCCGCCTCGACTTCTGGCGGTCGGACGGCTTCAGGTTCGGTGTCGTTGCCAAGGTCGGCGAATAATCCTGTCGGAGTAGCGTCAGCCTTTTCGTGGATGACACCACCGGGGACAGCAAAGTCAACCAAGACGACGACTGCGGCAGAGTAAACTGCCTGGAATTGGTCATAGCTAGTAGATAGGAATTGAAAAGTCGAATGCCCCGACATCAGTAGTTAGACCAGGTAAAATACTTTTTATTGAATGCTCCCAAAGTAATAAAGCCACCCAAGTGAATAAAGTAGAACATGTGATACAAGTAGTTTCCTCAGTAATTACATCCCCAGTTCAAATCTTGGACGGCGGCAGCACACTCAACACCTTGCTCGTCTCGCTCAACTTGCCCTTGACCACGGTGAACAGCCCCTTGAACAAGGGATGTGACGCATCGCCCAGGCACTCGTACATCCAGCTTTCGCTTGACGTGACGGCAATGCCGGGCTCGCTCCGCAGCCGATCCAGCGCAATGCCCACCTCGCCCTTGTTGCACGAGCTGACGCCGTCGGCAATGACATACGGGAAGTGGCCGGCGTCACGCAGGTCCAGCGCCGTCTGCGTGATGCAAATGTGCGTCTCGATGCCGACGAGGGCGACGCGCGAGCCGGGCGCGAGGCTGGCGGCGATGGAGGGGATGAGCATGGAGAACTTGGTCTTGTCGTGGACTTCGGAGACGCCGAGCATGTCGGCGATGGCGGGGACGGTGGCGCCCAGCTTGGCGGATGTTTGGGTGGTTGCGTAGACGGGGATGGAGAGGTTTTGGGCGTAGGTGAGGAGTTTGACGGTGGTGGTGACGCTTTTTGGTCTCTTGTTAGCAGGAATTTGAGAATTGAGGCTGGGTTGACGGGTGGTGATGTTGCATTTTGGTGTTGAGGATTTTGGTACAGGGAACGCTGGAGGGTACCTCGGCTTAGCCAACGGTTTGTAGCTCCAGGCTTACTACTCACATGCTATCAAATTCGTAGATGGCGTTGCGGAACTTTTCTTGCATATCGCAGACGCTGTTTGATTCAATTGGTTGTCAGCATGTTGTACTGATTTCGTGGATTTCGCTTCCCGTCGTCCGGCTGCTGTCGCAGTTGTGAGGGCGAGATGAGAGCGAGATCAACTTACAAGATGGCAGGGTTCTCTGTTTAAGAGGTTAGTAAGTCTCTTGATTTGAATTATAGATGAGGAGAATTGGCGAGAATGAGTTGTAGCTATGAACAACTTACTGAACCGCATTTCTGTAGCAGCAGCCATTTTGGATGTGATGGGAGGAGTGGAATGCGAAAGAGAGCGGTAGAGAGGACGAGAGAGTCTGGAGCTTGGCTGCGATGAGAGAGGCGGAATGGAGGGGCGACAGCGGAGGAGAAGAAATGGCCGTTGCATAAAGAGTTGAATCAAGTTGTTTTCAACGAAGAGGAAGATGAAGAAGAAGAAAAGAAGAGCTTGTGAGAAAGATTCAGGGTTCTCTTGATTGATATGCCGATGACCGGGTTTGGGGATCTGATGGCGGGGTTTGGCGATTTATAGCGGCATGTGGCTAAAAGAAGACTAAAGAGAGTCTGGAGCAAGGATAGATGCAGCGGTATATATAAATAAATCCCTATCTCTCAAAGTATAGGTTTCAATGAAAATGGAATTCTCTCTCTCTTGCTTCATTTCCACCTTCCCGCTCCGGCTTGGCTGACTTGCCGCTCATTCGTTGGTTTCTGATTGATTTGAGATTCATCCTGCGGATCTTTTTCGGGATTTGGCGCCCCATGGGAGTGCGGGTAGGAAATGAGGGCCGATCCGGAACTGAACCCTGTGGCTGGGTTATGAGGATGCGAGTCTTGATTTGATTTGATTTGCATTGTAAAATTGGTATCTGATAGCAAAGGGATGGTATGTATGTTGTCATTATAATACTAATTATATTGAGGTGTTACCATAAAAGGCATGTTGTGTTACCGAGCTCGAACTACACCTCACAGGTAAAACAGCCTCTTATGGCAGCTCAAAAGCCAACACGTTGTCTCAAGCTCAACCATAAACACAAATACTACAAACATCAATACTCCGTACAATGGCATCCAGCTCTATGAAATGTTTCACCGCCCAAACTGACGGATTGAAATTTGAGTCATCGCCGTCAAAAGTATTTCAAATTACCTATCCGGCACTAAAGCAGCGATATGGAGACGAGGTCTCAGTTGTATGCACAAGTGCGTGTTAGCTGTCTTTAGTGTATCCGTTCAAGTGAGACATGTGCTGAAAAGAAACAAAAGGGGAGAAATAATCTCAAATACTACAATTGAGCTCTTTTTCTAAATAAGAATAATTTGATGCTGCATTGGTGTGCGTGCACTACTGCATGATAGCTAGCATGTGCATATTGACTCATGCAGGGATGCAACCTCTTTGAATGGCGTCACGCAGCATCTTGAATCTACATCTCAGCACGTATTTACTATAACCTGTACAGCATGTAATAATGAATCGAAAAACTCTTCATTTATAAAAACTCCAAATGCATTGCATATACACAATTCTATACACATATAACCATATCCATCTATCCATCCCAACCCAAACTCCATGTACCGTGCTTTTTATATACCCTGTTACGATGCCACCTCCGCAAACCATATGCGCAGCAATCCCGCCAGCGCGCTCGGCAACTCCTCCAAATTATGCACAATCAGATAATACTGGAACGGGAACGTGTCCAAGTACCGCTCAATCACCACTCTGCTCTCGCCCCCGTCACTCACAAACTTGGCCTCCTTGAGCTCCAGCACGCTGTCTCCCTTCTTCTTGCCCGTGTCGTCCATGATGATAAAGACAATCATGATGCGCTCCTCCATCGCCTCGCGGAGCAGGCGTCGGATCGAGTCGTGGGCCGAAGAGGGCGTCAGTCCGTCAGAAAGGATCAACGCAAGTTGCCAGAGGTCTGCTCCTCCACTGGACCGCTGCCGTGCCGTGCGGAACGTGTCAATCGTCTGTCGGATCAGCAGTGCAATATCCGTCCTGTCCTGACCAAATGAGAATCGCTGCAGGACCTTGGCGCCAGCATCCGAAGCAAAGGGATCGGTGAGCTCGTGCGCCGTAAAGACATCGGCACCAAAGCCCAACACGCCCACTTGGCCGGCCTCGAGCATCGTCAGGGAGCGTGAGACCATGACCAGCGACTCCATTGCCAATGCGCCAGATGACGACTCTCCCATGCTCTTGCTGTCGTCCACGCAAAGCATGATTTGATAAGTTCGCTTGGTCGGGATGCTGCGTCGCATCCAGATCTTGTCTCGCTTGTAGCTGGAAGCGATGTAAGGGATAATGCGCTTGATGTTCAGCCGCTTTCCGGTGCGGAACGATCCCGACAGCTTGGTAGATTGAGATGGGGTCAGAATCAGTCGCAGCTGAGATGTCAAAGAAAGCGACAGGCTGTGAGACTTGGTCTGAAGCTCGGTCCACTGCTCAAGACAGGCTGAAAAGTCGCGGAGAGGACGCTGGTCTTCCCAAAGGTGAGTTGTCGATAGCTGGGTTGACGCATCCTGGACTTCTTCCTCTTCTTCATCCGTCTTGGCTCTCTGGTCATCTTCCTCCTCATCTTCAGGCGTAGACTCCTTGTTGTAGGCACCTTGTCTTGTCTTTACGCCAGTCCGATTATCATCGACATCATTGGCAGCCGTGTCCTTGTCTTCGTCTGCTGGCTCGCCAAGATCCATTTTGTCAGTCTCTTCGGCCTCCTTTTCGGCCTCGTCTTCTTCCATCAGACGACTGGTTGGATCTTGCTTCTCTTCATCAATCGCCATGGACTCATCCAAGGGCTGTGCCTCTTCCTTGTCTGCTGTGCCCAAAGCTTGAGTATCTTCCGCTGCATTGTCATCCTGCAGGTGCTGGAATTCGCGCCTTTCTTGTTCTTCAGAGTCTTGTCCGTGCTGCTTTTCATCTTCTTCTGGATTTGCATCCTTAATGTCTGACTGTTGGCGATGCCATCTCTCCAAGGCATCACCAAGCTTCTTGAAAGGATCACTGCGAGCCTCTTCCTCTGCATTGCCATCTTCAGGCTTATCTGCAGTCTCTTTTGAGCGTGATGTAGCCCCCTTGTTGCCGGCACTCGTGTCTTGGTCAGCGGCGCCGTCTCCCATATCTCCTTCATCTTGCTGGGCCGCCTTGGCTTGAAACTCATCATCCACGTCCATGGAATCTGCGTTTTGATCTATTCCAGAGCTCTTGACGTCGCTAGGGGCCGCATTGTCGTTGTCTGCCTTGTTATCCTCTTGCTTAGGTTGAGGCTCAGGGTTGCTCTCGTCCTGTTGTTCTTCCTTCTTCTCTTCTTCTTCAGCTTCCTGTTCTTCTTTGATTTCTTCACCAACGTTTTCTTCAACCTCTTCCGCTTCGCTAACTTCGTCGTCAGCAGCAGTCTCCTCCTCTACCTGCTGCTTAGCATCCTCTTCCATCTCTTCGTCATTGGCTGCTTGCGCATCATTGGGCTGCTCTTCCTGCTCCTTGTCGTCTTCCTCAATGTCTGACATGAGATCCAAATCATCCTCATCCTCTGAGCCTGCCGCATCGTTCTCGTCAAGATTCATATCAATATCTTCGGGCAGCTCCAGCGCATCATTCTCCTCCACTGTTTGGTCTTGGCGGTTCAGCTCTTCTTTTGCATCTACGCCTTCTTCCTCGTCTTCTACTTCCTCGTTCTCGGGCTCATCACCCTCGTTGGCCTCAGGCTCTTGATCTTGATCCTTGCTCTGATCTTGCTCCGCGTCATCTGGCTTCGCTTCTCCTTCAGTGGCCATTTGCTCGTCCTCTTGCTTCTGACCCTTGGCTTTATCACCTTCTTGATCCTTCTCCGCCTTCTCATCATCGCCATCCCACATCTTTTCATCAACGGCAGTAGGATCCAGGTCATCCACGTCACCAGCCTCTTCATCCATATCATTCTCTTCCTCCTCCTCTTCATCCCCCTTCTGAGACTTGTCTTCCTCTTCTTCAGCACCATCCACGCTGTTCATGTCTCCCTCCATCTCCTCGTCTGCCATGTCGACTGCGTCCTTCTCATCTTCCATGTCCTCGTTCTTCTCTTTATTGGCTTCTTGTGCAAGCTCAGAAAGGTCTTCGTCAGCCTGGATATCCTTGCTGATATCTTCAGCACCTTCGCCGTCACCAAGGCCAGTGCCGGATTCTACTTTGCTGTCGGCACCTGACTTTTCGTCTGACTTCTCTTGTGGCGTACAGAATCCTTGAGATGCGATTTGTGTAAAGGCCTTTGTCATGCCGTATCCCATTTTGACTGTCGCGCGGTGGATATCAAGACCGGTCATGATGGATTGTTGGCATAGTGCTGAAAATTGGGTCAAGATTGGTGACGCAACAGTAATGGCGCTCATTGCGGCCATGCTTGCCAACGGCTGTGCAAGATCGATTTTCTGCAAAGCGCGAATACACTGCTGGAGAGTTTTCTCGACGTTTCTCATGTACAGCTGATTGATCATAGAAAAGAAAGCTTCGCTATGTCTCTTTAGCCAGGCCGTCTCGTCCTCCTTTCTAGGGATCTCTGCTGCAGCTTTCTTGGCATTCTCAACGGCTACAAGAACCGTGTCGCATAGAGTGGCAATTGATTCCACAAAGCCCAAAAGATCCATCGTGTGCCCTTGAGCTTCTAGAGGAATGTTGATAGTCTGGCTCCAGACACGAAGCTGCTGAAGAATGAAGGCAACATCAGGATTGCCCTGGATAGCATCAGTGACGGCCAATTGTAGCCCAGCCAAATCACGAGAGACATCTTCCTCTAGTTGAGCATGTGCACTAGACGTCAGAAGTGCAGGAAGTTTGACCAATTCACCCAACCTCTGGGAATGCTGCTCCATTGTAGTTGTCCAAGCTTCAAGCTTTTGAACCAAAGCACTGTGATCAAGCTTGCCTAGTTTTGCATGTACGCCCAGCAAGTGAATGGCGAATCGCAAACCCTGAACGCTCCAGGGGAGGAGGCGTGACAAGTCTGTACTGCTTTGTCGTCTAGATAAGCCATTAAGCTGTTCAAATTTGCCCAAATCCTGGAATTCGAACAAAGTATTCTGCAGCGATCCAAAGGCAGACAAAATGCTCGCAAGGCTACTGCGCTGAGACAGAGCAAAGTAAATAAAGCCTTCCACGAAGCCGATACTTCGCGTGACCTCGGCGCCGGTCAAATCTTCAGAATGTTCTCGAGCAGCATTCCTCACTTTCGGTGCAAGATCTAAGGTCTTGTGGAAGTAATACTCTGCTTCACTGAGAATGCTAGAACTAGAGAATTCCAATGGCATAGTTGAAGCAAGTACGATAGAAAGTGACTCTTGCTCAGCCAACTTGTCTTGGCCAAGGTTGTACCGTAAGCCCATTCCACGCAAATCTCGTAGAGTGTCGGCGAATAACTTGCGCTTTCTCGTCTTCATGTGCTTGACTTCCTCTTTGTTCTCGTCGGTCAAGGTCGATGGCGTTTCTTTCTTCAATTCTGCCATCGATTCTTCCAAACTAGAAAGATATGCGTCCAAAGATTGGGGAACAGAACTGGTCAATTCGGGGCTGGCAGCCACTTTGTGCATCACAGATACTGTTTTCACCACGTTGCCAAGGCGTTTGCGCTTATCCAGCCACCCAGGAAGAGCCGCATTCAAAGACTCAGTAGCAATTTTAGGCACTTCAGCTACCACAGCTTGATTCTCCAAATTGGCCTGCTGTGTAATTGTCTCGTCAGGAAGGCCCTGGTCAATAACCGATTTCATTTCGGTTCCCAAAATTCTACGGAATTTTCTGACAATTCTGAACAGCTTCTGGTGAGATTTCTTGGCGCTTTCTCGGAGAGCATTGATGTTGGTATCTTTCCAACTGGCCATCAGTAGGACGTCTTTCATCTTCTTGTCGAGCGTAGCTCGGCCCTTTTGGATGGCGGTTTCAGCATTTTTCTCATAACGAGAATAGTAGAAGATGAAATTCGTGAGGGCGTGGCAGATGACCGTCAAGTTGGGATAATCCTTGACGAGATGCTGAAGATGGGTTTGAAGCTGTTTCAAAAGTGACAGGCGAGTTGCAAATTGACCAATAATCGAGGTCAAGAAGTATGTTTCCAAAGTCTGGATAAGTGACGCAGCATACTCCTTCAGCTCTGTAGGAGACTCCACCATTGAAAGGGGAACAGCAATAACCACTTGATAAGCAATGAACCACCAGGAATAAGCATCCTCTTGGCATTTCTCTTGCTCCGTTTCAAATAGGTTAGCCCATGTCGACAGTTCTAGTCGTCTCCATCGAATGATAGTATCCGTAAGCGCGTTGTAGAGCGACAGAACAGCATAGACCTTGCTCGCCCATCCTCCAAACTGCCATTCGTAGACGTGAGCATGCAGTTGCTCAACCTTGGGTAGGATTTTAGCTAGAGGATCTTCGTGAACAAGCTCTAGGACGCTATTGCAGTACTTGATGACGTCTGCCAGTGGCTGCATGTGGCCAATTTCATCCACAAGCTGCAGTTCACGGAAGCGGGCCTTGATCTTGCCAACGAGAATCACAAGTTGTCGAGCTTCGGGCAGGTTAGGGCTGGTATAGAAGCTGTATGACTTGTCCTTTTCAGCTGTTTGCAGCCTGTTGAGTTTCTCGTCAAGCATAAGCATCGTGCTAGCAAGCATTCTGCTGTTCAGCTCACGATCAAGATATGACTTGTCCTTAGTCTCATTCGCAACTCGGGTGCCCAAGTCTTTACTCAAGTTTCGGATCGAAATTTGAGCATCTTCTCTATCCAAGAAGATCCTTCTATGAGCCTCTGAAATCTTGAGTGACATGTTGCGAACGAAATCTGTTTTGTTTCCGGAACGATCATTATTCGCTGGACGATTAAGCTCTTGATCCGCATCGAATGTCGGGAACAGCTCGTTAAACTCTTGTTCATCGAATTCCTCTTCATCCTCGAGCGATCCACGGAACTGGTAGAGGCTGCTCTTCGTCTCTTCAGCTTTCCTGTCTGCCTCTAGCTTCTTGGTCCAATCATCGTAGAAGCCATGGAAGCTTGCAAAGATGGCTTCTCGCATGCCTGGCTGGAAACACTCGCTTCCTTCAACGTTCACGGCGACTCGGACAAGGCTGAGGAATTCAAAATTCTTCTCAAAGGATGACTTCGTGCTGATATCCCAAGTTGAACCGCCGAAGAAAGATGTCATATCCAGAAGCTGCGTCGTGGATTGAGATAGCGATGCAGCCGCGGCCGCATCATAAAGCGACAAACCAACAAGCAAGCACTGCAAAAGGTTCGCGGCGGGCCTAGTCATATCTTGATAGGCTTCGAATCGAGCAGTAAGTCGGTCTTGGAGACGTTGAACATTTTCCTTAACAAGTGCAAGTCCGTCTCTTTCTCCAGGAGCATTACTGTCATTAGATGGTTCCAATGCGGATCGAAGAGCCGGACTCGTGATGGCCTTCAAGATATTGGAGAATTCCGCATGCAGTCGACTAAGTTCCGAAACCTCTGGTCGGAAGACTGGTTGAACCTCATCGGGTAAAGGTCCCATATTGGAAAGTTCTTGACTGAGGAGTTCAATACGTTCGTTTGTATTCTGTCCCGTAAACTTCCTCTCAAAAGCTATCAGAGAGGATATGTTATCGGACAAGCTGTTTTGAAGCTGTTCAAAGAACTCTCTCTCGATCTTTGGACGCAGCTGAGGATCAAAGACACGATCTGGAACATAGAGCTTTAGAACACCCACGCTGAAGTGAGTCCACGCCAACGCCGATAGGTATGTATGCCGGCTATCATTCTTCTCTGCAAGCAAAGAAACCATGGCTGGGACCAGGTGCTGTTCCGCGACTTGCTGAAGATGAAGAGGTTCAATGCTCTGCAAAAAGGTACCAAAGAGGCTAGTGCCCGGCAGTTGAATGGGTTGATTCTTGACTTGCTCCTCTGCATTGAGATAAGCTTGGACAGCGGCATCTTTGAGGCTCGCATCATGAGCTCCGAAGACTTCAAAGATCAGCTGCTGAAGAACCTTGTTCAGTTTTGGCAGTGGATCAGCGGCTACTTCAGCGGACAGTGAGGCGATATGTCGTCCAAGAGCAGGCAGCTCTACATCGAGCAATGCCAGGGATCCAAGACTAACTCCACTCATTGCTTGCAATTTAGACCACAGCGTGGGCACAAACGTTCCGTCCCATGCATATTGGTCTTGCTGCACCAAACAATCCATGGACTGTAAAAGTGCCGCTTCTTTTGTGGCGCTCATGAGCGATAGTCTTGCCTTTGTTGGAACATTGGATAAAATGGACAAGTCTCGGATTCCGCTATCCACCGACATTCTAGGCGAGATAGATCGAAGCGTATCAAACTGTCTCAAAGTCTCAAATTGTCTCGCCAAAAATGGTAGCAGTTCAACTTCTTCATCGGCAATACGGCTCTCCAGAGACTCAATTCCAGTAATAAGATCTTTTACCAGACCATCTGTTGTGAGCACACCATCCCTGATGATTTTGTAGGCCTGTTCAAGAGTCTGCTGAGCTTTTGACAAGTCTACAACAGAAGCTCCAGCTTTCCATCGTAGGCCATCAAATCGGGTACCCAGCCGGTCAAGCTCCATGGATCGATCAAGGACTGACTTGTCAGGAATAGGAATGGGTCGCATCAAATTCCAGAGCGACTCCATACTCAAACCGGTGCTCAGCTTGAATCCACTGTCAAAATCGTCCTCAAGCCTTCCTAAGATATAAGATGCGAGCTGGCGGGTATTATCGGACTGTGCGGCCAGTGTCTGCTTCTTTAAGAGCGCGGTGCCCTGAGCCAAGTGAGCTTGGAATGTAGCCTCGTCAAAATCGCTCCTTGTTGCAAGATCAATCGTACGATCGATATAGCATCGAACAGCTCTAATGAACTGAGTGCCCTCCATAGTGTCATGCGACAACATATCAAGTCCAAAATATTCCGTCAAAGCATTCAAAAATGAAGAAATAAATAGACTAATCTTTACGGTAGAGTCCTTTGATACGGCAGCAACACGATCACTGATGAGAGATCTCTGCAGCCTGTTCAAGGAGACCAGCTTTGAAGAACGAGCCTGGGATTGTTGCGCAGTGACAGTGTTTTGAATCTGGTACAGGTGACGGTAGGTATCGTAACGAGTAGCGCTCCACCTAGCTGCATCGGTAGAAGGAAGCATATTCCCAACAGTAATATTATTAAGGGGGTGAAGAGGCTAGTTCAAGGTTAGCAATCGCATTTTTGTATACATGAAAGGTTTACTGACCTGAGAAGTAGCTAGAGCATCAGAAGTGGTGCCCGACAATTGCGAATACAGCTCCTTGAGAGATGTTTGCAACCGCGACCCCAATGGTGATTCTAAAAAGCCTAGAAATTCTTGTACAAGGTTCGTGTACGAGGCATGTTCAGCTGTAGTCGACTTGGCAAATCTTGGAAGAAGAGCAACGTCCTTGATGGAAAGGTTCTCCAGAGAAATTTGGCTAGCCTCAACATCAGCTTCCTCAGAAAACAAGGCATCTGAGTACTCTGTGGATTTAAGGTATCGCTGGAGAGAGCTCTCTACATGTGACATCCTGGCAAGGCTTGCATCCATGAAGGGTGGCGGAGTGTACATGTGAATCTCAATGGCACGGTTCCTCATAGCACGAGAGAGCTCGCCATGACGAGGGTCCATGGTCAAGAAGATACGGAACTCGGGGTGAGGTCTGACGATTCGAGGTTCTCCTCCGGGGCCACAGTGCTCGTTAATGCTGAGGAAGCCGTTGGGTTCAAGCAAAGAGTTCAATCTGTCCAGGACGGAAGCGTTGCACATATTCGCGTTATCCAAGACAAGCCACTGGCCGGTCTCTAACGCCTTTACAATTACTCCATCAAGCCACTCGAAGCGAGGATTTGAGAGGACCAGAGGGCTGTGGAGAATCTCTAGAGCTTTGGAAAGCGAGATGTAAACTTCAGAACCCTCAGCAATCTGCTGGAGTACAGCTTCGATGGAGGCGCGAATAACAGCGATACTATCGCTATCACCATTATAGCTGTCGAGTTGATAAAGCAGCTGCAGAACTTCGCTTGGAGCTTGAGCTGGAACAACTGACATGATAGACTGCTGCAAGAAGTCCCTCAAATTCCGGATAGTGGCGTTGATCTCTCGCAAGGGATCGGCTTGTTCAAAGCCTCCAACAAGATCCATCGTATCAATATCCGCATTCATGGGGAACACGACAAGTGGCTTTCCAGCAAGAGCTGCAACATACTCTAACAGCACAGATTTACCATATCCTGAAGGACTGCTGAGAATACAGGGGATATCCTGCTTTACGCAGAGCATTATGGACTCTAGTTCTGGGAGCCTTGGCACAATGTCAATGCTGGGTAGTCTCTCTGGCTGGGAGCTCAGGTTTCTGTTTAATAGAGCAAGGCCAACTTGGCCAAACTGAGAGCCGAGATCATGGTAAAAATGGCGAGAGCGAGGCTGCCATGTAATAACACGGCGGAATATTTTGTCCACTTCTGTACGATCGGCTTCAGTCCGGAACCGCTGTCTGATTACAATGTCAAGGAAGTCTTCAACATGCCGGGTTTTCAGGAGCGGATCTGACGAGCTCAACAAGTTGAGCCATCTGAGAACGTCTCGAAGGTTAAACTCCCAAGGGCTGCCTTGTGCGCCAAAGGATTTCTCAACAAGGAGATGATGCTCAATCTGCGATACAAATTGGATCAGCAAACTAACGACTTCGTCAGACAGCTGTGGGAAGCTGTGGCTGGCAATCAGCTTGAGGTCATCATTCTTGAAAACATCGGCATATACAACGACAAATCGGTTGACAAAGGAAGCTGGGAGTCCCTTTCGGCCACCACCTTGATGGTGGGGATTCTGAGCAGCAAAGAGACGGAAGTTGGGATGGCGCTTGAACACCTGATCAAGTTCGGAGATGTATACTTCTCCACGGTGATCCAAGCAAGCGTTCAAACCCTCAAGAACAGACTGCGAAGCAAGATTCATCTCATCCAGAAGAACCCATTCGCCCTTCTGCATTGCTTGGAGGAAAGGCGCATCTCGCCATGCAAAATTACCCGCTTCTTCTCCCTCAACAGGAACATCCGTTCCGAAAAGATCCATCAAATCAGTTTGGTCTGACAGATTGATTCTCGTCAACGGCCGGCCACAGGCTTGCGATAAGGCGACAACCAAAGAGGTCTTTCCGACACCAGGGCTTCCTTCCAGCAGAATAGGCTTTTGTGTTTGCATCGCTCGGATAACTCTCATGGCGTTTAGCCGCGTGGTTGGTGCATGGAAAGCGAAGCTAGAAGGGTTTGAAGCAGCTTCAGTTCGAAGCGCACTGAATCCGCCGATTGTCAAGTGGGAATCGGTGACATTAAGTTCGGGCTGTGTTTGATAAGTAGTAGTAACGTCTCGATCAAGCAGCTCTCCCAATTTGCCCAAGCACTCCAATCGCTGGCGGTGAATGGCGTTGATATCCGTCGCGAGAATGGCGGAAGGATTAGCACCCAAACTATCCACGAAGATGGCAGCAGCGCCATGCACAATTGAGAAGACGACATCCTCATCAGTAGAAGCATTAATGAATTGAACCCAAGCAAGAACCTCTCGTACGGAGAATGGGGCAGTAGCCATAGGTCGAAACGTGGCGCCAAACCAAGCCGCAAACTTGACTACAGCTTCTGCATAGCTCTTGGCAGCCTCAGTCAGCTTTGTCCGGGTGATGTCGTAAATATCTTCACTGTCTGACAAAGGAGGAACCCATATTTCGGTGAAACGATTTCGCAAAGCCGGAGAAAGCTCTTTTTTACCAAAGTCACCACCAGGGTTCATGGTAGCAAAGAACTGGTAGCCGTCTGCACCAACAACGAATGAATTATCAACTCCCTTTTCTGCCAAGAGAAGTGTCCTTTGAGGTTCAAGAACTGAGTTCAATCGTTCCAAAACTGAATCATCGGCTAATGAGATTTCGTCAAGGAGGAAGAAGTGACCACCTCGCATGGCCTCTACCAGAGCACCGTCTGACCATTCGAATAAAGCCATGCTTCTAGTCTCATTGGAGGTTATCCGCTCTTTGATCTGTTCCGGGATGCTCTCAAGGACTGCACTGTCAAGCGACTTATACCTCTCCAGCCTTTCTGCTGCCGAGCCAGAGATATCAACATTGCACTGTCTCAAAACCTCAGTCACATCAACATCTAGAGCCTCGAGGATAGCGCCTCTGTTTCGTATAGGGCGTTGAGAGCCAATGATATCTCCCGTCTCCGTGTTTTGGTGGGCATTGATTATGTGCAATTGTCTACCCAAAACTTCTGCGAGCAGCTGGACAACAGTTGTTTTACCGCATCCAGTTTCACCAACCAAGAGAACGGGCTCATTGTTCTGTAAGGCGCGAGACACCAGCACATACAGTCTCCTGATTGCGTGCGTCCAGACAACTCCTTGTGCATTAGATCGGCCAGTGAGGTGCTTCAGTTCTGGCGCCACTTCGGCAGAGTAGAGATCCTGAGGATTGAGCGCAACTTTGAACACTTTCTCTATGACTTGTTTCACAGCTAGCCTTTCCTCATCGTTGCGCACTCTTTCAGCCAGAAGCATGAATCCATGAGCAGCAATTTCTTCACGAGTATCCGCCTTTCTAAGAGCCCATCGAAACAGATCTCGAAGAGTGGCAAAACTATCCTTCTGCTCAAAGAGTCTGCTAGTCTGGCGGAGACGTGAAAGTTCCTTGTAAACATTGACAATACGTCTGCAGTCAGGAGGCGAGGTATTGCGGCTACGCTGCTGGAGGATGAACTCCAGCTCGTCTTCTGGAATATCGTCGAAATGCAGTTCGAGGAATCGATTTCGGAACGCTCTAGACAGCACTTTTCGTCCTCCGTATAGGCCAGGAGGGTTTTGAGTAGCAAAGAGAATAAAGTTTTCGTGAGGCTTGACAATTTCCTGAGTTTCGGGGATTAACAGTTCGCGGTTATCGTCGAGTAGACGGTTGAGAGCTTCGAGAACATCCGTAGGCGCCAAGTTCAGCTCGTCAAGAACGATCCAGTGTCCCTGTCGCATGGCCTGAACCAAGAGACCCTCCTGAAAGCGCAGTCTCCCATCAGCTCCTGAAATGTAAGTACCCAGATACTCTTGAAGATCAGTATGTTCGTGATTATTGATTCGAACAAATCGATTACCAGTGAAATTTGCCAGATATTCGATCATACTTGTTTTACCAGAAGACGTAGGTCCTTGAATCAAGATTGGGAAACGTCTCGTGGAAGTTGCTCGAACAAGGTTAAGAAGATTTCTCTCCACATAAGGTGTTATGATGTAATCATCTCGCTCTATGGGAGTCTCCTTGCCCTGAAATAGCCAATATTGTCGATCTCGATTCTGGTTCTGGAATTTAACGTAGTTTCTACCATCGCCGGGGTGCTTTGGAGGCTGAGAAAGAAGAGACTGCGGATTTCCATGCTTGTCTAGAAGGTGGTGGTAGATTAACGGCAGAAGCATCTTTTCAGAATTTCGATCCAATAACGTCAAGAACCCCATGGAGAATCCTTCATACATGGCTCGCCGCAGGCCATAGAAGGGCGCTATTGTGTTGACATAACTCAGGACGCGGGTCAGTGTACGGAGACTGAAGTGAGGGACTTCGTTCGCTCCATCTACAATTCGCTTCTCTTCGGCCATTCGTTTAGTGTTAAGATAGAGGCGCGCAATATCATCTCCAGCTTGGTCATTCTTATTGCTGCCATTGCCCAAGTATGTCTTGATGATTGTGAGAAGATCTTTCAAGTCTTTGTCGGGGCTTTTCACGTAGAGCTCAGTAAACCTAGATCGAATACCAATGGGCAAATCTCTCTTTCCAACATCAGTCGCCGGATTCATAGCACCAAAAATGCGGAAATTGGGGTGCGCCACAATCTTCTCAATCTCTCCTGTTTCAGAGAGAAGAAGAGACGGCTTCTCATTCGGTCCAGTAAGGAGGTCTGTAATGCTCTCAAGAGTATCTGGTGAGGCCAGGTTAATCTCATCCAAAAGGACCCAGTCGCCATTCCTGACAGCCTTTACTAGGTTTCCTTCCACAAAAGAAAACGCAAAGGCGGTTGACCCGCCCGAAATTTGAATCTCGAATTGCTCAAGAGTACGCGCGAACTGATCCCACCTTGGCTTTAGGTCCAGCAGGGTTTGCAGCTTAGACTGAGTCTTCCGCCTCTTCGTCGGCTGTGCATCTCCATTTCTCTCCTCGGCCTTCTCTGACTGAATACGCTCTAGTTCAGACACAATCTTGAGAAACATCTTCGGCGCCTCTCTCCACAGTTTGGATAATCTTGACCACTGTCCCTTAGCAAAGCACTTTCCGACTTGCTCAAGGTATTTCTGGTTCTTGGATGCAGATATGCCTGTTGCCGCAAAAAGATCCTCAAATTCTTCTTTCAGGGGCACAGCAAGACTTCGCACGTTGACCGGCTTGAAGCCACCCAGCAGATCGCCCACCTCACTTTGCTGTGAAAGATTGACTGCGATAAGTTTATGGCCAAGCGACTCAGCCAACTGCTGAACGACTGTCGTCTTTCCTATACCCGTCTCTCCAACAAGAAGTACTGGTTCGTTAAGTTTGACGGCTACAGCAATTTGCTCCAACAGCTTTTTAGCGTGAGCAGTGCTGGCAAATGGTCGTTTTGACTTGTGTAGCTTGTTTACAATCTTCTTCTTTCGCAGCTGAACACGTCCAATGCTGAATTGAACATCATTCTCCTCCAAAGGGGGTATATTGGCAGTCAAATAATGGTCTGCCCGTTCTTTGGACAAATGCATCTCTTCGGCAATGGCGTATATAAGCTGCTTGCCAAGCTCATCGTCTGGACAGCTTCCCACGAAACAGTCAACAGCCTCCATGAACATCCAGTCTCGCGTAGTTTCGGTTATAGGCTCCTCTCCAGTTGTTGACCCCACGGCCAGCAGGCACTCTTGCAAGCGCCGACACCACTTCAGCAAATCCCGTAGATTCATTTGTCGATCCATGAGTCGGCCGCGAGGTAAAGCACGAGGTCCGTTGCTAACGTGGGCCAGACGGCTGTAGACGGCAATGATTCCGGGAAGAAACTTGCGCAGCATGGGATAGGTTTGCAGAACAACCTCCTCCAATTCTGGCTGAACCATGGGCTCAGTAGTCAGAGATTGCCAGAAGCGCATACCAACGATGCTAGGAAGGTTCTCCCGTCCGTTCAAGCCCCGAGATGTCCTAACAGTCGCAAAAAGACGGAAAGTATTCGCAGCTTTTATCCTCTCTCCTCGGCTCGGAATCAACAGCTCGTTTCGCTCGATCAGGGGAAGAAAAGTGCTGAGGACTTCGGTAGGGGCTCGGTCCAGATCCTCCACCAGGACCCATCGGCCTTCTTTGATCGCTGTGGTCAGCACACCCGGACGCCATGAAAAACTGCCTGGTTTTGAGTCTGTCGAGTAGAGACCAATCAGCATTTTTGCGTCGGTCTGCTCGTTCAAGTGTAGCGTAACCATGCTAGAGTACATTCCAAGCTGCTTGGCTATTTCATTGACCAGCGCCGTCTTTCCGACGCCAGGTAGGCCGTGAAGGAGGATAGGTTCGGGTTTGCGAATCATGGCGGCAAGTCGTTCGAGGTTACTCGTGGTGGTCGCCGTCATTACAAGGTCTGAGGAGTTGCTAACTGGTATTAGTGGTCGCGGGAGAACGATTTTGCCGTAAGAAACCGCATATTGAGTGAGGGATTGGAGGACTGGTTCGTGGTTGTGTTCGGATTCCTGGTCTTCTCGAGCCACTCGCTGGCGCAAAGCGATGATCTTCTTCGCGCGTGCATGCTCATGCAACGACAGAAACCCATAATCAACCGATGCACCGTCGAAATCCGCAGTAATAGCGTTCGCATTGCCGACGTGGGTGTCGGTAAGGGATTCAAGTTTGTAATCGGAGGCGTGAAATAGTTGGCAGAAGATGCGAATCGCAAGGTATCTCACTGCTCGGCTCTCATGCGCAAACAAGCTCCGTAAATACTCGGGTGAAATCAATGGGCTGAAAGTCCGCAGATCAAAGCTGAAAAGTCTCCAATATGCTAATAAAACCTGCAATAAGGCATCTGCATCCAGGCCCAATGAGGCGTCGAGGGCGGGCAGCACCAATTGAAGTGAAGGTCCCGGCGCAGCTTCATCGCCAGCTTTACCGGAACATTGCAGAAAAGTCGAGAGATATGGCGCAAATGGCAAAAGTCTAGCTATGGCAGATGCAACTAATAAGCGTCGAGGTCCATTGCCGGCGTTGAGAATCCAGCGCGCGCAAATGTCTGAAAAAACGTCCTCAAAATGCACAAAGATGCGCTCTGTAAGTGATGGTGAGAGCGCCGCCTCGGACACAGCATCAAAGAGCTTCGTCGACGACTGATGCTTGACAATTTCAAGCAATTCAGAGGGCAGATGGTCCAACACAGCCGCATCCCGAAGGAGCGACCTCCTCTGCCTCGAGACATCAATCATGGTCATGATTGCGCTCTGTCGAACGAATTTTCGCTGCTCTCCAAGTGTCGCCTTCGCGCCTCTTAACTTTTTTTTTTTTCTTTATATGAGAGCCCGCCAACTTTTTTTTCCTAGTCGGGCACAAGGGTGCATCGAGGAGGGGCACTCGGCGCTACGAATTTCCGGGCCAATCAGAACCCGCCATGATCCCGGCAGGCTGAAGCTTTCGAAAAACTTCAAGGCCGGGCATCTTACGAGGGCCAGCGATCTGAGAGAATACCCCACGAATTGCGAATTGCAGCCAATCCCTCTCAACAACAAACAATGGCTCTCCCGTGTCGGTTTGCGGCGCGCAGCTGCGCTCGCCAGTTGCGATCAGCCACCTCTCCCCGATCCTCCGCACAAATGCTCCGAGCGTCATGCACAACGAGACGGTACAACTCAACAGAGGCCGCCGCCGCAAACCCCAAGATCGACGACATTGTCGACCAGATCAGCAAGCTGACGCTGCTGGAGACTGCCGATTTGGTCTCAAGCCTAAAAGTAAACGCCTCAACTCCACAGAAGCACCGGGGCATTTCAATCGCCCATGGTCGCACAAGCAACTAACATCAAGTCTTTTAAATAGAGCAAGCTGAACATTCCCGATATGCCCATTGGCGGCTTTGCTGCCGCTCCCGCTGCCGCCCCCGCCGCTGCTGTTGAGGAAGCCGAGGAGGCCCCTGCTGCCCCTGCCGAGAAGACTCTCTTCACCCTGAAACTGCAGTCATTTGATGCCGCCGCCAAGGCCAAGGTCATCAAGGAGATCAAGGGCCTGCTGGGCTTGAGTTTGGTCGACAGCAAGAAGTTTGTCGAGAGCGCGCCGAAGATGATGAAGGAGAATGTGCCCAAGGAGGAGGCCGAGAAGATCATTGCCACCTTGAAGGAGCTTGGTGCCGTGGTCGGAATGGAGTAAAGAGGATGGAGAAGGAAAGGAAAGGAAAAAAATATCTTGGGAGCATTCGCATGATCTTTATGACACGATAGATGGTCGAGGTACATGTACAACAAAAACTCTATGTATTATATTAAAGAAGAGATTCAATATTTTTCTCAACTTGCGTTTTCACGATGCGAACAAGTCATTTTGCGGTCTTAATGGACCTGTCATTGCCACTTCAATTGACATTTTTCTAACAAATATATCTCGAAAAACATTTGGGTATCTCAATATTCCACGCGACTTCATACGATTTCAGTCCTTTGTTGCGATACACCCCAATAATATAACGCCGCCCAATGCCATATATACTAAACCAACAATCAGAAGCCGAAAATCAATGGTGGTTGCCATTTGTCGTCTGCAGGTGCTGACACTGCTGCATCTCCATCTCTTTGGTGAAATCATCTCCCTCTTCAGTCAGTAGCCGGTCATCGTCGTCGCCAAAATCACTCGTCTCTTCCCAGAGCTTGGTCATTTCGGCATCCTCTCCTTTGGGCACAGCCCAGATCCTCTCGCGCTCTCGCTTATGTCGTTCACGGTCCTCTTCAATGCGTTGTTCGACCTGACGCTTATCAAGACCGTGAGTCGTGGGCCGCCGCCGAGATTTCGACTCGGAAGCCGGGGCGTCTGACATTTCAACATCACCGTTGGGAGAATCAAGCCCCAAATCATCATCGTTTGTCCCCCTCTCCTTGATAACATCCTCAATCTGAATAACGGCCTGGTGCTCCAGAAAGCCCTTGTTCTGAAGCCCTATCAAAACCTGCCGATGTGGCGTCAGTCAAGTTTTAACCAACGAGAAGAGAGAAGCAGCGCCTGAGCATACCTTGCGGACAACTTTGACATTGGCTGCTCCAGAGCCATCATCGGGGGCCACCGCGTCAACGACTCTGATGATGTCTCGCTGCATCATGCGGATATAGTCAGAGTGGCCATCGCGCTGCGCCAGGTCCAGGAAGTGCTCAATGAAGTACATGATGTTGGCACGAGTGTTCATGTTATTCTGCTACAAGATTAGCTTCAATACGTCTATCACCTACAGAACAGTCCTTTCTCTCACTCACCCGCTCGACCTGCTCCAGGATACATGAGTGCAGGTCCTCGTCCATGTCCTTGTATTTGAGGGCATATTGTGCCGCTTTTTGCGCCGAAGCAACAGAGGCGTTTAGATGCTGGAGCTGCGAGCTGAAGCGCATCCGGACCTCGAAAGGGTCCGCCATTTTTACGGGTGGTTCCTCCGCCAGGGGGTATTTTCAGGCAAAGCGGCGTTGTCGAGTCTGAATTGCTGCTGCAGATGCACGGCGCAAGGCTGAACAATTGGGTCCAGTCGTGTGTGAACTGTGAGTGGCCTGTGCCTCAGTGTGGCTGAACCGGCTGAGCCCGCTAACAAATCGAACCTACAAACTACGAGCACTAACACTAACACGCCTCCATACACACAAAAGATGCACCTACAATTGATGAATGGATGGATTCTTTCGTCCTTTCTCGCTAGTCTGAATCAGCTTACTGGTCATGCTCCGTATTGATGCTCCGAGCGTTTGGCTGCTAATCTCCAAGGACGCACGCCACGGTAAAGAGCCGGGAACGAACCGTCAAATCGGCCCAACAGCCGTAGATTTGGCCCCCCTTGGGCACTTTGGGCCACCGAGCCACAGCACCTCCGACGGGCTGCCGAGTTGAGAACCCCTGAGCTCAAAACAGCAAACATGAATGATGCCCTATATAGCAACAGATTGTCCATGTACTCCGCAAAGTGATCTATCTACCTGGGATACGAGTGATGCTGTTCCATATTCGGCCGTCTGCAGCATAAGGACAGGTAGCAGTTCAAGTCGCAGCACCTACCATTTCATGTATTAGTGGCCCGCGGCGACAGCGAGAAAATCCGGGGCAGACCAGAGCTGAAGGGTGAGTTTGGGGCGATGAAACATGGTCGGCCGAGCCGTTTAATTCATGCCGCGTAAAGACATAGAAAGGCAACTCCAGGCTGCCCAATGCATTCCATCGTTCCGTACACTGCCGTGTTTACACGAAAACCCTTGTCCCTTTTTTTCTTTTAATGTTGTCCTTTGACGATCTGACTGGGCAGCAACCGTTACGGAGGGGTGGTTCAGCCGTTTAGGGGGGTGATTTGGCCCTGTTTTTTCCCTTACTCGCAGCAGCCCAGCTTTCCTATTTATTGCAACTTGGGCCAGCTTGAGGTAGACAAAGAAAAAAAAGGTCCCAGCAGTCTTTTCCCTCATCCCCCCTGTTTCTTGACACTGGCAACAACTTTGGCGGCCATCTTTCGTCCTTTTCTTTCCTTCTGTCTCTCTTCTCTTCGGTCCCTTCAGTCCTTCTTTTCAAATAGAATACTTGTTTTTGACCGCTCGGTCACCGCTAGTAATACAAAATCTATTAATTCCGACACCATGTCTTCCTCCAACATGCTGGCTCTCACGCATCACAGCACGCCTCAGCCTCCTCAGGACCTGACCATGGCGGTCTTGGGCTGCGGTAAGTGAAATTTCAATTTCAGCGTGGCATTGACAATGGCATTGGCTGTCATGATGGCTCGTTGGAAGTTGTCTTCGATCGATTTGAGAACGTGTTGAGCTCATATCTGTCTGGTATAGGGACCATGGGAATCGCCATCCTCAATGGCATCCTCACCTCCCTGGTCGAGATGCAGGGCCCCAAGCCGCTGCAGTCTGGCGCCTCCACGCCCGCAGACGACGTTCCGCGCTCTCTGCCGTCTCGCTTCATCGCCTGCGTGAGGACGCCCGAAACCGCCAAGAAGGTCAAGAGCGCCCTCTGGGAGCACTCCTCCGTGCTCAAGGTTGTGCGCAACGAGAACCTTGCGGCCGTCCAGCAGGCCCAGGTCATCGTCCTGACCTGCAAGCCCTACATGGTCAAGGAGATCCTGGGCGCTCCCGGCATGGCCAAGTCTCTGCACGGCAAGCTTCTCATCAGCGTCTGCGCCGGCATTACGGTCGAGCAGCTGGAGATTGCCCTGCACGGCGCAGTCCCCTCCAAGGACCCCGAGGAGGACGGCCGCTGCAGAATCGTCCGAGCCATGTGCAACACTGCAGCCCTGATCAGAGAGTCCATGACAGTCATCAGCGCTACTGTGCCCCCCCTGCCCCTCGAGACTGAGCTGCTGGTCACCTGGATCTTCAAGCGCGTGGGTGACGTCGTCTATCTGCCCGCGCGATACATGAACGCCTCCACGGCTCTGTGCGGCTCTGGGCCGGCCTTTTACGCCCTGTTCCTTGAGGCTGCCGTCGAGGGCGCCGTTGCCATGGGTCTCCCCCGGGCTGAAGCCACCAGAATGGCCACGCAGACCATGCGAGGAACGACTGGTCTCATCCAGAGCGGAGAGCACCCAGCTCTTCTCAGGGAGAAGGTGTGCACTCCTGGAGGCTGCAGCGTCAAAGGACTCCTTGTTCTGGAGGAAGAACGTGTACGCGGAACAATCTCCAAGGCCGTACGAGAGGCAACCTTGGTGGCGGGCCAGTTGGGTAAGAACATTCAGGCCTCCAGCAATGTGTCTCAAAATGACATTCACGAACACTACGACGAGTAATTGACTGCACTGGCTGGAGGGAGTTTTCTGATTTAATGGTTTTTTCTCTTTTTTTTAATCAAAGGAGCATGTAATGTAGCATGTTTTGCCAGCTCGGGTTTTCCTGTTATACAATAGAATACATAGAGCCTTTTTCCCCTGAAAATGTCGTATCAAGACCCACCCAACGCCCGCTATTATTGATTTTTATTAGTGAAACTAAGCCTGTATTATGCCACGATACTGTGTTTCACGCATCTTCCACTCTCGCCTTCTTGCTGGTTGATGCTTCGGCTGAAGACTGCTCCAGCTTCCGCTTCCCGTTTGGTTGGTTCGAATGCTTCGCTGCACGATCATGAGCTGCCAAAAGTCTAGCGTATTCCAACTCTACACTGCCCAGTGTTTCTGATAGCTTCTCGATTCTCTGAGAAACTTCAATTTGAGAAAGAATTTCTTTGTTATGGCGATACAATCGCTGTTTCACGATAAGCTGCCACAGCTTTTCTTTGTGCTTGTCAGCGGCTGTAGGTGACGGGACATCGTCGTCTAGTGACATGGTCGCGCGGACAGATGCTGGAAGTTGGGACATCAGATGCATCTCCAGAACTCGGTAGAACTGGCGAGGGGCAATCTTGGCCTGCGATCGAATTTTCTCGAGCTTTTGTGCGCCAATGATTAGGGGAGGTAGCGGTCCTGTTTTGGGAACCTTCACAGAGGTGTCGAGGCGAAGCTCGTTAAATTCAGGCATTGTTCGCAAAAAGGTCAGGTCGCAGGTATCTCGCAGGTCGTCAAAAGCTTCGTTGGGATTCTCCACTGTGAACTCGTGTGTCTGAGCGTGGCTGTGGTAGTGCTTGAAGACAGTGTTGTAGAGGCGCGCACCACTGCCCTTGCCTTGGAATGGTGGGAGAATTATGAATTGTGAAAGCCTCGTCCTGCAGGGGAGCAGAGATAAATCCATGTAACCCGTGGGTAGCTCCCAATCGTCCGAGGGAGATGGTGGCGGTGTCATGGGCGGCTTGAAATAAAAGAAGCGGTAAACCGTGGCATACCCAACAAAAGTATACGCGCTCTTCTCCGGATCATCAGTGGATTTTTGCTTGCGGTAGAGAAAGAAGAAAGTCCACCGGTCAGCGTCCGAATAGTCCAACTCTGACGAGTCTGACTCTGGGTCCTGGCCAATATAGGAGCCTCCATCGATAAACATTGGAACCAGGATTTGAATACGGCTGTTTAGCTGCTTCACGGCAGGGTCGACGAGGCTGCCCTTCCAGATTTCATACTGGCCATCGGCGCCCTGGAAGGTTTCGTGGAGCGTTCCAGGAGGGGACCAGTCGTCGCCAAGCTGCTGTGAGCTGTTCTCAAAATCCGACGCTTTCGCAAACGCAACTACGTTAAGGGTTAGCAACAACTATTATCAAAATCAAGTTGTCCAGCGACAAATATCCCAAACCTTTTGGCAGATGGCCTCCGCTCTCCAGAATCTCCGCCACCTCAGTGGGTTCAAGTTCACCAACTGGCTTGAACTTTTTGCCGTATGCAACGCGCAGGTGCGGCCGCATATCATTAGCACGATACCGCAGGAGTATCTTCAAGTCCTTGTATCCAAAGATTTTCTCTTCCTCGCCGAAGATGGAAAACGTGAACTTGGGCTGGAACGTCGAAATTGTACTCAGGCCCGATTTCGACGGCGATACGAGGCTGATATTGAACGCATCGTTGGCGTCTTGAAGCCCTATCCAGTAGATCAGTATCGTGAGGCTGTGACTGCGACGGATGATTTGGAGCCTCGCTAAGCTTACACTCTTCAAGGTCAGGAAGACCAGCCATTGTAAACGGATGAAAGAGGTGGACCGCTTATATCGCAGCAGGAAGAAATAAACATTTACAAATAAGCTGATAAGCTGTGCGGATTGAAAATGCCTTCAAGCGACCAAAAAAGGCAGAGCAAGGCGAGAAGGCTGTGGTTGTTGCAGCGAAAGGCTGAAGGCGCAAATCCTCAGCTTGGATTCGAGGCGCGCTACCACAGCCTCACACGCGTTTGCAGGCCTAGCCGACGCGATTCAATTAAGCGGCTGCATCGCCCGCTGCGCTGGTGCCCCAAATCCAAGGCACCCGTCCCGCCTCGCAGCGGCTTCATTCCGCGTTACGTCACGCCCGCTAACGTCGCCCCGGTGGGTCCCTGGAAGCCGTCCAGCAATCTCACGAGACATGCAGCGGGCTAAGGCTTATTGTCCCCCGAACCACTGCTGCGACTCCATACTTTCTGCCCGCCAAGCACCTCAACCAGTGGCTGCTCTTTGTCTCTTGTGCCTTGCAGTTGAACCGCAGCTCGTTCGACAACCGAAACATCCTGCGCCGCACCGCGCCATCGTCCTGCAGCGCCTGCGATCCGAGCGCATGGCGTTCCCCTGAGCCGTCACGATGCCTGAAATTGCGAGTGCCCCGGCGCCAGTTGGCTCTGCCATCTTCTCCATCATCGCCCTCCTCCTAGTATCGCTCGGTGTGCTGCTCATACTGCGCCACTACCTCCCGCTTCGAACCACGCCGGCCTTCTACCTCGTCCCTATATTCTTCGCCCTGTGGCTTCCGTCGGTGCTCGTCTTGCTGGTTCCTATAGACCTTGCTTCAAGCGCCATAACCGACGATGTAGCTTCGAGGGGGATCTGGCTGCCCCAGCGGGTAGTCTTGGTCCTATGGCGAATCACATATTGGTTGACATTCTGCTTGACATGGTGAGGAAATAGTTTTCGACTCGATACCTTGTTTTACAGCTCTAACCGTACTCATACAGGTTCCTCCTCCCCATCCTTGCCGAGTACTCCGACACTGGATATCGCGAGCCCTGGGACAAGTTCATGTACTCGCTCCGTGCCAACGCTCAGTTCTATGCGATGGTCTTGGGAGCTGCCGTTGTCGGACTGGTATACATCTTCGTCTCCTACGAGTTCTCCTTTACAGCTCTAAAGGCTCTCATTATGGCTCTAGCCTACTGCTGGGGTCTGATACTTGCCATTTACCTGATGGGTCACGGTCTAGTCTCCATACCAAGGCAGCTGCTTCGAAGCGGAAGTATCAGCGGCAAATTACAGAGTTTGCAGATCAAGGCACCCAGAGTATATGAGAAGATGGAGGACTCTTTAACGGGAGTCGAGGAGATTGAACAGCAGATTGCGGAGCTCAGTCGAAGGAAAACGGGAAGCGCTGCGGCCTTCCAAGATTGGATCGAGGAGCTTCAGGAGATGGCCAGCATCCCGGAATCGCAGCCCCGATCGACACTTCTGGATCCAACAATAAACACCCAAGCTGTTCCACATGTCATCACCGAAAAATACTTGGCCGACTTGACTCGGAAGTATGTGCGAGCACGTCACTCACGATCTCGATATGTTGGAGAGTGGACTCGACTGGTGCAGTCAGCAGCCAAGCTTCAGATGATTTTGGATTCGGTGGCTTCCAAGAAACTTGACTTTGGCAGCGCCTCTCCCCACGCTGGATTTTGGGACAGAGTGAAGATACTGACTCCATACTCTCGATATATCTGCTACTTCTACGTCTTTCCCTACATGCGGATGGCCTTTGGTGCCGTTTTGGCATTTGCATCAGCCTGCATTATCTGGTCGGAAATCGTCAAGTTTCCCTTTCCTAAGCTGTCCATTATCCGCGTCAGTGTTGTCCACCACTGGGTTGGCGACAAAGCCCAGGTCGGATTCGCAGGGCAAGTCATCTCGGCATTCTGGATTTGCTACATGTGCATTGCCGCTCTTTCATCAATGACCGAAGTCAAAGTGTGGCGCGGACGAGCTCTCGTGAGAAGAAATACCGGCCACGAGGCGGCATTCTGGTACGCGATGCAAGTAGCGAAGCTCAGTGTACCACTCTCATACAATTTCCTCACGTTTTTGTCGAGCGAGGTCTACGAAAAGACCATCTTTTACAACTTTCTCGGAAAATACGTTGATGTAACCCCCTTGGGTCAATGGTTCGACAACTTTTTCCCCATTGCCCTCGTCATTCCTGTTTTCGCTGCCCTTTTTGGCGTGTACGGAAGGGTCAAGCGCATATTTACCGGAGTGGACATTATCGACGAAGAAGATGACAATCCATCAGGCTACGGCACTGGCTCTTGGCGCGAAGGCCGTGATCTCATCGCCAGAGAGCTGGGAGGGAACTCGACCCCGCGACGCAGCGGTACTGCAGCCAACGGGGCCTCAGGCCGAGCAGCCCCGATTCTATCCATTCCTGCCATCCAAGATTCGGTCGCTTCCCCATCACGGTCGCCAGCCCGTTCTCCAGTCGGCAACAATCGTCGAGCCGGCCAATCCACACGCCCTCGCTTCACGGATGAGCCACCTGAGGATGACAACATCTTTGCGATTCTCGGACATCGTATGAAGAATACCGTCGACTCATTCGAGACGCCACAGTGGTTCCAAGATATTGGACAGGGCATCAAGAAGCCAAAGTGGATGGGAGGAGATGATGACCAGCCTGCTGCCAGTGGGAGCAACAACAACAACAACGATAATGGAAGCAATATTCGAAACTGGTTCGGAGGCGGAGGAGATAGCCACATTCGCCTCTAAACATGCCTCACGATAATATTTATTTCGTCTTCCCTTTTAGCTATTTCTTATTAACTTTAGCGGTCTATCTTGGATACCGGTTGAAATACCGCATTATGATGGAGTTACGGAGCTTCAATATTTTCTCTAGGTCTTGGCGGAAAAAACTTTCTTAACCTCTTCTTAGAGTTCTAGATTTTTTCCATCTTCTCGGTTTTTGGACTTGACTTCATTCATCTTTACTTTTGCCCAGCGTCCCAGCAGTCGGCTCCAAAATATTACTTATCTAATCATTTTGATTTTCATGTAGAATAGGTAAAATAAAATAAAATATATGTTCATTATGCCTTTGTAGAAGTTAAAATTAAGTAAAGATGATAGGTTCATGGCTCGAAAAGTCGTAACAGCCTGCTAAACATGCTTTCGCAACCGCCAATGGCAATAGAAGAAAGAAGAAATTATGCTGAAACATACTCATGCATCATCTCCATAAACACATACACTCAAGTATGATAGTGTATGTAAAATTCGCCACCAATTTCGTAAACTCATCAAGTCGTGAATGAAAAAAATGATCGTTTCGCCACAGGGAAAGTCTTACTCCAGCTTTCGTCAAGGCGCTGGGCTAGCGAGCGAGTTCCAGGTATTCGCTTTGCTCATCGTCCTCCTACGGAGCGACTTCATGATGCTGACTTCCATCTGCTCAATGTCGCCCTCCAGCTCCTTGTCGTCGTTTGCATAGCGGGCTTCCTTGCGGCGGTCGTACCAGATATAGGAGCCGACGATGAGGACGGTCAGAGGGACGGTGATGATGAAGTAGACCCAGAGCCAGTTGGAGATGACGGGCTCGGCTCCTATTTGTGATATTGGTGTAAGTATGAACAGTTGTGTACTTGTGAGAAGGAGAAAAGGGGGGGGACCAACCAGATTGAAAATTGAAAAACGTCATGCTAAAGACAGAAGCAAGGTACGTGCCCGGCAAGAAGAGTGCGCCCATCAGAGATATGGTCTTCATGGCTGTGCTGTCTCGCTTGCTCGCATGTGCGATGCGACGCTGCTCTCCGGCAATTTCGAGGTTGAGCCGTGCTTCTCGTTGAGACATGATGTTATAAAGCTGTTTGAACGGCAAGATAAAAAGATCATATTAGCAAAAGCCCGCATTTACAAAGGGGGAAATGGAAAAAAAAAAAAAAAGAAAAAAAAAAAAGGAACACTCCCTACCGCTTCTCGCTGCACTTTCAACCTCTCCAGCGTAGTGTGGATGTAATTCTCCAACCCCTTGAGCTTGACTCTGTAAAACTCCATCCGGGCGATCATGCTCCTATGCAGCTGATCAATCGTCTTCCTATGCGCAATCTCCTCATCCGTCAAGAAATCCTTCTTCCAGTCATACCAAAGAACCTTGAACCGCTCCATCGAGAGCTCCATCTCCCGCACCAGCGCAAAGTACGCCTGCGGCCGCTTCCACATGACATGGCTATGGCACTCCACTAAATCACGGTTCAGCCCGTCAATGGACAAGATTCCATCCTGGAAGTACTGCTCTTCCGGCTCAACCTCGTCGCGCAAGCTCACCGCGTTCTCCAGTCGACGCAGCCAGTCTCGAGCATCGCGTTGCTTCTGGTCGTTGGCGGGCGAGAGGTCGTGCGAGAGAAGAATGGTCGGGAGGAGCATCGGGTGGCCAACCTGACCGTAGCACTCGCGGAGGTGCTTGAGCGCCTGGGTAATGTCCGAGCTTGGCGTGCCCTTCATAAAGCCCGTGGTGATGCCGGTTTTGAAGGCGTACGACAGCATCATCTCCCAGCCGCGGGTTTTGCCCTTTTTGCGGACATCTGATTTGCGGTGCACGATTTCTGCATCTCAGTGTTAGAAGGAAGACTCTTGAAGTTGGGCATATTCCACTTACGCAGATGGGGATCATCGTCGTCCTGGTCGTAGGCACACCAGAAGAACGGCCCAACCACAGACGACGTTTCTATGCCTCGAAAGGGCAGCTTCAGGGTCCTAATCATGGACATGTACTTTTCCTTTGGTAGGGAGATGACTTTTGGCATAAACGTGTCCTTGTGCTGAGCATTTTCTTGGATACTTTTTGAGACGAGGTCAGCGTATTGTTCTTCGTTTGGACATGTAGCGGAATAAGTGGTTTGACTCAGCATCATCAAACGCATTAAACAAACAAAATAGCAGTCAGTAGAAACTCACATGAGTCGAATACCGCTGAGGAGTTTGGTCCCTTCACGCATCTTCTGTGGCGGCTCAAAAGCACCCTAAAAGCCAGCATTCACGTCAGCCCCGGATCTCTCATCGAACCCTTTATTTCATCCCATCTCATCTCGGCTCCATCTCATCTCGGCTCCATCTTATCTTGAATCGTGCAGCCCAGTAACTTCTTCAGATGAAAAACATCAGTCCAATCTTTTCGCACTCACCCTTTGATTCAAAAAGTTCTCAAACTCGGACGAGGGCAGCGGATGCTCTTCGACGGAGTTGTAAAACGGGTCCTAAGCCTCGGCATCAGTCCTGATCGTCCTATACCCTTTTTCTTTCCCCTTTTGACGTCCATCTCTCCCATGACGAGACGCATCATCTCATCTTGGACGAAAACTGCGAATATCCAAGTCGCAACTTACAGAGTAATTGAAAATCTCAATGTAGCTCGTCTTCTCCTCCACAACGCGACACTCATCCACGAAGAACTTGAACATGTAATCATCCATCTTGCCGTTTTGATTCTTTTGCGTCCTGTCCTGCCTCAGCACTCGCACAGCTCCAAACACACGCGCGCGCTGCTTCTTCACTCCCAAAAAGCAATCGCTGTCCTCCTCCACACAGACGCCTTCGATTGGCGATGGATGCGAAAGACGGCTCAAACTGTCTTCGATGCTGCCGCCCAGCCTCTCCCGCTCTCAGTCAATGGGGCGAGCCGCTGCCGAGGCCGCTAGCAAAAAAAAACAAGCTGTCGATCAGCCCGCTAATAATAGAACCCGGCCACGCCAATTGACGCTCCAACGATGGGAATCGGTTGCTTGGCTCAGTTTATCCCGCGAAAGCCAAGAAAATGATAAAAACGAGTACCCAGGGGAAAGCCAAACAGAAGAGAACGGGAAAGATCAAATAATACGGATGCAAGTAAGGTGTTTCCCCACTCTCGGGGCGAAAAGGGGAATTTCCAAGACAAGTGTATGTAGAATGGAATACGCAGTGTAAGATGCATTAATAAGTGGAAATGGGGGGAGTTAGAAGGAAGAAAGAGAGGGAAACAGTTGAAGAAAAAGCACGACAGCGATAGGCTCAGCACCCCAGCCTCGCCAGCAGCCAGTAGCACCCTCCAGGGCTGTTACTACAGCACTTTGATGCAGCAGACAGACGCAGGCAGGGGATCTATCACAATCCCCACGTCAGCTACTCAGACCCGACCCAGGCCCAGACCGGATAATACACCCCTGTAGCAAGAAAGGGAATAAACAACACGACAGAATCAAGAAGCCCAAGTGATCAATCGGAGACAAGAAGCAGCGGAAAAAAGAGCACAGAGAACAGAAAAAAAAACCTCCGTAGCACCGACCGCTATAACAGATTCAGATGTTCATCAGTGGTGCTCTCTTTTGAGGCCTCCTCTCCATATCTTTAGCGGCTCCGCAAGGGGGCCAGAAACTGGAGAACGAATTGAGCTCAATTCATCCTCCTGTATCTGATGCATCTTTTCATGGGCGGTTACACTAAAAAAGAAGAATTAGAGTGGCTCTCTTTTTAATCTATTTCCTCCCACCGCCTTTCTGCACCCGTAATGCCTGTTCTTTCTGTCGCCATACCATATAGGCGTAACAGCCGGCCACGTATTTTTAATCTGAGCACACGACCACTTCAATTGTTGGATTGAATGATTCGTTCGTTGGCCATCCCGGCAAAAAAAGGACTAGACCCATGGAAAATTTCTGCAGCAATGCCGACTTGTATACAGGCTACCTGGTCCGTGGGCCTGCAACGCGTCAGACTCGCAGCATGTACCTCGAGGCAAGGTACAGGGACACTCTTGCATGGATATAAATTCCACCAAGAATGACCATCACCCAATTCCTTTACGCCACTGAGTAGTAGACATAAGACAGCACTACTACTAGTAGGGTAATCCAGTAGCAATTGCACGTAACCAAGTATCTGATAATGATAAACAGCAGGTATAACAGAATAGATGTAATAGGTATATATAGTATTACTAGTAGGCATGATGAGGGCAACAGAGCACATCTCCAGACTCAGCAGCCTTTCAACCACAAAACAAAGGTCTCGATTCTGAGACAACCACCCCAGATCATAACCCCAAGATACATTTGTCAACCCTCCGTCTCTCACTCTTCTCGCCCTCTCGTAGCGCAAAAAAGATGAAAAGGAGAGTTGAAATGAGAGAGTACAGAAAAGGAAAGAGAAAGAAAGGAAATAGATGGATATACAGGAGCTTCGTATAGTTGGCTACTGGGCGAGACAAGAAAGACTTGGCATCGTAGGTTCAAACACAGCTCCCTCCTCCGAATACACGTTTTCCAACAGACTCCAGGTCGAAATGAGCCTCCAAGACCGATCGAATCCCCTTTTTTCCCAAAGAGAGAAGAAAAAGAAATATAGTCCCCAATGCAGAGCCGCCATCCAAGATGCAGCGAAACAAACACCCAATCCATTCGCATCTTTTGCAACCACACGCACAGAAAAAGAAGAATTCCCGACAGGCACTTCTTTTTCTCCCCTTTTAGTCACGTACCCAGTGCACCGTCGTCAATCGTCAACATTTCCAGGTATGCCTCGATTTTGAATACACACCCTTTAAGACACCCTTTAAAATTCAGTAAACAGGTTGCCATACCTATAAAAGAAAAATCGTTAGCCTACAGAAACGCTTCACGGAGAGAGCAACAGGAAAAAAAAAAAGGCAAAAGGCAAAAGGCAAGATTCCACTCACTCGTCATTGCCGCCCGGACCCCCATACTTTTCGGGGTCCTCGGGGTATCGGTCAAATTGACTGGCATCGCCGGCTCCAGCCTTGACTGGCGGCGTGTAGGGGGCGTCAATGTCTTTGCGCGCCAATCGATCCCATGTAACTTCTGCGAACCACGGGTGATTCTTGACATCTTGTGAGCCTCCAAACAGGTTGCCCAATCTCTTAGTCAAGTCCGCCGTAATCAATCGCTCGAGCAAATTCTGGGCATCCGGGTTGATATACGCCGGATATTTGACTTTGCCCCTGAGGATGTTTTCGTAGATGCGCATGGGAGAGCCGCTATCCCAGAAGGGCGTGTATCCGCAAAGCATTTCGTATATCAAGATTCCAAGAGACCACCTGATCATGTGTCAGCCAGTCGCATTCACTAATGCTAGCAATTCATCAATGAGCAATCCGGGGCAACTCACCAATCTACAGACTTGTTGTAGCCTTTGTTGGAGACTACCTCGGGAGCCAGGTAATCTGGTGTACCACACAACGTCCACGTCTTGTCTGGCACTCGCTTTGCGAAGCCAAAGTCTGTAATTTTAAGATGTCCATGCCGGTCCAGCAGCAGATTCTCAGGTTTCAAGTCGCGGTATATAATGTTCTTGGAGTGTAGGTATTCCAGTGCCAGCGTGGCTTCGGCAGCGTAGAATTTGGCGACCGGATTGGGGAATCGCTAGTTGATTTTATTAGCAGTGAGTCCGTTTGAGTCTATAGCAATTGAGAGAGAGAGAGAGAGAGAGAGAGAGAGAGAAAGATCGGAAGAGCGAGTGTGGGGAGGG